ATCATCAGAAAGCCCTTTACAAGCTCTACAATATGGTACTGTTTGGTTTTGATTGTCTCCACATTGGGCAACAGAAAAAGGAAATACTTCGATTTTAGTCTTTTAAACAAAGACAGAGTAGATAAACTGCAGTTTCAATCACTCTAGTAACTGCCATAGATGAAAGAGATACAATCACATATATCATGGCACTATAGCATGTCCTATGTGTACACATAACCACCCCTCAAATACGTGATCAGTGTTCTCTCTTGGCAGGAATAATCATAGACCCTTCACCACTACTAGCACAATTGTTAGTAATGTAAACTATATAGATATACCCTTATGCTATGATGCACATTGTGTTTGAGTCTATATAGATGTTTGTTATAGCCTGCATTTGAGTGTGCATGAAGCCACAGGTGTGTAGTGCCACCTAGGGTTACATAGACGCCTACTGGGAAGCATTAGAGCCTCATTAGCAGATGGTCAGAGTGGCTGTGCACAGGGATCTAGCGTCTAACCCTAAAATTCCTAATGGAGGAGAACCCTAACCCTGTGTTTGTAAGCGGAGAATGTATGTGGTGCCTATCTCAACACTAATGGCTGATTAGCGGAGTTTCAAAATATTTTCCCACGGGCATCAATTGAGGTGTCGCGAGTTGGCAGGAAGGTCACCCCATAAGAAACGATTTCTTCGTTCCTCATCAATCATAAAAATTCAGGATATCAACAACACAATCACCCTTGATGCAATAACCACCCCAGATCATGACCCTAAATCTGGAGAACCTCACCTACCCAACAAACACCCTCTACATCATCACCCCAGAACCATCCCCCAGAACCATCCCAACACCCCAGAACCTAAGGAGACCCCACCCGAGAAGCAGGACAAATCAGGGACAACCCCAGATCTCAACCTAACCAAGCTGCTTTGTAAGCGCAAACCAGGGACAGAAGGCAATAGAACCCCCAGGAAGCTTCCAGAAGCTTCCAGAATATTCTGGACCAACCCACAGCACCCCAGAACAGCCTCCTGCAGACTATGTGCCCCATATTTTGAGAGGACTATACCACCAAACACCGATAAAACCCCAAGAAATGCCAAAGTCACCCCAGAGACAGCTGGAAAATCCAGGAAACCCCCAGAAAATACTGTGGACCACCTCCAAATGAACAGGTAGTGTTTGTTGTAGTTTACTTGTACTGCTTAGTCAGCCTGCCTCTCAGAAAGGTATATAAACCTGACTGAAGAGCCCCCTAATAACAACCAAGTCAAGATCTAACTCTCCCCTCAACCACCACCATCCAGCAACTACTGTGCAATCCCTTAGGCCATCAGGCGGGGCAATTGTAGTAGCCAAAAGGTAAAGTATTAGGATCTATAGGCTGAGTCCTTTGATCCTCAGTCCCAGAGTTCCAGCAACTCTGAAGCAGCAGATTTTGCAGGATTTGTTCTAGAGTGCAACCATGCACATCATAGTAGGGGAAACTCTGCCCATTTTTGCATAGCCACCATGGGAAACACCCAGACCTAGTTCCCACAGCCAAATATTCAAAGTGTCCCCAAGTGGACCAGTTAGTACTAACATATTTTGCACACAGGTGCCCTGAAGATTAGCAAATTATAGGAGCATAGAGGTCCTTGGAAGCCACCAAGCCATACCCAGGTCCCAGGAAATTATAGGACCACAAGTGTCCTCCAGCTGAAGAAGACATAGGATCATGAGCATCCTCCTGCCAAACAAGCCACTAGTGCTTCACGAGGTAAGCACATCTGAACACCAATGTACTAAGCAAGCCAGCAGTTTTACAGGTCCCATATCCCATCTACTCCGTCCATTTCCCCTTACCATCCCATCAGCAAAACCGCTGGACACTCCCAAGGATTAGGCTCTCAGCCCAGGTTGGGGAGCGCTTGGGAGTGCTCCCAAGTGCATGCAAGCCCTGCGTGTGTGCGCATCCACTCACAAGATGTACGGTACAGGATACATACAGGGGTGGGCGCGCAGAGCGTAGTAGCGTCTGTGTCTCAGCGCGAGCAGAATATATGTTCATTTGTCCCATGCTATGGACACGCGAACCCTTCAAACTCGTCAGCATAAGCCCTTCCTCCCCTTCCGCCCCTTGTCCTGCATCTGCACCCCCATCTGGGTCGGGAGGCGCGGGATCGTCATCGTCATTGGCGTCCGACGAGACGTACCCGTAGTCTACTTCCTCGTCGTCCAGGCCATCCTTGTCATTGCCGTCATTGTCCTCCTCTTCGGAACTGGGATCTGCCGCAATTTTGTCATGTGGCTCGTCAGGCATGGGCTCATTGCCGTCTTGAATGGCCTCGGTGTCAGCAATTGGCTAAGCTTGACCACCTGATGGGAAAAGGGAGCATATGGTCACACCGGTCTTCTGGTGACCAACTCCCCCACCGATGTACCACATGAAGAGGTCGCAGTCTGAGAATCTAGTTTAAATCAGTGCCATTGAACCAACAGGTGACAGGGGAAATGAGAAAGCTCACATGCCAACATAGTAATACCGCCAGTCTTTGTTGTTGGCGCCATCCACATCTTTGCTCCGTGCAATGCTATAGCCTGGAAGTGCAGTGTCCGTGCGCCGGTGGTGGAATGCTGGGATGATGTGTGCCGCGCACAGGACTTGATCTGGGGAGATAAAGCCGAAGGGGTTGTCATTAAGGGGAGCAAACTCGAGGCGCGGCAGCTCGCATGTGTCGAGGCCCCAGGGCACCGTTGTGTTGAGATTGTACCGCGTATCCACAGCACGTGAATACATACTAGTTCGCTGTTGCCACGGCCAGCGAGATATGCATTGACGTGGAGGATCGCGAGAACGTGGCCGTAGAGATATGGATAGGAACTCCTGGGCGGTGCTAGGACCATGATGTCGCTGTGGGAGCTAGGGTTCAGCGAATCCTGATCCCGGTGCATGTCGTAGGTGGTATAGTTCACAAGCATCTGCTTGTGGATGTACATGCAATCATGGCAGATACGTAGTGCTGCGTGATCTTCATGGGAGGGCACATAGTCCTCATCAGTTGGTCCCAGGCCAGTGTGCAGACGTTCAAGAACATGGGTGCGCAGGTCGCGAGCAAAGTTCTGTCAAATGGGGGGTAAGAGGGCGCCCAATTGTAGCAGTGATACAATGGACCAACCTCAACTGCCACGTCGCCCTTGTTGTTGCGTACAAATGCAGCAATATCTACATGCTGCTGCTGCTCATGGGAGATTTGGTGGTGGTCACGCGGAGCACATGAGCCGATGTCTTTGTGAACATCGGGGCGAGCTTGCAGAGACCCGGCTGTCTTTTGCGTCATTGCCCGTCTAGCCTTGGCCTTGCGTTCAGCCGGTTTGGACGTCAGTTTGGGCACGCGACTGTGGGCCTTGTTGACGAAGTGTTTGCGGTGCTGGTGCTTGGTGATTTGAGATACGAACAGCGCATTCTTGTTCATGTGTACATAGAACCGCTTGAGACGCCGATGTTCCAGCTCGCCCTAGTGCAATCATCAATACCTGATCATGTGGCGAAGCTGGAACGCTCTCACTGTCTGTGTTGAGGTGCCATCCAGGGTCCCCGTCTCATGAATCTCCCGTACATAGTCGCCGGCCTGATGGAACTTGTACGTGTTGAGGTTGTAGCGCTTCTCTACATGTGTGCTCTCCTCGGCGCTGTTCGGCTCGGGGGTCGATACACGCTTTGAGGTCGTCGTAGTGGTCTTGTGCTTGGCTGCCTTCTTAGCCTTCCTCCTCTGCCGCGTGGCCAGCTCCTTGTCGAGTTCACAGGTGTTGTACTCCGGACACACTTTTGAGGCAAAAGTGAGCATGGCTTCACCCAACCTGCATGTAACACGGTCGAAGATCGTAAGCATTGAATCAGAGTGGAGGCGCAATTTGGCCATTGCGTGATGGGTCGCTAGACAGAACAGCATCCGCTGCACGATGTGATCTGCTGGAGCGGGTAGTATGCCTTCAAAGGCTGGTATGGTCCACTGGTGAAAGTGCGTTAGCACTGCTTTGTACGGGATGCATAAGATGTACCTGCAGAAGATCCTCAAAGTCACGCGCAACCAACTTTCTGAGCGCAGCAACATTATTCCAAACCGCCGGATAGTCCCACGTCCAAATGTCGGAATGGATGCGAACCTAAAACACGACGAGTGAGCATGCATCCTCCCCTGCTGAACACTGCTGTTCGTACCTGGAGTTGAGGTTGTTGATTTGTGATTGTCCAATGGTCGTGACGATGCACACGAGGTGCATCATCGTGGCTTTCCAGACCCCCAGATTGATCTTGTGCATCACATCCAGCACGAGCGCCCGGTAGATGTCAAACCCGAATTGGCCTAGACGACGCGAAAATGCACTCTGTGCAAGTGTAATGCATCAGTACATGCATAATCGGATGGCAGTCAGACATACCTGATTCAGCAATGTCGAAGTAGAACCGAGCACGGCTTTGACAGCTCTGCCCTCAGTCGGTAGGCCCCGCTTAAAAATCCAGCCCCGGACTTGTTCCAGCTTGTTTCTCAGCCAGCTGCTATCCTCGCGGGGCTTCTTTTCCCGGGTGGCCATGTCCCTCTTTGTACCCATGAGGTGAATCCAATCCTTCGTGACTAGGCAGTCAGGACAAGGGCATCGCCCCAAGAACTTAATGCATGCAATAAGGCACCTGCGCAGGAGATCAGTAACGCACTGTAAGAATACGGGGGGTTGAGCCTTCTTCACACCGGTCGCAGCTGCGTTAGATCCTGATCTATAGCCAGAGATAACACAGAAGTAGCGACAAGTGATGTGGTGGAAAGCTAAAGACCATGTAGCTAGCATCTGAGGCCTAAGTCCATGAACCCTAACCCTAAGTCCGTCCAGAATCCTTACACGCACATAGCAAAATTAAGAGTAACTGTACTTCTCCGGATAGTCCACAGAATAGGTCAGTATACACAGAAATAGACACCGCATGATGCCGTCGCCGCACTGCACAACGAAACCATGCACGTAGGCATGAAGGAAGTCGTTGTCGAGCAGGAGCATCCAAATCTGCTGCGTCAACTCCTTCTTGCAAAAGAGGAGGACGGCGGCAGTCAGCAGGAACCCATACTTGTTCTTGTATTCCTGGTTGATGAGATCCGGGAGCTGGGCGCATTGGGTTATTAGTAACTGTCTCACATATTCAAAGAGCAGACGTACAGAGGGAATGTAGGCCAGGTGGTGAGCAGCAAGCATGGTTGGCATTGCATGGACATACTTTGAGAGTGCAGCGAGCCAGAAATATATTGGCCAAAGCGATGCCGTACCAAAGTTCGTCAGATGCATCGAGTCCAAATACATCATAATCCTAGCAGGGCCGTACTTGAGTGAGGGAGAGTCACCAGGCTCACGGTCCTCTCTTGCTTTCTTCTGTACTGCATCATTGAGTCGATTGAGCGTGTTAGTGTTGTATGCTTTGGAGTATAGACGTTCAGATGGGGAGGACGCATGCGCAGGATCACTGTCAGTGGTGGCTCGGGCGTAGGAGGATGAAGGACTAGGGACAGAGGTGGCAGTGTGCTCGTGCGTAGATGTGTTGGCATCCTTTGGAGCTCGTGAGTGCAGCATGAAGGGGACGTTGTGGTATTGCATGGCGGAGGCATCTTTGTATGCGGCCTTGATGGATGTGAGCAACGGCCGATAGAAGATACCATGTACTTCAAACGTCGGCGCAGAGTCCTCTGAGGTGTGCTTGACTTTGGTCTTGGGTAGTGGGATCTTGACGGAGCCCTGCCGCCAGCCATCAGCAGCTGGGAAGTTGTTGGCGCCAGTGTCAGTGTGCTTATCCAGACGGTTGAGCTCGTGTTTGGCATTGAAGCCGCGGAGGTCATTCACATTGAAGTTGTCTGCAAGCAGGACCTCATTGACCAGGCTATCCAGCTCCCCTGCAGATTTTGTGACAGACCCGGAGTAGAACCAATGCATCAAGCGGAATACCGATGCATTCAAGAACGGTGCAAAGAAGTTGGTTGTGGCTTTGGTGGTGACTGAATGTGCGCTGCCGAAGGGTCATAGGGGGTCAGCATCCCGGGAGTTGGGGCGCGAGGATGTAGGGATGTCTGAGAACGTCTCCATGGTACGCCCCTCCTCTGGGTCGTACTGTGGCACTTGCATATACCGGCAGTATACTCCAAATGCATTCGGAGGTGTCTCCACCATAGGGTTCTTGTTGAGAGCAGGAGGCTGGGGAAGTGGATTGTCTTCGTCCGGTGCATCTTTGATGGTCGGTGGGGGAGGACATTTTTGCGGAGGCAGCACACGTGGCAAGTGTTCAGGCAGGCCAGCTAGCGATGTAGGTACCATATCTCCATTGCGAATCCATGCGGGTACCCGTTGTTGACGGCCGATGCGACTGAAAGTTGGGTTTTCTACAGGCAGGGCAGCTTCTCTTGCAGCCTATTTTCCGTTGGGCATGTCAGCTGCACAAGGGCAACAGTGGCACATACCTCTGCCTCAGCCCGCTCCTCTGCAACTTGCTGCAGCCATTCTGCTTCCAGAGCCCACTTCTCCTTCTGGCGCTTGACTTTTGCCTTGCGCTCCACTCGCCCATCGTCTGCGCGATGTTTCAGTCCTCCGTTGAGTAAGTCTTGGTATGGCTTGCAGTTGTCCTGATGGCGATTGAGCCATGGAAAAGTCTTCGTGCAGCCACTACAAGCACCAGACATAAGCACACAGAAAGCTAGCAGGCATAAAACAGCCAAGAGTCCCATGGCCAGATGGGCGCGAGTGGGAGAAGAGCAGGCGGCAGATGAAACACCCAAGTCCAGCACGATCACATGACCTCAAGGCGATGCGTGTACACGTCACGCTCGCCGGATTTGGACAAACATGGCCCAAATTGGGTTATTTTGAAATCCCGTGCCATCTTCCTTGCCACTCCACCTCTGCTTTTGCTTATAATCTGTCGATGAGGACCTACGCCCTTCACACTTTCCCCCCAACTCTGCTATGTCTCACTCACGCTCCCGTTGCCCTCAGTGAGTCCAATCTGTTCCTCTGAAATTTCCAGTTCCACAATGCCTGTATGTTAGATGTGCTCCTTTGCCTCAGTGTGTGCGCTCTCCCGGCCCATCGTGTGCTGGTCCATCGCGTCGGCATGCCCGTTCCCGTTCCCGTTCTCAGACCCATTCCCGTACTCGCTCATCAACTCGTAGGTGGCGCTCAAGTAGCTGCAACAGGCCTTCTCGCAATCATACTCACTTGAGGTCCCGTGTGGCCGTCACTCAAATGGTAAATCACCCCAGCGTAACAGATCGACCTGACGTGGTCGCAGCCGATCACGCAGAGCAGCGTCACCGGCCATCCCGTTTGGATCTGCAGAGGCGGAACTGACTGCTGAAGAAGAGGCCAAGATCCACAATGACCCAGGGGCTGACTGCCCACCACAGAACATGTTGCCAGGGACCAGTCCTGCAGAAAAGCAACACTTGTTTGTTGCAGTGCTCCAGCTGTCCCAGGCAACATCTAAATGGAAGTTTGGGTACGTCACAGGCTTATCCTTGCACATATAGCTCACCCATATTTGCTCAGAGAGTGCGGCTCATCCCTCGATTTCCTCCATACCGTTGCGCATCTAACCATGCGCATACATGGACCAGAACTCACTGTCAGCCAGGCGGTATCACTGGGGCTGATCATGTGTGCTGCCCCGACCCCCAAGGAGGCCATTGCGCTCTCTGCAGCGTTGCAAGGATGGTAAGAATACCTCACACACCCATGACAATTTCTGATCACCAGTCCCACAGCGAGCCGGCCGTCAGGGACCGGTACCACAAGGTCGCCAAGTGGCTGATCGACATGGTCCCGTTTCTGTCAAAGATCCTGCCCCTCCTGAGCAACGATGCCCAAGTGCTTGCTCTTCTAGGCACCTTTGTAAGTCAGCACTGGCGCCATTGAATCCACACTAACTACTTGCTTGCAGGTGGACTACCATGTGCACCAGGGGTGTGCGTCCGATATTGGATCAATCAAGGAGAATATGAGCAAGTGGATCCCCACTATCAAAGTCCCGCAGATGGATGCCCCCCCAGTTGTTGTCAGCCCGAACACGAAGGAAGGCATATTTGATAAAGACCGGGCAAACTGGGGCTGGAACAGTGCGTGGTCGGCCCGCCTTCTTGTCTGGATATCATGCCGTGAAACTTTCAATGCTGACATCAACGAGTGAGTCCTGATGATCATGCTGCATATCCCAACACTGACAGTGCCGCACAGCTTCCTCGAGGGCCTAAAGAACAGCAACATCAACATGGATCACAAGGGGTTCCTGGCATTCTGTTACGCGCTCACGGGGAAGGAAGTCAGCTTGGACCCAAAGGATTTCCTCAATGGTCTCTTTGAGGGCCTCCTCCTCCTCAGTGTACGCGCCCGTCCTCTCCTGACACTCATATTGTTCTGCTCTAACTATCCATCAGGCGTACAGGTGCGTATGGACAAGCCCCGAGTCCTCGATCAGGCCACCTAGGTGGGGAGGATGTCGACGTGCTTCAATCTTGCGAGCCAGTGGGATCAACACCATTGACAGCGGTAAAATCGCATACATTGTGTGCCTGGTGAGTCTCTGCTCAGCATCTACATGCTGTACATACTCATGGTGTCCCATCATTCAGGTACGCCACATTCTCTCTTCGAAGTCAATGTGGTACCATCAAAACCCGGCCGTCTTCGACACAGGCCTGTTCTACAATAGGATTGTCAAGCTGTTCGAGTATAAGGCATTCGCAACTCCTCTCCTCAGGCTATACCAAAAGTGAGTGCGGTGTCGTTGATGCATTCTGCCGCTCAACAATTTTGTAGGTGGGTCTATGGGACACACTACGCCGTCCAGGATGCAGCAGACGACGACTCCAATGAGTTCGACCAAGCCATGGCCTATCTCCAGAACAATGCGACCACCCTCAGCCAGGCCGACACTTTCGAGTACGACACTGCCGTCGCTGCTGCAGACACTGCCGATGCTTACAATGCCGCCGCCGCCGCCAAGCTCCTCCACCGCAACACCACTGTCACCCCCTAGCTCTACGCGCTGCTGCCCCCCACCTCCTAGATGTGTCTTTGCGCTGTGCTTCTCGCTTGTTCCGCTTTCGCTCCCCTGTCTGCCACTCCTGTTCTGCCTCCACTCTCTCGGTCTGTGACTGCTCCCTTTCGCCCACTCTCTCCGTGACTGCCACTTCAAGCCCCGCTTCGACTGATGTCCGTGTGCCATGTTCTGTAGTACCTAGCAATGATATAAAAATTTGCACGCGCTATGGCTTTTGTGATCGCTTGAGCCCATTCAGAAGCATTTGAATGGGATTAATATTATTCTTTTTTTAATACATATGGCTGGGTGTACTTGGGAGTGCTTGGGAGCACTCCCAAGTGGCACGTTCACTCACAAACGACGCGACCGCTTGGGGTGTTTGGCAGGGATCCCAGGGGTTTGCTGAGATAGGGCAAAACCTCCCAAACCATGGCCTCGGATTGGGAGTTATCGTGCCATTTGGGAGCACTCCCAAGAGCTCCCGAGTACTCACGAGTGTCCGGCAGTTTCAGCGATGCCAATCCTACCATCACACCCTTTTGTCCCCTACAAGCTCACGCATCAGTGGATAGTCAATCAGAGAAGTTTCGGTGTTTATTTTCCTAGTGAACTCATTATACACCCATACTCAGTGAAGCCTCTGTTGGAAAAGAGGAAAACCCACAAGCTTTGTGGCAAGTACAGCTCAAACCATTGATATGATACACACAGGCCATAACGCCTCCACAACATACAAATTTCTGGTTTTCTGACAACCATCAAAAATCCACCGCTTACTATCAAACCCCGACGAGCACAACAGAGGGACTATGGATGAATCCCACACAATGTGCATAAATGCATTTCCTCCCTGTAGAGTCCACATTCTGTTTTGCAAAACTGTCAGGCTATTAGCCCCCCTGAGTTTTGCAAAACATTGGGGTAGCACTATCTACCTGCTCACATGCAAACACACCCACAAAATGTATCAAATGTACATAAAATGCTAGGTAATGTATTTAGAAAAGGTTACAACGCTGGCTGGCCCGCCAAATAGTAAATTTGAGGAGGAAAAAAACACACATAAGAGGGATTGAACCTTAATGCTCACCCATTTACAACGAGCAAAGGTAATGGCTTTGACCACTACACTACGGGGAGACATATAAGGCTACATGCGTATACCAATAAATCCCTACTGAGCATGCCCTCCTTAAGACATCAAAGTTCTAAGTTCGCAATTGCCCAATTAAGCAGGTGCCAGATTTCATACTGATAGGCCTCCTGCTTTGCCTTGAGCACATGGTATCCTGTGCTTTGGACATTCAAATGGCTCCGGAATCAATGTTATATAGCTTCCGGTAGCATTGTGGAGCCTAGGAAAACAAATGTAAGGTACTGTGCACGAGCAGAAGGAAGTTGAAGTACGGTATATATCTTCCACACTTGGCCCACTTCCAATGATCCTTTGCTGTAGTGGTGATTGTGGCAAAGAAAGTGGTGTATCTATTGAACGTTCGGGTTCAAATCTGTTTCATGCCACTTTGCCTGGTGCTGTCAATTTTACTTTCTTTTGACGCGTTCAGACGGGTGCTTATAGCACAGCCACATTGATAACCCAGTGTTTTGCAAACCGCCCTTGGGTTATTACCCCCTGCGTTTTGCAAAACAAAATGTAGACGGCTCCCTCCCTGGTGCAGCGGGTGTGATACCCCTATATCCATGTTCACCTGTTGGAAGGCCTACGGCCTGGAAGTCAGGGTGCACCTCTAAAAAAAAAGTATTTTGAGTTGCTCAGTCACTTTAGCATAAAAAGACCCTGGCACATTGCAATGTTTCTGGGAAGGGTAGGTCACCTTACAATGGTAGAGGATATGTTCTTGAGTGAGTGGAGAATGGTGATTAGCATGCACAAAGCCTTGGTGGAGATGGTGAATGTCTGCAGTCCATTATATGCCTGTTTGGGTGAGGGAGATAGCAAGCAATAATGAGGTTGTTTGATATCTGCCCCTCTCTCTTGCTACTGTAGCTATATGACCAATCTGGCGGGTCGCAGGTCACATTGACCTTTTCCCCCACTGCTTTTGGGCCCTTGTCCCAGGTCACCACCGCACCCCTGCCGTTGTGTCCAGTGGTCCTCGGTTGATCACACCGTTCTTAGGGCCCGCTGGCGGCCCCTGCAGGAGCGCCACACCACTTTGTACCTGCCGGTCACAATCCCTAGGCACTTGCACCACCTTCGGCAGCACCACCACTTTCAGTCCTGCTGGTCACACCAGAACCCCTCACCGGTTTGGTCATATAGCTACAGTAATATTTTAGTATGTATGACATTTTGTGACCACAGTATTATTCCAGATGATTCTTAAGGGCACCATCCGCCCTACTTTGATTTATGATATTCCCCATTACATATCATTACTTACACCAGGCATAATGTATTCTATTGCTCGTGTCACAACCCCATTACACACCACGGTGTAAGTAATTAGTAACAGGATTATCTCTTAGATTATAATGCATTATAATTGTATTCTTGACCACCACTGACATTGAAGACCCACTACCCAGAAGGGAGCTGGGATATGATCTAGAGCCTTTCGGGAAGTCATCCAGTCACTGGTTAGTAAGCAAACTGTGCATTCTACCTATGTTGGCGGTGTGTGTCGGTCCGGCACCGCCGTGTGTGTCGTGAGCGCCGGGGAGGATCGGAGGGAGCCGGGATGGGCAGCCGAGGGGCCGCGAGGCGCGTCGGCGTCGATCAGCGGCCGCACAAATTCGAATATTTCGGTGCTCGTCCTCGTCCCCCATCGCCCCGCCTCCGTCCTCCCTCGCCCGCCCTCCCGTCCGCGCCCTCTTCGCAGCAGGACCCAGTCCGACGCTCTCTCTGGTCAACTCGTGGGCATCAGCTGGCTTGCATGCCGCCGACGAACCGTCATGCTTCCTAAGGTCGCCAACCAGCTTTTCCACCACACCTCCCGTGCCGTCGTCTCCATCCAGAACCAGACTGGCCATACTCTCCGCAATGTCCTTCAGCTCCAGTCCTCCGGTCCTAGCACCGCAGTCACTGGATGGGGCTCATCCGTGTCCGGCGGGAGTGCTCATAGCGGCCCTGGCCCGTCCAAGTTTCACACTAGCAGTCGGTTGCACACCACTCCCACCGTGAGTCACATTCACTCTCTCTACGCGTCTGTCCTTTCGTGCTTACGCCGCCTTGCACCAGGGTTCTCCTTTGTCCGCAACTCAGGTCAGGGAACGCGTAGAGAAGCTCAGCGCCTTCCGCGCTCCTTCCCAGCATCGTTCACAGAACCTCATAGGCGATGCGTCTTCGGACGCATCCCAGCTCGTGCGTTCTGGGTTTGGTACCTACGCAACCCTCATTAGCACTCTCACGGACCGCGACTTCGAGAATCACGAGGCGGTCCGTCGTGCAGAAGCTCGTCTGAAGAGGCGTCGTCGTGCTGCCCTCAACGAGAGCGCCGAGGAAGAGGAACAGCGTATCGCCAGTCTACGCGGCGATTCTCACTTCGCGTCTGCCTTCGCTCTCTTCCAGACTGCCGCCGTCAACCCGAACTCCAAGTTTCCGCTGCACATATACAACAAACTCCTCCGTTCTTGTGTCATCCACTCCAACGCGGACGCTGCCTTGACCGTGTACGCCCACCTGGAGAAGCGCTCAGATATCGTTCCCGATGCACAAACCTTCATCAGCCTGATCGCTACTTTCGCTAGTAGCAAGGATGCGCGTGGAGCGGAGAGCATGTTCGGGAAGTTCAAGGAGGCGTCACGTCTGGACTCCATCGAGTGGTCTTTCGATGCCCTGCGCAGCGATGCGTCCGCACACGTGCCCCTGTACTCTCAGCGCGCTTCTCAGACGGCCGTTTGGAACGAGATGCTTGCGGCCTACTTCCGGTGCGGGCAGCCCTCGGATGCGCTTGGCCTCCTAGAGCAAATGATGGACACCCCATCCGGCGATGTGCTCAAGGCAACGGACGTGCCCCCTCCTTCGTCGTCCACCTTCTCCCGTGCGATCACTGGCTTCTGCCAGCTTGGCGATGTTCCGACTGCGCTGTCCTGGTTCGAGCGGATGGTCCAGCAACAGGACCCGGCGAGCACTGATCCCTTCGAACCCATCCACGTCCCTCGTCGTCCCGACCAAGGTGCTTGGACTGTGATGCTCGACGCGTTGGCTGACGAGGGCATGGTCGCGGAGCTCAACCGGCTCTTCGTGCGCTGGCTCCAGGTCGCTCCAGAAGATGGGATCGCTGTCCTGAGCGACCACCGGGACTCGGTACTCGCGGCCAACCTGCGCTTCATCGACACGCGCGCGGATTTGGGAACGGCGAAGGCACTGGAACTCCTAGACTTCCTCTCGGACCATGTTCTCCCATGGGACACCAACAACGTTCACTTCACCTTCCAGCGGGAAACTTCCCGTGTCCTCTGCGAGCGGTTGGTTATGCAGTATTGGAAACGTCAATCCCCGGGACATGCTCTGGACCTAGCGGAACGGATCGCGTCACGGCAACTTCAAGTTCTCCATCAAGGTCAGGCCCAGGAGACGTTCGATTCATCCAAGACCCAGTGGAGGATAGAGGGCACGCGTCGCTTCGTTGTCGATTTGGTCACTAACATGCTGAAGTCGACGACCTCGATCTCGCTGACCCACCTTCTCCGGCTCTCGGCCATGCTCTCGGATGTCGGCGCCCTGCACTCTGCGTCGTTCAGTGAGGCTTGCTTGAACGCGTATGCGCTCCAGAGGAACAGTCCGACACTCGCCCTTTCCGCTAGGGAGTGGGAGGCGCTGCTCGAGGTCATCCTTGCGGGCGACGTCGACTCTGCGGCATCGCTGAACACTCTGGTCGACGATCTTCTCCAGCACTCTGTGGACATCACGCAGTTCAGCGAGCATGCGAAGGGTCAACTTGTCCGCGGTCTGTCTTCGAGCGACTTGAACTCCGTGCGTCTCCTTGCTCAGCTTGGCGAACCGTTTTCATCGCGCCTTGCCGAGCTTGAGCAGGTCCAGCAGTCACCTTCTCTCACCTCTGCCAACTCGTTCGAGACACCCTCTTCATGGGACGAAACCCCTGCCACCCCCGTGTCCTCCGTCAACCCGTACTCCTCTGCCCGGATCGACAGCGCGCACAGTCACCTCGTTGGAGAGTTCTTCCCTGGTGGTAACCGCTCTGCCGTCCTCACGGCTTACCGGAGATTCCAGGACGGCTCAGAGAACGGCATCTACCCCCGGCCTATCGTCATCGCTCGCTTGATCAGTGCTCTCGGCCGCCTGGGCGAGATGGAAAAAATCCGGGAGCTCTACAACACTGCGCAGAATGTCCTGGGCTCGCTGGAGAACCCGAAACAATGGCAGACGTCGGGCTGGTTCCTTGTCGAGGACCACATGATCATCGGTCTCGCTCACGCCGGCGACGTCGAGGCGGCTCACGTCCACCGACAACGCGTCATCCAGCAGGGCGGCGTTCCCTCCGCGGACGCGTACGGCGCGCTCATCCTCAACGTCAAGGACACCACGGACGACACCTCGAACGCCATGGCGCTCTACCAGGAGTCGCAGGCGTACGGCGTCGTCCCGAACATCTTCCTGTACAACACGGTCATCTCCAAGCTCGCGAAGGCGCGCAAGGCAGACTTTGCGCTGCACCTCTTCCAGGACATGAAGGCGCGCAACGTGCAGCCGACGTCGGTCACGTACGGCGCGGTCATCGCTGCATGCTGCCGTGTCGGCGATGCTGCGTCCGCGGAGCTGTTGTTCCAGGAGATGACGAGCGAGCCGACGTTCAAGCCCCGTGTTCCCCCGTACAACACGATGATGCAGCTGTACACGCACACGAAGCCGGATCGTGAGCGCGTGTTGCACTACTACAACGCACTCCGGGAGGCCAACGTGCAGCCCACGGCGCACACGTACAAGGTTAGTCCTTGGTCAATCGTCCTGCTTTTCCAATTGTATACTAACTTTACCACGCAGCTCCTCATCGACGCATACGGTTGCATTGAGCCTATCGATATCCCTGCGATGGAGAAGACCTTCCTCGAGCTCGTCGCCGACCGCAACGTCTCCGTGCAGGGCACCCACTGGGCGGCGCTCATCAACGCCTGGGGCTGCGTGCAGAAGGACCTCGACCAGGTGCTCTCCGTCTTCGACTCCATCGCCACGCACTCCACGACGAACCCCCGCGGCGCACCCATGCCCGACGCCGTCGTCTACGAGGCGCTCATCAACTCGCTCGTTACGCTTCGCCGCATGGACCTCGCGCCGGAGTACCTCGAGCGCTTCCAGGCGAGCGGCGTGCACATGACGGCGTACATTGCGAACCTGCTCATCAAGGGATATGCGTCCGCGGGCGAGATCGAGCGCTCCCGGGAGATTTTCGAGTCCCTCCAGGACCCCCAGGAGGGCGTCGCAGCCCCGCACAACCACGCACCCCATCAAAACAAGCCGCACCCTACTTCCCCGGTTCCCGCCAACGCTCCTGTATTCCGCGAAGTACGTATTCTGATCTACCGAGAGTGCATACAGTCGCTGATTTTTCTTCCAGCCTTCAACATGGGAAGCCATGGTCCGCGCCGAGCTCGGTAACGGCGAACGCGACCGCGCAGTCGCTCTTCTGCAGCGGTTACAAGCCCGTATGTTCCCTCCTGCCGTCTACCAGCGGATCAGCGGGATCATGCTCGACGAGTCCGTCTCCCCCTGGGCGTCGACGGACGCTGCCGCGCCCCCGAGCCCCAGCCTCCCATGATCGGGGTCCACCCCATCGTGCAAGGCCGGTACCTACACGTCGTCGTGTTTGTTCTTGATGGACTGCTTTGGCTTTACTGCTGCTCCCCGCCGCCCCTGCTTTCGCCCGCCCACGCTCAATGTACACTACCCCTGCAAGCCCTTGTCTGCCCGCCGCACCACACTGCACCGCTATTTACCACACTACTGTAGCACTACTAATGTCTATACCTGCCCTGCATCTGCTGCATCTTCCTGTCGCGCTACTTAGACGTCGAGCTAGAGACCCGTATGCATTATTCACCCGTGACGACCGCGATGAGACTGCGCTTTACAGTACATGCCCCCGTGTACATCCTAGTCGAGACGCCCCCCCTTGCGCAAATAACCCCCTTCTCTCGAATCCTCCGTGTCCGCGAGCAGCCGCCTGATCCCGAGCAAGAGCGCGATGAGCAGCACGAAGCCCCAGAGCGCGGTGTGCCACGGGTTTGAGACGACGTAGGTCTCGACCGAGACGAGCTTGTCGTTCAAATACTGCAACCAACCGTAAGCCCAATAAAACCCCCAGAAAGAACGCAGCACATACCCTCGCAAGCCGCTCAATCGCGTTCTCCGAGTGCTTATACGGGATCGTGCCCTTCATCGCACCATTCACCGCCGAGAACACGCTCGCGCTCGTCAAGCTGATCGTCTCCCCAAACTGGTCCTTGTCCCAGTACACGAGCCGCGTGTGGTTCGCGACGACCGCGCGCGGCAGCCCGCCCGCCTTGATCCCGTACATGCTCTTCAGCCACTTGCCCCACTTGTCCGCGTCCATCCACGCGAACACGACGGGCGCGCGCCCGCGCGCGTCGCGCCACTTGCGCGCGAGCTCGCCGACGTCCTTGGCGGTCTGCTTGAGGTCGCGCTGTGCGGTCGCGACGAGCACGACGAGCGGCTTGTGCGGCGCGTTCATCACGTCCTGGAAGTTGTCCGAGTCGAGCTCGAGCGCGGTCGGGAGGCGGTTGCGGAGCAGCTGCCGTGCGCGGAGTCTCAGTCAGTATGCGTGCTTCAGGCCACATGAGATAATGCAACGTACCCAGTCGACGAGTGCCTGGCGTTCTTCTGCGGTGCTGACGGGCTTCGGGATTTTGTAGACGGCCGCGGGTACGTTCGGGTCGTGGTCCTTGAGCGCGACTATGGCGGCGGTCCCGGCCTTGATGTTGTAGTGGTCGTAGAACGCGCTGGAGGACGACGTGTACAGCGGCGGCGAGCCGAACAGTACATGCGACGCATCAACGACTTGTTGCTGCAGGAGGGTGTGAAAAAGCGGTTGAATATCTGTGCATACAAACACCTACGAATATCGCACGGTCGGCGGGAGCGTGCAAGAGGAGGTAAAGCACGGAGTTTTCTGCAACGCGGGCCTCGAGCTCGCCATACTTGAGCTCCTGTACACCACTATCCTGGAATAAGCACAAACCCTCGTGCGGCAATAGATGATGCACTCACGGCCCAGAAACCTTATCCGCAAACGCCTTGAGCGGCTCAAGCTTCCGCGCGCCCGTATACTCCGTCTTCGCCTCCTTCCCGCCATAGTAGAACAGCATCGGGTACCCGGACACGCCCTCGAGCCGGCACAGCGCGCCGTGGTCCTCGCAGTTGACCTCCGCGACCTCCAGCGTGTGCTGCATCTCGCCCGCGAGCTGCTCCCAAATGGGCGCGAGCTTCTTGCAGTGCCCGCACCACGGCGCGAAGAACTTGACGAGGATGCCGCCCTTGTCCACGTGCGAGCGGAAGTTCGCCCCGTCCAGCTTCAGCACCGTCCCGTTCGGGTTCACGTCCGGCTTCTTCTCGCGCACCGCCGGGGCGGACTCGTCCTTCGCGGTGGGCTCGGGGGCAGCGGGAGCGGTGGAAGCTGGGGCCGGGGGCGCGCGCGGCTCGGCGTGCGCGTCGAGGTACTCGGTGAGGATCTCGAGGCTGCGCGCCTTCTTGAACGTCTCGACGTACTTGCCGTTCTTGTACAGGTTCATCTGTGGGTAACCATCGACCTTGTTCTTGCGGCAGAGGTCTGCGGCGTGGCGCGTCAGCCGGACCGGGCGCGGAGCAAGTAGTGGACGCACCTCCGTCGATGGCGCAGTTGACCTGGGCGAGGTGGATGCCGGGGTCGGCCTTCTTCTCGGTCTGCTCGACGAGCTGCTTCCAGGTGGGCGCGAAGTTTCTGCAGTGGCCGCAGTAGGGGGAGAAGTGCTCCACAAACCTACGTGGATGTAAGGTATACTGGCGGGCAACTAAACGCGGTGGTGACGTACCAGACACCCTCGGAGACGGTAGTTTCGAAGTTGTCGGGGGTGAGTACCAGGAGCTCAGTCTCTGAAGACTCAACGGGGAGGGCGGTAGAGGCGAGGATGACGGAGGAAACAAGGAGGGAGAAGGTCAGTCTCGCGCGGGAGAGGAGCCTCATAGTGGTCGGAACCGGTGCGACCGGAACAACGTTAGTAAGAAAAGAGAATGTGTGTTTCCAGATTCCAAAGACAAAACAGAGGCGCAGTGAGAAGGGAAAGCGGAAGCAGCGAGACGGAGGTGGTGGTCGGTGGCAGAGGCGTATGCTGAGTGATCGGTCCGAGTGGCTGTGGTCTCCCCGCGCCCGCTACGCTCTCCACCTGCCTCGAACTCTCGCCCATCTATCATGCAGACCTTCCGCTACGACTATCTTCCCACAGAAATCTCGACAACACATGTCGCGCTTTACGCCGATGTACAGAACTCTGCTGCCCTGAGAAGCCGCATCGTGCGCGCAAGCCAACTGGAAGGCGCCGAGGGTGACGCCGAGCGCGAAGCCGTGAACTTTGCATTCATCGAAGCTCGTCTCGTATGTACAACATAAATATCTGGACGAGACACGAAGCTCATCTAGTATCAGATATGCAGTATTCTACACCTTCAGACGGCCGTCTACCAAGCCCTTCTCGCGCAGGCACAGGGAGCGCTCCGCACGAAGACAGTGCACTCCGAGATCCTCTGGGCTCTGAACCCGACAAATAATGTGCACCCACCCTGGCTGCGCGCGCGAATACCGAAAACTCATGCTACATGACCAGATCACCGAGGCCATCCGACGCTATGGTGTTGCAGACGCGACTAAGTCTCTGATAGTGGTCCGGATATGCTCGCCAGACCTGGATCGTGAGGACGTCAAGGGGCAGATGCAGAAGGTGGTCGAGGGCACACTCGTCTCGCTTGAGGAACTGTCAAATATAACGGACTGGGCAAGCATCAAGAAGGTACATCACCTCTCGAGTTGCATTGACTTGGATCTGACTTCGGTTGCAGTACTACAAGCTAAATGGAGAAGCAGCGGTGAAGGCGGCCGCGAAGGATGCCGCACGAGAACGAGCGATTGTGAACGAAATCGTTACGAGCTCCGTGGCGATGAAGAGTGTGATGGGTTGAGCAGCCGTTGCTGTCCTACCCAACCCTCCTCCAGGTGAGTTTCCGCAGACGATGGATGTTATTTTGCCGAGTGTTCTAACTACACCTCTTGGGCGTCTAGCACAATCCAGGCGGAGGTAGGCCATACAAAAAGCGTATAGCGGATAATGCGCGTTTTTTATGTTGTAGAAGTACCCCAGAGCTATGTACGCTAGCGTTGTAAAATACGCACGAAATGTACGAATTTCGCAGATGGGCGGGGAGTGGCCTAGACATGGCCCGAGTCTGACCGAGAGCGTACAGAGCTCAAAGCGGGATGGTAGGGTTAGGAGTCGACCATGTCTGCCCCCTCCCTCCTCCGCCTCGCCGCCTTCCCCCGGCCCTCCGCGCTCGCTTCCTCTTCTCGAGTTCCTCTGAGTGCAAGACATGCCGGCACGCGCAGCGCAGCTCGCGCCCCACGATCCCCGAGCTCTGTCTGCTCGCGACGGGCGTACTCGCAGCAGCAGCAGCAGACCCCGCCCGACCCCAAGCTGAACCCGTCCCACTCAACCTCCTCCGGCGAGCGGGACCGTGCTACCGTCGGCGTACGTCTTCTCGCGAATAGCATGTCAGGGCATACCCGCTCACCGAGCTTCGTCACAGGTGTTCACGCCCAAGGCCGCCGCGCTCTTCGTCCTCACCGGCGCCGCCCTCTTCCTCTACTTCCGCAACGAGAAGGAAAAGCTCATCGAGCAACGCCGTACGTCCTTCCACTTCCCCGCCCAGTACCTCCCCCTCATAGTGTGCAGGCAAGGAACGCGAGGACCAAGCCGTCGGCCGCCCCCAAGTCGGCGGGCCCTTCACCCTCACCACGCACAAGGGCGAGCCCTTCACCGACAAGGACCTGCTCGGAAAATGGTCCCTCATCTACTTCGGCTTCACCAACTGCCCCGACATCTGCCCCGAAGAGCTCGACAAGATGAGCGCCGCAGTTGACAAGCTCGGTGCGCCCCCCTCCCTCCCCTCTCCCTTATGCTCATGCTCACATCCCCGCAGACGCGGAATACGGCCCAATAGTGCAGCCCATCTTCATCTCCGTCGACCCCGCGCGCGACTCCGTGGAACAGGTCGCGCGCTACGTCGCCGAGTTCCACCCGCGCCTCGTCGGCCTCACCGGCGACTACGCGACGCTCAAGGCGACCTGCAAGGCCTACCGCGTGTACTTCTCCACGCCCCCCGACGCGAAGGCGACAGACGACTACCTCGTCGACCACTCCATCTTCTTCTACTTCATGGACCCGCATGGGAAGTTCGTCGATGCGTTCGGGAAGGCGACGACGGAGGCGGAGGTCGTCGAGCGCGTCAAGAAGGAGGTAGCGCGCTGGGAGGGCGAGTATGGACGCAAGGTGTAGCTGGGGGGAGGACGAGGGGTACCTTACATACGTTCGCACTCGGGCCTATCACGTCCGCTCTAATGCACATCCTCACGCCTCCACTCATACATACGTACCGTCCAATCGACTAATATGCACACTTCGTCCGACCTGCGGTTTGAGATGCGAGAGAAAGCAACGATAGAATAGACAACGGGTACATCACTCCTCCGCGGCCTCGAGCTTGCGCTTCGACAGCTCCTTCATCCGGCGCATATAGCTGCAGCCCGTCAGCACACCACCCTCTCTCATAACATAACATAACCCAAAGACACTCACTCGTCGTACTGGCACCTAACACACCACGCCCTCAGCCCAATCCCCACACGACACAGAGCAACAGCAGCACTCACTTCTCATACACATGCCGCTCATTCTCGCACTCCCAAGGCAGGTACAGCTTCTCCTTCCTGCACACGTTCAAGGGGATGAGCAGCCTGCCGCCGCGCGATAGCTGCGAGTGAGCCTGACAGCGTGAGCGACGAGGGCAGACTGGGGACGCACGCAGAGCACTGGTCGCGCCAGCCGAGGGGGACCTTGGCGGCCTTGAGCTCGGACTGGGACGCCGCGGTCGAGGAGGTCATGTCGTGGTCAACGGTCGAGTGTATGCGCTCCGCCCGATCCCGTTGCCGCCGAACACCTCCCACTCGGGCGCTTCACGCGGCTTACAGACGCCCAAAGCTTTCAGCCACGACGCATACAAGCCGTATGCGTGTCGAGACTCGGAGGGATCGTGAGGGATGAGGGTGATGTACATTATATGGTGTCCAGTCAGAACATGGAAAAAGTTGTCGTGCCCCATCCTATCAACACGAAGCGCTCCTCCACCACTTCCACCTCGACGGCCACCCCCGACGCGCCTACTGCTGCTGGTCGTGCCCCTTCATGCTCATCTCAATCGCCCGCTTGATCGCGTCCTCCTCGCTCTCCTCCTCCCCACCCGCATGGTCCGCCATGTCCACGTCCTGCCCCTGCGACAGCGCGAGCGCCCGCTGCAGCATCGCCTCCTCGTCCTCCTCGTCCTCCACCGGCGCGGCGGCTGCTGCCGGGGCTGCCGGTTGTGCTGGGGCCGCCGCGGGCGCAGCCGCAGGTGCAGACGACGACGATGGCTGGGCGGACCCCGCAGCGGCCGCTTGGCGCGCCTGCTCCTCCTCCATCGACATGCGCAGTGCCTGTGCAGCGCAGCGAACGCTCGTCCGTCAGTACTTCCGCATGGTCAATAGTTACGGCCAAGAAAGAACGCACCATGGCAAGCTCGGGGTCCAGGCTGGGGTCGACGCCGAACTCGAAGCCGCCACCGCCGCCGGTGGAGCCCGAGGGCACGTCGCCCATCGCCTCTTCTGGAATGCCGCGGTCGCCGGCGAGCAGGGGGGAGTTGAGGATCATGTCGGACAGCAGGTGCGGGCCTGGTGGAACCGCAAGGTAATGGCTGGGTCGGGGGCGGGTCAGCGCCATGTGCCGCGCACGCGTCCCGCTCGGGCTCGGGCTCACCTGTTGTCGCTCGAGTTGACGGTGTCGACGAAGGTCTTGAGGATACTGCGTTCACCCTCCTCGATGCCGTCGCCGAAGGCGACGAAGTCGACGGCGACGTTGTTCTTCTTGAGCTTCTTCGCGAGACGGACCATGTACTTCTCGTCCGCGCCCTGGCCGTCGAGGGGCGAGCCGACGAAGACGACGATGCGCTGGCGGAGGTTCTTGTTTGAGCGGTGCTTGAGCGCGAGCTGGGCGACGGCGATGGCGGTGGGGATGTCTGCGCTGCCGCCGATCTTGTCCTGGGTGGAGTGGACGGCCTGGAGTATTTGGCCGAGGTCTTTCGTATGTGTTACGAGCACTTCTGGTCTAGGATACGCGCAGACACATCAGGTTCGCCCATGAGTTACGGTACAATACAGGACGGACCCCTTGGCAGCCATGGTCATGAAGCCGACGGTGTTCTCTGGGTTAGAGTCGACCTTTGTCTGGAAGAGGGTGGTGACTGCGTCTGACTGGGCCTGGAATCTGTTTGGATGGTAGTCGCCATTGCGCATGTATTCTGAGTTGTCGATCACGATGAGTGTTGCTTCGAGAGGCATGGTGGACACAGGCGGCGAGGATGAGCAGCAGGTACGGTGCAGCTCGCGCTGCCTTCGACGCGTGCGCTGACGCGTCTGGACTGGGCGCCTACTCTGCGTCACGTGGAATCGCGCTTCGCTCGTCCTGGTCGGTCTCCGATGTGTTCCCCGGTGCCTCCGACCTTGCGATAGAAATGCATGCGCAGAGGGCGAAACACTAAGCATTCGCAGAGAATGTATGGCGGCTGCTGCGCCGTAGCTCGGCGAACGGGAGCCTCGGAGAGAGAGGCAGCGTCGAGCGGGTGGAAGCTGTGCTGGGGCGGGGGCGGCCTGCCCTGAAGCAATCACGATAACGAATGGGGGATGGGCAGAGGGCGAGCCTGCCTCCAGCCCCTCTCTCATCTCCCTCATCGTCCACCTCGGCCAACAAGGTCAGTACGCTCTCGTCCGCAGCGACGTCTACACCGCTCACATCATCGTCTTGGCCCTTCCTGCAACCCCTGCGCGCCCGCAAACGTATATAAACCCGCTATCTAGGACCCCATCTCTTCACTTCAACTTTACGAACTAACACGACAGCAATGGAGGACGAGGTCGCTGCGCTCGTACGTGTCCAAGCTTGCATACATCCTGCTAGACACGCTAAGCAGCCGTGTACAGGTTATCGACAATGGTTCCGGCATGTGCAAGGCTGGCTGTAAGTCTCCATCTTCTCTCCCTCATATTGTCGCGACTGACGCATCCATCCGCAGTTGCTGGTGAGTCCCATATATGCACTACACACCCCTATGATCTCTGAACGCGTCGCAGGCGACGATGCCCCCCGCGCTGTGTTCCCGTAAGTCCTGAGCCTCCTGAGCATTCGGACCGAGACTCACCTCCATCCGCAGCTCGATTGTCGGCCGTCCCCGTCACCAGGGTGTCATGGTCGGCATGGGTCAGAAGGACTCCTACGTCGGGTATGTGCCAGCTCGCGATCTAGCGCGATTCAGCCGTATTGACGCGCTCTGCCAGTGACGAGGCTCAGTCCAAGCGTGGTGTCTTGACCCTCAAGTACCCCATCGAGCACGGTATCGTCACCAACTGGGACGACATGGAGAAGATCTGGCACCACACCTTCTACAACGAGCTCCGTGTCGCCCCCGAGGAGCACCCCGTCCTGCTCACCGAGGCCCCCCTCAACCCCAAGGCCAACCGCGAGAAGATGACCCAGATCATGTTCGAGACCTTCAACGCGCCCGCCTTCTACGTCGCCATCCAGGCCGTCCTGTCGCTCTACGCTTCCGGTCGTACCACCGGTATCGTCCTCGACTCCGGTGACGGTGTCACCCACACGGTCCCCATCTACGAGGGTTTCTCGCTCCCCCACGCCATCCTCCGTATCGATCTTGCCGGCCGTGACCTCACCGAGTTCCTGATCAAGAACCTCCTCGAGCGTGGCTACCCCTTCCACACCACTGCCGAGCGTGAAATCGTCCGTGACATCAAGGAGAAGCTCTGCTACGTCGCCCTCGACTTCGAGCAGGAGCTCCAGACCGCGGCGCACTCCTCTGCCCTCGAGAAGAGCTACGAGCTTCCCGACGGTCAGGTCATCACCATCGGCAACGAGCGGTATGATGCATCGCTACTGCGCTATCGATAGCACCGCTCACAGACTGATGTGCACAGGTTCCGTGCTCCTGAGGCGCTCTTCCAGCCGGCCTTCCTCGGTCTTGAGGCTGCGGGTATCCACGAGACGACGTATGTCTCTGCTGCGATGATGGCACGAGCGGTACTTCTGACTGATGACGCGCTCTTCCAGGTACAACTCGATCTACAAGTGTGACCTCGATATCCGTCGTGACCTCTACGGCAACATCGTTCTCTCCGGTGGTACCACCATGTTCCCTGGTATCGCGGACCGTATGCAGAAGGAGCTCACCGCGCTTGCGCCCTCAAGTATGAAGGTACGTGCTTGGCGCGCGCAGTAAATTGGATCGGCGCTGATCGGTGCCTCTCCCTAATCAGGTCAAGATCGTTGCTCCCCCCGAGCGCAAGTACTCCGTCTGGATCGGTGGTTCGATTCTCGCGTCGCTCTCCACGTTCCAGAACCTCTGGTGCTCGAAGCAGGAGTACGACGAGTCCGGGCCCGGCATCGTCCACCGCAAGTGCTTCTAAGCGTCTGCGGCGCACACGGTGGCGAGTCTGTGGACGACGAGGACGACGGTGGCAAGGAAAAGCGAAGAAGGTGCCCGCGCACACGCTGTCGATGTAGTAGATTCCCCTCTTACCATACGCTACGCATGCCCTTATCACCACGACCCACGCTTTCACGACCTGCTGCTGCCCGGCCGCGCACGCGTCGGGCGGGCATTTTCCCTCTTCTCTCTGTGACGAATGGTGGGGTGCGTTGTACTATTTCGATTCTCTGGACGTGATGATAGGAATGAATGAATGGTCTCAAGCATCCTCGAGTGCCGTGGGAGTCGTCGGGCTGCGCTAAAAAGCCAAAGGGCCTCGCTCACACGCATCTATTATGGTATACAGGTACGACTCCGTCCGTGCGTCCTCTACAGCCAGAGCAGGCGATGTGAAAGCATCTGCGCGATTCTGTTCGTTCCCCTCCTTGCGCGCACCCTTATCGACGACGAAGACTGAACGATGTATTCTACACATGCCGACGCGTTTGTCCCCCTACACCCCCCGTCCCGCGACTCCATTCCTACTACGCCTTCGGCTCGGCCGGGGCCGCCTTCGCCTCGCCCGCTGGCGGATTCCAAGGGCCAGCGTCGCTGAGCGAGCACCCGCCCGCGCACTGGCACGTCCCGCCAAACTCCTTCGGGAGGTTCTCCGCGGGGATCTGCGCGAGCAGCTTGTCCTTGTACCCCGAGCCGATAATGTCGATCTTCGCGACGGTCGCCTCGTCGAGCCACGGCTTGATGAACGTCCACACGGTGCTGAACGCCCACGGCGCGTTGATGATGTAGAAGCGGCCCATCGTCTCCGGGTAGCGGTCCTGGCCGATGCTCGCCGCGCTCATCACGTAGTCCTTGACGCGGTAGAAGTTGCTGAGCGACACGTTCGCGAGGTCGAGGATCGTGCAGGACGTCTCGACGGGGTGCCCGACCGCGGCCGAGCACGCGGGCAGCCGCTCGCGCAGGAACTTCTCGTACTCGTACACGAGCCGCTGCAGCTGCCGCTCCTGCGTCGTGATCGCGTAGAGCGCCTTGATGTCGAGCAGCCCGAGCCGCTCCACGTACAGCGGCCGTCCGTCCTAATGGGCAGATCACGGCGATGGCGCGGGGAGAGACGAGCGATGCCGTCAGCGAGGGGGAACGGCAGGTAGGCGTATCGCGGCGCGCACCTTGTCTGTCTTGTGGTAGTACTGCGGGTAGTACTTGTCCACCGCCTCCTTCTCCTTGAAGTCAAAGTTTCTGCGTCGTGTGCGGTCAGCGCTGGGGCACGATGCACGGTGAGGAGGAGGCACGCACTTCCAGAGCTCGTCGACGCCAAAGTCCTTCCGCCACTGCTCGCACGCGGCGATCATCTGCTTCGCCTTCTCCACGTCGAACTTCCTCGCCCGGAGGAACCTGCGTGCACCGCAGCCCGTCAGCATACAGCCCTCTGCCCCATCCGCATCCGCCCCTCTCCCCGCACCGCCCGCCCCGCACTGCCCGCCCCACGCCCGCCCGACGTACTTGGCGCAGCGCAGCTCGGACCGAGCGACACACAGGGAGAGCGAGACTGAAAGAGAGAGCTAGCGCACGCACCTGAGGAGCGTCGCGTCGTCCATGCGCTCGGGCACGAACGCCTCCTCCTCCTGGAGCTTCTTGCGGAGCTCGTCGAGCGCGTGCTGCTGCGGCACGGTGAGGTTGCCCAGCCGGCCGGGCTGGGGCTTGTAGTTGGGGTCCGTCACGCCCGCGGGCATGGGGCTCGCGCTCGCCTGTGTCGCCATCTGTCTCGCTGGGGCTGAGTCTGTCTGTGTTTGCGTGGGGTTTTGCGTCTACGTGTACGTGCTGCTTGGGTCGTGAGTCGGTGGGTCGTGAGCGGGCGGATGCAGGAGGAGGGGTGGTCGTGGCAGGGACGTGAGCTGGCTGGTGGAGGTGCGGGAGAACGTATAGGGATGATGGCTGCTGGAGTGGGAGCTGTGGAGGGCGCCCTATATGGCAATCATCGCGCGCTACTTATCTGCCCTTCATCTACTTATCGCCTTCATTATCCCAACTCTAGCATCCGGAATACAACATACATCTCCCCTTGCGATGTCCCGCACGACCATTGGACCAACGCAGAACACGATATCAGGCAGATCGAGGGCATGCGGTGCATGATCGTGGTATACGGCTACAAACACATTTGATTACAGATATACATGGCCCGCGGCCGCAAGTTGAGTCGCAGCTCGCGCGGGCCCGTCTACTCGAATACACTAAGCATTTCGTCGCGTGGGTAGGGGTAATGTGGCAGGTTGGGTGGGATGAAATAGCCGGCAGCGCGCCGTGGTCGTACTCTATCTGGACCGCGCGGGCGGCAGTCACCAGCTTGGTGTGTCATGAGGGGGATGCGGGGGGTGATGGGGATGGGGGTGGTGTTTTGGGTTTGGATGGAGCAGGGGAACAGATGCAGGTTGAAATGCAGGGGAGCATTGGGAGGGAGCGTCATGAGATGTGAGATGTAAAAACAGTTATGCAATCAGATGGCCAAACCCGACATTAACCAAGTCAAAATCAAGAGAAGGAGGGCGCGCGGGACGTCTGCGAGCGCAACGACGCGCTCAAACGATGTCCCAAAGCTCCTCCAGCGCGCAACAGAACTGACAGAGCGTGTCACGGTCAATCTCAAAACTCGACATGTGCTGAAATTTTGCACACCTTGCTGCACGCTACCGACGCGCTTAGCGGGTACTCGCTGATACCAATCTTCTCGTCCACGACGCCGTCCGCAAAGTCGTCTTTTCCTCTTGCCATCGCACCGATAAATATCGCGATATTATGTGTCTCCGGCAGCGTAGGCAGATACTTCGACAGCCGCTGAACAGGTGCATCACCAGAGAGGGCTAGACACCAAGTCAGCTCGGCGTATCGATCCGACGAAAAGGCACGGGGGACGTACTGAGCTTGATCGTGTTCGCGGGGAGGTGTTCTGTTACGGGATTCTGTACGTACGCATCCGCTAAGTCAGTGAAACGTGCTCGCACGCGCATGCACGGCGGGTCGCTGATACGAACCTTGATCACTTTGAGAAGTTTCTCCGGGCCATTGACTCCCCGAATTGACAGCTTGTGCAGCAATTGTACTACGTGGGAGGGGGCGCGTGCGTGAGCCCCAAGTCTAGATCCCCCGAAAAACGTACGACGCACCCATCAGGCCGCTGAACCGCTTGAACGTCCGCGGGATCCGTACGTGCGGGTTGACCTCGATGAGGACGCCCTTGGCGGTGTGGATGTACACTTGCAGGAGGCCCGCCTTGTTTAGGGGCGAGTCGAGCAGCGTCAATAAGCACTGCACATCCTGTCAAAATTGGCCCTTCCAATGTGCGAATCCCGTGTAAAACGCACCTGGTGCGTGATATCGGGGCGTGCGTCCGCGATGTCCCTGCCAGTCTTCGCCAAAATGCCCTGGTGGTCGTCGCAGTTGAGGAGCGCATATTTCACGTCGCCGTCCCTGCCGTTCTTGGTCCTGCCCGCCGTGCTGACTCTGTACGCTTCCAAACACGCCTGCTCGAGCACAACATACAGCTTGCGCGTTGTCGACGCCGGTCCACCGCGCGCAACGTGCGCCTGGACGGGGAGCATGAGCGGGTTCGCCTGCTGCAAAAGGGGGTTGTTCGACTGCTGTGTCTGCTGCATTTTTCGCGCCTTGGACGTAGGGAGGGGTTTTGTCGGGCGCTCGGTCGCGATGTTATTTTTCGAGTCCGCTAGGACGGCAGGAGCAGCTTGGGCGGAAAGGGTGGTGGTGGCGTTTGGGGAAGAGCGGATAGCTGTGGGAGCGTCGATCTGCATGGCATTGGCAGCGACTTCCTTTTCGGTCTGTTCGTCCTCGCTGGACTCCTCCGTGGACTCGTCCTCTGCGCTGTCGACGGCGTGGTCGCGCTTGCGGCGCTCGTTGGGGGGCGTGGACTTGGGCCGTGCGGGGACGTCTGAGGTGAGTGCGCTGTGGGGCTGGGCGATGGGGGACACCACGGGGCGGGTGATGTTGCCCGAGTGACGGCGGCGACGCGCAGAGGCGGTAGCAGAGGACATTGCAGACAGAGGGAGTGCGGTAGGAGCAGGCGGATACGTGGAAGGAGGGAAGGCGAAGGGGCGGGGAGAGAAAAGGGGAGGGAAGATTTATAGAGCAGGCGGGGAGTCGATCGCGCGGGGGCAGCAGACGGAAGAAGGTCGCGCTCAATTTCGCGTCTGATACTTTCATATGACACTCCTCGGATCTCTCCTCCTCTCCTCCCCACCACTCGGGCGCAGTCTCCGCAATATTGTCCCAAACACTTCTCCTCGCGCTTCGTATGTTTCGGCCGACGAGTGCGGGCTACGTACAGAGCCGTCCGTGTACCCGCTACACGCCAGAGTTATCCTACACGCCGTCCCAGCTTCCCACTCGAACCGTTCTCCCGACCACCCACTCCCCCTGCCCGCTCGCACGTCTCGCCCGCGCCTTCTCACCTCCAGTGCCCTGTGCGCCCCCCGCCTATCTCTCATGAGCAATACCTGTCGCGGAAAGCAGCCCGTGAGATCCCCCGCCGCCCGAGCTCTATGCCCGTCAAACAGACACACGCACCGCCGCTCCCCAAAGTCTCCCAGCCCAGGGATGATATACGCCTTCTCGTTCAGCCCCTCGTCGATCCACCCGGTAATCTGCCGCCCCTATTCAGCCCTGCCCCGCGCGCAAAAACGCCCGCAGTCAGCTGTGCATCACTCACCACCTTCGTGGTCGGGTACTTGGTGCAGAAGTTCTTCAGCCCCTCGGGCGACGCGATCTGGGTAAAGCGCACCCGTAAAATGAGCTTCCACGGTCGTTCATCTGCGCCCTGCTTCCCACCCGGAAGCGCACCCACGCTATCGAGTCTAAGTCTAAAACACGCACCAGGTTCACGAATATAATGCGCTCCTCCGGCACGCCGTGCTCCTTTAACACCTCCACCGCCTTAATCGCTGAACCGCCCGTCGCTGCACGTCCGTCCTCCATCAGCATTTGTCCCCTTACGTTCGGCGCACAGCGCGCAACTCACCGAGCATGGGGTCCAGCAGCAGCACGTAGCGCTTCTCAATGTCCGGCGGGAGCTGCACACCACCGTACGTGAGCACCTGCCCGGACGTAAAACACCCGCTCGCGCAACGTACCTTTGAGTAGAACAGCTTCGCCTGTGCCGTCTCCTCGTCCTGTACCATCCGAGGTCAGCAACCCTACTCGCACACATCTCACGCTTGCGCACATACCCTCTGGATGAGGATCTTCCCTATCCGCACACTCCTACACACCTCCCTAAGACCCGCCTCCATAGCCTACCCCACACACATCAGAACCCTCTCACACCCACCACACCCTCATGCACGCACCTCGCCCGCCCTTAGAATCGACACCCCGCAGATCTTGCCCTCGAACCCGACGCCCTCATACGTCGCGCCCGTCGGCGTCTGCACCGTCTTCGGCAGCACCGGCAGGTGGTTCAGGCCCTCCTCGACGAGCAGCCGGATGATCCTGTCCGAGTAGAACAGAAAGTCGCCGCGGCTCGTGTCCTTGTCGCGGATGATCGTGTACAGCGCCTCGAGCTGCGCCGTGTGCGGGAGCGTGAACACCGACGGCGGGATCCCCTCCGAGGTCGAGGTTGCCATTTTTCTTGTGCTGGTGGGTGGTGGTGTGGGGGCGAGGGCGTGTTGGCTGCTAGGAGGCTAGGTGCGGGAAGAGTCTGTCCTATATAGCTGTGAGGATCACGGCGAGAAGCGTCCGATACAGCAAGTCCAAGAAACGACCCCAAGAACAGAGCAAAGGCGAGAGAGCGAAATCAAGACCTGACCGCTGAAGGGAGGGGAAAGGAGTGTCCGGCAAGGACGGGGAGAGTTATATAGCGAATTCCCTGTGCTTGTCCGAGATCGACGTGCGAGGCCACCCTAGCCGCCGATCATCTGCATATCGCAGCCGCCCCGCGAGCACGCCTCCAGATAATCCCTGGAAATACCGTCCGCCCATGCCCCGCCTACCCGTATCGTGTACACATGAAGACGTATCAGCACACGGTGAAGCGCATCGCCAGCGCCCGAAGACGACACACGAAAGGGTATATTGTGCGAGAGGGTCCACACGTACCGGGCGCAGGCCAAGACGCTACTACCTGGTCGCGTGCCACCTCCGTATGACAGAAAGTCGATCCCGAATGGAGCTATAAAGCAACAGCAATAAAGAGCAATAGGTATCCGTACGCAATGTCCGGTATATGTAGTTACAGCAGCGGTACAAATCTCAAAGTCACAACAACAAGGGACAGGGCGGGAAAGGTACCCGAGCGAGTAAGTAGTAGCGAAAAAGAGGGGCAGGATCGAGGCCGGAAGCGTCAACCAAGAAATAGCCAGCGGGCGTGAGTACAGAGTACGTACGTGTACGGTCATGAGTCGGGGGGCGTCCGAGTCGTCTACGTGTGGCACATATGCATCATCTATCAACGTGCGTGTGCGCGCGCCAGGCTACAGACGAGAAGGGGTCCATGAGACGTACACTAGAGCAGGCAAGCGAGTCCGTCGTGAGAGCAGCCGTGTAGTTCCAGATCCAAGTCCATATCCTATCCATCAGTGGTAGCAGCGTAAATGTGCGTGGCATCAAGACAGCTTCAGGCGGGGGTCGTCACAGCCGCAGGCGCGGGCGTAGCTGCAGCGGGTGCCGCCGTCGCCCCTCCACATACCGCCGCCGTCGAACCCGGTTGAGGGCCCCACGCGTTCGGGTACGCGCACCCTGCAATCTGCACTGCAGCCAGACTGGTGTCCTTGGGGTCCGCCCAGCCATCGCCGCCGGTAACAGTCGCAGCGGAGAAAGTAGGTGTCGGCAACGTCGGTACGGCGCTCGTGGCAGTGAACATGGGCAGTTGCGCCGCATCCTCGCCGCTGACGTTGGAGATCTCGGGGGGTGGGTACTGCGAGAACGAGGCGACCGCGGTCGCCGCGATAGTACCGGCACCCGCACCGCCAGTCTGCCACGACTGGTACGTGCCGTTCCAGGGAACGTTTTGGGGGAAGTTGAGCGACTGGCAGAGCCCGAGGGCCTCGCGGGGATCGGTCGGAATCCAGCCGTTATCGAGGCCAAGCTTGTACGACCAAAACGGCGCTTCCACCTTGCCAGTGACGGACGAGTTGCCGACCTGCACGTCGCATCACATTAATGAGTTCATTAATTTCCCGCGCGCAGAAGCCGCCAGCATAGGCGTTTAGCCACGCACCTTCCACGTCCAGTAGAAGTAGCCGGGCAGGTGCATGCCGTCCATCTGGGACATGACGAAGTTCTTGATGCCCGTCTTCATGTCCTGCGTCCAGTTCTGCCAGTCGTTCCACGTGTCGCAGTCCGCGAGCGTCGAGTCCGTCCCGATGTTCTGCACCCACTTGCCACAGTTGTTGATCGCACCGCTGAACTCGCCCGATAGCGTGATGCCGAAATCGGTCTGCGACTGGTTGTTGGTGTATGCGACGCATCCCACTTGCGGCCAGTAGTCGAGCGGGTGGTTGAAGTCCCCTCCAAACGCCTGAAGTATCGACGTGAGCTCGATGCCTTACTGAGTTGATGAGAAGTACGTACCACATAAGGATGCGTGTCCAAGATGATGCGCTGTTGACCAGATAAAGTAAGAGAAAGCACATGACGATAGAGTAGGATGCATACGTCAGAACCCGGCAAGAAGTCCTTCCAAGATCCAGTACTCTGGAACCCGTCATGAATGACGATGTACGCGCCCTTGCCAATGCCCGTCTGAAAGGACCCGTTAGTCTACACCCTAAGGCAATCCGCCGATCCACACTTACAATGCCACGAATCATGTCGTGCGCCTGAAGATAGCTGCAGAGGGATACCATCAGCGACCGCCGCATCGAATGTAACCGTGATGCTGCTCACAATCGGGTCAACTGGTCCCTCCCGATAATACCTAACAGCGGCTCGTTGACGACACCAAACATCGGCACAACGTCCTGATACTCCTCCTGGCTGATGAACTCCGCAATATACCGGACGTAGTCCATCGTCCGCTGCGCGTTCGCGATACCCATAAACCCATTCAGGAAGTTCACCGGGCCCAGACGTCCAGAATGGTTGTACCCGTTCTGTGACCCGGGCACGGTGTGCAGCTCGAGGTAGATGCGGAGGCCGTACTTGCGCGCCCACTTGAACGCGAGCAGCACGTACTTCCACGCCGCATTCTCCAGGAACGGCTCGCCCGGCCACGTCTCGATCGCCCAGTAGGGCATCGGCAGACGGACCCAGTTGAGGCCTGCACCGGCGATCTGCGCGAAGTCCTGCTCGGTCTACCGGCGAGAAGCAGAAGGTTAATCCAGGAACAGGAGGCGTGCGGTTGGGAAGCTTACAATGAACGTGGCATAGTGGTCCTCAATCTGCTGGATACCCCCGCCCTCGCTCGTATCGTTGAGCATCGCGACGCTCAAGCTCCATTCGTCAACGACGTTTCCGCCAGGAAGGGCCGGGCTCGGCGTCACGTTTTGGTACTTCTCGAAGAGCGAAGGGGCGATAAACGGCTCAAGGACGAGCCAGCCGCCGAGGTTGACACCGCGGATCTGGTCCGTCGAGTAGTCCCATGGCTCGTTCAACGCAGGCGTGAACGACTGTGCGCGTGCACTGTTGTTGTACGGGTCGGTCGGATCGTCCACCCCTACGTAGGAATGACGTCAGTTCATCTAGCCGATACGCGCGAGCTATTGCGAGCACTCACAGAAGCCCCCGAACTGGTTCGTATACGTGAATGAAGTGCCCCCGTCCATCGTAATCGTCGACCCATCCCCGCCCGTAATCGCGCCGGTGGGCGACTCCGGATTGGTGCCAGAACCACCAGAACTGCCACCAGAACCCGAGCCACTCTTCGACCCCGAACTGCTGTTGTTGTGCTTCTTGATCACAGTGAAATAGACGGGGAGAACGACGGCCAGTACGACGACCACGATCGCTGCGGCACCGATGCCCAGCCACAAGCCAAGGCGTCTGCGCCTAGCGGGAACTCCTGCGCCCGCCTTCTCGTCAAACGCTGCCGCCCCAGCGCCGGCACCAAGTAGTGCTTCCGATCCACGATTTGGGTCCTCTGGTAGCAATGGGCGAGAGGCAGCGGGTGTTGTCCCGCCGACGTACGAGTCGCGAGTACCAGGGGTACCCGGAGGCGAGAACGGGTTGCCGTACGGTGTCGCGGGTTCGTCTAGCCTGTCCGTAGCATTCTCCAGAGAGGGTGTGGCCGAGTGTCCGCCAGTGGCCGAAGCGGCGGCGGAGTCCGCGAAGGGCGAGCGGAGAGTGGGCTCATCCTGGGCCGGGAGGTGAGCGGACATGGTCGTCAGAGGACAAGGCTGGACGAGCGATATGGGGGCGCAGGAGAAGCGGGCGTGTGCGGACGGACGCGTTGAAAAGTGAACGAAAGGGGGTCGGTTCCCACTCCGCAGACGCTATTGATAGCGGGAAGCAGAGGCCGAAGGGATGGACGATAACGCCCGAGGCCGGAGAAGAAGGGGGGTATTTCGAGAGTTCGCCATCAACTGACATCGCGCCGGGCGGTTTGTGCGCGCACCAAGTGACGCAGCGCAGCCTCCGGACGTGCGGCACAGAGTCTAGCTCGAGAAAGGCATTGCGATAAACGGCGCCCTTACCATATACGCTCTATCTCCTGTGCAAAGTTCGCTCGACGCGCTTGTGTGTCTTGAGCTGTCTTGAGCTGTCCTGAGGTACGAGACAAGCCGGGCAAGACCCGGCAGTAGGGATTTGGACGGCAGGAGAAAACGAGAGCCGAGTTCCTAGTTCCGCGGCCGGGCAGAGCTTGCCGAGCACGGAGAGAGAAGAGTGCAGAGAAAGCTGCCGAGCCGGGAGCGAAGGGCTCAACAGGCCGCTAGCGACTTGTCGACAAGCATACGGTTCTGCAAACTGGGATCAACGCGGAGGCGTGATTCAGTGATCCATCGCCCTGAGAGTTATCATCTAGAAGACACGAGGCACCGAGGCCGCCGGAGCGCTGTTTGCGTTAGCGTTTGCGTTGTGCCAGGTACAGGGCGGTCCGGCAAGAAATCGCGAGCATGGGAGGAGGAGCGAGGAGAATAGGGGGGCGAGCATGGAGGGGCATGGGAGGAAGACGCAACTCGGGGCGGCGAGGTATATAGCGGCTCGGTTCCTGGCGAGGAGAGCCGTCGACGTCGACGCGTTGCTCGGTTCCTCCCTTTCTGGGACGCGCCTTCACCTCCGCTCATGAATTCATTATCCCCTCATGTCGCGACTCGTACTCTCCCCAACGTCCGCGAACGAATGCCATGGGTGCTTTGAGTTTCCTTGTAGTTGCATCCACGCACTCGATGGGAGCCTGCACTGCGCACTCATCCTGATACATGTGGCTTACGGCCCCCTTCGCGACGAGCTCGAGTCTAGCTCGTGATGCATGTCCACCGAACATTAACTATGCACAGGCACTCTGATACAGTATAATATGTACGTACGCGTGCTAGCACGATCGCGCCGACGCCGCACGCACAGAGGATTAAACGGGGATTAGGGAGACGTAACGAACGCGCGCACTGCAAATGGAAACCAAACGCTAGGCTGTTGTAGAGGGCCAGAATCTCAAACCTTGGACCTCTTCCGCCCTCGAACCCCTCTGGACCCTCCTGCGCCCTCACCCTCCCCGTCCAGCTCCAACTCCAGTTCAAGATCCAAGTCCAGCTCCTTCACGCTTCCTCCTGCCTCCCCGCTCACCCCACCCGCTCCCGACGTGCTTGCCTCCTCCGTCAACCTTTCCTCCTCCCTCTCGCGCTCCCTCTTCTGCCCCTTCGCCCTCCGCGTCGGACTCGTGGACCCATACGTGGGCGGCACCTTCGTGAACACATTCTCACCCACGTCCGTCACCCGCCCGCTCGACGTCCGGTCCAACATCGCCGACTTGCTGCGTCCTGTCGCTGCCCGCGCTCTCGGCTTCGTTGCACCGAGCCCGGCCACATTCGCACTCGCCGCCCGCGAAAGCTGTTTCTTTCCCAGCCTCGTCCCCAGACCGTCCGCAGGCGCTGACGCCGAGGGGGATTCTGCCGGGGGAGTGAGCATGTCCAAAGGGTCCGGCCCAAGGTCAAGCGGGATGTCGATCCCTCCGTCCTCAAGTTCCTCCGTGGCCGCACGAGACTGCGGCGCGGGCGGGATTGTGAAGCCGCGGAGGACCTCGCGGAACCCGAGCTGGACGAGTCCGAAGAAGCGCGGCTCGCGCGTATACACACGCAGCATGATCTCCCCAAATGCGCCTGGCAGCGTCACCGACACGTCGTCGGGGTTCGCCTCCACGCCCTCTGCAAAACCTCGTAATCAGCAAAGAGGCGTAAAAATCAGGTGCAAGCCCTTACTGTTCGGGTTGTGCTTCGAGTAGAACTTCACGAAGCCCAGCGGGTTGAGGTTTCCCATCCCATGGTGCCGCCCGGTAACTTCGATGATGACATGATCCGGGCTCAGCTCGTTCGCATACTCCTCGACGTGCTCCAGCTCGCTGATGTCGGACGACTCATGCTTGAGCTCCCCGCGCTGCCCGTACAACTTCTTGAACGCAGCTACGACGGAGTCGGGCGTGAACGTGTCCGCGAGTGACTTCTTGCAGTGCCACGGAAACACCTTGAAGTCCACAGACTTGTACAAATCGCGGACGCGAATGCGGTGGAAAATCGCCTGAGCTTCAGCAAGGCGCTATCGAAGAAGCGTTCTATTAGCTCAGAAGGTAGCCACGTCGTAGGTCGACCTACCGGGTCCTTCGATGCCTCAATCTCGGTCATGATATGATCCGTGAGGTATAGATACTCCCTCGGGTTCTCGAGCCGCTTCGCGATGTGCATGACAGGCTCCGCCTTCGTGAGGCCATCCACAATCATGTACTCGATCGCCTTCGCTGCTCGGGCGGTCAGCATGTCTCGTTCGCGCATTGCGTGCGGCGCGATGCTTACCGGTCTTGTGCGTGTAGATGCGCTTGTGCAGGGACATGCGCGTGTGGCAGAGCTCGAATATCTGGTTTGCGTCCTTGATGTCGTAGCAAATCTCATTATCAATCACTCGTGACGAGTATATGAGCCTAAATGGATATCAGCATATACTCACAAGGCCAGCAATAGACGACATACCTTGTCAGTGAAAGGTTGCTCTTGTTGTCAATGGCTTGCGAGTCCCGGGCGATGTAATCGAACCTATGCAAGACCGTGTCCATTCAGTGCCTATCCGCGAGTAAGTTCATGAGCAAGCTTACTTGTCGACATCGAGTCCATTCCGCTTGTTCGCCACGATCTGGAATAGGTACGGCTTCTCTTCCTGCCTTTAAATGACAGATGCCGCTCAGTCTCTTAACAGAAAGCGCTCGCCGAACCGCAACTTACGTGCACATGCTCGTGTCACCCATAATGAGCGCCTTCACGAACGCCGCGTCGTCAGGAGATAGGTCGAGCTCATTCTCCACCAAAAGCGCGTCGAACATCATGTTCGACGCGTCTTCGTGGCACCACTTCTTCTCCGGGCTACAGCCGCGAAACATAAAGCGTTATCGTCAATACTACGGCCCGGACACGAACTCAAAGCGGCTTACAGGATAGAGGGGATGAACATGCTGTCCCATACATGGCTCCAGGGCCCGTGTCCGAGGTCATGGCACAAACCGGCGATAGTCACGCACTGAACGTCGCGTTGTGTGATACCCAGAGAAGGCTGGGAGTCCTTCAGGTGCATGGCAAGTGTCTGCGCGAGGTACGCGACTCCTAGAATAATACAGACATGGTATTAGAACTTTACATCCCCTGACCGTAAAGGAACGGTTCCCATCGGGTTTCCGGCGAGTATGAGGTGCAAACCGGCGGAGCGAGGGTGCGCCGCAGCTATGTGAAAGAAGTAGGCCGTGTACTTGTGTCCGGCGAGGCGTTCAGCCTACTCGACATCCTTAACATACTGGCGCATCCCTCACCCTACACCGTACCGGTCGTGGAGCGCAAAATAACGGAGGAAGAGGGGACACGCAAGAGCTATGTAAGCGGTGCGGGTCATGCCCAACCGCCTTTGTCCCTTTGTCCACCCACGACATCCCCTTGCCAAAATTGCCTCCATCCATTCTGCCACGCGCGGCGCGACACGGACCGACACCCCCCAAGAAAGGCAAAAGGCTCACCAAGACAGTGCTCAAAGCGGTTATGGGACGCGCCCGGCCACACATAGTAGGACGTCCCGAGCTGTTTGATGTCCCTCAGCCTTTGGAACTGCGGCCTACACGCGCTCATCAGCTTTCAACTCTCTCATAGTACACAGGAACTACACATACGTGTCGATAATCGCGCATATAGTCGGCCCAAACGGCACTACAAAGAACAAAGGACGGTGAGCACCCACCCCCGAGCACTCTCGCGTCGGTGCACTCACAGTAGTCATGCACAGAGTCCTTGAAGCGCCTCAAGGACGTCGAGCCCTCGACGTGCTCGTCGGTCCAGCAACGGTCGAGGTCGAGGAGCATCCTGCGCGTGTGCGACGGCATGGCTGACAAAGTCCTGCGGGTATTTATGCTGGGTGCAACGAGGCGAGCGGCTGCGCGGAAGACGAGAAGCTGGGAGGCTCGCGCGCGGATATGACGCGTGTGAGGTGATACTCGGTGGCTTGAGATGGTGGTAAGGAGCAGAGAGCGGAAAGGAGGGGGATGGGGGGAGTGGCATGATAAGTATGCAGGGCGGCACCGCTTGTCCTGTACGTTACTCGTCGACCCTGCACAGATCTAATGCCGAGATCGCTATTCGCCGCCCCAGAGCAGTCGCCGCCGCCACCCACACACGATGATTTGTCGTACACAGTTGCATTCAGGATGAGCACGACACGGAGCACATCGAGCAGAGGTCGGTCGACGGCGGGAAGGAGAAAGGCGGCGGCGAGCGCAGCGATGGACGTCATTGTGTGTGCACGCCGGGAAGTTCCCGATCGCGAGAACGCAACTAGAGCCTAGCGACTGCTGTGCCTCGGTTTCAGTATATCCCTCGCTTGCGCCCACCGACGAGTAAAATGCCGAAGATGACGGCGACAAGTGAACGACCTCCATTATACTCGCCCGAGGTGACTATCGTACGCTACATGGTATACAACGGATACAAAATGAATGAACGGATGTCGGATAATGATGTTGTGCGTATCGCGACCTATGCCAGTAGCTAATCGTGGTCGTAATAATGTCCAGTCCGGAGCCTATGTGCAGGATCTATGTATATGTAGAGGAAGCTAGAGTATGTTGACCGATACGAGTCCCATGCAATGCGCACCGCCGCGCGCCCTCAGCCTCAGATCATCTGCTGGTCGATGTAGTGCTGCAGCGCCGCGCCCAGCCGCTCCCGCTCGACCGCCTTCCACCGCTCCATCGCCTGCGCCTTCACATGGGCCCGCGCCTCGTGGTTCACCTGCTTGACCGTCATCCTGAACGCCGAGCTGATCGGCCGGTGGTCCGACACGTTCGCCTCCCACCGCCGGTAGTGCAGCTGCGTCACCCGCTCCGGAACCAGAGCCCGCCACAACACCCGGTCGCACCATGCTGGCACCCGGGCCTTCTCCGATGAGTCGAACTCGTCTGTCCGCCGGTCGTACTTGTACGTCGGCACGAAGTTCAGTGGGCCCTCAGAGAACGTGCGAAGGCGGAAACCGCGGTTGAATTTGATCTCCTTCCGGAGCTGGTCGTGGATGACAAGATGTTCGAGGTCGCCTGCCTTGATCGAAGCGATGACAGCCTCACGACGCTGGTCGATGCGATAGTTCATGTCGCCGTTCATCTGTGGACCCAATTTAGTCCCGAAAACTAGTAGAATAGCTGAGGTACTCACGAAGACAATCTCGTGGTCGAGGACCATGGAACCGTCACCACCATTGACAAAGGCGACAATCTCATCCGTTGAACTTGCACTTGCATCGGGGGGCAGAGTGTTGTCCTCGACGATAGCCTGAACATCGGCATTGCGCTGACGAACATGGTGCTGGCCGGCGGCAAGATGGCAGTTGATGAAGCACACTGAAGTGTCATCCACAACAAAGCGCGCGATGATTCCGCCCTGTAACAGATTCAGGTTAGTAAACCATCTCCTGAGCGAATCACAGAAGCCCTGCGTACCTTGTTACCGTACCTGCCACCCATCCCGCGTTTGACCGTCGTGAGCGCAACGTTCTTCAGCCTGATCTTCTCAGTGTTCTTCACCAGCACACACGAGAACAGCCCAACCAAGTTCTCCGCGTGCACGACCGTGTACGGCGAGTCCGCGGGCATCGCGCAGCGCACCGCGAGCACCAGGCGGTCGTACCACTTCTTGTACGACGTCGTCACCTTCTGGCTGATCGTCCCGTCCGTGCTCTTGCTCTTCCCGCCCAGCAGCACCGTCTTCGCTGCCATCTTCCGGCTCTCGAGGTCGATCAGCTCCTGCATCCCGAACGCGATCACGTCCGGCCGGTCCACGCTCTGCAGCACGTCCGTCAGGAAGTTCACGGTCTCGGGCGTGCCCGTCAGCTGGTCGGGCTTGGCGGAGTCGATGTTCCAGGAGACGATGAGCACCGTCATGTCGCGGAACGTGCTGAACTCGGTCTCCCGCTTCAGTAGCTCTTGTTCTGCATATTGAAAATTAAGCTTCCATATGTCGTTAACACATCTGAGAGTAGACTTACCGATCCAGTCGATGCCCAATAACCCGTCCCAGAACTTCAGCTGCTCGTCTCGGCCCACGCTGTAAATCACCAGCCGGTCCAACTTCTCCATACTCCAGGTGTCCACCGCGATCCTCAACACCGGGAGCTTGTTATGAGCCTCCCAGCAATTCGTGACCGTCCACGGCTTCGACGTGACATCGTACGCGGAGATGAGGCCCTTACGGGATCCCGCCCACAGCCTCTCGTTCACGCCCTCCAGGCTAAGCACGTCTGACGACGACACTTTCACCACTTCCACACACTGCGCCGGGGCCCCGTCCGTGTCCGTGGTCGACCAGATGCTGATATGACCACCTTCGTGTCCCAAGTACACCTGGCCAGGCTGGGTCGCAAGTATCGTCCCCGCAGTGACTGCGCCCAAGTGTTCGGTGGGCAGCAGTGAGCGGCCCACGGCACCCGGCGTGAAGAGGTCGTAAACGCGTACATACGGGCCCCTGGATGCACCCGGAACCGAGCCGCCGCCGTTAGGATCGCGCGTTGACGTCCAGAGCTGCCCGCCTAGGAGCTTCGTGAACTCCTGCTTCTCCGCGATGCGTACCACGCGGGGTTGGATCATAGCCAGACTGAGATCAACGCCCTCCGCAGATGTGAACACAAGCACCTTTCCGGTGTCGTCCACCGTGATCATTGACTGGCCGTGGCGGTACATGTGGGTCACCGTGTGTGCGTGGATGTGGGGGCGCATAGCGGTCACCGAGCCCGTACGCACGTCCATCTCGATGAGGTGTCCGTCCTTAGTGCCCAGCCAAAGGAAGTGCCCCCGATCCTCCTGATGTGAGGTCGGACGGAACTCCAGTGCTGTGATCTTGAAGTCCTTGAGCTTCGTACCAAAGCCATCCTTGGAGTCTAAGTTCCAGATCGGGGATGACGAGGACGACAAGTCGTATATCCTAAGGTGATGGTGGGAAGCGACCGCTGCAGTGTGGCCCGACACCGCAACGTACCCGCTGTAAGCAGGAACGTGGATATTGAACTCCGAGTAGTTGTGGCAGTCGACGAGGGGAGGTCGACGAGACGCGCGACTGGCGTCTGGTAATAGTTCTACCTTCAACTTGGAGTCATCCTCACCTTCAGACTCGCTCGACGACCCCGACTGGGCACGTCTGGCAGGAGGCAGCTTGTCTCCCAGGGCGATCGTTCGCGTCGGAGGAGGAAGATGTCCACCAAACACTTTCCGCTCTGGCGGTGCGGCGATTATAGAAGACTCGACAGATGCCTCCGCATCTTGTTCTACCATGCTCTGGTGACGTAGTGGAAGACGACGGGGAGGTTGGTCGTCGACTGGAGTAGCAACACCTTTCCGCGTGGGCAAAGGGGGAGGTGTAAACGAGCTGGTGCTAGCGGAGGGGGACGAAGAGGTAGCGAGAGTGGCGGTCTGCAGAGTTACTCGGTGCCGAGGAGGAGGGCGGGGAGGAGGGGCAAGGGGCGGTCGAGGAGATGAGGGCGGGGCAAGTGACGATGGTGGCGGCTTGACAGCGTTGACGTCACTCTCGCTCGAGGTACGACTACTGCTTGTACTTGACACCGACGAGCTATCCGAAGACGACTCTGGAGTGTGGAGATACGCTGTATTGTGGCCATGACCATTGAGTTTGCGTGATGGGAGAGGTGGAGGGGGGATAGGAGAGGAGACGTTGCCAGCTTCGCTGTCGGAGTGGCTATCATGAAATGGATCGTATCTTTCGGGAGATACAGTGAGGAATGGGCCAGATATAGATGCGGGAAGTGTCTGAGCGGAAGGAGCCGCGGGATCATCTGGTGGGAAAGACTGCCGTGGTCGACGGGAGTACGCTGGCTGGGGTGGTGTTTGAGGCGCTCCTGCTAAGATTTGGGAGACAGGACGCCCCGGTGGCACAGGCGGTTTTGCAGGAAGAGCAGGAGAAGGTGGGGCGGCGTTTCTGCGAGAAGAAGCCATGTTAGAATTCCGGTGGGATTGGCGACTTTGTATGACAGTCTATCTGGATGTTATGGGCGCTCAAGGGTGTCTGGGCGGGTCTCCATATGAACGCACATATAATAGCATGGTGCGAGGCAGCCGCGCGCGACATGATCTGCGCAGGCCTGGGCAGGAGAACAAGGGGTGCACTGTGGCGCGAGATCTTGACGCCCGAATATGCTTTCATCTCTCGTCACAAGTTCAACTGCGTTGATATCTTCACCCTGGCTATTCTTAGCTGCGCCCGATGAACACACAGCCAGCTCACAACTGTGAGTTGAACATGCAACGAGAGCTCAGCGCGCGAGAGAGGGCGAAGAGAAACTGGTACAAATTGAATGGAGAAGCCGAAGCAGGGGAAGCGATGTGCGGAAACTCCATTTAGTGCTTCGCCGCCGGACGTGCGAAATCGAACGAGGAACATAGCCATAACGAGAAATCAGGCCACAACGCGGCACTCACCCGAATTGTTTGATGAGGGAAGAGACCCCCGCGTTCCTCTGCGCAGTGTGGTCCTGGGACGCTAGAGGTGGCGGAGGCGGAGGTCTACGCGAGATAGAGGCAGCCCTAGACGAGACGGACGAGACAGAAACAGACTCGGACAAAGGCTCATGCTCAGGAGGGGCAACGCTGGAATCAGGAATAGGGTGTATGAGGGGGCTGGCACGAAGGTTCGCAGGAGAGGGAGCGCGAGAGGACGGGCGGATGGGAGGCGGAGGGGGTGGACGCTTAGTGGCCGCCTTCAGATCGGAACCAGATGAGACGGGGCGGAGTGAAGGACTACGCGGTACCGAGGACTCATGGTCTCCGTCGGCGGGGGAGTAGGCACGGAGCCGGGGACTGGGCGGGACGGCGGCGAGGTGCTGAACACTGCCGGAGGGTTTGAGAGAAGAGGTAGAGGGCGCGGGAGACGAATCGGCAGCGAGTTTCTCAAAGCGAGATCGAAGGCTACTGACGGCGGGCGAAGGAGCCGACTCGATGCCGTCGGCGGGCTGTTCGGTGGCCATGGGTGCAGGTCAGGAGCTGGGATGTCGACCGGCGACCGCGGGGCAAGCTGAACAAGGACGCGAGAGAAAGGAAGCTAGCCGAGGGTGGGATACAGCGGACCGAGTGTGGTGGGTGAATGAGAGTGTGCGTGGGGGATGAGCGGACGGCGACGAGCGCGAGCGCGAGGAGGTCGTGGTGGATGGCGAACCAGCTTCTCCCTCCCGCCCCATATTCCCTCCCGTGTCACACAGGGCGGGGTTGTGACCCGCCGTCACAGCTGCGCCCGGTCTTTCCGGGCCGCTTCTTAGAGTGCTCTGTGTAAGCGCCCACGTACACTCGATCGAAATTCGGTGGACGGTCCTTCTCCGAGTCGTTCTTGTCTTTTACCGTCTCTCGCGTTCCACTCACTGCTACACTTGGCCCACACTGAGTACACGTTCTGGAGGGCATTTGAAGAAGATCCTGTGGTGGAGTCTGTAACCTACCATTGCCGACGGTGAGGATAGTTGGAGCCCTGGAGGTTACTTGGAGGGCATACATCGGGCCAGGCTCATATACTACCACAGAGGTGGCGCTCTCGCAACCATCGCATAACTTAAGGCATTTGGTGAGCACGAATGAGGTTCCGCCAGGCTCACAGTATTTATGTTTCTGATCGTGCAGGTGCAGGTCAACATTGCGACACTACCGTTCAAGACCCTTCCTGCGTGCCATGCCCCTCCTCTCAACACCCCGCTGAGGTCGCGCCTCTTCCACACATCTTCTTCAAAAGCCTCAGGGTGCGCCCAGCTTACATCTACTTGCCTTCGCCGTGGTCTTTCCTCCACTCTGTTGAGGCCGCGTCTCTTGTCATCATCGTCTGTCCTCAATGCCTCGGACCATCGCGCTCCCACCGCCAAACGTGGCAAGAGCGACGTCGAACGCCTATGCGACTCAATGACGCGCAAGCTAGCGGACGGCAATTCCTCTGCGGCCGCCTCCATCATCTATCACGCCCTCGATCGCTCGACGCTGGATAATCCCTCTCGCTTCAACTTGTATGAGCAGTCCGCCGCGGCATTCCTCCGTTATGGCGAAGTGATGAAGGCTGCTATGCTGTACTCGCGCATGACGCGCGAAGGTTACATCCCCTCCGTCTCCCTGCGCGTTCAGATGCACATCGTCAAGCTTGCCGAGTTGTCGGTTGAGGAAGACGTCCTCTTCGACACTATCTCCGGGGCTTTCACTCAAGATTCTTTCGACGAGACTGCATTGCGGGATGTCCTCCGCATGCTGGTGGAGGGGCTGCAGACATCCCCGGCACTCATCCGCAAGGTCGCCGTTAGATTTCTAGAGACCCGCGTGCCCGACTACGCTTTCTCTGCGGACACAAACACCTACATCATCCGCGCGCTGCATAACGGCGGAGACCCCGAAGGTGCGAAGGACTGGGCCGAACAGACCTCTGCAGCACCGGCACCCTCTGCTGTCGTACAAAAATCGCCCGCTTCCCCCTACACCACCCTCCTCCGTGATATGGCCGCATCCCAGCCCTCCTTCGAAGTCTACAAATGGACGCTCGAACGCATGCGCGTGGAGAACATCAAGCCCGACCTGGCCTTCTGCAACGCGCTCCTCGCGTACGAAGTCGGCCGGCGCAACTACGAGGTCGCCTTCGCGATCTACCGCATGCTCATGCAGAAGCGCACTGCAGACGTTGGACCTTCCGCGCACACCTTCTCGACCATCTTCCGCGTTCTCCACCGCCTTTCCTGCTCGCACCGCTACCGACGCACGAACCGGATTCGCGTGCCCCCCAACGCGCTCTCCGCCCGCGCCGTATACCTTGATCTCCTCACCCGTCATCTCGAACACATCCGGCAGAATCCTAACCGGCCCTCCCCCGCACTCGACCCAGTCGTGCTGCACAAAGCGCTGCGCACCCTGCTCGCACAGCGCGACTACGCCGGCGCCCTCGTCGCCCTCCGCGCGTTCAAGCTCTTTCCCGCGGCCGTCCGCGCCCCAACCCTCGCGACGTACCACCTCGTCCTCGGGGGCATCCTCGGCCGTATCCGCGTACAATTCCCGGGGCTCGCCGCGCGCGTCGCGTCTGCGCTCTCCCCCGAGTCCGTCTGGACGTTCCGCTTCCTCGGCATGCACAAGCTCCCCGTGCACCAGCAGAAGGAGCTTGAGCTCGACCTCGGCATCGTGCACCGTGTGCTGCTTGTTGGGGCGGACCCGCGTGTCAGCCTCGATTTCGTCGACGCGCCGAGCTATGCGAAGCCCGCGCCGCGGTCGGAGCTGGAGATGTACGGACTGGTCGAGGAGGATGAGGAGGACGCGCAGCGACGTGTCGCGCGCATCTCTGACCCGGCGCACTTCCACCCTCACGGCATGCCATCCCCGGTCGAGCTGACGGGGATCGTGTCTGTACCGGAGAATCGGACGTACGAGGTGGTGCCGCTGGAGCGCGTACTGAGGAGGGCTATCGCGGCTTCTCTCCCTCTGGGGAACGACGTTCTCGCAAGGCAGGTGTCAGACGCCATCGTGGAGGCCAAGAAGGAAATGATTCCGGAGTCCCATTGGAATGACTCGGCGTTCAGCTTCGAGTCCTAGTGCTCGTATCCCCCTCCGCTCAGCTGATAACCTGTTGTATAACATAGCATTCCGATTAGACGTACAGAACGACTACAACAATAATGTGACAATGAAGGTATACTCTACAGCATGTCTGCGCGAAAGCGAGATATCATACTTTACATTGGGTATACAAATCGAATCCAGGTCTGACGCGCGCTTCTCACCCGCGTCCTGGACGATCAATGTCGTTTTTAGTTCCATCCAGGCCAGTTGGACGAATGATGACACTCACTCTGCTGCACTTGTACTTCCTCCGGCGGCCTCAGCGACCCCATCACCGGCTCGACGTCGTCGTCCTCATCGTCGGCGTGCAGCTGTCCTCTCACATCCCCCACCCCCGACGCAGACCGCGCGCCCGAACCCGTCCCCACCCCAGCGGCCCCGCCACCCTGCGCAGGCAGCGCCGCCATGATCATCGGCAGCGGCATCCCAATCACATTCATCATCCTCTCCTGCGCCCCATCCTCGCCCTCCTCCTCGCCCGCCTTCCCCCTCCCCTTCCGCGCCCTCCTCTTCCCCTCCTCCCTCCCCTCCACATGCCTCGCAAACTCGCCCCAGCACGCCCTCGGGTCCCTTCCCATCTCCTCATACTCCGCACGAACGGCCGCGCCCGCGCTGCGCCACAGCGCGCGGTGGCGGCAGAACGTGGACTTGACGTATGCGACCCCAAACGCGCGCCGGAAGACCTCGTCCTGCTTGAGCGCGGGCTCGGACGCGGCGAGGCGCTCCATGTGGCGCAGGCCTGCGGCTATCTCGTACACGAAGAAGTCGTTTGGCCATTTGCGCGGGACGCCCGGGCCTTGGGGTTGGGGGAGGGCGGCGAGTGGGGGCAGGAGGAGCGCGGTGGCGAGCGAGGAGGGCGTGCGGGGTACCGGTACCGGAAGGTCCTCAGGAGCTTGTACGGGGCGTTCTGAGGTGGACGACATCCTTGTGGAGGCCATGCTGGTGGACGGTGAAATGTCGTGGATGGAGATCTCCACATTCTTGCTGGGAGACCGGGTTGGTGGCGCGTGAAGGGGAGGGCGTTGGGGACTGGCCAAAGTGACTGGCAGTGGCAGTGTCCCTAGTTGAGTGCTCTGTGGGGAGTTGTGACTCGTAGAAGGCAGCGACGAGTTGACGTCGAAGGCCGCACTTTCCAAGTTCGTCTGCTGAGGTAGGATGTGACCGCTGTTAGCCGGCGGGCTTGCTGGGGTGTATGGTGAGGCGGTGGGTTGCCTCATGGAAGCCGATCTATGGTATTTGCCCACAGGCGGGCTCAAAGGCTGGTCGGCCGGCCTCTTCAAGTTCCGTGGAGCGCTTGAACGGGAAGCGCTAGGCTGCATCGACAACTCCTCCTGAAGCCTGATCTCGACTTCCAGCTCAGGGCATTCCTCGTCCCGCAGCGGCTCGAAGAGACTGTGCCGTACACGATATAGAAGCCGCTCCTCGGCCTCTACCCTGCGCACGAAGGAGACCTGTTGTTGTTCCCATGCGCTGGTCCGTACATTGTACCAGTCAAGGTACGTCCTGTCAGAGAGATGTAGAGGTTCCACAATTTCGGTGAAGATGCTGAATGAGAAGAACGGGAACGCATGTATTTCCCGGTGAAGCCGGAGCGGCTGGGCGTTAGGCTGCAAAACAAGTCGATCAGCCAAGGGCTCTGGACATATTTTACAAAGAGGGCCCTAGTAGTATGGTATGGAGTGTACACCACGTTCAGAAGCAGAAGCGATAAACTTCGGCTTCGAATGCGGGACCCAGACGGCGAGTTCTTTCAACCCACTGAACTTCTCATAGACAGGCACCCCAGTCGAGAATATAGACGGCATACCCACCTGGTACCAAAAAACCACCATTATGTTCCTGTTCACGGACTGAAGGAGGGCGATCTGCTTGTCATCGCGGTCATATTCCCATTGAGTGGACTTCGGCGTGCCGTACCCGCCCGCCGGACCTTCCGATGCTCGGCGATAATGTGATGGCTGGTAAGACTGCGGAGAGTCGAGCACAGTAGCTGATGTCGATAATGGTGAGGCTATAGATGGAGATGGGGGGGCGAGAGGTATAGAGAAACTTTGACCAGGCCCGGTAGGGATGTGGGTCATGTCCGACGTCCACTCGGGACGATCCAGGCGATCCAGCTGATATGATGACGATGTTAACATCTCTCAGATAGACCCATTATGTATGGAAGAACTCACAGGCGTGTGTCGGTAGTCGAGCCCGTTAGCTAAGGTATGAGATCACTACCAGTGACAGAATTAGTCGTTGTGATACGCGTGTCTACTCACCCGGGAAAGAGCTCGCAGCGCGATTATGGTGCAAAACACAACACAAAAGACCTCAAAGACTCTACCCGCGATACAGTGAGAACAGAGAAGAAGAGGAACTACGTAGGTAGAGTGCACGACCGCAGCGAGACGAAAGGCTTGGATAAAGAGACGCTGTGCTGCGTTTCCTACGGATGCCATTTATGGTGCACAGCCATCCCCGGCCCGATCACCGCTTCTCTCCTCCTCCCTCCTCCTCTCACCGTTCACTCACTCCAGGACCGAGGGTGCCATTTGCGACATAGAACTAAACGACACACGGTTATGGATGCTATGAACTGCTCCTCTTCGCCTCACGAGAGAAGGCCTGGTCTAGATCGTCTCAAGTCGTTAGCCACGATGTCACCCTCATCATCTTCGGCTTGGATAAAATGCGAACCAGTTCTCCTTGGTCGACGATCCTGCTCGCTCTCCTTCGTCTCGTCTCTTCATCTAGCTTACCGACAACATGCACTTCAAAACGCATGCTAGCTCTGCGGATCTTCAGCTTCCCGCACACCAGAACTCGGATCTAGCAGCTCTGCAGACGACTTCTCAGCATCCGGACACGGACACTCTGTCTATGAACATGCACCCTCGTGTCAAGATATCCCTATCACGACCACAAGACGCTGTCTGTCACAGCGAAGCGCCTGTGGCGTGTCCGGATATTCGGTTCCTTTACGGCGAGGCTGTGGACGGGGTGAATAGTCTCGGGCACCGCATACACTTCCGGGATGCTCGTTGCTCGCGTATACTCATACGAATTGCTTCCAGCCTCAGACGGTGCAGAGGCTTGTCATGCGGAAACGCACAACGTCGCCCTACCAAATCAAGCTGCCGTTCATGGAGGATCGTCTACGCGCGCGACGTAGTGCCTCGGGAAGCTCAGTGCCGGAAGTCATCGCGAACCCGCAGCCTTCAGGACCGGAGACGGAGGATGCATTCACTCGCGTAGGGCCCGCTCCCTTCACTCACCGAGCGAAGACCTCCTCGCCTCTCGATGGATCATTCTCGCTCGACCACAACGCCAGGGTCTTCATGCCTCCCTCTCACTGTGTCACCGTTACTGCACCCCAAGGCGAAACAAGGACCTCGATTGGAGGACCAACGGCCTCCGAACCTCCTTCCGCCGGAGACGTGTCCCCTCTTTTCATCTTGCACACACTCCCCACCTTGGATACCTGGTCAGAGATATGCGAAGACCTTTCGCGCGCGATGGAAGTCTTCACCGTCCTGACCAATGTCGCACCGGGAAGATTCCATGTACCACCCTCTCAGTCCCTCGCGATGGACCTACCCCTTCCGCGCTCTTTCCAAAGCCTCAAGCTCGACAAGTCCCCGGCCACGCCCGCGAGCCCTTGGAACTCGTTTGTGTTTCCGTGCTTCGGAGTCGTATAGCTGTGCCTGTCTGTATATGGTTACTGGCTTTCCTTTCTTGGAATTCGATCGTGGGCGCTATGAGTTTGGGTGATGGCACCGACGACCGCACGAATCTCGACTGAGACGGTTCTCAGCCAAACAACTTGCTCTCGAACCACCATGTTCTCATCCATGCGTATCGTTAAGCTCATCTCACATCGAGGTTACATTGTGGCCCTGAGGCACAAGCTATCGCGAAGTGTTTCTAGGCCGGCGTCCCCGGGAAACATATGGTAAGAGCCGTTACGTGAATGGCCCGGTCAGCTCCCAACCACTCAACGTCCGCTCGTTTCCTGGTCGACGGCGCTCGCTCTGAAGTACTTTCAATACCTCTTTTTACAACTCCTGGCGCATCTATGTCACCCACTGAACACTTCCGACAGAAGGAGAAGTGAAACAGCTACAAACGGACATGCCACGCGGCCCCCGACCCGGGTGAAGTGGAAAGTCCGCTCCCGTGCCTCCTGGGAACATGGCGGTCCTGTTCGCGACAAAAGTGAAGCATCTGTCTTCACTCCGGCGCAGGCCTTTCTCCTTCCAACCCCAACTTGCTCGCTATCGCTCACCCTGCCAGCGCGAGGCCCGCCATGATAATCCCGTCCGACCTCCAGCCCGTCTCAGGCTGGTCTGTCAGTCTCGTCCTCCTCGCCGTCTACGTGCTCTACAAGTTCGCGCGATCCTACGCCACGCGCGGGCCCGCCACGCCCCTCACCGGCCCCGCGCGCACCAGCTGGCTCTTCGGCGCCGCCCAGGTTATGGGAAACGCAATCGACACCTCGAACCTCTATGAAGTATGGGCGGACAAATATGGCTCCGTCTTCAGCGTGCCCGCCCCGCTCGGCGGGACGCGCGTGGTGCTCACGGACCCGAAGGCGATCGCGCACTTTTACACGCACGAGACGTTCACGTATGTGCAGACGAAGCTCGCGCGCGTCGCGATCGAGAACCTGGTGAGTGGTCTCCGCGGATATAGCGGTGAGTGCACCTTGCCGACCCAGTGCAGTTCGGGCGTGGTCTTCTCTGGGCAGAGGGTGAGTCGCACAAGAGGTATGTTGGTCTGGTCGTGCGAGGTGGGTGATCGGAGACCGACTCATGTGTCGCTAGGCAGCGCAAGGCGATCTCGCCGGCTTTTAGCAATATTGCTATTCGCAGAATGACGTCGATCTTTTACGATTCCGTTTACAAGGTAGGATGCCGAAGATAAAACTGTGCATTCCGGCCCGCTGACCTCCTACGCAGCTGAAGACGAACTGGGACAACCAGCTGGCGGCGGTGGACTCCGCCATGATCGACGTGCAGAAGTGGTATGGCGCACACCTCCTAAACCACGTGCGATCGTACTAACTACCCCTCTCAGGATGAACCATGTCTCGTACGGTTCCCGCGATGCTTGCCGGATGTTTGCGGTACTCACCCTGTCCCCACAGCCTAGACAGCGTCGGCATCGCCGGCTTCTCGCACGACTTCGGCTCGCTCGAGGGCAAGCACTCCGCCGTTGCAGAGGTCTTCGACCGCATGGGCCACATCAAGCCCTCGCCCATCACCGCCGCGGCGATCTTCTTCGGGAACACGTTCCCCTTCCTCTGGCGCATCCCGACGCCCATGCGCCGCCTGCAGATCCAGCTCAACCGCAGCATGGAGGAGATCGCGACCGTGCTCCTCGAGAACACGCGCCGCGAGATGCAGGGCACGGGCGAGAAGGGCCGCGAGGACAAGAGCATCATCGGGCTGCTGAGTGAGTGCCGCGGAACCCCCTGTCGATCCCCCTGGCCCGGCATCTTTGCCCGCGGAATCTGACGGCCCCTGTTTGTATAGTTAAGGCTGAGGATGCCGAATCGAGTCTGCAAATGTCTCAGGAGGAGATCATGGCTCAGGTAGGCGGTCGTGTGTCCCACGCGCGTGTCGATCTGGTTTTCACACTTCTTTTTGGCAGATGAAAGTTCTCATCCTGGCCGGCTACGAGACCACATCGAGTAGGTCCATCTCGTGTTTGACCGACGGGACGCACATCTGACGAAAGTGACACCACCCTATAGTCAGCCTTACCGTACGCCGTCAATTTCCGGCATATACTCCCGCGATGGTTGTTGACCGTGCTTTAGTGGGCTCTCATCGAGCTCTGTAGGCATCAAGAGAAGCAGGTCCGGCTCCGCGAGGAACTCAAGGAACAGTTCCCAACCTCGGACCCGACGTGGGAGCAGCTCACCAATGGTTCCGGCCTCCACTACCTCGACGCGGTGGTGCACGAGATCCTGCGTCTGCACCCTCCGCTCGCCGTCACTAGTCGCCAGGTACGTTCCGTATACTCTCTTCATTTTTGGACTAACATCCACCCCTCGCCTATGCAGGCCGCGAAGGACGACGTGATCCCGCTCTCCCAACCCCTCCGACTCCCCAACGGCGAGCTCACCGACCACGTCGCCGTCCGCGCCGGGCAGCACATGACGGTGCCCATCGGCGCCATCAATGTCTCCGCACACTTCTGGGGCGCAGACGCGCGCGAGTTCCGCCCCGAGCGCTGGCTCGCGGACGACGGCATCCCCAAGAAGGCGCAGGAGGTGCAGGGCCACCGCCACTTGCTCACCTTCGTCGACGGCCCGCGCATGTGCCTCGGGCGCGGCTTCGCCCTCGCCGAGTTCAAGGTGCGTTCAATTTTGTCGTTTTCTACGCCCCGTCGTCTCTCCGCAGCGGGCCCCGGTGGCGGCCCGACGCCATCGCGGGCTCCCGCCTGTGCCCTTCTTCGGGTGTAGAGCGAATTCTGACTGAACACCTACTTATATAGGCTGTGCTTGGCGTTCTCATCAAGAACTACACCTTCGAGCTTCCGAACGGGCCGGAGACGAAGATTGAGTACGTGCGCGGCGTCCTGCCCCGCCCGCGCGTCGCCGGAGAGGAGGGGGCCTGCGTGCCCATGCGGGTGCGCCGGGTCGACGGCTAAGCTCGTCCGCCGTCAGACACGCCCTGCAGTATGGTTATACAGTTATATTGCGCCTTGTGTAAGTGGTTCCATTGTAGTGGATCAAACTATGTACGATACAGCGCCGCGCGCCGACGCGCTTCGCGTCCGGCGATGGGCCCTTTTCGCGCCCACCGACGAACAATCCGCTGCAGTCCGCCCCCACGCCGGTGTCACGCAAGCTTCAGCATCAGCGCCAGAGAAGCCCTCTGCACACCGCACCGCATGTGTACTGGACAGCCTGACAGGGCTTAATCATGCCGGCAGGGGCTTGCGCATACCCCGGAACACGCAGCGCCAGGGACCAGCTAAGTATCCCCCTTCGATGGTGATGCAGTCTGTGCGGCGTGCTATCGATCCTCCCGCACGCAAGCCCAGCCCCAGTCGCCTCCGTGTATGGCGGGCGTGCTCGCCCCTCGTGCCTGTGAATCGAGACGATCCAGACGCGGGGATGAGGTGTACCTGGGAAGGGCGTTGCCCGGTACGTACGCAACGCGCGCTGCTGCGCGTCGAGACGTCGCTGTCACCGCCGCCAGGCTGCGACTCGGAAGCCACGCTGGCGCCGTACCTATATGGCCTAATAATGCGCCTGTCCAACCATCCCCCAGAGAAGCATCGCACGCACGTAACTCGCCCCTTCGCGCCTTCTTTCGCCGTCCGCAGCACGAACCTCGCGCTTGCGGGGTACACCGGACATCCGCGCGCGAGTCAATTGTGTGCCAGTGTGATCGGTGGTGCTTCTGGGGCATCGCTCCATTGCATGAGCATCGCGAAAATGTCTCAGTATCCGCGCGCGTCCCCGCCTCCGGGCACGCAGGAGGTCAGGTGCTCGCGTCCGCCAGATGTCCACAGTCCATGTCACCCTGGACAGTGATGTGCACCACATTCAATAGAATATGTCCAACAGCCTGCGTCAAATGCGGCTGCAGCACGGGTCGCGCCCGGCAACCATCACCGCGGGCACGGGTCACTCGTTTCGCACCCAGCACCAACATGGCAACTCTACAGCTGCAACGCGGAGTTCCCGGGGTTCTTGCAGCATCGCTTCCGCGCGTCTCGCGCATCCGCAATTGACAGATCGCGCATTACGCCCACGAACGCACCCACGCCACCCGCAAGCGTGGGGATCCCCCGCAGAAATAGTTTCATCTCAATCCCGCGTCGCACCTGCCCTGCACACTAATACTGCGGGGCTCCAGGGTGATCAGGTCGGGCAGGGGCCAGCGCGGCCGAGTGCAAGAAATTAGAACACGTCGTCGATTCTCCCCTCGCAGACTGTCGAAAGCAGCACCAGAACGCGCACTAGCTCGAGAGAACGTAGGGTAGGCAGTCCGCGCTGCACCGTGGTATACGAGAAGACCCCGCCATTAAGACAACCCTGTTCCGTATCCCCTCTTTTTCCTCAACAACCAGACCCGAACCCGACCGCTCAGAGACCGCTCTAGACGAGGACAACACCGAAAGCGGCCGCGACGAACGCCGCGAAGCCGCTGACGGAAACGACGCCCGCTGCGTTCTTCGTCGCCGACGCGCTGCCGGACGAAGCAGTGCCCGACGCGGTGCCCGAGCCCGACGCGGCGCCGGAGCCAGCAGCGCCAGAGCTCGCAGGCGCGGGCGCGGTGCCGCTGGGGGCGGCGACACCGACGAAGCTGCCGGTGAGGGGGCCGGGGGCAGCAGTCGCAAACGCGTTCACGCCGGAGAGCGCGGGGGCAGGCGGAGCAACGCTAGGCGCCGCAGCGGCGAGCGCCGCGAACGACGAGAACGTGTTCCCGGTCGCGGGGGCGTTGATGGCACTACGAACTTATGAGCGAGAGTGGTACAATGAAAACACGAATGAGACCTACCCAACCATCTGGGAAATGCAGTGGGGCGCGGGGTTCAGCTGGGCGCAGTAGAACCAGATCGCTGCAAACAAACAGGTGAGCGGCCCACTCTCTATGCAAGCGGTACATGGATACTTACGCTTGGTGGCATCCTCGACCGTGATGTTGAACGTCGGGAACGTCGAGGAAGCATCCGTGCCCGCGGGGACGAAGATGTAGCCAGTGTCGAAGCCGCCAGCAAGGGGCTCGCAGGGCTTGCCAAAGGCCGACTGGGCGACGGTGTGGTTGCCGGGAGCACCGTCGAAGACGAAGGTAACAACCGAGCCCGAGGTCACGTTGACGGACGAGGGGGTGAAGGCGAGCTTCGCGGTGCCGTTACCATCCGAACCGACGTGGATCTACGGGTATATTGTGAGAGACGAGGTCGCGTACATCGTTGAAGACAACTTACGACGGTGTCCTGCGCAAGAGCGACAGAGGCGAGAGCGAGAGCGGAGATGGAGGTAGAGAAACGCATCGCAGATGGTTGGCGAGACGGAAGTAAAAGGAGTTAGGGTGAGGTCTAAGGTGCCTAAGGGGAGAAGGACGAAAGAGTAGCTGGGGAGGAGGATGGGGTGCCGCTGTGTGCTTAAATAGGGCGAGTGTGGGAGATCAGGGGACGGACAGGGCGAGGGAACGCCTGTCAGTGCGCTGAGCAAACGGAGGCTGCTGAAACGACGGCAACGCCGGTGATGAACGCGGGCAGCTGCAGCCAATCGACGCGCATGAGCACATAAGAACGGGAGAACACCTGCACACCGCACACGCACCCACTCTCCAGCGCCCCGGCCACGGCTCTCACGCTTCTCCCATTCCCAATTCGTATCCGCCGTCCCCGTCTCCGATCGAGATCCGTCTTCCCAATCCTCCTCCTCGGCCGTCGCCCCTCCCCCTGCCGGTCACCTGGCGCCCCTCTTGCGCCTCGCCTGCCGCTGCGCAGCACCCAGCGGCGGGGATGCCGCCATGGAGGCGGACCGCGCGCTGCTTCGTGCCCCGTTTCCGCTCAGGCAGCGGTACGTAACACAATCAGCCGCGCTTGCGCGACGCAGCCTGGCGAACCTGCGGTCAGCGCGCCCCCAGCGCGGACGACGAGGGGCTGCGAGCCCATCGCGAATTTTTGCGAGTGACAGATGGCCCTGTCGAGCGTGGCACCGTCCGCAGTGGCAGCCGCCAATGGCTCTGTCGCCAGCCATCATCCCGTCAGCAGCCTGCGAATCCGCACTCGCTGTGCGCACTGTTCGTCGACATCGCAGAAGCAACCGCTTGTGGCTGCGAGGACAGAAACAACGCAGATGAGAGCAGCGGCATCTGGCCAGGGGTGTTGTTGTGTAGATCGACGGCTGAGCCATTTCCGCGGGCGTTCAGTAGATGCTTTGTTATGTAACACCCACGTGGCACTGCCTGTCCCGATCCGGCCATTTGCTTGATGCGCCCCCTGGCGCGGACGTGAGACCTCCGCCAGGCACGACTCTCACTCCTCCCCTCGGCACAGGTGGCTTTCGGGCTTGTGGCTGGGGCTCTGTATCTGCTGCCAATACTGCGCCTAGCGTTTGAGCACTGGACAGAAAACGAGGAGCTCTCATTCGAGAAGCAGCGGAGATCGTCAGCCTGCCTGTGAACTTCACGAGTCTGCATCTTCCACGCTTGGGAGCCTTCGCGGAGGCAAACACTTGACGAAGGAAGTGCATCTGCAGATTCTGATCAATCTGGGTGCGCTGTTACTGCAAGCGGGAGGTCGCCTGCGAAACCACCCTCGATGTTTCCTGCTCAGCCAACCGTTGCCCCTTCTGCTCGCATATTTTTCGCCATCATATGGTCTCATAATTGAACTAATTCCGGGACGGCCGGGCGCGTCGGCCATTCTTGACTGACTCGATGACTCGCTCGGCCTCTCAATCTCTCGCCGGGGCTGATGTGTTTCGGTGCGTTCATTCTTCTGCTCGAGGAACACTCGGTCTCACCGGGAGTTTTTCCGGATTGCTATAGACCCATCAGGCGGCTCTATGAGCGCGAATTCCTACCACACGGCGAGCGGTGTGTACAAGCGTCTACATCCAGCTATGTCCGACACCGGGAGAATGCAGGCCAGATGGCCGCGCGCGCAGCTCACTGCAGGCAGTCAAATATGTCCCACCCGCCGCCGTGTATCAAACATTCCGGGCTTGACCTCCCACGCGGGGCCACCCAGGCGCTGCATCGGGATTCGGGATATCTTACGCTACAAGCTTACCTGCAACTACACACCGCAGCAGCGTTTACCAACCGTGCAGAAGCCACCGTCGGACAGGAGGATCCATTGCTCCCGCGAGCTGTAAAAACCGCATTATATTGGTCATCTGTCTGACCGCGCTGATATCCCGAACAGAAAATCTTCTCTCGCTCAGGTATCATCCTATTGCATTGTTACGCGGATTTCTTCGACCACATAGCTTTGCTGCCGCCATAGGCACAGAGCAAGCACAATCACAGAGCCTACACCCCCGATGTACTGTAGCTTGATTCTCTACGCCGAAGTAAGTTCCCATCTCTGTACCGGATTCTGTGTGGCGTCGACACCACAGTGCCATGACTGCGCGTACACACAGCATGCGCGGCTCGCAGCTAGTACGTTTTGATTTTCAAAGCGACAAGGTTCATTCAGCGGGGCTCGCCGAAGTGCCACCGTCCATGCTGAGCATGAGCTTGTTGAGCATCGACGCTAACGCTAGTATGTCAGACGACAGGACTATACACCTCCTTATCGACAGCGTTGTGTAATTGAATCTACAGCGTAAGCCCCACAGGACGTGAGCGTCTTCGCTATCCTTTTTCTCGCGGCGAAGCTGACCCGTCCCGGTTGCTCAGTGGCCAGGACGGGTCAGCTTCTATATATGTGTACCGCTGCGTCTAGATACGAAGCTCGCTTTTTTGCTGCGCCTTTTCTTTGCGCTGGTCCCCTCTGAGGTACCTCACGACGCACACAACCGTTGCAAACGCATACGGCTGGAATTGCAGGCCGCAGCGCGACTTCACCCACCGACGCGTCTTGAAGCACGTGATGGTGTCTACCGACGCGACGCGACCCGCGCGTAAGCGATCGGACCTTACCTCGAGACAACAACGCGTCTACTCTACCCTTCAAGTTTTCAAAGAGGTTGCCAAGCCCTGTATTTTTGGTCCGCGCGTATACGTGCACCTCAGAGGATCAATAATGACTGATACTGTCACTGAACTCCGAGGACGCAGCGGTACCGGTGATACAATCGTCTTGATTCATCGGGTCCAATAAAGTATCACGGTAACTAACCATGTTCGTGTTCGTGCGCAAGGTCATGATCAGCGCAGCCACTGCGACAGAATGGCTGGTTGGATGTGAATATCTATCCACCCAGTATCTTCAGCCTGATGATGATCAAGAAGGTGGCACCGCAAATCCTGCTAGGGTGAGATGTGCCTGCACGTATAGCTCTTCCTGATCGAGCGTTCTGCAACGTTAACATCCCTGAAGTTTTTCATTGAGTCGGCATGGATGCACTGGGAAGTGCATAAAAGGACAAGTTTTGCCACAAGTCTAACGCGACCGCTGTACCGCTACTATACATCCAACGATCGCGGACTCAAAAAAAACAGCGCGGTCCATCTATCCACTCAGTCCGAGATATGACGAAATGAATTCCAACACAAGATGCGTCAAAAATAGCTGCTATCTGCTCTGCTCACGCGCTGTAATGATGTGCATCTGCGTTTCCTGCCCGACCGTCGTAGTGGAGATCTGAGAAGGGGCTGTGCACCCTGATGGCGTCGACGTCCTTATACCGCAGCCCGCCAGCTTCGCGCGTCCAACCCTCTGCACCTTGAAATTTCCCAGCGCTGCCCCGCCCTCGGCCAACGAACTGATATTCCCGAAGCCGCGAAAAATAGCACCTGTTGCATACCCACGATGAGGTCAGTCATCTCGCACAGTAACCCGACGTTGCCGGGCTACGGATGTAATTAAATTTGAAGCACAGTTCACTGACATAACCCTTCTGTCGTTTGACATGCAGCGCTGGATCCGCCCTTCTTGCCGTGCCCAAGGCTCTCGGAAAAGGCTACCTGTACGTGATTTCCGGTACGTCGTCTCGTCATGTCGACTTTACCTCCAGTCGGAGGCCGTGCCGCGGCGGTCCTCCTAATCCTCATACATGTTACACGTTCCGCAGGAACCATCGCTGGGGCGAGCAAGATCAGCCGAAGTTTTGGCATCTTCTGCGGCTACCTGTGCTGCCCGTGCACATGCGGGGCTTCCCTGATCGCGGCGGCGGATGAATGAGGCTATGGTGCGTTGAACTCTGACTCGGCAGTCGCCCTCTCTCACGCGCTGTACTTGTAGCGCAGCCACCGACGTTATACCCTTTGACAGATGCCATTGCGACCATCGATACAGTACGAAAAAGACGAACTACAGGCGCGAACACGATGCTACACACGAGAACACAGCACTACACAGACACAGATGCCAGGCACAAAACTTACGCGTCCATCATAGATAAGATACATACCCATCGTCCATCCCAACCCATCTTCGAACTCAGAACCACAACGCGAAGCACCCATGTCAACGAGATGCCTCCTCGCCGTTCTCCACCCGCTTCGCCCGTTTCCTGTGCAACTCCTCCACAGACGGCGCCAGGGCCACCGCAGGCACGTCGACGAACCGCCGCGTATACACATAGCTCTTCGAAAGCCGGTCGCGCACCTTGTCGTGCAGCGGCCACCCGGGGTTCTTCAGCACCCACTCCGCGAGCAGCGCGACCACGCCCTTGTGCGACTGCAGGCTGCGTGCTAAGTCTTGCGTCTTCGCCGACGGCTCGCGCGCATTCCGGGCCGTTAGTGTGGGTTGTAACCTGCGCGACGCGAGGTTGTGCGTCTCCCGTAGCACCGGTCGGCCTGCGGTGGGGGTGTCGAAGAGCTTCTGCGGGTGCTGCGTCGTGCCGGGAACCCCGTTTGGATCTTTGTTCCATTGCATGACGGCGTACCGCGCCTGGAATCGCCTGAGGAACTCGAATAACAGGCCGTTGAGGGGGTGCGCAGGCGCATTCCCGTCGTCGCAGAACAAGATTTCGGTGGTGTCACCATAGTGTAACCGCGCGTCGGCGATCGTCTTAGCCCGTAGGTCGTTGCAAGTGAATCCGCCATTTGGGTACCGCTTGAAGGTATCGTAGAACTCCGTGATAAAGGGCGTCACGGACCGGCTGGGGAGGGTATGCCGCATGTACCGGATGGCGTACCAGAGCAGGACGTAAAAGAACGCCTCGAGCTCGTCTTCTACGGTGGTCATGCTGCGGGGATTGCTGACGCGGTTCATAGCTGCATACTCCCAGCTCAACTAGCAGATATGGTGATAAGCGGACGAGTGAACTACTTAGGGGAGTGCGGCACTCACGATAGGAACATCATCACCCCCAACCTTCGTCAGTTTGTTATCGCGCACGCATTGTGCCAGCTCCCAGTCGATGAGCATCCCGTGCCAAACAATGACCTCCTTGCCGTCCTTCCAGGTAGCGACCGGATTAATCAAGATATTTCCCGGGCTGATGTCGCCATGCAAGAGACCGTATTCCTTGTACGCCCTAGCGTGTGCTAGCGGGGTTCGAAAACCACACGTCAGCACACCTAACACACATCATGAGAGACAGACACTCACTTCTGACACACTCGAATATCAACCTGACCAATTGCCAGCCAGAGGCAAAGTTCTCGAGGTCGAGACCGATCTCCTTGACCGCGACGCGATAATGCCCATACGCAGGCAGCGACTGCAGCGTCCGGCGCGATATTTTCTTCGGGCTAGGTTGGAGCTCCTCCTCCTCACAATCATCCTCACGAGAACGCTTCATGCCGATGACCCGTGCGTCTTCTTGTCCGGCCGAGCGCGTCTTCATCCTCATAGGAGTCATCGGCTCCTGCACCATGCACGACACGGGCCGTGCACTCTCCGGAGTACTCTGTTGACGGACATAACCGTGACACACAAGTGTCGGAACGTGCAGTTTGGAGTCGCCCGCAAACGCCGCGAGCACAGTGCCCTCCGGCCTGCTGCACTCGCTCCGCGGCCGCCACGAGTCCTTGAGCCACACAAACTGCCGCGTCAAGCAGTCGACCGCAACGTACGCCCTGCAGCCACGTCCGAACAACGCGCTGCTCGAGATCATGGCAGGCATCGCCACTAGGAACTCCCGTCTCTCGTCGCCGACCTTGAGGCGATACCGGGGCCAGCTGCGACAGAGAGAGTTGCTGAACATCTTCCGCACGTGCTTGAATACTCGCGCCTCCGCAGTGGCTTGAGATTGGGAAGAAATCGAAGGTGCTGGTTGTGGCGTAGTCTTTCCTGGCGCGGCCCTTGAGGTCCGTGATGCATCGGGGAAGGGCGGGAGGCTGGCCCCTTCTTCGTAGTCGATGTCGAGTTCCGCGTTGGCCTTCCCGAGCTCGGTCATGAGCTTATAGTCGTCCGATCTTTCATCGAGCCTCGTCGCGGTCGTATCCGCGCCTTTCTGCGCGTCCGTAAGGTGTGCGAAGCGCCACAGCAAGCGTGGCAGGACGGAGGGGTCCTTGATGTAGTCGACGGGCTTGGTCGTCATGATGCCCGAATGGTCCAGACGCATAGCTCGGAGGTGGCGGTCGTTGATATAAAGGCCAAATAGGAACACACGGTGCTGGTACTCGAAAGTTGATGTTGCGCACGAGAGAAGGTGATCCCGCGCGGCTGCACGAGCAATATGCAAGGGATCGTTCGGACGCGCGCCGTTTTCGTCGTATGGGTCGTAGCGTGCGCCACCGCTCTCGAACTGGATGATCATCTGCACGCGGCTCCAGTCTTCTCGCTCTGTTCGGGCGCTGGGGGCGTATTCCTTGGGATAGAGCATCCCAATGGCAGCGTCGTCGTCAGAGCTACCCGTTTCGCTCGCATAGTGGTATCCTCGGCTACGGTGACCTTCGGCGAGGTTGTAGTTGCTGATGGCTGAAAGCTGGGACGACGGGCTCGTAAACCAGTCCATCTACGTCGCATAGCGGAAGACTTACCAGAATGGTTCCAATATTCTCTTTGCGTTTAAGACGAGACTCACTAGTTGCTGAGAGTGATGTTTGAAGGTGCGAGACGATGCCAGTCGCCAGGCTCTGAGTTCTTGGGTGAAGCGTCGGAGGGGCCGGGAGGAAGCGCTCCTCGAATTCGTCGAGCTCCACGACCACCATGGGTGCTCCTACGCTAGAGGCCATCGTGACAGGAGCTAGAGGGAGGGGTGGTGGCCTGGACGCCCGAGGCGGGTGAGAGTAGATGGTTGCACTGAACAAGCAGGGATGAGAAAAGCGCCCAAAATACGTTCTTTTGTGGCTAAGACATACGGGAGATCGCGAAACCGAGATCTACATCTGAGGGTGGGACGCGTCAGTGTTACCGGAGTAGGAAGACAATAGATCGTGTCGAATCACTCACAAATGCTTTGTTTCCGCACAACAACAACGTCGCCAGCGGCATTGCGATATGACCAGCCCGCAAATGCTTCCACTTACTTCCACAGTCACGTAATAGACCGGATCAAATCCAGAGGATGAAGTTTCGAGCTAGTACTTCACTCGGGTGGGTTCAAGTTCTGTAGTAGCTAATCGCGAGAGCGCCTGAGCAATGAGTACTGAGCAGGGCTAGCCTCCTTTAATAACGAGCGACTGTTTCCGAATTTCGATGCATGATACAGTGACCTTATGAAGCACGGAGTCCAGAGAGCGCGTCGAGCATGAAAGCTTGCTGGTGGGAGCATTACGGCGACGAACGGTGGTGCGACGACGAGCTCGAATCCCGCCGCGTGCTGGCAGACGGTGGGCACAGCCACTGCCGACCAGGTTTTAGTACGGTGACACCGTCAGCGACATGGCCGTGTCGCGCGATTGAACCGGTCATAAGATGCTGAATATCTAGAACGATGTCAAACAAAAGCGGAAGCCGGGCGTACTCCTTCAACAACTTTTCGTTTTCTCCCCTCACGCCTTATTTTCAGCAACCAAATTATCCCCACAACGTTGACCACAAGTCCGAAAACTAGCGCAAAAGTAAAGAATGACAGTAGCCCCCGTATGTCCGTTCTGGATGTTGAGGTTCTGGATATCGAGGAACTGTTCATATACGAGGTTTTCGAGGAGTATGTCTAGAAACCAACCACGCCGGGCCTGTGAGCTAGTCCGAGCGGACCCAGCAGCACTGGTACAACGAGTACTGCCAGGACTCACCACGGTCACGGGAGTTGACAATCCTTGGGAAGTCCACTCGACCTCCGTTAAAGGGGAGGTTTGGTCGTACGCGTACGGGGCTGTTACCGCACCTGAGATTTGGAGAGGGCTAGTACGACTGATTGTGGTACTATGCGAAGGTGATGTCTTGACAACCTGAACGGAGGAGGACTGCGAGGCTGTACTAGCGAGGGCGGTGCGGGAAGCTCGAACAGATTTCGACGTCTTTGTATGGGTGGGCAGGAGAAGCGATGATGAAGATGGTGGAGATGATAGAGCTGTACTGGGGGCTGAATCTGTCGGGACGCCAGCGCCGGAGAAGCCGCCTGTGAGCGGGCTAGGCGCAGCAGTCGCGAAGGCATTCACGCCAGTGCGCGCGGGTTTCGGGGCTTTGACGGTGGTCGCCGCCTTCGCCAACTTGACATACGATGAGAAGGTGTTGCCAGACGCGGGCGCGTTTATGGCGCTGTACAGATATGAACTAGCTCAACAACGATGGAGGGAAGGGCAACCTACCCAACCATGCCATCCATGCAGTGAGGTTTGGGGCTTAGCTGAGCGCAGTAGAACCAAATGGCTACAAAAATTCCATAAGTCCCCGCAGATGTATGTAGGAGATTTATTGGTACACACGCTCTGTATCTTCCACAATGGTGATGTTGAACGTCGGGAACGCCGATGAGGAGGCATCGATGGTGTCCGGCACAAATATGAAACCAGAGTCGAAACCTCCAGCGAGGGGCTCGCAGGGTCTGTCAAAGGCGGACTGGGCGACAGTGTGGTTTCCATGAATTCTGTCGAAAAGGAATGTAACGATGGAGCCTTTGGCTGCCTTCACAGAAGGGGGGTCGAAGGTGGGTACCGGCCTGCCGCGTACCGCACCGACGTGGATGACCTGCACAAAAGTTGTTTATCAGGCGACGTGAGTTCCGAAGAGGCCACTCACGATAGGATCCTGGGCTACGTGATACATCGTGAGAGGTAGAACATTCGGATATCAGGCAAGAGAGGGGCAGAGTTGCTCGAAAGCGAACTCTGAGGTGGGGTGGGGAAGAGATGCTCACTCGTGATATTTATACATGACGAGCAGCCCAGAGAATGGGTGTCATCTGATATCTGAGAGCAACTGAGAGGATCAACAACAACACGTAGATGAGGGGCGACAGCCGGGCGCCACGGATGATCATCGAAGCCCGGTGTGCTGATGGCCTAGCTGGTATTCAGATACGTTCAAGCGCGCCGTCGTAGATAGACTACGTTGGGTTGTCTGTGTTGCCAATGATCACGTTAAACACGTACCTATACAACCGAGTATAAGTAGTCGGACGGGCGGGTCACACTGACCATAAAACTTTCTCTTAGCGCTCTTGAGCAACATATCAAGGGTTCAATCTTGCTTGAGGCGAAGTGGTGTCTTGCCCTTGCCTTTGTCGCTACCACCATCGCGAGGCGGGAATGTGTTGGTCTTGGGCTCGTAGTATTTATACTCGCATATTCAGCTACCTCGCATGTATAAGTGATGATGTCCTTCCAGATACGCATGCAAAGTATATTCTACAGTATGTTCAGAGAAGTGAGTAAGCTCGCTGTGGCATATCAAATTGATGCATTCACTCACCATCTGCGACCCGTATAACTCCTGATGATAAGGCTGTTTTACGGCGTAGCGAAGTGCGAGCGCGACCACAGCCAGATACGATTAGCGACATACGGATACATACTTGACTCGACACAGCACCTCCAGGGTGTAAGCAACGCGAGTCTTTGTGAAAAAAAATCACATCACATGAAGGGCGAATTCTTCACGCGCCCTGCGTATATTTTCACCTCTGCGCGAACTACGCCTGATCTTGAACAACCAGACGATCCCCGCAATATTGATGGCAAGCCCGGCGGCTAGCGCTGCAGCAAAAAATGCGAGCAGCCCTCGTATGTCCGATCCAGATGACGGGCAGGCGCTGAGATCGGTGGTAATTACAGGGCCACTCTGAAAGAAAAGCCCAGTGACTAGTCAGTCGCCGACGCGGCCCGGCACTATTACAGTGCATGAGGGATGACATGGGCTGTTCTCACAGTCGGCGATGTGCCACTCGCTGGACTACTTCCTCCGCTGCTGGAGGTAATGGGTTGAGTCAAACTGCATAGTGATATCAGCTACAATATATCGCGGGGGCGAGTCATAATGACGAACCTCGTTGAACTTTGACTAACGGCGCCTGAGCTGCCGGGCACGGACAGGGGGGTAGTGGGAACTGCCGTACTACTGGAATAACTGACGGTGGGCACGGCCGCACCGGAGAAGCCGCCAGTGAGCGGGCCGGGGCCAGCAGTCGCGAATGCGTTCACGCCGGAGAGCGCGGGGATGGGCGCAACGACGCTGAACGCGTCAGCGGCGACCGCCGCGTATGACAAGAAGGTTTCGCCAGTGGCGGGCGCGTTGATGGCACTGCAAGAGTATGAGCGACAGTGAGCCAATGAAAGCGTGATGTGACCAACCCAACCATGCCGCTAATGCAGTGCGGCGCGGGGGTCATCTGGGCGCAGTAGAAGAAGATCGCTGCAGACAAACGGTACTAAGTGGCCACTCTCCATGCAAGCAGTGCATGGATACATACGTTTGGTGTCATCCTCGATGATCAGGTTGAAAGTCGGGAGTGACGCGGCGGGGTCGGTGTTCACCGGCACGAAGATAAAACCGGTGTCGAAGCCACCAGCGAGGGGCTCGCAGGGCTTGGCGAAAGAAGATTGGGCGACGGTGTGGTTGCCCGGAATACCGTCGAAGACGAAGGTGATAATTGAGCCCTTGGTTGCATGGACGGACGAGGGGGTGAAGGCGAGCTTCGCGCGACCAGCACCATCCGAACCAACGTGAATCTGCGGGTACTTTGTCAGATATGAGGCTGCATACATTGTTCAGGATGCTGTACCGTGGTGTCCTGCGCCGCGATTCCCACAGGGATAGAGACTAGAATGAAGCTTACAGTGGCCCAGTAATACATCGTGAGCTGTACTGAGCTCAGTTACAAGGGAAAGGGGAGGAATTTGTTCAAACCCTCGAGGCTTATATAGGCATCCAGCGCCGTGCGCCTGATGAGATAACTTCTGTAACACGACTAGCATGCCTGTTACCCCGGACATAGCCTACCATGGTGTGCCATTGCGTGGACACAAGCGCATCTCGCTAAGCCGCTTCGAAGCCCCTGAACACTGTTGCACTGTGCACACACTGTACGTCGGAAGTAGATATCATCAGAATTCCGCGATCTCAACACACCTCGAGAAGATGCCACAACGTACCTGTGTAGACCCACATACCTGAGATACGTGGGCAGTCGCGTCTCCAGTTGCTCTTGGATAACGTGGACTCGACTTCGTCGCCTCCGCGTTACTATCTTCGCGTTCACTCACCGTCTGCGACCCGCGTATTTCCCGAGTATATGGAGCTGATTTGAGGGTAGAGCGACGTTCGAGTGCAATCACAATCAAATACGATTAGCGACCAACGGAGACAGACCAGACCCGGCATAGCCCTCCCAGAGCGCACGAAATCCGAGCCTTTGTGAGTTACAACAAAATCAAACGAAGGGCGAAATCTTATGCGCCCCGTGAGTAGTGTTGCCGCTGTGTGATTGACGCCTTCGGATCTTGAACAACCAAATGATCAGTGAAGTCCGAGCGCGACCACAACCAAATACAATTAGCGACATATACGGATACATACCAGACTCGACATAGCACCTCCGGCCTGCCAGGGTACAAGAAACGCGAGGCTCGTGAGATAGAACCTGTTCAAACAAAGGGCGAGATCTTGTGCGCCCTGCGAGCAGTGTTACCGCTGCGCGAGCTACGCCTGATCCTCAACAACCAAACGATCCCCGCAATATTGACGGCAAGCCCGAAAGCTAGCGCTGCAGTGAAGAATGCGAGCAGCCCTCGTATGTCCGTGCTAGATGATGGGCATGCACTGAGAACGGTGGTGATTCCGGGGCCACTCTAGAATAAGAGCCCAGGGACTGGTCAGTCGCCGCCGCGGGCACTATTACAGTGCATGAGCGATGACACGGGCTGTTCTCACAGTCGGCGATGTGCCACTCGCTGGACTGCTTCCTCCGGCACTGGAGGTAAAGGATTGAGTCAAACTGCGTCGTTCTATCAGCGACGATATATCGCGGGGACTCATAGTGACGGACCGCGGTGTACTTGAACTAGCAGCGCCCGAGCTGCCGCCGGGCACGGAAAGAGTGCCAGTGGGAACGGCCACGCCGACGAAGCTGCCGGTGAGGGGGCCGGGGCCAGCAGTCGCGAACGCGTTCACGCCGGAGAGCGCGGGAGCGGGCGGAGCAACGCTGGACGCCGCAGCGGCGAGCGCCGCATACGACGAGAACGTGTTCCCGGTGGCGGGGGCGTTGATGGCACTGCAGAAGTATGAGCGAGAGTCAGACATTGAAAACACCAATGAGACCTACCCAACCATCTCGGCAATGCAGTGGGGAGCGGGGTTCAGCTGGGCGCAGTAGAACCAAATCGCTGCAGACAAATAGTGAGTGATCACTCTCTATGCAAGCAAGATGTGGATACATACGCTTGGTGTCATCCTCAATTGTGATGTTGAACGTCGGGAACGTCGAGGAAGCATCCGTGCCCGCGGGGACGAAGATGTAGCCAGTGTCGAAGCCGCCAGCAAGGGGCTCGCAGGGCTTGGCGAAGGCGGACTGGGCGACGGTGTGGTTGCCGGGAGCACCGTCGAAGACGAAGGTGACAACCGAGCCCTTGATCAAGTTGACGGACGAGGGGGTGAACGCAAGCTTAGCGGTGCCCTGGCCATCCGAGCCGACGTGGATCTACGGACACGTTGTGAGAGACGAGGTCGCGTGCATCGTTGAAGATGACTTACGACGGTATCCTGGGCTACAATTCTCACAGGAATGGAGACTAGAATGAAGCTTACAGTCACCCAGTAATACATCGTGAGCTAGTGTGATTACTGAGATCAATGACCGCTGCTGGGGCACAGTTGTTACGAGGGAAAGGCGAGGAATTTGTTCAAACCCTCGAGGCCTATATAGGCATCCACTGGCGCCATGCGCCTGATGGAACGACAGTAACACTGGCATACCTATTACCTCGGACGTGGCCCGTCATAGGGTACCATACGAACGCATCTCGCCGAACCGCTTCGAAGCCCCTGAGAACAGCACGGTTTCACTGTGCACGCATTGGACGTCGCCAGAGCTGAGAGGATATCATCAGATTCCGCGGTTTCGAAGCATATCGAGAAGATGCCGCAGCGTACCTGTGTAGACCAACATACTTTAGCTGCGGAGGAGTCAAGGACAAGCTGTGTGTCGGCCCAGCCTGCTGCGCGACTGAGGAGAGGAAAGTGGGAGGAGCACCGCCACCGACGCGTCGAAATTTACGGTAGACGCCCGTCCTCTTGCTCGCGACCGCCACAGCTGGGCAATTCGACTGCAGCTGCCCTCCTGCTTTCCCTCATGTCCTCCGCTCATACGCCGCTATATTGACCGGATATCTACCGACTTTGGGGCTATTTCCTCTGCTTCACGCACTGTGGGCTGTAACATCGACGTTCAACCTTGTACTGCCGCCTACGACTTTCGTCCTCAAATTCCGCACACTGAACAATATCAGGAATGCCTGCCCGTGAACAGTCGCAGCCTAAAAGGCGTAGGGTCGATGTATCGTCAAAACAGACCTACAAATGCAGCTCGGCGAGGGATATTCAGCGGGTGCTGAAAGCACAAAGTGAGGCGGGGCTTATTGAAGGTGTGTCGCACCCGTGCCCTCTCTCGGAAGAACTGAACTCACTACGCAGAAAGGCTTGACCGCTCTACGAAACCAATTCACTGTCAAAATTAGCGAGCCATCCGTTGCGGTCAACGATGAGAGGCTGCTGCTCGCCAAGGAATGGCTGGAGGCGGACCCCGGAGCGCAGGAGCTGCTGAACATTTGGGAGACCGCAAATGCTGTATGTCACAGCAAACTTCACACACCTTGCTTTATCTCACTCCATGTGTAGCGACAAACGGCTCTGCTTGCGGCCGTGGTGGGAGTGTTCGCGGCGCTCCTGCCCCTGCTTTCCTCCCATTACACCTATCATACCTACGCCCAGCCCATCCTGCGCGTCTTGCTCTCCCCGCAATGGGCGCACCACCTCAATCTGTATCTAGCAGGACAACACACCGAATTGATCCTCGTCACATTGAAACTGTTTATCAGCATGTCAAACTTTGCCGGAGGTCGTGAGCGCAAAGCCGTGCTGGATGCATTCGCCTGGGAGATGAAGGTATTTGCCTCCGCACGACTCGTCTATATGATCCAATGCCGACATTGGCTATAAATCCAGTCACTGCCAAAACTTTTGCAAATGAGGCGCAAATCCAAAGGCGGGGAGGACGCTGACATGCTACAGCGACCAGGTAAGTCCAGGCTTTGACCCCCGTTGCGGCTATATCCTCATCGCTGTTACCAGACATTAGGACGCTCTATATCCTGCTCGTCCTGTCGTTCCTTGACACGACCACACCCTCTTCGGTGAAGGGCGCCTTTCTCGAACAGCACCGCGATGCCTTCACTATCATCTTCAAAGGCCTCTGGCAGGATCCGTACTCCGTCATCAGGCGGGTTCTCGAAGTCTGCTGGGCAGGTCTTTGGTCCGACCCGAAGCTCAAGCGGACGTTGAAGATCCAAGTCTTCAGTGAATCGACACTGTCCCAGGTCCGTGCTTCTCATACTATTCGTAATTTATTGCCGAGTTGTATGCTAATGTCGATATGCAGCTGCTGCGTCTGTATGAACGCAATGTGCGGGAAGGCTCTGATCCAGAGTCTGTCCCCGCTGACGTGGTCCACCATTTCCTTCTCGCACTGTGCAGCCACCCCGGTGTGGGACTTTGCTTCTATGATCGAGGATGGTATCCGCGGGAGACCGACTTAGATCAGAAAGCGGCTGCAGACGTCGAGGGGCGAACTGACGGAGAGAACACACACAAGGGGGGCAAGATATACAACAAGATTCTAGCCAATGTTGTAAAGACGCTCAAAGTTAACGAGGATCCACGCCAGCAGGAGCTTGCTTTGAAAATTCTTGCGGCGTGCCCAGAGCTCGTCTCAGGGTGGGTTTTCATCAGTATCAGTATTTCCCGTGTCCTTGCTCATCTCGTTGAATTTTTAGATACTGGTCTTCTGCCGGCCTTGCCCTCGAGCCCCGGCTCTCCTCCAAATGGTTGGCCAACATAGCCTTCTTCGGCTCAGTCGTCGCGCTCTCCGTCCCCACCTCATCCTTCTTCCTCCCCGAGAGCGGCAGCAGCAGCTCATCGCTCTATCAGCCCACACCGCCCCCACTCTCCGCCATCATCGAAAACATCCTCCCCGGCCCCCAGATCAAGATCCACCTCTCGCGCGGGCTACAGGCGTCTTCGCCTCTCGTGCAGCACGCCTCCGCTCTAGCGCTCGCCAAGTGCTTGCTGAAGTACGAACAGGTCGTGCGTGCGTTCCAAGAGGTCGAGCGCGCGTTGGAAGAGGACGAGGACGAGGGTTTATGGACCCGCCGCCGCCGTGAGGTCGAGCGCGAGGTGCGCAAGCGCGTCCCCGACTTCCAAGTCGTCGTCGGCTTTTCCCAGCGCCTGAACGACGTGGGCCCGTCGGCAGCGGACGCGCAGGCGAAAGAAAAGCCCAAAGAAAAGGAGAAGCCGAAGGAGCGTGCACCCAACCCCACGCGCACCGCGCTACTCACGGAAAGCTCGCATCGTCTGCTGTGGCTTTACCACCGCTTGTTGCCCTCCGTCGTAGCCGAGGCCCGATTCGATGCTGGGAAGCTGTTGCAGGCCATCGAGGAGATGCTCCTCCACACGTCCTCTGGTAGTTCTACCGCCGGACTGGACACGTTGCGCCAGCTGCATGTTCTCCGACTCCTCAGGGAGAGCGAACACTTCACATGGTCTGGGAAATCTGGTACGTCCCTGAAAACAGCCGCTCCGTCCTCTGCATATTGCTCATTATCATCCCGTTGCAGGCTCCAAACACAGCAATTTCCACATCATGCTCAAAGCCTACGTGATAACGCCCGTACCCGCTGTCCGCACCGCTATCGTCGCGCTGCTGCGGCACATTCTGTCCGCCGGCGTGCTCTTTCAGCATGACGCCGACGAGATCGCGCTCTGGCTCGACGCCCTCCCTCTCACACGCCGCGCGCCCGGCGCCCACGCGCCTGACGGCGCGCCGCTCACGGACGAGGCGGACGGCGTGATCACGTTCCTCGACGACTGCGTGCAGCGCTGCGTCAAGACCCCATACAAGTACGTCCAGGAGCTGCAGGCGGTGCAGCGCGGGGGCGACGGCGCATCGATCGGAGAGCGGCCGGAGGTCTTCCCCAGTCCCCTGCTGGCGACGGTGTTCGAGCAGCTCGGCGCGAAGCTGAAGGGAGATATCCTGTCGCCGTCGGACGCGCTCGCTCTGTTCGCGTTCGTGCGGAAGCTGATCCTTCGGATCACCAGCAAGAGTATCGATCTGGACTTGCCGCGCGCGTTCGCTGAAAAGCTTGCGGCATTCACGGAAAGCCAGGAGCTGTTCTCGCAGTACCCGACCATGGAAGGGGCGATCCGGCGCGAGGTATCGCTACTAAACGATCAGCTAGCGCAGCTTCAAGATCCACAAGAACCCATGGACCAGGGCACCACGCCCGCGGTACAAGAGTTTTTGACCCAGATCGAGGATCTCGATGAGCGTACGTCATTCTACAACTTTACAGTACAGCAAGCTCAGTGTGAATTACAGCCATTTCACAGGTAGAGGGGCAGACCTCCGCCTACGAGCTCGTCGACTGGCTTCGTTTGATCGGCCCGCGACTGCACTCTTCGGAGCTTGCTCGCCTTGTACTGGCGACGGAGAAATTCCACACACCCGCGCTCAAGGAGCTGCTCCAGTATCTCAACCCGCGTGAAGTGTCACTATGGGCGGGGACAGGCCTTATAATCGAGTCTTCCATACCAGCACATACGTAAGCCCCCCGTGCCAATTACTGAGATGACCGGTTGACATTCGCCCACAGTCTCGGGTTTGACAATCTGTTCCTCCATTGCACGCACGATCTAGTGAAGGATCAGGCATGCCGCGCGATCCTCGTCGAGCGTTTGTATGCCGCGTCTCCCGACGTCGTCACGCTGAAGCGCGCTATTCGCATGGTTTTGCACCGACTGTCTCGTTCCTTTGCGGAGGGAGCCGGTTCAGGCGACTATCTGCATCTCCTGGCGGAGATCATTGAGAAGCTGCAAGCTTCCGACGCTACAGGTGTCATCATATTCTGTTTCGAGGCGGACGTATTCAAGCTACTGTGCGCCCGACCTGTCAGCGACGCTATCCGAGAAGGTACGGCAGACTAAACAAGAGTGAGGTCATTACTCATGCGGCAGCTTCACAGGACTCAGCTCGTTCCTGGCCATCTGTGCGGTAACCGGCGGAGATGACGTTCAGCAAGTTCTTGCCACGTTCGCTGGACAGTGGATCCTAACCCTTCGCGGGTCCCTAGATAACTCAAATGAAGAGCAGGTGAGTACAGGTTTTTTGACGTACTCACATGAACTACACTGAAAGCACTGCATATCAGATTGACACTGCCCTTCTATGGTTCAAGTATTCGGGGGTCACAGAAGCTCTCGGTTTGCTAGACTACCTCGCCGATCGCGCTGAGCACTCGAGCTCGGCCGGCGTCCTAGATATCATCGAGCACGTGCTCGATGTTACCGCCGACAGCTTCGTCCGCTCACAAGACGCGCTCACGCAGGCTCTCCCTCTGCTCTCGCACCTGCACGCGCTTCTCCCTCGCTCTTCAACGCTCCAATCGCTGCTTGCATCCGGAACAGAGGGATCCCTCCCCGTCAGCTATGACGGCCATCTCCCAGCGCGCTCCTTCTCGGAGTGGAACGTCGCTGCGCTGGTGCCCCTCGCGGCCAAGCGATGGGCTTTGCGCTTAGAGCCGGTGCCCCCTCTTTCCGTCGAGTCATTTATCGCGGCGAGTAAGTGGACGGACGCCACCGTGGATATCCTCACCACACTCGCGTACCGGCATCAGTCTGCCCGGGCCCCCGTCATCGTGTGGCTCGAGTCTCCAGACTCCACGAGCTGCAGTGCGGCCCACCTCGTCAAGATCGTCTTCGCCTTGTACGACTCCGCGCGCGAAGGAGACGCTCACTTGTCCGGTGAAAGCGATTCCTTCGCCACCCACTTCGCTCGCTTGGTGAAAGTCGTCAAGGATGCCCGCCTGCCGCAGGACGTCTGCTCTAAAGCTGCTGCTTCCGTTGCTTCCATAGTCACAACACACGCTTCAAGCCGGTCAAAGCTTCTCAAGTTGCTCAGCAAGGAGCTAGGGTTGGTTGCGCCGGAGAAGCTTTCCCAGTACAGCTTGTCCATCTCTGTCAAGTTGATCGAGACGAACGTCGCAGAGGCTCGTCTATTTGGGGAGCACCTCCTTGACGTTGGTCTTAGGTGGGCCGTCAGGCACTTTGCGGACAACGGTGCCAGCACAGATGCTAGCCGTGCCATCTTGTCTTCCTTAGGTAATGTCACACGCACTATTCCCCCGCATATATATGTTTATAGTGTGTTTTGCAGCTACACTCATAAGGGTACCGATACCTGTAAAGAGTCACCTGGTTGAGCCGGTCATCGCAACCGTCATTCAAGAATGCCTGGGCGTCACGGATGCAGTCTACTTTGTCCGGCTTCTTGCAGCATCGACCAATATCAAGGTATGCCCCATTACTAAGTTATTGCAATTGTGGATTAACACGCCCTCGCAGCCTGTCACCGTGAACAAGTACCTCCAGACAATCGTGCAGCACACACGGTTCTACGAGCTCTGTACCTGGACTTCATCGGCTAGTGAGGCAGCTCCCCGAGGCAGCATCATCAACCTCCTACACACCCTCTTCCATCTTCACCCGCTCAACACCTGCCAGCCGAGTCACATCGAGCCCCTGCGGAGGGCGTATGGCGGCTCCCTCAGCGCCGCTGACCGCAAACTCCTCAGCATCTTCCAGCTCTACGAAGCTACGCGGAAGACATCCATCGCGTCGCTATTCAGCCAGTGGTCGAATACCACCGACGTCGTATCGGAGAGCGCGCTCGAGGCGCTGCAGGGTCTCGACCCCAGCCGTGTCCTCAAAACATGCCTCGACTTCCCGGAGTGGCGGAAGCTCGAAGAGGGCGACATTGAAGACGTGCCCTCGAGCGAGGCGCTATACGACCCCGTCTTTGTCTTGCTGCTTTTCACGCAGATGATGACCGATGCTGTACCCTCGTCCGCGCTCGAGTGGGTGCAACTGTTCCGGACGAACGTGATCAGCTTGCTCCTCCGGGCACTTTCTGCGAAGGACGCGCAGCTTCGTGAGATTGCGTGGGCACAGATTGCGTCCCTCTATCGTACTCTCGAGGTATGTCGCGCCCCGCTACGACAACCACCTGTGCTAACCACGAGTACGTCCTAGAACGCTGATCTACAGGAGAAGCATCATGTTATGCACATCCTGAACCTCCTCAAAGACCTCCCCTCGTCCACACCCGCCGAAGACGTTCCCCGTCTCTCCGCATACACCACACTCCTCCTAGCGCACGCCTTCCGCGGCCTCTTCTACCCCTCCAACTTCATTTACCCGCTCACCGCGCGCTTCCTCCTCCAGCGCCCCACGCTCGACCCCACGGATGTGCCCATGCTCTACGGGATGCTGTACAGCTCCTCGGACGACTGGAAGAAGGAGCGCGCGTGGATCGTGCGGTTCCTGAGCGACGGCATCATCGGGTCCGAGGAGTGGAGGATCCTGAAGAGACGTCATACATGGGACCTGCTCGCGAGCATGTTCCAGAGCGAGGAGCGGGACAAGACTCTACGACGCGGTGTACTCGAAGTGAGTGTCGTTCCCTTGATCCCAATGAGTCGCAATTGACACGGATTCACAGGTGCTCGCGAACATTACTTGCAATGCTCGCACGACGACGTCGCTGCTTCTCCGCCATGCGCTGCTCTCTTGGGTCGAGATGCAGCTACCGGACATGCGTGGAGAAGAGGCCATCGCGTGGGCGCGCATTCTGGAGAACATCCTCGCCGTCGGCTACTCGAGTAAAGTCGAGACTGCGACGATTGGCGAGTGGCGGGCGATCGCGAGCCGCTGTGTGCGCACGATCTTGCATCACCCCAGTACGTCCTCGAGAACATGTTATATTAACTGTATACTCATGAACTTTCGTCTGTTTTAGCATGCTCCTTGAGTGTCTTCCAGGCCTTGGTCCCTGTCATTCTCCGACTCGCGCTCCTGCCTGGGCCACCGTCCTCTCACACGCCTGTACTACTAGCACGGGGCCTTCGTTGGCTCGAGCAGCTGGAAGCTGAAGTTGCAATCCCCGCTTCCGGACAGCTATCCGCACCATTGGGAGACAGCCGGGACAAGATGGGATCCGTGAACCTTCACCGCTCACAACACCTCTTCGACGCGCCCCCGACACCCACCATCGAGGCATGGGGTAGCTGCGTAGAGTCCCTCTGGAGAGCGTCCATGACTCTGCCAACAAAAACGGCCGAGTGGGATGCGCTCTCGAGCCATCTCCTCATCTGGCGCGCCATTGCCGGGGAGTCGCGGACTGGGACGGGAGAGTGGGCCAGGCGGGAGATGCTGGAACACTTGCGGTCGGTGGCATAGGTAGCTGGGCTGAACGTTGTGGAAGGTCATGCGGTGTATCCGTAGTCATGTATTATGCTCGAGTACAATCTCCATCTCTGCCATACCGCTGTCGGGCTCTACGCGTGCAGACGCGAAGACGTCTCCGCCTGCCGCTAATGAGTCGATGAGCATCGCCAGACGCGACGTCGTGAGATTTGGCTCTTGCTGTGAACACGCGTCAGTGATACGCGCACAGACACATACAAAGGGTAGGCGTACTTTGCGAATCTCCTCGAGGTCCTCCTTGAAGCCATCCGCGACAGACGCCATCCAGAACTTCCTGAAGCGCTCCTTCAGGACCTGCTCATTCTGTTTCTCCTCATCTGCCGCGCCTTTTCCCGGCAAGAAGGACGGAACGGCCGTAGGAGGAGGTGTGGGTGACGACGGTCGTCGTGCTGGTTTTGAAGGAGTAGGTGCCGAGGCCTGACCAGCTTTTGATGATCCCGCTCTCGCAGGCTCAGCATCCGAGTCGGACTCAGAGTCGGATGAGGAAGACGAGGATTCGGACTCGCTCGGCGCCGCAGGCTTTGGTTGTGCCGCCTTTCCGGCCTTCGACTTCACGGAGACGCGTACGACGGTCTGCTTCTGGGACCCATCAGACTCGTCGGATGAGTCGTCGGATGAGGATGATTCTGAGGACGATGAGACGTCGCGGCGCTTTCTTTTGCGGGTGCGTTTCCGTGCCGCTGTGGTTTTAGGTCCTGCGGGCGCCATGGGTCAGGGAGGACGAAGAGGGCGGGGCGGGGGTCGTCGTGAACGGTGAGGAGGATGCATTGCTCGGCGTCCAAGTGCAAAAAGTTTGAGCGCCGGCGCTTCCGAATTTCTCGGACTCCCGCTTGTCCTCCGCCTTCATCTCCTCTCATTCGTCCTAGAGTCACCGCGTCCTCGCGCTTTTCATCGCGAACAGATATCCTTGTGGAGGCGCCGTAATAGCGATGGACAAAGTGGTCGGAATCCTCGGTGGGAGTGGGTCACTTTCACGTACTTTAAAACGAGGACGCCCATTGACCTCACGCTAGATCCCCAGTCATATATGTCGCGTTATGTCGCTGAACGTTGATCACCAGGCGGTGGTCAATTGGGTCGCATGCTGGCTGCCTCAGCTGCATTGCTCAACATCGATGTAGTTGTGCTCGATGTGGGAGAGCACACCCCTTCGAAGCAGGTTATTGCCCCGCGCGCTCCTCACCTCACGCACATCGACGGCTCTTTCACGGACCCGGCAAAGATTCGCGAGATTGCGGCCAAGGTCGACGTGCTCACAGTGGAGATCGAGCATGTCGATGTCAAAGTCCTGGAAGAGATCGAGAGCAAGGTCCCCCTCGGCGTGCACCCTAGTCCGTTCACCATCAAAACCATCCAGGACAAGTTCGTTCAGAAGCAGCATCTACATTCGTCTGGTTGCCCTATTTCGGACTTCATCCCAGTGGAATCCACCGTCGAGGCCATCCATGCCGCAGCAGAACGCCTGGGGCTTCCGCTGATGCTCAAGAGCCGGACGCTGGCATACGATGGCAGAGGCAACTTCGTCATCCGCAAGCTCTCCCAGGCCCAGGAAGCCATCACCGCCCTCGGAAACAGACCCCTATATGCTGAGAAGTGGGTGCCCTTTGTGAAGGAGATCGCCGTCATGGTAGTGCGCTCGAGGTCCGGAGAGGTCCTCTCGTACCCTGCGGTCGAGACCATACACAAGGAAAACATCTGCCACCTAGTGTTTGCCCCGCTGCGCAGCCGCGACCCCTCCATCTCTGAGCGAGCGCGTACCGTTGCAGAAAACGCCGTCAAGAAGCTGGAGGGTGCAGGTGTCTTCGGCGTGGAGATGTTCCTTATGGCGAACGGTCAGTTTCTTGTTACGCTACTTCGCCTGGGGGCCGTGGCTAATATTATACAGGATCCGTGTACTTGAACGAGATCGCGCCAAGGCCGCACAACTCCGGGCACTATACCATCGAGGCATGCGAAACCTCCCAATACGAGAACCACCTCCGCGCCATCCTCGACCTCCCACTCGGCTCCCCCGCACTCAAGGTGCCCTCCGCATGCATGCTCAACATCCTCGGCGCCTCCACCTCCATGGACGAGATCCGGTCCTTCGCACAGCTCTCCCTCACAGTCCCCGGCGCGCGCGTGCACCTCTACGGCAAGTCCGAGTGCCGCAAAGGCCGCAAGATGGGGCACATCACCATCGTCGCGGACTCCGACGCGCAGCTCAGCGCGCGCCTGCGCCCCCTGCTCGAGCACATCCCCGGGGGTCACGACCCCAAGGAGCTCGACCTGTACGCGCCGCTATTCCCTGGACGCGGGTTCTCGCACCAGCAGCCCGTCGTTGGGGTGATCATGGGCTCGGACTCGGACCTGCCCACCATGCTCCCCGCTGCGGACATCCTCAACCATTTCAACATCCCGTACGAGCTGACGATCGTGTCCGCGCACCGGACGCCCGATAGACTCGTGGAATATGCGCGGTCTGCTGCGTCGAGGGGCCTCAGGGTGGTCATCGCCGGTGCTGGCGGTGCCGCTCATCTCCCAGGGATGGTGGCTGCTATGACTGCGCTCCCTGTTATTGGTGTCCCGGTAAAGGGCAGCTCGCTCGACGGTGTCGACTCGCTCCACAGTATCGTACAAATGCCTGTGGGTATCTTGCACGCACTATCTAACGCTTGGCAGCTGACTTTATATTCTAGCGCGGCATTCCGGTCGCTACTGTGGCGATCAACAACGGTACAAACGCAGGCCTGTTAGCGGTCCGCATACTGGCCGCGGGCCAGCCAAACCTCGTCACCGCTATGGATGACTACTTGAAGGCCCTAGAGAAGGAGGTACTCGGGAAGGTAGATAAAATCTCTGAGATCGGTTGGGATGCGTACGAGGCCGCAAAGAAGGCACGTAGCGGTTAGAATAGAGAGGAACATGAACACGGTAAAGAGAAAAGTATGTTGTATCATTGTAGAATTGTATCATTGCTATTCTGTAGCTGTTGCTGCTGAACCTCTCAGGCATCAGACCCCGAGCGCGCCGGATACTAGCACTGACATGTCATGTACCCACTCATGCAAAGTGTTCACGTACGGCACCTGGCATCCCACATGATGATCTCATCCGCAGACTGGGCAAAATCCTACCAAGTCATGGAGGTCAGGATATTCAAGGTACGTCGCGTTTGTTTCACCCAAAATCAGAATGTCCCACTTATTCGTTGAAAGCAATTAGATGTTTCATAAATCCCAACGTGAAGCGATGTCCATAGCGTCAATGCGACGCGTTCGTACGTAAAGCCCGAGAGCATGCGTATAGTCCGTGATGGGTGTCCGAGTATCAAGTCCGTGCGTGTATAGTATCCAAGTCCATGAGCAAGCAAAACGCGAAAGCTAGAAGATATCCACTCATGCATCCTATCAGACAGTTGTCCGTCAGCCTCAATCGCACCCTCGAAAGAAACAGAAAACACATACCTCAAAGGCCGCACTGGGACGCGTCGACCTGAGTCGCCTCCGCATCAATCCTCCCCAAGAACACCGCCTGGCCATTCGTCAACGTGTTCATCGCCGCAAGCGCAAGGTTGAAGCCCTCGTCGGCATGGTCCACCGCGAGCACATTGATGCTCCGGCCCTCGTACGTCAGCTGCCAGCACGAGCCGCAGTTGGGCGAGTTCCACGACACGACCGCCGCCGCGCCCGCGACGTTCGGGAAGTGCGGGAGCGAGCCGAGCGTCGTGAAGCCCTTCGTCTGCAGCCCGTTCGGGCCGTCCGAGCACGCGGTCGCGCCGAGGTCCTGGCCCGCGTTGTCGTACGTCTGGTCGTACGAGACCGTGATCGCGAGCGCGTTCGAGACGAGCGCGGTGAGGGCGAGGGCGAGGGTGCTGAACTGCATGGCGGAGGCGTAGGAAGGCGTAAAAAGGTCGTGGAGGATGTGGGTGTGGGTGTGGGTGTGGATGTGAACGCGAGAGAGGAACTGTTCGCTGCTGCCGACCTCTCTTCAGCAGACCAGGTTTTATACTGGGCTGACTGCCCGCACCGGATTGGGCATTTCCGCGATCGCTGCGTACGCCGGAGCGGGCACGGGCAGAACAGCGTTCGGCAGCTGCGAAGCGCGGCGGTCATCCGGTAGACGGTAATCGAAATGAGGCTGCAGGTCGCCGGCGGCGCTGAGGCTGTTTTACGGCCAGTTCGTACCGCGCAGGCATGGTGCTCATACTTACGTCTTGGCAAAGTCGAGAACATTCATCTATGCAGGAGTCGCGCTTGTAGCGGGTCGAGATACGTACCGACACCGTGTGCTACTGCTGCTCGACGCTCGCTTTCACTTGAAGTTTAAGGCCTAGTCATACTATGCGGACAACCCTTACTGCATACTCTTCGCGGGTGTTTACGCCGACATAAGTATAGCATCGCTGATACCTGCGTGTTTGGTATCGCATTCTTTCCTGAGCACTGCTCAACACCGCCCACCGTTGGCGCTCTGATCAAGCACCTGCGTCAGAGCATTTACGTCCAACTCGGCGATGCCTACGACACAATTTGTGCCTCCGACGGACGCCGGGTAGTGATGCTTTCCCATATTTACGGACAAATCGCGCCCGTGCACTAGAGCTCGATGAGCAAACGCGCCCCATGTGACCGCGTCTGGGTGCGTGCGCTCGAAGCGAGACGCTCAGTCACCATCGCGGACGCCGGGTTCGGGTATACGATAAGCGCAGGCCTCTGTGGGACGCCTTACCGCACGAACCTTCTCGCCCAGAAATGCCAGTTGTGAAGTGAGCAGTCCCGGTCCGTGGTGTTGAGAAATAGACTGTTGTATATCCTCCCGCAATACTGGAATCCATCCTTACAGGCTATGAATACTGCTTCTGGATGAACTTCGCGATGGTCTGTAGCTGGATGTTCGACGTCCCCTCGTAAATCGCACCCTGAGGAACCAGAGACGTCAGCATTTCCCGCACGAGCCGAACGCACGTCCGTAGACTTACGATCTTCGAGTCTCGCCAGTACTTCTCGATGCCCGTCTCCCTCGTGAATCCGACACCGCCCGCCCACTCGATCGCAGCGCCCGAGACCTTCTGCGCGACCTGACTCGCGTAGTACTTCGCAATCGCTGCCTCCCGGACGAAGTCCAGGCCCTCCTCCTTGCGCCGCGCCGCGTTGTACGTCAGCAAGCGTGCCGCCTCGAGCTCGATCGCCGCCTCTGCCTGCTGGAATGCCATACCCTGGAACGTCGCGACGGGCTTGCCAAACTGCGAACGTTGGAAGGTGTACGGCACCGCCTTGTCGAATGCACCTTGCGCCAGACCGAGCATTTGCGCAGCGATACCGATGCGCCCTGTAGTACGACACGTCAATGTCTATAACGACAGAGTGGAAGAAGGCGTTTGCATACCTTCGTTGAGAATCTCGATAGCAATCTTGTAGCCCTTGCCCTCGCCACCGATGACGTTCTCCGCAGGTATGCGCAGATCATCGAAGGCCAGCGAACATGTCGAGGAGGCGCGGATTCCGAGCTTCTGCTCCTTCTTCGCGATCTTGATGCCCATGTCCTTGGTCGCGATGAAGCAGGTGATACCCTTGTAGCCTTTGCTTGGGTCAATCTGAAGTACTTGCGCTTAGTATTCATTGAAAAGGAAGTGAAGGAGCGCCACATACGTTGGCAAAGATGAGGAAGAAGTCTGCCTCATATGAATTAGTGATCCACATCTTGGTGCCGTTCAAGATCCAGTGGTCGCCGTCCTTCTTTGCGCGTGTCTGCAGAGCAAACGCGTCCGAACCGGATGCGGGCTCCGAGAGGCAGAACGAGCCGAGCTGCTCTCTAGTGAGCTTCTTGGAACTATGTCGCATTGTGCAGTAAGATGTCACGTACCGAAGACTCCGCCAGCTTGGGCAACCACTTGTCCTGCTGCTCCTTGGAGCCATACTTGCGGACAACCGTGTTAACAAGGGTATTGTGTACGTCGCACAATACCGACACCGAAGGGTCCACTCGTGCGAGCTCCTCGATAGCGATGATAGCAGAGGTGAACGACATTTCTGCGCCGCCATGATCACCGCTCGTCTCAATGCCCATCAACTAAAGTTGAGTGTTAGGATTGCACGGTGAGGTTTGCGTGTTTGCACTGGGAACGTACCCCCTGCTCGAAGAGACCCTTGATGACCGCAGGATCCATCATCTCGTTCTCGTCCATCTCTCGGACCTTAGGTCCAACTACGTCCTCCGCGAACCTCCTGACTGCGTTGCCCGAGCGACATCAGTCTATGAGGTATGCGCACACACACGAGGGACGCACCGGACTCCCGAAGCATCTGCTCCTCTTCCGTGAAGGTGTCTAGAGACGTAGGCTTCGCCTCGGATGAGACGACATGTGAGCGAGAGAACTGCCTACGAGAACCGTCTATTCAGCTTCAGTTCAGCAACGCGCATTGCCTGAGTGCCATACCGTGTAGCGATCCTCGGCGCCACAGACGCACTCTGGCGTAGGGCAGACGTTGTTTGTTTCGTGGCACACACAGCAGAGCGGAACATAGTGAGCACCTGTGTTGCGTATGGAGGAGGTTGTGGTCGAAGAGGAGAGCAAGGGAGGTGATACGGTCAAGGGTACGGTTGACGAAGACCCGTCCCCGGAGTCTCTCCCCGCGCGAGGCGCTTCCCAGTTTGGTGCGGGGGCGGGGTAATCACATGCACTCCGGAGCTTCCGCCCTTCGGGCCCGGCATCCGGTCATGGCCTTCAAGTCTGCACGACGAGCTCTTGTCCAGTAACGTTCAAAGGCTTTCAAACGAACTGATCCACCAGAAGATTCCGGGAAACATTACATGCATTGTACAAGGAGTCCGTGAAGATAGCGAACGCTACATGGCCTGTCGAAAACGACTACAGAGGTGGGTACAAGTCCGTGGTGATGCATCGAAGTCCACAAAGCGTCCAAATGATGATGACAGTCCGTAAGCCATGCGTATAGTCCGTTTCGAGTGTGTGCTGCATCTAAACCAAACCCGTCAGTCTCACATCCAAATCATCCCCGAGAAATCTGACACTAACCTCGAGTGTTTACAGTCCGCACTGGGACGAGGCGACCTGGGTGGCCGTCGCGTCGACCCTGCCCAAGAACACCGCCTGGTTGTTCGTGAGCGTGTTCATCGCCTCGAGCGCAATGTTGAACCCGGCGTCGGTGTGGTCGACCGCGAGCACGTTGATGCTCCGCCCGTTGTACGTGAGCTTCCAGCACGAGCCGCACTGCGCCGAGTTCCAGCCGGCGACGGCTGCCGCGCCGCCGATGTTGGGGAAGTGCGGGAGCGACCCGAACGTGCTGAAGCCCTTCGTGAGCAGCCCGTTCGGGCCGTCCGAGCACGCGACCGTGGCGAGGCTGCCGCCCGCGTTGTCGTATGTCTGGTCGTACGAGACCGTGACGGCGAGCGCGTTCGAAACGAGCGCGGTGAGGGCGATGATGAAGGTGGTGAACTGCATGGTGGTGGAGAGGGTGGTTGGTTGGGTGTGCGGAGGCGAGTGTGGATGCGACTGGTGTGATGTGCGAGACCTGGAGGTCACTGCTGGTCAGTTGGGCTCACCGTTCCTCGTATTTATACCTGCACGGCCGTTCCGTATGGCAGCAGTGTCCGCACCAAGACCTGTCTGGGCGGTCACAAGAACGCGTCCGATGGGGCCGGCCACGCGCACCGAGGCCGGACGGCGGCAACGTAGAATGTTTGCCCATTGAATGGCATCCCCGCTGGGATCCTCAGGTCCTCAGGCCCTCATGGGACCGCCTTGCGGGCATGTCAACACCGTCTCAGCCTTCTGGACACACAGGACATACATCGCGGATCAGAACGCGACGTCATGCGTCGGCCGATGGTCCTCCATCGCTGAATGAGGGATCTAGAAAGCTTGTAAAACATTTAGTACATTCCATCGTGACCCATAGTAGGTGGCTCTCACCCGTGCGCCGCCCCGCTGAGTCGTTCGTGGTGGGAGTGGTACAGCTCCAAAAGCCGCCCAGTGCACGAAGGCACCAATGCCATGCCAGGAGCAGTGATCCAAGGCTACAGCACCCCGCCTACACAGGATGCTATAGGCCCTCGATGCCCGGATGCCTCGACCGCTCTCGTCGAACGGCAGACTGGATCGTCCAGCTTGACGTGAGAGTCGGCATCAGAAGGCCACACATGGGCGCGTCCCATCGCCGAACGAATGCGGCTCGACCACGGCGGTCTCGTGAGAGGGGGAAAGCATGATGCGCCGTCCAACGTCCGGGCACCGTGTGCCAGGGTCTAGACCGATACCCCCCGAATCCGCATCGGTATTTACGTACCTCACAGGTATGTACTTACTAGAGGCGTGAAGTCGATGTCGACGGCTCGAGCCTGGTCCTCCGGGCATCGAGCGGCGGAAACCCTCCAGCAGGTCGCGGCCAGCCTCGGAGGCCTCCTACCAAAGAACCTCATCCATACACGGATCCATTGCGGCTGAACAACATAAGTACTATACAAGATGATTACACGCGGCCATGAAGCCGCAACTTAAGAATAGGTTACACTAAGTACGATGCGAGCGGTAATGCGCGATGACGGAGAGCATGCACGACGACGGGTGATGAGTGAGGTAGGGGACTATATCGAGATGATGGTAGCTGATGTACACTGCTAGGTAGGCTGGAATGAAACGTGAGGATGGAGGTAACTACATGTGTGGAGAGTTGGAGAGTTGGAGAGGTTTCCGCAAGGTGTCCGAAGGAGGGAGATGACAAACAGACGGGTTTCTACGACTCGCTGGCGCCCCCGCTGAGAGCCGCACGCATGACTTCCAGCGCGGCGAGGTGGAACGGCAGCGCAGGATCCGCGCGCAACTTCCACCGCACCCGCGCAAGGAGCGACAAGTCGTAGAAGTTACGGACGATGTCGTCCATATGCTCGCTATGAACCTGAGAGGGCGTGACCGCTGCGTTCTTCTTCGAGATCTCGTACGTCGACCGCAAGGATCGCGTGACGTAGAGCTGGAAGACGCGCATGGTGGAGACAGAGGAGTGGTCCGCTGAAGAAGGCGCACAAACGACCGCGCTCCAACCAGGTATCCGCAGAGCATCCGTGATTGGCTGTTGTTGTGACGTGGTGTCCGTTTCGTCGTCAAGGTCGGGGATATAGGGTAGGTCGGAGGAGCCAGGGATGACCACAGGAGGAATAGATTTCGCGGATCGCTCAACCACGTAGCTTGGATGCATAGCCAAGCTCTGCGGGGGCGAGAGGGAGTAGGTTGCATAAGAGGCGTCGGAAAAGATGGTGTGAGAGGTGCGTATAGACGACCTGGTCGGCATGGCAGGCGCTGAGTTGCGCCGGATGATATCCATAGGGCCGACGTCCGATGGTGCCAGGAACGTCCAGGAATTCTCGTTGTCGACCGCGAGGAGCGTAACGTGGATTGGAGGTATCTCGGAGGACATAGACACCGCAGAATCGAGGTACGAGACCCAGGCTAAGAAAGCCGAGTGTAATCAGGTCGCGTTCAGCTGCATAAATGGCATGAGGAGGACTCACCGCGGACCTCTGAATGGGCCATGACCCCGAGTTTGGTGATGACGATCCTCCATTCGACGTTCGCGCGTCTTGCAAAGTCGTGTACAAAGCCCCAGACGTGGCTGACTAGGAAGCCCTCAACGTTATCGTCAGGCGTCAGAAAAGCCTTGATCTCGTGCGCTTCGCCCGCTGCGTCGATGCATGCTGCAAGTATCCAGCGACCGCAGCTCGAGACCTGGTAGCCGACGTGCAGAAGCATATGTCGATTCATGACATCCAGAGAAGAGACAGACGACTCCAGCGCGTACGACACTTGAGGTGGGAGAGGCTCCGAGCGCGACTTGTTACCAGCCGTGCAGATAAGAGCGTAGGCTGGAGCTTCAAAGTAGCCGGTCATGACAGCGCTTCGTGCAAAGAACTCGCGCGACATCGCACGAGTGACAGGCACCAGGATGCGATCATAGACACTGCAGACAAAGTCATCCAGGCCGCCAAGATTAGAGGCCGGGTGAGTATGTATGCCCTCGATGAGCGACTCAGGCACGAAGTGAATGAGGATGTCCCCGGCTGACTGCGCTCTGAATCGTCGCACTGCCGAGAGGATTTGACGAAGTACGGTCGACGAAGGAGAGATGATGTGCGACGGTGTTGCGATGTAGAAGACGAGGTACGGGTGCCTCGTGGGGATTGTCGACACAAAGCTCACTAGATAAAGATATGATGTAAGCGCGATAGCGTATAAAGCAGCGTTTTGGAGGGCATACTGAGGGTCTTGCGGAGCGTATCAAACCGCGTGGGCACCAGTCCCGGCTTCGTGCAATGACTTGAGATCCCAGCGGCATGCGAACCGAAGTTCTTGGCCTATAAATCATTAGGCAGCATACTTGATGGAGGGTATTCGTGCACTTACAGCATACGCGGCGGACACCTTGCTCAACCAGCCTTCGAGCTCGGTCTCACGATCCTCGTCAGCGCCTTCGTAAAATATAAAGGCCGTCACGTCCTTGGGACCTGCGCGCGGAGTTAAGCCAAGCTTCTCCCAGAACCGAAGCGACGTCGAAGACAGCTGCACGATAGTCTCATCCTTGCCTATGGCGAGCAAGGGCGGCTCAAGACTTCGAAGAGTAACACTAGACGGCTCATCCGACGCGACTATTGCTTGAATCTATCAGCCACGATCCTGCTGTTGAATAGATGTTGCTCACCTCCAAAGACGTCTTGTATAGTAGTCGAAGACTGTGTATCACGCTCATCCCTAAGCAACTTGCTGATGTATCTTGCATCCGCTTGCCATAGCTTTGTAGGAAGGACCGGCGGTGTCAACGAAAGCGACGCATTTGCTCGCCATGCCTCAGCCCACACCGGATTCTCGACCACCTCCCGCACCAAGATCTGCGCAGCCGCCTCCAAAGACTTCGACTTCTCCGACGCCGCGCCGAGGATCGCAGCAGGCGACACTGGGGTGGGTACAGAGATAATTGGTGCGTGGCCGGGTGGACTCGACGCAGCCGTCCCGGGCGGGCGAAGTGTCGTGCACAGAGGGAGTAAATGAGCATGGTGGAAGTAAGTCTGAAGCAGAGAAGGCCCTAGGGGAAGGTATGACGGCGGGGGTGTCGATGGGCGCGGCGCGACGGACGTCGTTGTTTCCTCCTCCTCTACCCACGGTTCGTCGTCGTCCTCAGACTCTTCTGAGTCGACTGCTGCCGTCGGTGGGGAGCTACTCTGCCATTCCTCGGGTTCGCGATAGAAGTCCCACGCCGACGATCGTCGCTGGTCACGCACACCCTGAGATAGCACCTTGCGCTTCACCCCGATGAGCTTGCGGACGACACCTATCCTGGGATCAGTGACCACGCTATACCGGTATTTCCATCCAGCAAGAGATGGCGGGCCCGCGACGCTTGTCAACATCATCTCCGGACGATCCTGCTCCGCGGGTGGGGAGGGTAGAGCGAACTTCCCAACGGCATACTTTCCGTCCGCCTCTCGGTGGCTGGACGCGAAAGGTATGGGATCGAACGTGCTGGATCCGAGCGAGGAAATGCTCGACTTGCGCGCGTCGTGCCCCTTGTACGGATCGGAGAGCTGCACCGCGGGCGTGGCGGGGGCAGAGTACGACGATGGGGTTCGCGTCGGAGAAGACGGAAGCAGCTCGGGGAGGATGGAACTGTCCATCATCCCGTGCATGTCGGCAGGGTGTCGCGGAGTGAACGGATCACCTAGGTGTGCCGTCCACGGAGACGGATGGCTTCCGGTTGCAGATGGCGGGCCAGGTCCCGACAAGGGTCCGTCCACCGTTACCAGCGGGGTCAGCCCGAGGGGCGGTGGACCGGCTGCAGGCGTCAAACCTGAGCCAGTGTCCACAACCATCGAGTGCGCGGAGGGGGCTCCGCGTTGTGCGCTCGGGGCGTCGAAGAAGTCGAAGTCGTCTTCGGTGAACACCCCGAAGCCGTCGTCCATGTCGAAGCTGCTGCTGCCCCCGCCTACGCCGCTGGCACGGCCGCCACCGAGTGGGTCCATATTCATGTTGAAGTCCATGTCATACATGTTGGTGTCCATGTATCCGCCGGACTGCTGTCCCCAGGTGCCGTCAAACCCGCTGAAGGGGTCAAACGCCATAGAAGTCGATTCGGGGTCTGATTTCACAGGTAGAGCTAGCACTATTTCTTCCCCAGCAGGAGGTGCGGTGATGTTGTGAGGCTGCTCAGGGACTGCTGAGGTCTCATCCTCCGTAGACGGAAGATCGATGGGCGCGTCGGGAGGAGAGAACAGCGAATCACCAGAATGATCAGATTCGGCTGTATGGGTCTCTGGCTCAATGGGCTCCTCTTGGACCGGCGGTTCCGCAGAACCTGGCGGTGTGACGGCAGCGTTGACCTGTTGTACGATCTCGACTGGCTCTCGCTGGATCGGCGCGGGGGTAGGTGGCTCCGTTGCCTGCCGTGGCTGTGCACCGGCGAGCTTTGCACGTTGAGCTGCTTCCTGCTCCTGCTGTTCCTTCTCCTTCTCCTGCTTCCCTCGTCGAAGACGCGCTCGCTCAAGCTCGCGTTCCTTGACGACCGACTCCACATACCCGCTAACCTCCGCAGCCACCTTCTTCATTTGACGGCCGTACGGCTTCCGTGCTAGAGTCAAGGAGCGAAACGCTCGCAAAGAGTCACTGGTAGGCGAAGACCGCAAAAAACTCGGGCGCCGCTGGAAAGACGTCGACAATCGTTCTCGTTCGACATTTGACGACCCGGGACCTTGAGATTGCGGCGTCGACGATCTAGCCGGTATATCCATTGTGGAGGATGCAGCGATAGCAAAGGAGAGCGATGTAGGAGCGGCAGACATAGGTGGTGGAGGGGAAGACTGCAATTGGGCGGGCAGCTCCGGAATGTAGGATAGCGGAGAGCGAGCGTGGGGGGAGGGGGAGCTAGCATGGTAAGAAACGCATAGCGAAGCCGGCCAAATCACAGGCATCCCCTTATCCTCCCCTTGCTTGTTCTGTACTGCGAGCCAGGCGATGACGAAAACCGGGGTTTCTGGACGGAGTGAACTGCGATGTGTCCGAGAACTGTGATCCTCAGAGGTGCCATACGGCTCAGTACTCTTCCAATTCCCCACACCCAAACCGAGAAGGGCATCATCAAATTGCGCGATGAGCGCAGCCGCGGGACCGCTGTAGGTGTTGAGGTAGTACGCAGGAACGCCGTGGGGAAGCAATGTGATGGGGGTTCCCGCCGGGAGAGGGAGCGCGATACACAGAGGAAGATAGTATGTCGGGCGCATTACTGGGTGAACGATGAGCCGCGCAAGCGCGGGAGAAGAGGCCGAGGAGGCGACGTGGACTTGCAAGTCGCAGGATATCAGAGGACGACTACGGGCATGACTCTCCCAGCCAGATCCCCATTCCGAAGACGAGGGGAGAGCGCCAAGGAGGAAGCCACCCTTCAGCCGGGTGACAGATCGGCCGTTGGGGTGCAATTTCGATGATTCAGCGACATCGTCGATGAGCCTATCACGGGCGGCGCGGAGAAACAAGGAGAATGGTAGACGCAGGGAAATCCTAGGTAGTAGCTGGAATGGAGAGCTGGAAGGTGGCGGCAGCGTTTGCTCTAGACAGCGAGCACAGGGCGAACTTTGACAGGCGCATGCGGCAGAGCAAGGATAGATGGCAGCGGGGGTAAATGAAGAAGATTCCGTCACTACAAATGAATCGCAATTAGTATGTTGAGACTACGGGCGTCCCGCTTATGAACGGCATGGTATGGCGTCATGAGTGAGCTAAAGGTTGCTTATATTTGGCTTCAGACAGTCATGAAGCATTTCCGCCGAGGATATCTGGGCGGAAAGTATGTGGAATGAGAAAGGTTTGCACTCACATATGAGGTTGTCCAAGTCTAGTTGGGCGAGGGTGTTATGGGCGTCGCAAGTTCGTTGGATTGATCCGAGCGCGAAGACATACAAGGCGCATACGTCCCTTGTGACATGCACGATTGGTAGGAGAGAGTCCAGGAAGGCCTTTCCCTTGTTGGTGTGTAGCACCTTTCGGCGGGCGAGGTCCAGGTGATCAAGAGAGTCAGGTGTGGCGGGCGGGCATGCGAAGACGTGGTATATGATGAGCGGGCTCTCTGGGAGGTAAATGGTGGACGCGAGGACAGACGAAGCTAGGGATACCGATGGTGGCATCTGGGAGAGCACCGAAGAGCCAGTGTTGTCCTGCGGGAGCTGTACTTTGGCCGCCATGAGTGTCGGTGATCATGTGGGGAGAGGGCGACGTTCGAAACGGTGTTGCGACAGGTCCTGGGAAGACCTGGCCGGAGATGTGCTAAGTCGGAGGATGCCACGGTAGCCAGTAGAAAGACGACGAGCCTAGCACATCGTGGTAGGATGATAAGAGGGAGTTGGCCACACTGTCGGCCTGCGTGCCCTGAACCGTACGGGCCTTTCCGCATCGCGCAATACAACGTTGCCCGTCGGCCACGTTTGACCTTTGTCACTGACTGCGATATGACAAACGTCGATTTCATGTATGTTTTCTCTCTCTCGTTTTGGTCGAGTGGGCGCAACGACCGCCACATTCCGTCTCATCCGAGAGTACTCGCCGCCCTCCCCGATGTCAGATGCAAAGGATCGCCAAATCTGGCACATTACACAGGTTGGACCTGATTATTATTGAGCCTCAGGTTAGGGCTTGCACGGATAGACTGACCAAATTGGGAAGTGTGACCAAATTTTGATGTCACACAGCAGCCTTGCGTCGACGTCGTGCGCTCTGCGAGCTCCGCGTCCGCGTCCTCCCCGCCGTCGTACTCACCCTCCTCCCCCTTCCGCCTCAAAATGCAGTCCCTCTCGCGCCCGGCATCCACGTCTACCCGTCCCACCGCTTCTCCGAACCCCAAGCCGCAGTATCAAGTAAATACCCAGACAAAAGTCTTCGATACCGCTCAAGGCCGGATCCTCTGCATAGCAGACATCCGTGGCCGCCTTTCTGCACTCAATGACCTCGCGAGGGAAGCGAATGCATCTGCAATTATTCACACCGGGGACTTTGGCTTCTTTGGTGCGTTCTTCGCTCGCAAATTCATTCGTTGGGGGCATCCATCCGCATAAGGAACGGCTACACGCTTGTTGCGCTGCAGTCCTTGACCAGAGTGAGCGCACCTTCGTAGAAGGGCCCCTTATTGCGCCGAAGGAAGATACAACGCGTAACGCGCTGGTCTGGTCTTGGCCTGATGCAATAAGCCTGCAGCTCAGATGACACGCGTCGAGCCACCGGGAACATATCCATTTGTGACCGCAATGATTGCCCATGTGTTGTTAGCTGTGGCTTAGCGAACCACGATGGAGCGAGCGCGTTGAACTGTTCTATGAGATGGTGCCCCCGGCTTTCCTTCAGGCTCGATACTAATGCTGCGGTAGAGGCCTCCAGTCTCGACCGGATAAACGACCGGACGCTCCGTCATCTTACCATGTACTCTCCGCTCATCCCAACCGCGCAAAGAAACCACCTACTTGCGCCGGAGAATCCCCCCTCAGCCATCCGGTCGACTGTCACCATCAACCTTTTGTCCGAATTCCCCTTGCTTCTTTCCGGCCAAATCAAGCTTCAAGTCCCCGTCTACACTGTCTGGGGCGCGTGCGAGGACGTGATCGTGCTCGAGAAGTTCCGCGCGGGTCAATACGACATCGAGAACCTACACATACTCGACGAAGCGACGACGCGGTGCCTCGACCTTGGCGGCGTCAAGCTGCGTCTGTTGGGGTTGGGTGGCGCGCTTGTGCCACACAAGATGTTCGATAATGGAGACGGGAGCGCGACAATCGCCGGTGGGCAGGGCACGATGTGGACGACGGCCTTGCAGATTGGTGAGCTTGTCGACACCGCGCAGAGAGTCTTCGACCCTACAGAGACGCGTCTACTCGTGACGCACGCCTCCCCGGGCCGCGAGGGCATCATCAACCAACTCGGCCTCGTACTCAAGGCAGATCTAAGCGTCTCCGCGGGCCTCCACTTCCGCTACGCATCATCGTACAACGAGTTCAGCGTCCAGTCTGACTTCGAGGGGCTGCGCCACAAGCTCGTCGCGGGCAAGGAGGCATTTGACAAGGTCTGGGAAAGCGTCAAGACCCAGGTCGACGCCGTCATCGACGAGCACCAACGCGTTCTCTTGGACAAGGCCCTTTCTGTCGTCGAGCGGATACCTCCGCCCCCGAACCAGCCAGGCCCAGCCGGTCAGCCGTTTGCTGAGGAGCCGGCGTGGAAAAACTGCTGGAACTGGAACCTCTGTGACGCTGCGTACGGCGCGCTTGTGCTTGATATCAAGGATGGCCGCGTCAGCGCAGAGCTGAAGAGTCAAGGTATGTTCATCTTTTGGCCCAGCTACCGTGTACTGAACAAGTCAACAGGCTTCAACTACGCGTATCGCCGTTCGGTGACGCCGTCGACGGTGGCTGCGACCCCTAGCTCCGCGACCTCGGGTCTGCCCGTACAAGTGCAAAGCGGCGCGCCGGGTACGGGCGGGGCGAGCACGCCCAAGAACGCGACGCCTGCCGGGACCGAGAAGCCTCTGCCGCCACACTTGACTGGTTCTAAGTCAAAACCCGCGACGCCTCCGCCCGCATCGGCCACTTCGGGCCGTGAGACGCCCAAGCTTAACGGCGCTCAGGACGCACAGGCTGCAGCGGACAAGGCTGAGCGCGAGCGCGCAAAGCGGGAGCGCAAGAAGGAGAGGAAGCGGGAGGCTGCCGCGGCTGCGAAGGAGGGCGGGTCGGGCAGCGGCACAGCGTCGCCCGCGCAGCCGAGGACGGAGGTGGACTTGAGCAGTCCGCCACCGCAGGCTCCCAAGTCTGGCAAGGCTACCCCAGAGGTGTCGACGGCGGGACCCCCTGGTGTGGACCTCAGGGGTCCGGAGGATGGTGTGACGTCCCCAGCGACTGAGAGCACCGGGGTGCGGACACCGACAGGCAGGAGACCAGCGCGTAACCCGTGGACCATCTTCATGCGCATGCCCAATCCTGCGAACGAGACCGAGGTCAAGGACTTCTTTGGCGACGCGGGCTCGGGGGTGAGTGATTGCAGCTACATTTAGGAGAGCGAATGCTTACTTGCTTATTGCAGATCATCCGCGTCAGCTACCCCCAGAACTTCGCTGGTCGCAACCTGAAGATGTGCTACGTCGAGTTCGGCGATGAAGATGCTATGAAGTCCGGGTTGGCCAAGCAGGGCGCAGTAAGTCATCAACCCATCATAGCGATGTCTACACGGAATGCTCATTCGCTTTTTATGCGCAGACACTAAACGATTCTATCCCAGAATTGAAGCAGGCGACCGACAAGGAGTCGCGCGCCTCTGAAACCGGGCCTCGTGGTGGTTCCTTCAGTGCGCGTGGCGGGCGCGGCCGGGGTGGATTCGCTGCCCGTGGGTTCGCATCCGCAGGCCTGACACGCGGCGGTCCTCCCGGGCGGCTCAACGGCGACGCACCGTCCTCTGAAGCACCCAGGCCGTCTGAGGGCTCCTGAGCCCTGAGGGACAGCCAGAGTGCGCTGCGGCATGGAGGCCCGAGCTGCAGGTTGGGGAGGACATGTCGCGTCGGTGTGCCGTGTGGTTGCCCATGCCGTGCCGTACCGTACGTCTGTCGCCGTTGTCTGATGATTGATCGTTCCGTTCGCTCGCATCGTCCCCGTTAGTACCTATCCTACGTAGTGTCTGTAGTCGCGCTCGTGTTTGCATATCGGCGGTGTCCTCTATTTCTCATCTTCCCGTGCATCCCCCATTGCTCGCAAGCGGCCCGCGCTCCCTTTTCACTTGGGTCCGCTGTTTGTCCTCGCTTCTTCCTCTCCAAGCGAGGCCGCTGCTGTCCAACCTTCCACGCGACCTCCATTTGCTCATGAGTTTCGCCTTTCCGATATGTGGTGACGGGTGTTGCTCTGCTCTTGTTATGCCTTCTATGCTACGGTTCGCAGTGATATATGGTCATGGTAATGCTAGACCGCCCCTACCTGCATGCTTTTGATTGTAGCCTGTCTGCAACGCTGATACCCTTGTGCTTGCTCTCGATACGTATACCTTCAATGTTAGAACACGATGATTAGCGTGTCAGCCAAACGCCGTACCTATGTGGGCGGGTGCAAACTGCGTGTATACGCGTCGCACAGCGTCTGGATAAAGCACCCGTGGCCGGAAGCTTCAAAAAGCTCCGCGTACATGCCCTGTACACCGTCACACATGAGTTCCCCTGCAAAGCACTTGAAAAGCTACTTACCTCGGCATCTATCAGGGACGGCGTAGCGTCCGAAAACGTCTAAGGCCGCGTACCTATGTGCCTTGATTCATGGGCCCTGACACACAACGTCACACACGCACACACCAGTAGACACCAGTCTATGATAAAGCATTCCGGATTCGGAGGACGGACCACCGTGTACAGCGACGAAACCAAATACAAACTTGAACGAGCGAGAGCGCAATGACGGGGACACGTTCCTATCCGAATGAGTCCGGGCTGAACATCCACAGAGACCAGAGACCGGAGACCGAGGGCGCTAACTAGAAGGAGGAGGCCCCTCTAGCGGGGTGCGCAGGAATAATGCAGAGAGTATATGTACGGGGTGACGGGGATGCAAGGACAGGGAGGTAAAACGAGCGACTGGAGGCTCCGAGCCTGGATGCTCTATACAAGCTCGCTGCCCTTCATGCTTTTCATGGTGAACTCCTACATAGCGGGGCGGCGGCGATGTTAGCATACCAACAAACTAGGTTGAAGGATGACGTACGTTCTCCTGCTCGCCCATGTCGTTCGTGACGATGGTCTGCTGGTAGACCTCGACCTTGGGCTACACGTTCCCGGGTCATAACATGAGCGACCGGCTATACGGCGGCCAAAGCGAAGCCAGGGGGGGGGCGGCACTTACAGGAGGTGCGACGGCGCGGAAGCCGCCGCCGTTGCTCGAGAACTCGAACGAGGGGTACTGCGCCGCATTTGCCTTGTTCCGTATATGCGAGCGGGCGTTCAAGCTGCAAACAGGGGCAATGACAACATAATGTCAGTCAGCAATGCCGTCACTCTGTTCCGCATGCGCTCCGCCTCGCGAAGTTTAGGAATTGGGCGTACCTTCCTAGGAACGAATTCGCGTAGACTGAAAAGATGCGCGCGGAGTTTGATCAGTCGGTTGGCGTTTCGCAAGGACGAGTAAGGCACGACTTACGCTTGCCCTGGATCTCGACCAGGCCGAGGAACACCAGACTGTGCGCTTGGGTGGCGTACTGGGGCCTGCGTCAGATCTCGGAGGTTCGTAGCCCCGTTCCAAGCGTGTAAAACTCACCAAGATGACTGAGAGGATAGACGCGGAACTGTCAGGCACATAGTCAGCCGCTACTCACCGGCGAGGGAGAAAAAAGGGAGCGTACGCGGTGATCGCGCCACTGTTGACGGCATACAACATGATGAGGTTGACCTTGCTGTTAGAGGATCTACGAGTGTATGGGTAAGCAGGGACTTTCAGCGGATAAGGTGCACAAACACACTTCTGCCAGCTGTTCCGGCCGCGGGTGAGGTAGAAAGACAGAGTGAGCGCCACCAGGACGTCTACCAATGCCGCTGCTCCCAGGCCGCCGCTAACAGTGACCTACATGTGCAAGGTAGAAAGGTGAGATCCGGCCGGTGACCCGAAAAATTGTGGACGCACCAGAGACGCCTCATTGGCACGGAACGCCACCCAGTGTGGAATGTGGTAACTGCATAACCGTTATACATTGCGCTCACGTAGGTGCGCGAGGAGCGGACAAACCTGAGTATGGTAGACCCAATACCGAAAGCCACTCGGCAGATAGTGACGAAGGCCTGGAAAATTTACATGAGCGCGATCGTGAGCGGTCTCGAGTAAGGATGCTTACAATGAAGGCGGTGAGGAGCTTAGCCTTGTTGCTCACTAGTGATCGTACCGGTTAATACGGCGCTCATGCTGAGAAAGCCTCGTCTACTAACTGATCCAGACACGCTTGACGTAGAAACTGAGACTAGCGTGAATCTCTAGGCAAACATATAGAAGCATTCTCACTCACGCTTGTACAGCTGTCGAGATAATCACCTATCATGTCGTCAAATGAGGATCATAGAATCATTTGTCTAACAGACACCTTACCTCCGTCACGACTGTAGCCTGCATAAAACGCCAGTTCAGCACACTGCTCTAACACAATATTCGAGTTGCGCAAAGATACTCACACCAACGCCCCTACACAGCCACGAATAAACCTCCGGTAAGATTGCGATAACACTCGGCTAGGACTGCGATACACGTACCAGTTGATATTCAGGAAATACTCCGCTTCCCCGAAGTGGGTGATCAGGTACGCATAGATGAGCTGCATACAGAACGCTGTGTGGCATGTCTCTAAAACCCTGAACAAGACAAGCTTTCTTCAAAACGCCGGTTTGCCTGGTGAAGCCCTTGATGGACTTACCAGATGCCCGCAACCTGAATTCCGGCCTCTTAACATCGTTATATCGTGCGTTCTAGAGTGACCGGGGACGCACCATGAGCTTGAGGGATGAATCATCGTTCTGGTACTTCTGGAAGTAGATGAAGGTCTGCAGAGTAGTGATCCCATATAGCCTGGAGAACGGCACCGTTAGTGGATCAACACGCGCTCAGAAGTTGTCAGTTACGGTACTTACACGCAAGCAATGCAGATCTCAATGAGCATGCCACCAAAGAAGGACTCAGCCGGGTTCTCCATGATGCCGACAGAAACACCGCAGCGCCAGGCTAAAGATGGGAGGGGGGTAGAGGTAGGAAAGGAGGGGTACGGAGCGAAGGTGCCAGTGGAGGTCGAGGTCGGGGCAAGGCGCCAGGGGCAGGGGGAAAAGCTCGAGCACGGGCACAGAGTTCGAGGGCTATTATAACCCTCGGCGCCCACATTGCGAGGGCAACAACAGCAGGCGACTTTCGCGACGCCGTTCCGGGGGAGACTGGAGGCGTTGCCCGGCGTGCAACTATCGCGATCTGGTGGGCGGCACCGTTAGCTGATCTCAATGGTTCATGCGGCCCCGCTGCGTTCGGACGCTTCGCGAAGATTGACGTGGGCGCACCGGGTCGCACGTCCTCCTATGATTAACTGTGTCCGGGGCCGAAGGAAGCATATCGAAGTACAACCATGGGAGCAAACTTAAAGGGAGCCGTATCTCAGAACTTTTCCCTTGGCTTTCCTGGGGACTTGGACGTCGATGGATGAAGTGAGCGCTGCAACACATACTGCCTCGTGCACAGTATTGGATGCCGCGGCTTGTGTACGGACGCCGCGGTAGCAGATCTGGGGGTGAGGTTACCGGAGCCCGGATGGATATACAACTATCCAGACTAGCCCGTCCCTTTGTGGATCTCGACTTTCCAGGGCTGGTTCGCATCACGATGGGCGCTGGCTATTTCGTTCGCCTACGCGTTGCGCTTCCTGACGTCGATTTTCCGCACTTAGCTCAAAGGGCACTCCGAGCACCCACCTTATCGGTCTCAGCACACCTTGGCACGCCCGACGGGAGCGAAGGAGGTCGAAAGCTGCAGAAAAGGCGCACAGTGAGAGCGGATCGAAGCCACGTGAGCGGAGATCAAATAGCTACTGCGCCCGATGCATCTCGTCCGCGGCCGAGGACGTTGCCGGTGCGGTGACCTCCATTTGATGACCGTGTGCATCGTCAATTTGCTCTACGGTGCCTTCAAAAAACATCAGTACAGGAAGATGGAGCGGTCTAAAACCCTCCCGATGAACACAAAAATGCCTACAAGCTTCTGCGCGCGGTACCCCGAAAATCGGGGCTGCCGTGAGCGTTGCCACCATGACGAAAGAGGGCCGCGACTGTGTCCATATGTAGCAGGCGGTAGCGATCCTCTTGTTTACCGCCCGGCGGCCGCAATGTTTTCGCAACATGCAAGCAGCGGCAGCCGCCGTCCCTGCCAGTCCCTGCTCGGCAGCCTGCGACGGAGGCAGAACGCCCGGATATTCTTTCGCTAAGGTCTCGCTTCGCCAGCGCTGTTCCAGGACCATGCGAACAGTTGCGCTCCAGGGAGCCATGCGGGCAGCGGAGGGCCTTTTGTCCAGAAGCTCCGGGTCCCCAAACTTCTTCCCACCCGTGGAGGCCGCGGCCTGGGTGCACGGATGAAGTATGACGCCACGGGTCGCCATTGGGAACACGCCGCTCTCGACCTTCACACCCTGACGAGGCTAACGTCTTTAGCGGAGCGCGCACCTTTCGACTACATCCACTCACATCATGCTGCGGAGGTCCTCGTTGTGTCTTGTTCGGCGTCCAATACACAGCTGTGGCGTACCATGGGCACCATCGATGCCTGCTCGATGTTGACGGTAGTCAAGATCTACCTGTAGCCGATGCCGGGAGCTATTGCCTATCAATAAACGAAGTCATATGTCGCTGTCAGTGTCTTTCACCGTGTATACTCGGCCGACGCCACGATTCCAATGGCTTCTCGGGGCATCGAAGTCCGTTCGAACAGAAGGGCATGGACTATTGAGAGAGCGATCGGCATGTCGATGCGCCACAGGACTTGATTTTGCGGGGGTGAACCTGGGCGAGCGCATCAATTTAGTGGCGTCGTGCTTCTAGGCAGGTGTCCCCACGAAGCTGTACACATATATCATGAACAGGAGGAGGGGCGGAACAGCACCTTGAGGGTGGGCTACGGTCCAAAGTGAGCGCACCCGCTTGACATGGCGATCGAGAAACGGTGGGGATAGCGGCGGAAGAGCCCGAGTGGGGGTGGTATTAAACCTGGCTAAGTGCTACTATACCGCAAGGTAAGTCTAGAACGGGGTCAGACCCAAGAGGCCCTGACAGGAGCCCTCTATGTCGGCGATCTAGGTATTCCAAGGTTGTTAGGCGTGTCCAACGACGAGGCAGGGTCAACTGACCTCCTTCGGCGCACTCGCACTCAGTACCACAGCGTGGTCTTTCCCAACCAGAACCTCATCCTGGGAGAGCAGTTTGACTCAGTACGTGGGAACGGCTGTAGATCACGCAGTGCGCACCTCTATCCGGATGCCGATATTGTGGAATGCCTTCGGGAACTCCCGGTAAGGCGGCACGTAGACACCTGTGCAACTCAACATCCGGGTCTTGCGCTTTGCGAATGAGCAGGGCTTACCAGGTTCGATGGTGACGACCATCCCGGCCTTCAACGGGGCATCTCGTTCGGTTTGATTTGATTCGTGCAAGTCTGGTACAACGTGCCCGTCAGAAACCCCATTTCCAATCATAGACACACCGTCAACTCACCAATCCCAACCGGGTGCCCAACAAGATGAGGGTACAGCGTATCCAAAGTACCCGCCCCAAGAGGGAAGCTGAACCCGATGCGCTCAAGCTCTTTCCGCAGCAAGTGGTTCGACTCGCGGTGAATCTGCAATATCGACATCCCCGACGCCTCCGTGCAGAGCGTGATTAGATGCTTTTGCACGGTGAGTAGAGCGTTGTATAGTGTGGCCTGTTCGGGCGTGAAAGATCCGTTCGCAGGGAAGGTACGTGCTGAACACGAAGCGTGAGCACGTCAAGAATTTAAGGGGAGCAGAACACATACTGATATCTGACGCATATCCGCTGCAAAGCAAGCGTCAGTATATGCGGTAGAAAGAAAAGAGAGAGCTCATTCGCCTCACTTGTACTCGCACCCCGCGTCGATCAATACCATCTCGCCATCGGCAATTAGTTGACTGTTGGACGTATAGTGAATTATAAGAGCATTAGGTCTGTATGCATACACACGAGTCAGCGGCCATAAAAGCGCAATGAAGGATGTGGTGTAGCGACGTACCCGGAAGCGACTACAGGCACATAGGCCGGACGCTGCGAGCCCTCGCGCGCACAGAGATATTCGAAGTGAGCAGCGACAGTATGTTCTGAAACGCCTGGATCCGTAAAGCGCATGGTCTACAACAGTCCAGTCAGCATGTTGTGCACTAGGGAGGCACAGACGGTGTCTGACTTTATTGTGCGCTCGGGCGCTGATGTCGGCTGCTTGTCGCATGATGTCCTGCTCGACCTTGCTCTTGACTGAGCGCAACCGGCCGACCTCGGGAGAAAGAGGCTTGCGCTTCGAGCTGACAAGGGAGTCCACAAGGCTGTCATACTCCCCTCGCGAGAGACCACCAGAAGGAGATAGGTACTGCTCCAGACCAGACTTAGAATTTTATCAAATTGGTCCGAAATAAAGAACATACCTTGAGCAAGGATCTCGGGGACGATGCACGCGCGCGCTTCGTATACGTAGGTATGTCGAGATACACCTGCGACGCGCTTGCCGCGAGACTCTTGAGTATAGAGGGGAAAGCGGAAATCGGTTCCGCCTCGTCCGCTCCAAAGTGTCGCACGACGTCCTCCGGCGACGTGCGCGCACCATCCCACTTCTCTTTCGCAGAGTCCGTCCCAGCCGAGAAGATGGTCATACGGTATCCCCGCGGGGATGACGGCATCTTCTCCAGGATGACTGCCGCGTCGGGCTCGTCGAAACCAGTGAGGTACCAGAAGTCAGACGACTGCCGAAACTTGTAGCTGGCGCACGAGATGTGAATTGGGGTTCCATACGTGTCTTGTGTGTTGTACATACAATATTTCTGAGCAACAGGAACTGTGTAAGGAATCGTACCGTCAGACAGCCACCGTAGAGCTACTCACGACCACTCATGTACTTTATCTGCCCCGCGACGCATACAGCCAGGCTGTTGTCCGGCAGCCGGTCTATGAGCTCCTTCCTCCGCCTCTCATACTCCTTCTGTGGTATTCCGGGTGTGGTTTCCTGGTGCTTGACAATATGAGGGTGCGAAGGAGGAAGAGGTTGCCCGAAGATGGTGGGTTTCAGTTGAGTGTAGCCATTGACAGTCACAGGCGTGGCATAGCAGCGAGCAGAGCAGCGAGAGAGAGCAGGAAAAGCAAGATTGGAGGCAGAGGCTGCGCTTGCCGCTGCTCGTCGACAACTGGACAGCGAGCGGAGAGACATGGGCTGAGCCTAACCCCGCCTTAGGGTCCACTTAAGTTCTTCGGTTGTGACGTAATCACCCAAACAGGAAGCGTGGTTTGTTAGCCGGTACCATCTCGAAATTCGTACCACACCTCTCAAACGTTGGGAGGTGAACGTTCGAACGCGTAGGGTCTTGGAATAAGATCAGATTTAGCGAAATATGTCGGAACAAGCATCACGATATAATTCAAGCAGGCAGAACACATTTTCTTCTAAGAGGCTAAGGTCGTTGACTGTAAGGGAACCATACGGTCGGAAAAGTTTCAATGCAAGCACATTCAACTACGCGCGATACCCAATCACTCTCTCCGCTGACCCTGAACTAGTCCATGCGCTTGGAGGTAGTAGTGTTGGTGGGATTGAAGGCGGAAGTGGACGCGCTCGAATTCTCGGCGTCCAGGGGCTCGTCCGCAACGCGGAGCTGTTGCTCGATCTGCGCGCGACGGAGCCACTTCTCCTCCGGGACGAAGTACCAGCTGAGGATGCCGAAGACTGTCGCCGCTCCGAGAATTACGCATGACTAAAACAGAGTTAGATGAGGGGATGGTGGTAGCGACGTATGACTCACGAAGTTGAAGGTTTCCGCATCCGTAGGGAAGAAGAACGGAGAGATTTGCACCTAAATACGAAAAAAGTGATGTTAGTAATGAGAGCGTGATTAATACGTCGTGGACATAAGTACTTACGGAGAAGACGATCCCGTTGAAAATAACAGCGGCCAGATAGAACGGCTTCCTCCATTTGCCCAGGTAGAAATGCGACCCCTTGAAGTCATCTGGCGTCATGGTAAGACGCAACAGGGAGATCAACCCATAAGCGGCGGTCGTCGGAATACCACCCGCGGAGACCAGGGATGTGAACGCGACCTGACTGGGGAGAATCGTGCACAGGATGAGTGCGCCGAAGACGAACATGACGGTGACCGCGTTGCGCGGCTGGCGTGAGGCGTCGACCTTCCCGATCCACCACGAGAGGGGCAGGACGCCGTCACGGGCAACGGCGAATATGAGGCGGGAGGCTGCGACAATGGCCACGCTGGTGCTCTGTAAACGACATGTTAGACCTAAGAATAGGCGCACAGCAGAATATACGTACAAGGATGAGACCGACGGATGCAATTACAGTCATGAAGATACTCGGGCCCTTGCCAAGGGCAAGCGCATAGATCTGCACGAACGGCTGCGGGGCGTCTAAGGCGAAGAGCGTGTCCAGGTCCGGGGTACAGAACAAGAACAGGATCGTGGTGGCAAAGCCCAAGACACCCGTGGCAACGACACTGGAAATGATACCGCGGCCAGCGACGACGCTAGCATTTTTGGTCTCCTCTGCAATATGGCCCGACGCGTCAAAGCCAATCATGGTACCGGCGGTGAAAAGGCTAATTCATGGTTAGTACTGGCCGTCGTCCATCCAGCGAAAGCACGTACAAGGAGAGCATCCAGTTCCATCCAGCGGGAGCTCCAGTTCCGTTGTCTGTAGTCTTGTCAGCATGTTGACCGCCTAAATGGATTATACAGTGACTCACATGTCATGGTGAACACGTCTTTAGCTGAGCGGAAGCCATAGGTCTTCGAAACGCCGATGGGAAGCCAGATGACACAGAGCAAGAAGTCGAGGGCGTAAAGCGCAACGGAGAACTTGAACACGAACGAATACCAGCGCGGAGGAAGGTAGTTGATGGCAATGGAAACCAGGAGGACACCTTCGGAGACGGCCCAGATGAGGGCACGCCATTTGATGTTGTCGTTGCCAACACCGCCGGGGAAGTCGATTTCCCAGACAGCCAGTTGTGATACGATGTAGTTCGCCGTAGTCTATCCGACTCCTTTAGCACAGCGTTCCATGACGACAGATCCGTGAACCTCACCTGACAATTGCCCGCAGCGAAGGTCATCCAAGCGGTGGTAGACCACCAAGCGACGATGAATCCGAAGAAGCGGGCATATTTGGGGCCCGCACTTTCAGCCGACCAGATATAGATTGACCCACTGAGCGGAAGCGCAGAGCAGATTTCCGCTAGGACCGCCGCGGTGATGAACATGAATATCATGGAAATGATATACGAGGACCTGCAAAACGCCTATAAGCATAGCCCCACATCAATGTTCACGAACCACTTACCAGATGGCCGCAGGACCTCCCGCCAATAGACCGAGGAAGAAACCGGACCTGTCCGATGTGTTAGACGCCTAGAGCACTATCTAGGCTTGCTGGGTCAAGTTACCGGACGCCGCCGATGAAATTCATCGCGACGAAGCTCGCTGCAAAGCTTTCGATGAAGTGCCAGCTGCGGTGCAGCGACTGGAGAGAAGAACGTAAGTACGCTGAAAGGTACTACACTGCGTCCTCACGTACCTGCTTATAACCAAGTTTGCGCTGAGAACACACAAAAAAGCAAAACGGTCAGTATCTCTGCCTGGGCCCCCCGGATGTCGGGGAGGCGGATGAAAGGCGACACTGGGGGCTTCCCTACGCAGGTCTGAGCGCTGTTCAGGTTCAAACGGTGTGATCTCAACCTTCGCCGACCCTGCTGCCCTTGCGCCGGCGGCCCATCTGGGCCAGCCAGCAGTCCGACGGGCAGAGAGTCGCAAACGAAGATACCCGTAGCCAACCAGTTCCCAACTAGAAGACGACGTTACCGAAGGTAAGTCTCAGCTGCCCCATTGCTGCATAGTTTATCCCCTCGGGTCTCCCTCTTGAAGTATTACCAGCTTGAGTTCGTCTTCGTCGACGATGCTGACCGAGGAGTTCTCGGCGTCGGTGTCGGCAGTTTTAGCCGGAAGGTTGCTAGCCTCGTGTTGGGAGGACATAGTGCCAAAGTAGATGCAGGAAGCAGGGGCTCGGAAGAAGCAGGCGAGGCAAGAAAATACAAATGCGCGATCGAGACGTATAAATACAGCGTGTTTATGTAACGCCTTCCCACATCCCCAAGCGCCTGCCAGACTGCCATCGATACAGTATCTCGATACAAAATCAACCAAACGCATGCCCAGAACTCGCTCATTGGATATTCAGTCGCTGGGCACGGAGTAAGAGAACCGTTGGGGCGGTCTAGGCTGAAAAAGGTACGTACGGGCTTCAGTGCCTTGATGAGCAGCCACTCCTCGTTCGAGACGTCGGTCTTGAATGACGACTGAAAGAGCGGTCAGTTCCACCGTGATACCGGAGAAAATAAAACTGACCTTGAGTACGTCGATGCTCGCACGCGTGATGTGCGAATAGAGCTCGTCCTTCTCGTCGAAGTGACGGCCGAACATCTTTGAGGACTGGTATACTGCATGCTCAATCTTGACGGCAACACCGCCACCGGCTTGCGACTTCTTGACGATCTTTACGCAAGCGTCAGTAAGTTTCGACACAAGCACATCCACATGGCACTTACGTCGAAGGCTTTGTGGTTGATCTCCAGTGACGTGCTGAAGGCACCTCGTTAGCACCAACACCCACGGTATTTCAAAGCCGAGGGCTTACATTCTGCCGAGGTCGATGATTTCTTTCTTCTGCGTCTCCGGGTCAACCTTGACAACACAAATCGGGGTACCAACGCGCAGAGTGCCATCGAGGATATCCACACCCAGAATGATGGGGTCACGTTTACAGAAGGCCGCGATGGTCTTCAGACGGCACGGCCAAACAGCTTGCGGCGCGGCGTCTTTACGCTTGGCCTCCATAATCTCCGCATTGTACGCCGTGAACGCATCAAACAAGTGGTAGATGATGTCCGCTGCAGTATAGGTTAGCACACGAGCTGAGAAGCCTGAAAACGACTAACGCACCTTTGAAGAGGCGGATTCCCATCTCCTCCGCTAACCGCTCGGCGTCCCTGTCGACAGGCACGTCGAAGCAAAGGATACACGCCAGCTCCTTCGCCTTCTCCAACATGGACGCAGAACGCATGACGTCCTTCTTGTGGACAGGGCCGATGTTGATGCCGGAGACGGGAATCTTGCTCGTCCTGAGGAACTCCAGGAGCGCCTCGAGCGAACCGAGCGTACTGGCCTGCACGCAGACACCGCGGCCGGACTTGTCGATGGAGTTGAGCAGCGTCGTGAGGTCGGACATAACCTCGTCCATGAGGTCTTCCTCATCATCATCGGGTCCGCACACGAGCAGCCTGGAACCGGCGATAGCCTTCTCGAGGTCGGGCGCGACGATCTTCACACCGAGGGCCGCCTTGACCTCCTTGTGGTGGACGTATTGCGACTATGAAGGAGGTATTGTCAACACATATCCATGTGATTTGTTGACAAGAAGCAAATACCTTGATACGAAGTTCGCGGAGTGGCTGAGGCGTAAGCAGCGCACGGATCTGGGTCACGATAGGTCCGTTGAGACCGCAGACCACGATCTTGTCACCTTCGTGGAGGATACCATTCGACAGGACCACGTCGATTGTCGTACCAAGACCTTCAATAACCTTGACCTCAAGCACCGTACACTCGAGCTCAGAGAGGTACATCAACCGATCGCTCATGCGCTGCTGGGTAAGGTTGACGAGGAGCATGATCATGTCGGGCACACCCTCTCCCGTAACCGCCGAGGTCGGGACGATGGAGACATTACGCGCGAAGTTCTTGTTGTCGTAGTAGAGGCAGGCGTTCAGACCCTGCTCGGCGAAGGCAACGACGATCTTCTGGGTCATGTCCTCGAACTGTCGCTGGACGGGCCGCTTCTGCGCGGCGAGAGAGCTGCGGAAGTCGTTGTCGGCTATGGGCTCCCAGCCGTAGATACGGTCGATCTTGTTGAGAGCAACGATGAATGGCGACTTCCTGTCCCTGAGTAGACGCAGCGACTCCAGAGTTTGTGGCTCAAGACCGTGCTACGAAGACCCCATGAGCGCCAGTCCAAGTCTCAGGCAGAGACACTTACCATGATATCGACGACGAGAATGGCGATGTTACAGAGCGAGCTACCACGCGAACGCAAGTTGGTGAACGACTCGTGACCGGGTGTGTCGATGACGAGAAGGCCAGGAATCTTGTACTCCTGGGTGCCGTCCTTGTTCATGACAGCCGTCTTGGTCTTGATCGCCTCCACCGGGAAGTAAGTGGCACCGATCTGCTGCGTGATACCTCCAGCTTCGCCTTCCTGGACATTCGTTTGACGAATCTGCGCATGGACGTGTGAGCGTATCCTCGCAATTCCGAGTTCGAGTCCCACATACCTTGTCCAAGAGCTTCGTCTTACCGGTATCGACGTGACCGAGAATACAACAAATAGGACTCCGGAGGTTGTCCTTGCTACGGGCAGCAAGTGCATCTTCGTGTGCCTTCTGGCGACGCGCGACAGCCTCCGCCTTGCGCTGCGCTGCCATACGTTGCGTCTGGGTCATCTCCTCGTCAGATTCGTCGGACGAGTCCTCATCGGAAGACGTCTCCTCGTCGGACGACTCTTCCTCAGAAGACTCCTCTTCCGAAGAGGACTCCTCCTGCTTGGGCTTCGCTTTCGAGTCCACCGCAGGCTTTGCAGGGGCCTTCGCGGGGGCACCACCCGCCTTGGCTGCAGGCGCTGCAAGTTTGGACGCGTCTGCCTTGGCCGAGGCGCCCTTCGCAACGCCTTTCGCAGCCTCCGGTTGCTTCGCCTTCGCCGAGCCATTGGCAGCGGCAGCTTTCTGGGCGGGCTTAGGGGCCTCCTCTGTTTCATCCCCACTGCTCGCGTCCCATGAGTCCTTGACATCTTCATCCTTCTTCTCTTCCTCGTCGCTGCTAGCGTCCCAGGAGTCTTTGACGTCGTCATCATCCACGGGAGTCGTAGGCTCGGGCTCGGGAGCGGCAACGGCGGGCGTCGGCTTGGGCGCCGCACGCTTCTCCTCCCGCACGGGCGATGGATCGCGCGTCCCGGGGTGGCTGCCACTGGCAGCACTCGCCGGGCCCTTCTTCTTCTTGCGGTTGTCGTATACCACCTTCTTGGCTCGTGGCTCTCCACCGCCTTGCTGTAGGCCCTCGATCTGCACGCCGGAAGCGAGAAGCGCCTGCTTCCGAAGCTCTGCTGACCGTAGCTCTTCCTTCTGCTTCTTAGTGAGCAGCTTGCCCTCCTTCTTGAGCTGTTCGCGCTTCGCCTGTGACGGACAACGTTAATATAGGCCACTTGATTTCAGGAGCTGAGGGGGCTTACCTTCTCCTTCTCCTTCCTCCGCTGTTTCTCCTCCGCCTGCCGCTTCTCTTCTTCCTCAGCTTTCCGCTCCTCCTCCTCGATCCTCTTCCGCTCCTCCTCTTCCCGCTTCCGGATCTCCTCCTCAATTCGCTTCTTCTCCTCCATCATCGCCTTGAGCGCGCTGATACCCGCAGGACCACCCTTCTTCTTGCCCGCGGGGGCAGCGGCGGGGGCAGGCTCCTCGTCTTTCTTGGCCTTCTTCTTTTTCTTCTTCTTCTTGGAGTCCCCTTCGGCCCCGCCTCCTTCACCGTCGTCTTCATCCTCGCCGTCAGCAGCAGCCGGCACAGACGGTGCCGCAGGTTCTGAAGGGGCCACCCCTTCACCGCCCTCAGCCTTCTTCGCGGCGGCCTGAGCTTTCTTCTTGGCCTGAGTATTCGCGGGTAAGTAATCAGACGGTGCCCGTACAGAGGAATGGGCGTGTGCGCTCACCTTTTCCCGCTCCTTCTTCAGTTTCTCCTTCTCCTTCTTCGACAGGACCTTTGGCCCGCCATCCTCACCGCCATCCTCACCCTCGTCCGCCTTGCTCTCAGGTGCCGGTGACTGTGTTGCCTCTGCGCGAGCGGGCGGTGCATCTGCCTTTTCTTCCTCCTCCTCATCGTCGTCCTGAGTCTTGCCCTTCTTCTTGCCCTTCTTCGCCTTTTTGCCCTTCTCCTTCACGGGCCCCCATTCCTCGTCTGCGAGCTCCTCCGCGGTCATCTGCACCGCCTTCTTTGGTGCGCTGATGTCACCCTTCGCCGCGGCGTCCTCGCCGTCGGAACCCTCCCCTGGACCTGCTCCATCCGCGAACGAAACGTCCGCACCGCCCTTCTTCTTGTCCTTCTTCTTGTCCTTCTTGCCCTTTTGGCTGGTGGATTTGATTACAGACTATAGCAGTAGAAGCCTCGGGATCAGCGGATTCCACAGAAATGTAGCGAGCCTGATATACCATGAGACCACCGAAGTCCTCGTCCTCTTCCTCTGCAGGCGGGTCCTCCAGACCGAGAGCCGCGAAAGCCGAAATGGCGGACTTGCCCTTCGGCTTGAAGTCATCATCTCCAGCACCAGCATCTGCCAGGCTATCTGCGTTGTTTCCAGCAACAGAAGTGCCGGCCTTCTCCCTAGATCGACGAGGCTGATTGGCACACCATAGGAAGGGACCGAGGAGAGAGCGAGGCGCACCAGAACTCATCGTCGTCCTTCTTGCCCTTCTTTCCCTTGTTCTTCGGTGCCATGTTGCGTGTAGTGGCTTTTGAGGTAGAGGGGTTCGTCTAGTGGATGGTCGGAGATAGCAGCGGCCAACCACTTCGATATATATACGGCGGGGCTGAGAGAGCTACACCAAGTCTGACCTCAGCCGACAGGAAATTCCGGTACAGAATTGATCAAGTCTCGCGTGGCTTTCGGGCGCTAAGGGGACTCCCTCGCTCCGGTCCGCGGTGCCGCTGCGCGGCCGAAGAGCCCGACTCATCCACAGTCAACTCCATCGCGGGTCCTGAGTGTAGCGGCAGATTGGTCCAAGAGTAGCGAGTACGGTGAGTACGTCGTAACAATACAAGAAATACAACGATAATACGTCCGAATACATAAGTACGAAAACACATCAGCAGCTGCTACAACTATCAACTTCAGGTTTCACGAATCGCCGCAGACGTGAGGATCACTTCCTGAAGCTTCCCAACCATCGAGAGTAACGCAGCTATGGTCTCTTCCATCTTCTCAATCCGTCTCGAGATATCCTCGTTGGTCACTGTGCTGACTACTTCGCCCGATCCTTCAGGAGGGGCGACCTCTGGCTCCGGCACGGGTGGACTTGCAGCGGATTTGTGGATCACGGCGAGGTTATGCATGTGTCGGTGCTCGCCCGGGAACGGCTTCGTGAATGCGCAATCGGGGCAGAGCAGGTAATCTACAACGGAATGCAGGAGTCAGCAAGTCAGTGCTCATAAACCAATACCGAACGTACCCGATCCGTCGTGACTCGCGGCGTATTGACAGGTTAGGCACCTGTACACCAGTCCCTCAGGAATCAATCGTTGACATGAGCCGCGACAGTGATGTCCAGTGGTGTCTTCTGCAGGAGGAGGGGTCACCGGGATTCCTGTTGCGGTAGGATCGTCAATGATGTTCCGTTGATATACAACACTCAACCCAACTCGAGGATCGTGACATACCTTCGGTTGTAGTAGCATCCGATTCGTCCTGGTCCTCTTGTAGGGCCGTGGTATCGGGAGCAGGGCGGTCTTCAAGTTTCCAGGGATCAGCATCGCCAGTAAGCTTCTTGAGAAGAGCCATAGCGCGTGTGATCACGATATTGGGTGTCGGATATTGACGCAGGACAAAGCGATGCCTGCCGCCGTGATGTTCCTGCCAATGCGCGTGGTAGCACCCGCTGCAGTAGTCGAAATCTGATACAACAAGCCACAGGGGAGTCAGAGGCTGGGCGCTCAGGGGACACATCTGGTGAGCGTACCGGGGCAGTCGATGCAGGTGTAGAGGTCCCCGCGCACCGATACTCTTTCATTACCGTTCAACGCGCACTCGTCACAGAAGTTTCGGCTGTGATAGGAGTGTTTAGTATCTGTAATATTCAACGACCGTTACAGTGACCTACTGTAGGCGCACAAGTCCATCTCGCATCCGAAGGATGAGATGACTCCGAGAGGTGGCGAAGTCAGCTGCCATACTCGGGAGAGAGGCGAAGTCCTTCAGTACAGCGTTGAGTGACTCTAGTTGCTCAGCGCCCATGGCCTCTTCGTCCACGTCAGCCTGCAGACAGTGTTCCCGGTACGCGACGAGAGCGTGCACGACATGCTGGACGATGTCGTCGGGCTCAGACAAGCAGTGCACGATGAGAGGGTCGAGTTCCGTGAGCTTTTCGTGCGTGTCGTCGAGGGGCGTTAACCTGAGGCTTCCGAGGACAGAATCGATGTCGTCAATGGAGATCTCCTGCTCGATTCGCAGGAAGCGATGTGCCGCCGTATGATGGCCTGCGACGGCGTTGGGATGCATGAGAGGCGGAGGGACCTTGCCATAACAATTTGAGCAGTAGTCGAAATCTGACCCGTTGAATGTCAGTCAGAAGATCGTGAACTCAAATGTACCTTAGTAGCGATGTGCGTACCTGCGCAATCAATGCATTTGAAACGTGGACCGACAATGGGATAGGTCACACATCCATCGCATTGACTTCCGGTGCTGGAAAGACAACTAAGAACCCGAGCCGATGAGCGGTGAACGATGATCGAAAACGTACTGCTGATTTACTGTGGGCGCTGGTGCCTGCGACTCGCTTGGGGGCTCTGGCTGCGTGGGTGTATCGACGGAGGCGTCTGGCTGCGTGAATATATCGACGGAGGGCTCTGGCGTTGTAAGCGTGTCGATGGCGGCCTCTGATTGCGTAGGTGTCTCTACGGCGGCCTCCAGCTGTGTAAGCGTGTCGACGGCGGCCTCTAGCTGTGTAGGCGTGTCGACGCGGGCCTCTGGCTGTGTAGGTGTAGACGCGTCCACAGGCTCGTCCACAACGGAGGAGGCCATCCTTATCCCGTAACGCTTCCGATACATCGCCACGGTTTCGTACCCTACGTCTACCTCTCCAGGAGAAGCAGATGCAGCGCGAACCAAATCCCGTGTGGAGATGTGTGCCGCAGTGACGGACGGCGCGTCCAGCGGGAATTCGGGGTCGTACTCTTGGAGCGCCCATGAGACCCACTGCTCAGACCTCCATGGGAGACACCACTGGTCGATCAGCCTGTATTTCTCTTCCTCGTCTGTGGAAGAGAGAAGGGCGTTCACGTCTTGGAACTAGTGCAGCGTCAGGCCAGGTCGTTGGGAAGATGGGTGTATTGTCTGTGCACGCACCATGCCGTTCGCGACGTACTGAATCTTCCTATCCACGTCGTATTGCAACTTCTTGAAGTTCTCTATTGCAAACCGATTCTGCGTTAGTAGGCTATCCTTCCGCGCCGATGGGGCAAAGTATCAGACGTACCACGAAGGTGTACTACCCGATTGATCAGCAAATCAGTTATGCAGTCGATTGTATGCGCGGCTTTCTCCAAGGCGTTCTCCTCAAGGACGTATTCCCTCGCCAAGGACAAGATCGTGAAGTGACGTTGCATGACGAGGAACAGCACAGGAAGCATTCGCTGAGACAGCGCATCAGTCGACTCGCCAAGAAGCTTCTGCAGAGACACTCACCTCTTCGATGCGTCCAACCGTCCCGGGGCCGCCACGCACGCTGAGGTCCATCATCGTCCGTATGTCCTCCTCCTCCAGCTCGTAGTTGAGCATCCCAAGGACCTGTTTGACGCCCTGCTCCTGCTTCGCCATCACTATATGCGTCACCTTCAGCAGCTGCTGATCATCCAAGTCGGGCTCGCCGAGCCTCCGTAGGAACGCTGTGACCCAGTGCAGAAGGCCCATGTATGCCGCGACGGTTCCGCTATTCTCCTTCGCGCACTCGAGCGCCACGAAGCGCTCGATCATATACTCGATTCGTATACGATAGAGATGGGCGGCCACGAGCCAGCCTGCATGACTATATGTGAGTAGTGTGTCGTGAAAGATCGCGCTGCTGGCTTACCGTGCGCGCTGTACACGATCCACTGCATGAGCGTGATGTCCTCGGGCTTCGCGTTCGTGAACTCATTAACCTCCTTGATCTTGATGAGGCCGTTCATGTCGTCATCCAAGACTAACACGTCTGTGAGCACGAATCGTTTTGACCATAATCTAGTCCGCTTTGCCCACCTTCCATGAACGTCGAGAGGGTGCGATAATTGAAGTAGTTCAGGCACCAGGCATCTTGTGCCGCCGCGGCAGGAGTAGTGCACCCCTCGAACTCGTCATGATCCTGATCATCCGTACCTGCGTCGGACGGGGTGGGAGAAGACGTGCGGGGAATGTCGAGTGTGATGAGGGGTGAAGGCGGGATTGGGCTGAAAAGCGGCTTCTCCGGGATCAGGGTCATTGTTCGGCTGGGGGCGCGAGACTCGCGTTCCAGGTCGATGAAATAACTGATCGAGGCCATTAGGCTTGCCCGGCTCTCAGAAAGGGAAGACTCACTCGTAGAGGTTGAGAACGAAAGTATGTGAATCGATCGAACCACCCCATCCCTGGTAAACATCAGTCAGCTCCTCCGTCACGACAACGTGTGGATCCGACCAACCATTTCTTTCCACAGTTTCTTGATGTCCTACAGGCCAGTACAGGAGATCAGCAAGGGATTGGAACGACGAACACATATATGCATACCGGGTTCTCAATGCGCTCATACGGACGCGCACCAGCCAACTTCTTGATCAGCCGCATTGTATGACGTTCGCGCCTCGCCTTGTCTACCAAGTAGTCGATCTTCGACTCGAACCGCGCCAGGTTCCGCTCCAGGAGCTGTTCCACAGGAGTCCGTATCCGCCGAATTTCGGCCGCGCTAAGGTGCGTCCTCGGGCCAGTGTTGCTCGACTTCGGTCCGCGCTTGGTGGAGTCCTCATCATTCGGGATGAATACTGCGAGCTCATTGAGCTTTGACTCGCTCTGCAGGCATGCCTCGGGGCCGTCAAGACGCTTGACCTCATCCAGGGCTTTCTGCTCGTCTGCTACTGGATCGAAGAGTGCCTGGACGGCCTTCAGGTCGATCGCTATACTGGCAATCTGCGGTGCAAGGGACTGAGTCATAGACGCTACTAGCTGGTCTGCACGCGTCTGAGTGATGCTGTGAGCATAATCCGAAGTAGAAGATCGACTAGACGTACAGCAGTATACAGCGCCATGACCTCCAATATCTCCTTCTTGCGCTTCTCCACCATCTCGCCGCATTTAGTGACGGCTTCCTGTATCTAGATTAACCAATGATATTCCATTTCATAGAGACAATATAACTTGCCTTCCACCCCTTCTCCTTGAGAACGCGACCTGATCACGGAGATTAAATAGCACTCAAAGACTAATTCGGTAGAACCTACCTAGCCAATTCTCGCTGGCGTAGTTCTCCATAGCGTTACCCAGTCTCTTCACATCATTCTTGATGCTGTCGCAAAGCACTAGAGTGCGGCAGCACAGCTCTCAGTCAAGGACATGTCGCCGTTTCGGCTTGACGCACTTTCCAGCCGCCCAGGCAACATTTTCCCGCCGATACTTTGATCGTCCCGCTTGAAATCACGCAAGCTAATCAAAGATCGTCAACATGCTTGGATGTGTCTCATAAACATGCAGTAGACTTACCTAAAGAGGGAGCACAGCATGTCCGCCTGCATCAAACGCAGACCGGCGATCCTCTTGCGTATGCTCTCCTTCGTGGCGATCACCGTCTTCGTGAGGTCGACCGCTGCACGCACGGCTGAGTACAATTCCGTTAGTATGGCCCTTCGCATAGTAGTTCTTAGACGCACCCTCTAGCACAGGCCAGTATGTTGCCAGGACACCGAGAGCGGTGGAGACAAGGCCAAGCGCACTCTCGATGGTCACGTACGGGACCTTCGCCAGATCTTTGTCCTTCAGTTTCGCCATCGCGGCCCACGCATGGGCATATACATCATCGCCAAAGTCCGCCTCAGATACACTGTCCTTGACAGCGTTGTCGCGAGGACCTGTGCGATCATATGAGTTTAGCTGTACCGATCCAAGAAAGCTTGTAAGGTGCACGTACTCATTGTGGGGTAGCAGGAAGGGATGTGCTGTGTGCGGAGAAAGTGAAGACTGCTCTGATGCTGAGAACACCGCGTTCCGGAATATGTAGGACTAACGGCGTCAATTGTGGTTTTCTCTCTGTCCGCAGACAGATGGCCCTAAATGTAATGCTCCCATCGTCCGCTGGGTGTCAGCGCCGAGATCGTAACAAGGCGTCCAATTTCATATCGAAGGACATCCTTTGACACTGGTTGCGACGCGTCCTTGATGAGCCTAAAGCGAACGCGTTGCGCTATTGCAGCCGCGTGGAGTCAATGGTAAAATTGCAGGATCGCAGCCTAGCGTGTCACGTCCGCACACACCGTATCTTTTTACTTCCTTGATCCTTGTATACTTACAACACATCTCCTGATACGCTACGCGGAGCTCCCAAAGTTCGCAGTCAGTGGGACCTCGTGTCGTTGGGCTTACTAGCACATGTTCTTCGAGTCTCGCTAGCGTTAGATTGGTCAAGCTGTTCTATGGCCGAGGCAAGGTGATATGAAGTCGGAAGAGAGATTATAGGGTGCGAGATACACAGCCCGGGATGCTGATCAAGCGGGAGTTTATGGTAGTCGCGGCGAGAAGACTCGAGGGCTGTGTCGTCAGGAACTCGACCCGAGGCTGCCAGTGTCCCACGTGCGGCACTGCCACGCCTGTTCGTGAGAATTAGCCGCCGATCGTCGAGATTCGAACGACTGTGCGTTCCTCTCACTCCATACCGCCTCTCCTCCTCGAATTATGCGGACGAGCGACTTAATAGTGACTCCTAACTATGCAGATTGAACCAGCTAGCTATGTGTTGCTGAACGGGGGCGTCATAGCTGCTAGTTTCACTAACCTTGGCTCGCCTCCGAAATTTCACCATCTCCCGGGCCAGAATAGGCGGCTGACTTACAACACCGGGCTCTCTCAGGGCCTCGCCAGCCACTAGCTAGGTCATCCACAGACACACCGTCAGTCGGTCTTCCGACAGTGTATCATTGCTTTCGCTCCTCACATCAACCACAAACTACCCCAATGTCGCCAACTCAGTCCACCGATGGATACACCCGCAGCCTCTCGCACGCCGTCTTCTCTCGCATGGACCCAGGCAGGCCAGTTCTCAGACTTCTCGACCCAGCCACGAACGAGCTTTGTGACTATCGCCTCGTGAAGATTCCGCGGCGCACCACGACGTCCCCCGTCCCCACCCGTCCTACCCGAGACCAACCCGGCCTAGGAAGATGTCTAGGAGAAACGCTAGGCAGCGAAACCCCCGACCTCGGCTATGTGAATCAGTCTAGCCATTCCTCGGGCGGATCGCGGGACTGCGCCTCAGAGCTCTGGCATGGTCCTCCGTCGTTCGGCGCTAGGTTCAACTCTCCGCTCGCGCGCCTACCACCGTTCTCCGTCCGCTCTCGGGGCGATGGGACGCCCTCTCTATTCAACGACTCTCGTAACTCGGACGGGTCATCACCATCCCTAGGGCCTACCCCGATCAGAAAGCTCTTCCCTGGCGCTGCTCGGACTCGTCTAGATACCCCTGCAGAATCTCCCTGGGTTACCGGTGGTTCTACTGCATTCGCCGGCCTGGGCTTCTCTGAACTTCGCAAAGACGACGGAACCCCGTTTGACGGCCTCGGGAGCCTCCCTCGCCACACCTCCACCCCGCAATACAGCTACGCCTCTCCTACCGGAGTCGCCGATCAATCCTCCGACTCGCACCCTATAAACTACCTCCACTTCGTCCGTTCAAGAACGACCACGACCCCAGCCGCCGGCGGTGCACTCTCCCCTCCCCTGGCCCCCGCGCGTCATTCCGGGGGCGGACGAGCCCAGAGCGTGGCTGGAACGCGCCCCGTCCGACCGGACCAAGACGACGTCTTCCTCTCGCGCCCTATCCGCGTCCCCGGAAGCCTCGCGCGAGGCCTGTTCCGGCGCTCGTCGTCGTCGTGCGGCACCAAGGGCGCGCGGCGCGCTTCCGTCGCGGGCACCCCGAGCGTAGCCCGCCGCTCGTCCTGGAGCTGGATGACTGATCGTATCGAGACGGGTAGTACGAGGGGCGGCGGTGAGAGGAAGCCTGTGTGGAAGCCGTGAAGAGCAGAATGATCCTTGTACCATTCGTTGCATATCGCAGAGCATTGTAACTATAACAGGACAAACAGCAGGAAATGGCACCATACTGGGGTCGTTGTAATACATGCGTCCATGAGGGTTATCCCGCCAAGGACGAGTGCACCCCATGATCGCCCAAGCCATCCCTTGCTATCAGTCAGACTTGTGAAACTTTCTTCAAAGCCAAATGTCAATCATAGCGACCACACTCGCAGGGCATGGAAACTCACCCGTCCTCCACATAGTGCGGCAGGTCTTCCCCGTTCTCCATATAGCGCGGCGGGCCTTCTGACATCCTCGAGGGTTCCCGGCGCAGCGTCTGCCTGTTCAACCGTGTAGCCATCTCTTCCTCCTCGCCCGGCGCCATCGCCATCGACTGTACGGTAATGAATCTGGCGGGCCACATGACGACGTTTATGACGACAACAACAAGCAGGGGAACCGCGTCCAGCAGATAGAAGAACACGTCGGTGCTGAAGTGGCCGAGGAAGCCGAGCGACTCGTCGTCGCCGTCGATAGCAAACTGGGCGACGCGATATGTCGAGCGTGTCTGGGCATATGGTTAACAGTGAGGACATATGTGCGAAAGGAGTGAACGCACAAGGATAACAAGGCACGAGAGGATAAATCCCCAGACAAGGAAGACATCGTCAGAGTACCATGCCAAGCCCTTTCTCCGGGCCACCTTCCCCGGGGAAGCCTGCCACAGGCGGAGGAAGAATGACACGACGATTGAAGTGAAGAACAGAAACGCTATGAGCTGGAGCCCAAGGCCGCCCAACATACACTATTCGTCCGCACGTCAGCGGCGCTCTGGGTAGCGCATACGACCGCGAAACACACGCACCCATCGGCCAAGGTCGTGGAGGTCCTTCTTTCGCGCGATGGCGATACCCGTGCCTACAGCCTGCATGGCGAAGGCAAGGAAATCCGAGAGAAGGAAGATGCCGGCGAGTTTCCCGGCGTCGATGGCGAGGTGTTGCGATGCGTGAAGATGGCGCGCCAGGCGCACGAGAAGAATGTACTCGGCAGCAATGATTGCGCAAGGCTGCGGCACGGTTCAGCTTGCGTGCGCGAAATATACGGCTGGGCAAAGATCGGACATACCCCAAGGACCACGGCAAACAAGAAATGGGTGGAGAGGTTGTGCTGAATGCTCCCAACCCCAATGGCATATACTTTTGGTGAAAGTGACAGGGTCAGATGGGAGGAAGTTGAGGTGGGCGACTTAATGCTTGAAGACTTACCGAAGCAGCCGATCATCATAGGGAGCATCCATATCCCCCGCCAGCGGTAGATATTGTATGCCTGTGCCAGGGTACATGCAACGAAAAGGACTGGCGACAATCCGTAAGCTCGGCTCTCCCTCAAAGTAATTGACGCCACTTACGAACGAAGAGGGCTACAAGGGCCTTGGTGTGGGCCGGGGCTAAGGACTTCAAGCTCGGCAGGGAGTCAGACATGACAACTTGAGAGTACTGGGTGAACAGGATGAGTGCGACGGCACGAGCCTGAGTAGACATCCCTTATGTGAAGCCGCTAGACGCATTGTGTGGTTTCGGTCCGACATAGAGCTGCGAAGATGTTGCTGCGGAGCCTGCGTTATTAACGACCGTATCATGGTAGTATCATGGATAAGTTGGCGAAGTTGCAACTTCGCAGAGACTCAAGCGCTCATGGTCACCTCGATTTGTCCTCACTCGGTCCGAGATGCATCAGTAGTAGTGCAATATTCGTGCGCACGCGGCAAGGTTGAAGCGCAGGTCAGTCTGAATTCGGTAAGGCAATTGAAAGAAAGATAATAAGAGATGACGATGTATGTGTCCATGAGGGCGCTCCTGCCAGTGCACACTCGCCGGCGTCAGCACGCAAGTAGGAAGAGTGCCCGCACGATCAATGATCCCGGTCTGGGCGAACTATATGAAGATTCGACCTCACGCCCTTCCGTAACGCGATTGCATAGGAAGTCTGCTTAGAAGCTTAGTCACCGCTTTAGCTGTGGCATATGAAAACATACGTTGTCTGGGCGGAGTACTCGGGCACCCTCGTGTGTTCTCGGTGCAGCGCCTGCCTGTTCCGAATTGGCATATCTTCCTCCACAAGTGGTACCATCGACTCCGGAGTGATAGACCTCCCCGGCTAGAGAACGGTGCTCGTCGAGACAACGACCAGCATAGGCAGCGCGTCGAGCAGGTAGAAGAACGCATCCAAGCTGAGGCCGCCAAGGATTCCGAGTGACTGGTTGTCACCTTCGATGGCGAACTGGACGACACGGTAAACCGAGCGGACCTAGGGGTGTGGTTAGAAGCGACAACGAATGGGATAGAGGAGCAAGCGTACAATAATATCGAAACACGAGAGGGCGAGTCCCCAGATGAGGGAAACACCGTCATGGCGCCATGTCAAGCGTCGGTCCCGGGTGACCTTGTCTGGGGCGATCAGTCTGAGGCGGCGGATAAACATCACCACGATCCAACTAAAGAACAAAAACGATATGAGCTGGAGCGCGAGACCGCCCAACAGGAGCTATGTGTCCGCAGACGGTCAGCGGAACTTCAAGTAGCGCTCGCTGAAGAGACGTACCCATCGGCCGACTTGGTGGAGGCAATTGACTTGCGCAATCACGATACCCGTGCCCGCGCCCTGCATGGCGAAGGTTATGAAATCCGACGTGACGAATATGGCAGCGACTTTCCCGGCCCCGATGGCGACATGTTGTGGGGCCTGAAGATGGCGCGCTAGACGGCCGAGAATGACATATTCTGCAGCAATGAATGCGTAGGGCTGAGGTATTGTTCAGCATACATGGAATCTATAATCGATTGGGAATGGGACGTACCGAGAGCGTGGTGAATATGAAGTAGGCGGACAAGTTGGATGAGATCGTCCCCACTCCAATGGCATAAGGTTTCAGTCAATTTATTAGGGCCATAGAGCATGAAGTGGGGGTCAATTACTGTTCGAAGACTCACTAAAGCAGCCGATAGTCATCGCGAGCATCCATTTCCCCTTCCAGCGGTAGATGTTGTAAATCTGGGTCAGGCCACATGCGACAAATAAAACTAGTGATGGGCTGTAAGTTCTGTGAACCTGAGAATATATGACACTACTCACAAACAAAGATGAGCGAAAGGGCTTTCGAGTGTGTCGGGGTTGCGGACTCCGAGCTCGGCGTAGTGTCAGACATGACGAGGAGATGTTGGGTCACAAGACTGAGTGCGACAGCACAAAGTAGGTCCATCTCGCGGGATAGTCAGACCCATTTTGTGATTTCGGTCCGAAACAGAGTCGACAAAGGTGTCGCTGCGGTACAAACAACATGGTGGAGAAGTCGCAACTGCGCTGGAGGTCAAGCGTTGGCGCTCAAGCAGAGGTCACTCCGATTTGTCCGGATTCGGTCCGCAAGCTCTCATTGGCTGATCAAGCTAGCAGTGCACCGCATGCCCACGTGGCAACTATAATGGATTGAATGTGATTTTCAATTTGTTTCTTCCTGGCCACGACGTTCTACCCCGTTCTACCACTCACCAACTAGAGCAGAAGTTCGCAGTAATGTACCACGCAGGCCGAGTGATACGTCGTTGGGTGGCATATACATGTGAGCGTATCAAACTATGAATTATCTCAAGATGTACTCAAACAGATGTCTCGTTACTCCTGCGCAGGTATCGAGCTTTTTGCTGCCTGTACTGAGGATAGCACACAAAATTATCTATTCACTGTATACAGCTTGGCCACGAGGAACACGGTCGGAGACAAACGCGCGTCAGTGCATCGTGGTCGGTGCCAGCCGCCTAGCGGTAGGCTGCTCCGATGCTTCCTATCCCAATCATTTGAGAACCAGAAGCGCCGACTCAGCGCCGGCACTGACCTGAGCCTGATGTGGCCTCCCTCCGAGAAATTGAAGATAAGAATGCAGCGTACTCTAAATGACGTCGAGGATACTCATTCTGATGCGCTCTCAGATCTCCCAAGGAAGCAGAGGCGCACAAAGGGGCGACATTGACAAACCATGTTCGCTGCATACCCAGCGCTAAGCTCTCATTCCCGACGGTTCACGACGGTTCTCGAGCCTTTTTGATGTTCCCCCGCCTTCATGGGTCTATCATGCATGCAAGGTCGAGCGCAGTGCATTTGGTCCACGCTCGAGATCATTCTCGATTGATGGGATCGACTCATAGGTATGTTTGAAACAAATAAATAGCCTTGCCTCCATGGCTTCACGTTCGTCCTCCTGATCAGCTCGCGACGCGCGACGCGCCCTACGAGACAACCGCGAGATGGCATGTGGTGTCTCTTCGGGATGACACGGGCAGCGGCGGGAAGAACCGGGTGGGACGAGGGCTGAATTTTGAGTCGCAGAGTTACCCTCGCCGCAGGCTCAGGTAACCGGGATCTACACCAATCTGCTCTGGGTAGTTGAAGAACTACCACACGAAGGACTGCCTAGTATGTACCGCGGTCACTTGGCTATGGTGAGTGACATGTAGGCTTTCGGCCGAGCAACTGAGCGCCCTGACACCCACGCATAGACGCCGCTCCCAGCGCCCGCACGCCTCGCAGAGGCATCGGGGCTCTTCGGCTGAGACAAGTTGTACTTAAGCCGACGCTTGCCTGCAAGACATCCCTAGACGTGTACGTTCACACTCGGGTAGGTCGAGGCATCACGGTGCTTTCGGACAGCTCACAGCGCTGCGGGATTGGCGTATATAACGCGGTCGCCGCCATGACTTCGCACCCCGCCCAACTTCGATCTTTTCCCCCAGGAGCTCTCCCCGCGCTCTCCCTTCTCTCTCCCCGTTTCCCGACCGCGCTCGCCTAACCGCGATGGCTTCACCGTCTACAGGCAACCTAGATGAAGGCCAGGTACCCCAAGCGGAGGACGGCGCAGAAAAGACCGGCGATATCTCAACGAGTGGCTCAGAGGCGCCATCGGTGCTCATAGTCGACTGGGAGGGCCCCAACGATCCTGCCAACCCGAAAAAGTGAGTTACGACATCCTCATAACAACTTATTGACGATTGAACCTCTCGTAGCTGGAGCGCCGGGCAGAAATGGGCGATCACCTTAGTAGTCTCCTCTTACGCCTTCCTCAGTCCCCTGTCGTCGTCCATGATGGCACCCGCAGCCAACGATATCGCACACGATTTGGGCGAGACCAACAAGACAGTCATCGCCCTCTTCACGTCTATATATGTGGCGGCTTACGGTACGTCGCCTAACAATGTTAGGTTATTCTGCCTAAATGAGACCTTTCTCCGACAGCACTCGGTCCCCTGACCATGGGGCCGCTATGTGAACTGTACGGCCGAGCAAGAATCCTCCAGCTCTCAAACCTTTTCTACTTTGGTACGTCGCGTCGCTTGCATGCCCTTAGTAAAATAGCCTCAGCTAACGCGAACAATTTCAAAGCTTGGAACTTTGGTTGCGGCTTCGCAAGAAATCCCGCAGAGCTGATAGTATTCCGCTTCCTGTCGGGTTGGGGAGGGAGCGCCGCGCCGTCCGTATGTACACACCCCTCTTCAGTCCATCCGCTACTCATATATGCATCGTTAGATCGGCGGTGGTGTTCTGGGAGACGTTTGGAGCCCAGAGCAGCGCGGCCAAGCGATGACCATGTACACACTCGCACCCCTGCTTGGGCCGTGCATCGGTCCAATCTGCGGAGCATGGATAGCGGAGAGATCCAGCTGGCGTTGGGTGGTCAGTCTTCACTTTCACATCTTCACGCGCATCCCTTAACCAATGCTGTAGTTCTGGTCCACAAGCATCGCATGTGTCCTCGTGCAAGCGGTGGGATTGTTCTATCTCAAAGAAAGTACGTCTGCACCCCTCGACGACTGCGTATTTGTGTCTCATCGGATTTTTCCATAGCTTATGCACCAGTTCTACTCGAGAGGAAGGCGAAGCATATCAGGGAGGGAATGAGAGATGCCGAGAAGGGCCCCCCGCAGGAGGTGCGGACAATATTCGACAGCCCCGACAGAGAGTATGTCTTCCTCCCGCTCGCGTAGACAACATCGCTAAAGATCAACACTGTAGGTGGCACAACGTCGTGCGGAAGACACTCATCCGTCCTTTCGCGTTGTCAATCCAAGAGCCCATCATCCAAGTTTTCGCGGTCTACCTATCCTTTGTCTACGGCACCTTGTACAGTATGTAACCGCATTACACTCTGCATATATGCGCACTAAAACGTCTTTCACAGTCTTCCTTACCACGATACCCTCAATCTTCGAAGGTGTATACCGGGAGCCCGTCGGGATCGCTGGGCTCCACTACCTCGCGCTCGGCCTGGGCTCGGTAGTGGCGGCCCAATTGAGCGGAAGGCTAATCGACATGTCCTATAAGCGTCTCACTGCACACTACAACGGCGTCGGCAAACCGGAGTACCGTTTACGTACGTCGTCTCCTAATCTGACGTCGGATGAGCCTAGCCTAACACCTCAATGTGCTCGCAGCTGCCTTGGTTCCAGGATCGATTCTGCTACCCATCGGGCTGTTCATCACAGGCTGGACGGCGCGCGCGGACGTGCACTGGATTGCGCCGGACATCGGGATCGCTCTCGTCGGCGGTGGGACCATCTTCATCTTCCAAGGTATCATGACATACGTTCTTGACGCGTTCGCCGTCTACGCTGCATCAGGTAAGTCTTAGGTCTCTTGTTAGGGAACGCGTAGCTGACACCAGTGGGTTTCCAGCGCTCGCCGCGCTCGCATTCTTCCGCTCGATCGCCGGCTTCTGCTTCCCGCTCTTCGCGCCGGCGATGTACAGCGCGCTCGGATATGGGAAGGGCGACACAATCCTCGCGTGCTTCGCCATCGCTGTCGGCGTGCCTGCGTATGTTCACTCTTTGTGCGGGGACAGGCTGTTACTTATACCTCCGCAGGCCCTACCTCTTCTGGACCTACGGCGAGCGCATACGGAATGCGAGCCGTTATGCCAAGAAGTGAAACTTGTAATTATGTGTCGTGCCGCAGGCTACAATACCCAGATTGCGACGTGGAGATTGTCCAGGATAGATGTACATAGTCTGGTCAGGCGTAGCGCGTAGAAACGTACTTTCGTCAGTGGTCGAAGGCGCCAAAGCTTCATTAGCTCACTTTGCTGTTGGGGTATATCCATACAGGACTCGGGTCGGCCCAATGAATTACGCCCTGCTCAATCCTGTCAGTGCAAGCTTGATACTGGTCGGGAGCTGGATGTGTTTACAGGATGCGACGATGGCCAATTTGTGATGGAAGGTTTTTGGAAGCATAGCAGGTAGGCACTCTAATATCTGGGGAGAACGCTGATACCGCTGCAACACATGCATATCCGAAGTTTGGGGGTATGTGGAGGATCCGAGAACGCGTGTTTGACATCACAAAAACGGCGTCGAAGTTGTTAGAGTGATCATTATTCCCACCATTACAAGGTCTTATAACACTTTGTAAAGTCATCGTAATCTCGGCCTTGATGGTAAACGCCCGGATCATTACATCTGCTTGGAACCAGATTGCGAGGCGCTCATCATCGTCTTGCAATCGTCTTGCAACCTGCGCAATCCTTGCCTGCTTTGCGAGCCAATACCATCCACTCACAACTCGCGCGCTCGATTTTACCGACACTTCGCACAACTGTTGGACGTCCTGTACAGTTCATCGGCGGAGCTTCAATCTCAGTCTCCTAGAGACGGACATCTCGCGCGCCCTTTCCTCTCTCTCTCCACTCATGTCTCTCCACTCTCCCCCTCGACGCCCACTGCCTCTCCCCTCTATCTCGCGGATCTCTCTCTCGTGTACTGCCGGGATGGCATCGCTGCGCTTTGGTCTAGCTGCTCTCCGGACTCGTCTGTCACTAGTGTGCTTGTACTTGGGCTTCTAGCGGGTCCCTACCTGATCGCTTTCCCTGGCAACGTGCTCCTACTCTATCTCAGTCTACTTGAATGCTAGCTGTCTGGACTAGGGGCTTCGTGTCGTCTTTGCTCGCCGTGCTGGCCGTCTTCTCTTGTCACCTCGCTGTCTGCCAAGTGCTCTGGATCAAGCTTCGGTCAAGGCTATGCGGTTCGACGGACTCGCGGTTCTCTGTCTCGCGGTCCTCTCGCTCACGGCTCGCGGCCCTCTTGTCTTGGTGGCTTCGGGACTCCTAGGGCGAATCTAATAGCACGTATATGTAGTAGTAGTGCGCACATGTAATATTACTCGGTTAGATGTCTGTTTTCAGTATTGTTTTATATATTTGATTGTGTTTCCTGTATCTCCCGTGCACAGTACGACGATCCGGATTGCGAAAAGCGGGCGATCTGCTAGCCCATTATACACCTTGCGTGCACGTAGAATATTCAAAGACCTTGGAATGATTGGGGATTTCGCAATTATTGCGGCGGTTGTAAGGGGCTCAACGCGATCGTAGTGGCATTACGACAGATTGCGAACTAACGATCATTGGGTACATTACAACCGATTACAAGTCCATGATAGCTAGATTATATCCCATTGCAAGATCCGGGTCAAATCTGTGATGGACGAGCCTTGCACGACCAGAGTCGGGCGGCTAAATGTGAAGGGTCAACAGTAAGCGCCAAAGATCTGGCTTGCGTGTGGAAAGATCACCCCTCCTGGGGACGTTTTCCGGCGTCTAGCTCACCACTACGCCTGGCTCTACGCTAGAATGGCACGAACGACCACCATGGGCAGCAAAAACAACAGCAAACGGCGCTGGGGACGCCATATATACCTGGGGGGGTGCGCGAGGACGCGAAAACACCCCCCACTTCCCCCCACCACCTCCAAGAGCCGGCGCCATGGCCTCACTCAACTCTCGCATCCACCCCGCACCCTCGCACACTCTCACACACTTTCTGGATAGCTCTGCTTCCGACAGCGTACATGCAGACTACATGTATGGTGTCGATGATGCTTTTTTCCGAATGGACTTAGCCCATCCGGGGCCTGGGCCGTGTCCCGATCTTCAAGGGGACTACTCATCCTATGACCGTCGTCTACACCTCGAGCAGGCGCTGTTGAACGACTGGTACGTCGCGTTATACTCATAGATACCTGTTTTACTCAACTGTATTTTAGCGCGGACGTGCAGCTTATGTCCTCTCTCATGCTTGACGATGCCGCGGCGTACGCCTATGGATCACCAGCGTCTCTTTTGAGCACGCCCCAGCTGGAACCTCTCTCGCAATACGCGTACGACCAGTGGGACGCGAGCTCCCTACCGCCGCCCCTACAGTCAGACTTCGAAACGCGTCAGCACTCTTCCATGAGCGTCGACCCATGGGCGGCCAGAGGTACACTCCCAATCCAGAGCGCCTATTCGACCATTGCGGACGCGCCAGGAGGCTGCCCCACGGACGTGTATGCGCCGGCCTCGCAATCTGTCAGTAACATGGTGTCCTCTCCGCCTTCCTACTACCCTGCCCTTGCTCCCTCATTGTCGGTGTCGTCGCGCGATGCGTTGATGGCCCCAGGCACAATCCCAGTCCATTCGACCATCGCGGACGCGCTCACTTGCTGCCCCGCAAACGTGTATGCGCCGACCTCGCCACCAGGTACAGCCACCACGGTGTTTGGCGGATGCCAGGCGGAATCTACCCCACAGTCTCGCAGGCGCGAAAGCAGGCCCCTCCACCAACAGCCCACCTATTCCTCTTACTACCCCTCTCCTACTCCTTCGTCGTCGGCATCCTCTTCTTACCCTTCACCCTCTCCTTCATCGTCAGGTCCCTCCTCCTACTCTTCCCCCTCTCCTTCATCATCGGCATCCTCACCATTCGCTTCCTCTTCTTACCCTCCCCCCTCTCCTTCATCATCGTCGTCGTCGCGCGATTCGTCAAAGCCAGAGGTTATTTTCACACCCCGCCGGAATACTGCCGTCTCGCCAAACGCGCGCCGCGTCGTCTCCAAAAACCCCCTGAAATGCTCATTTTGCTCGTACGTGGCGCCCAAAGGGCGCCTCCCGGACCTCGCGCGGCACGTCAACACGCACATGCGGAGCAACAACGACGAGAGCTTCAAGTGCTGCGGTGTTCCGCTCGCCGAGGCGAAGGAGCTCGGGGTGCCTACGGAGAGGATGAAAGAGAGGCCGCTCGTGTACCAGGAGATCAAAATGGTGGGCGGGTGCAGGAAGGCGTTCAGTAGGCGGGACGCGCTGTTACGGCATCTGCGCGACAATAAAGGGGTGTGTTTCGGGGATGCACATGCGCCATATTTGCTGGGGAATCAATGAGGCGATTGAATGTCTCTTTTCTTCTTACTATTCTTCTTCTCAAAATGTACGAAATGTAGGATACGTGTTGAGTTTCATACCCGGGACTTTACGACCTCGCTTCTTCGGTCAGGATCTGTACATGTGTAGTTATAGTTTCTGGTCGACCTCTGCCATACAATGTCTTCTATCCCCTCATTCTTCTCCATCTCTCGCGTACATATGTATATGCAATCAATCGCCGTTCCCGGATACCGAGCCAACGTGGGCAACGATGCTCAGTCGCGACTCGCCGGCGTCAAACCTCCGTAGGATGCGGTAACGTGATCGCGTTATACAGCTCCTCGCCGCTCGACGAGCATCCCAAGCTCTCTTCTGAGCAAATAGGTCTGTTCTTCGTAGCAGGCAGGCTATTAATTACACCTTCAGACCCGGAGTACTAAGGGTTTCAGTGTACAATACATGTATATGCACTATTCCGTATGCTCCCGCACATGACACAGGCAGAAGTACTAGCATGGGCAGGAATTCGTGGTCCTCGGGATAAGTACCTGCTCGTGGGCGTCCTCTCGGGGCACTGCACGGGCGGGGAGACCAAGAATACGTTTTCTGAAAATTCTTGTTCTCGTGTTACTGAGACGAGCTCGACCGTGGTCCGGAAGGCGAACGTGTAGCGGGAAGTGAGCATGCCCCCCCTCGCCTGTCGTAACAGCGCTGACCGGTGATGTAACGTCAGTTATAGACGATTGCAAGACGTGGGTCCCCCACGGAATGCGAGGAATTATGCGAAGAAGCGATGCATACAGTTAAGATCCCTTCTCGAGGGCACGGTATAGATACAACGATGTCGGTGATGCACAGAAGATACTCAGCAATGAGAAGGGAATAGGTCATACCAAGCCCGTTCCCTCGATCGACCCTCACACATCGCTTGGTAGCACTCTTGCGTGTGCGTAGGTGGAGCTGGACACCAGTGGAGTTGACGGGCACGTCTTGATGACGGCCAACGAGCGCGTCGGGCCCTCGCCGTCAAGGACGTCACTATACTTCAGGACTTTGACGAGCTGTGATCCCGTTTGTGATCGCGGTAACGACCTTGACATCAATGAAAGATAACACGCGGACCCGGCCTGCTACAAATGGGTCACGACGGAGGGACGTACCAGTTAGAATCGATACCGAAGGAAACGTCGCTGTAGTCAAGCAGAGTGCGGTGAAAATTAGCTCGACGAAGGCCGGAAGAAACATGGGGCGACGGGGGTCGGGGCGATACTTCTAGATCTTTTGTAAGACTGACGACGTGCAATGGCAGTTCCTATACGTATGCACCCTCGCACTGTACAAGCAGCCCAGTGGTTGGTCAACGGCGCGCCAGGGCCGGCAAACTATGGCATCATATGTTAGTAAACATATCATCGACTACACCGACAGCGGTAGACGTAGTCTGTCAACTGGCGGTTGCTTTGCCCGATGGCATGTATGCGAATATGGTGTCGCTCTGCATTACGGTGACATATCACTCAACTGCTAAATGTTGTGAGTTTGCCTTAGCAAGAGATCAAATGTATTTACCCGAGGAGTTATGTCTTCCGCCATGCCTGCTGGCTTCTCCGCTCAGTCCTGCGGAAACGGGCTCCCAAGGTTGACGGCGTCCACGTTACGGGCCAATGCACCTCTCGCATCGCAATTAGGGACAGGGTTTGAGACAAAACGTGAAAGTCACTGCAGGCCAGCACTGGTTTTGCAGTTGAGATGAATGAGAAGACGCGGGGTCGCAGTGTACAAGTAATCTCCGGGAAGAGCAGAGGGGCCACGGCTGCTGAACCTGTGAGAAGACAAGGCTAGAGCTGAGGCACATACATTATATGCACCGAGTTCGTTTGCGCAGGTGTGCAGCACGGTCAAATAGTAGCTCATCGTGGTCCCAAGCAGTGTCGGATCTTCGACAAAGTGGCCTGCAGGTAGTTCGGAGCTCGGACTCTGTAGGTGCATTAGACACTGTCATGGTAAACACATGGCGACACCTTCGAACACGGCAAGGCCGCACGTTTACCGCATGCCTGAGAGTGCACCGATGTACAGGATGAGTCTAAAGACACAGCCAAGCCGACGGGGAAGAGGATCTCAGAGACGAGCTCGACAGCCTGGACAACGGTCAAGATGGATTTGTGGACCGTTTTGGGCTACAAGGTAAGCTATCCCCAGCTTTCTCACGATAATTACAATTCTGAGTTGACATTGCCATAGCAAACGCCCCTGCGGAGTGCGAACTGGGTGTACCTTTTCGTGCTGAACGTGTGGAATTACCTGAAAACCCTCCTCATTGCCTACCACGACGAGCAGCCCCCGTGCCCGGCGCCGAGACGTCTCCCCAACACCGCACCAAGCCAACCCAAGCCATCCATGGCGTCCATCGTTGCGCAGGAGTCCAGCGGTGAGTGCGTTTCCGAGGGAGCGGGTCCGGCCTATTAATTGTCTTGAACGGATTTTGCGTTTCCGCCGCAGATTTGCGTCTGGCGCTGCCAGTCGAGAAAGTGTCTCCTTCTCCTTTCCCCTCGCCAGGTTCGCCATTCTACCCGCCGCCGCGTCTTGGCGCACACGAGTTCGCATCGCGCCCATCGTCCTCCTCGTCGACCAAGAGTATCGCGCGGGGCGTGAACGACATGGCACTTACGAACGGAGAGTCGACGCCTACGACCGCCTCGATACCACAGCCTGCCCTTTCAGTGGGCACGAGCCTCCCTTCACCCGCAACACCCACCCCAAACAACGCCTTCCAGCTGAAGACACCGACCACACAAATCACCGTGCCAGATCCACCGTCCGACGCTGACTCAGCCCCGGTCCCGCTCGTCGCATCCGCTCTCACGAGCCAGAACCGCGATTCCCTCACCTCCTCCCGCCCTGCACCACCAAGCCCAGCCGCCTCGCGACGCACGTCCGCTGCACTCTCCCGCCACTCCTCGACAGTGCGCTCAAACCGTCAGTCAAAGTCTTCCCTCCTGCAGACCGCACACGAGCCCGAGGCGTCCTCGTCCTCCACGACGACCGTAACGCCGACTGCGCAGCCGAAGCGCTGCTCCCTGCTCTTCAAGATCCGCGACTTCGCGTACGACCCCGCCGACGATCGCCATTTCGGACGCGGCCCGGACGTCCCGCGAGCGAACCGACCCCGCCAGCGCTGGTCGACGTACTCGACCGCGTCTTCTTCCTCGGCAGCGTCTTCCCGCGCAGATGGAGATGACGAGGACACGGGCGAGGACGCGCGGGGAAGCTGGGGCGCCTACCGCTGGAACACCCTGAGCACGCACTTCAGCTGGGGAGAGGGTCAGGGCCCGGCAGACGCTGCCGAAGCACCGTCAAAGACGGACTTCGAGCGCAACTTTGATGTGTCCTCGCCCACGGACGAGTCGGGGAACCCGTACCAGGAAGAGGAGTTCGAAGACGCGTACGAGGGAGAAGGGGAGGGCGACGCGGACGACGGGCCCTTAGCACCCGGGCTATATCGCGCGTTGTACGCGTTTGAGCCGGAGGGCACGGCGGAGATGGCGTTGGAGGAGGAACAGATCGTGCACGTCCTCGGACGGGGCGGCGGAGTGGGCTGGGCGATCGTCGAAAGAGAGGGCAGCGGGCACGCGCTCGTGCCCGAAAGTTATCTGGAGCTCATGGAGGCGGACTGAGGGGCAGAAGCGGTGAGCACCATGTTGTTATACCTATAAGTTTGTGTACTTGGACCGCGCGGGCGTGGCGACTGTACCACCATCACCCCTCCGCCCGCTCGTCCGCTCCCGCCTTTTATGCGTTCTGCTGTTGTTGTTGGTACCCCGCTTCTGCTTCCGCATCATGCATCACGATCATGACCGCACGTCCCATTGTAATTACCTGGTAGATGTTCCTCGAGCACATATCTATGCTGTTCATACCCCCGTTTCGCCAGACAAGACGCATCTCTGATATTCCATCTGGGCGTCGCATTCTGTCTGATATCGACGGTGGGGAAGTGCTGATAGAACACCGAGTTTCGCCGGATTATCAGGTGCAGACCTGGCCCACAGAGTTTCCGAGACCTTGCGACGAAAGCATGATGCAAATGGCACGCTAAGAAGTGTCAGAAGAGGGTGCACCACGCGGGCATCGTAACTCGTCTTGCCAAGAGTCTGAGCTTCGTGGAACAGGCAGACGGAGTTCAAAGTAGGAGAAGTTCGGTGCAGGGGAGGTTCAGGCGTGCAGTGCGATGGAATTAGAGCTGGCAGAGAGCTGGACAGTATGGTGCATGACATGGAAGAACGCAGGTGGTGAGCGAGACAGGAGTGCACTACTTCTTTGACGTCTTCTTGCTCTCCACAAACAGCACACGGTTCTTCACTGTGTATGAGGGCCGTCAACGAGTGTACAGACTAAATGAAACACATCCTGACGCACCTCGTGGATCGTACTTCACCGCTGCCAACCTGGGGCCGATGCGCAACCTCTGCGCCGTGTAAAAGTACCCCGTCTGCGCCGTAGAGATCAAGCGGACGATGATCGTCCTGCATACCCTGGTGAGTAAGGGAGACACGGAGACACAGGTTGCACGTACCGCGCCTTTGCCTTGACAGCCATGGCCAACAAATGTCGAGGTTTCTGCTTGCTCCAGGAAACGCTCACGATTGGTCAGTGTGTGCTGTGACATGCTGCCACGTGGGTGTGTCACGGACGCTATACTTACTCACAGCATAGGCGCTTCTCAAGCAGGCAGCTCGCGCTGCACACGCGTAAATATTGCGTTCACCCCGGAACAATAATAAGTCTTGTAGCGCCGACAAGCGGCATCACCCGCTACCTCTGTGCGTGTATGGCAGTTCTTATGGAACGGGACGGGGGCGGCGAATTCAAATTCTGGCTATAGTACAAGGAAGCGAAGCTATCCAACGTCCGTTTGTGTGTGACATCCCACAGAGAGAAAAGGCGTCCCCCACGATCACCACGGGGACGGTATATAGCTCCTCGGGGAGGAAAAAGTCTTCGAAGATGCACATGCCATCGCAGTACATGTGCGTATTTGCGTATTTTCGAGACGCCATGTCACAACATGGCTGTAATGAGTCTGTCTTCGGCGGGCTCGATCCTCGACGTCGACGTCGAAAAGGTCGAAGACGTTTACAAGTGATCCACCATTTCCGAAGAAGCGGCCCTGCCACGGACAGACATGCCACTCGCGCATGCAGTTTTGTTCCCAAGGGAGGCGGGGAGCTGGTGACAGATTGGCGTAGTCACGCCGACCTGTAGGCTCCGTGCGAACATCGAAACGGAAGTCACGAAGCTGGCGTTGTACAGAATGTAGCAGTGGTTCGGTTCCAAATGGTGCTTCACCTAGCAAATGTCTCCTCACCGTGAGTGCAGGGTATGCGCATGCGAAGGCATACAGCAAAACCCAGTTGATGAGCGCAGTCGTCGGCGAATTGGCGATAGGTTCGAGGGGGAATAATGTGATGCTCGAGCAACACGGCACGACAGGATTGCAGGCTGTCGCCCAATCGCGCCCTAAAAGGACGTCGTAGGAGCGCAGAGAGCCCACTCGGATTGACATCGAGCACGACAGCCACCCATCAGGGGTAGGTAGATCTATAGGCCCCGAGTGGTGAGTGTGATTATTGATAGTTCCACCGTACCGGAAGAGACAGTTCGATGTATGGCATGAGAGAGCGCGAAGAATGTAGACACCACAGAGCGTGCCGCTGAGTCGTCGAAGCAAATAGACGCGAGGACTGCAGCACAGTTGCCGGTGAACACACGCGGCATGATGGATATAGAGAGAGGAGAGGACGATGGGGCAAACAGAAAGCGTGCAGAGGAATGAACAACAGCAGCCTCGGGCCCTCGGCGGTCCGGGCCATAATCCACGTGATCCTGCACGTGAAATGAAAATTCTTGCGGGGCGCCCTATAACAATGCTGGCTTGGAAGACCCACTACCTTGAAGGTAGCGGGAATATTATAACAATGCTGGCTTGGAAGACCCACTACCTTGAAGGTAGCGGGAATATTGGCCGCGAGCACTTACTTAGTCAGACAGCACAAGATATATAATATCTTGTAGGCCAGTCATCATATCCTGTCCATGCTTATATGTAATATTACATGCTTACTAGCACAGCGTACTTCATGGCTCTACCGAAGCATGTTCACCTCTCAACTCGGGAGCTTTCAGTAAGCCATGGTATCATCCAGAGAAGAAATACAACGTGTATCTACTGTACAACGCGGCACTAGAGGATAAGGCAGCAATAGTGGCGAACTTGATAATCACCGAAACGTCCGACTCGAAGGCACCGAAAGAGGCTCCAATGGGGATAGTGGGCAACTACCAGTCACCACCGCCGCCGTCATCATTCCCCTGGTCGAAGCCCTGATCATAACCTTCACAGAAGAAAGAAGCACATTAGCATGCCGCCGCGCAGGGGAAACGTAGTGGACTCACCCTGATCGTACGCCTCCTCACGCTCATGGTCCTCATGGTCCTCGAACGCATCCATGAGCAGAGCACCGCCGACCAGACCCGCACCACCTGACACGAGATATCAGCACATAGCTTACGGACGCGTCTGTCCGTGTATCGCACCTGCCAGCAGTGCGGTGCCCATTCCCGGACCGGACTTCTTCGGCGGCGCTTGCTGAGCGTACCCCTGGGGCTGAGGCGTACTCGATCCGAACCAGCCTGACAGATGACCTATCAGCTTCGCACTCACACGACGAACTGTATTCAGCGGACTCACCCCTGTTCTCTTGCGGGGGTGCACCGCCGTACGGCGGGTAGCCACCCTGCGGCGGCGGGCTCCCGTAGTAGCCGCCTTGCGGGGGCGGGGATTGCGCCCACTGCTGGGGAGGGGGCTGGCCGTAGCCCTGGTTGTAGCCGCCCTGCGGGGGGTACGGGCTGTATCCGCGGTTCTCTGGGGGTGGAGGGCCGGGCGGAGGCGCGAATGGGGATGGCTGCGGCGTGGGAGGCGCAGGTCCCAGCGGGTGGACCCACGACGAGCGCGGCGGGTTCTCCGAGGTGTTCACGTAGAACCTGCTCAGGCGTTGCGATGAGATGGGGTGCCGACCTCGATAGGACTAACGAGAGACGTACCAAGTCTTGTAGCTGGGGTGATTGGTGCGTGCCGTTAGCAACTCAGCCACAATCGCAACGGGTGCAGCAGACGTACCTGGCATCCCACTGCTCAATCCAGCCCGGAGGCAGAGGCCGTCTGTCGGGGTTGATCGGGGGACCGTTAGAGCTGTAGGGCGGGGGCTGGGACATCGATGGGGGGAAGTGATAAGTCGGGCGAAGGTGGTCGAACGGATGGACGCGGGCCCGTTATATAGGGCTCGGCAGAAAGCTGGCCGTGGGCTCCGGGGTCTGCCCGGCAGTGTAAGCAATCGCCATAATCGCGCCCAGCCCGAGCTCAGCCTCGGACTGCGGCGCGGGTGTCTGCGTATCATTGTCATATGTGGTCATTGTATGTCGAACGGTGGACGCGAAGGCAGCTTTTGTCCATCTGGATGGACAGTGGCGTGGTCACCGCCTCGCTTTGCTATTGCTGGTTTCACGGCGCTTGTCGCGGGGCCTGACGCGCGAATTTCGCGCCGCGCGCCCGTTTGGAGGGTGTCGACGCGGATCGTCGATAGCTCGCTCATACCTCCATGTAATTCGGTATTTCTTTCAGATTCTGAGTCTCCTTATCAGTGCGGAGGGCACGGTACAAAATTCGGCGCGATATTCGAAGTTTAAGCGAACTCCTCCACGATCCCCTTCCCCAGAGCAGAACGAAGATTGCCCGCCAAGATCCCATTCAATACAGCTGTAATTTTGTTATATGGGCTATAAAACAGTCTACAGAGGGCACAGACCTCAAAAACAGCGCGCAGATGGGGAATACTAGTAGCATCCCCGCCTGTTCTAGCTCGCCTCACCTCTACTCAGCTATATCTTCTAGAAGAGCTTCGTTCTGACCCTTCCACACAGATGGATGTAGCTAGGCTCATTAAAGGTGGTAAGAAATCGCGAAACAGACTTTCCCAGCGTCACGGAGATCTTTGAATACGTACGTTGAGGTCTACTCGTGTGCGATGACGTGGCACTCGTATTGCTCTGCTACACCCCCCAATATCGGCGCTGACGTCGATAATGGAACGTACATGTAAGGAAGATACACAGGGGGGTATACAGAAGATATAGACATCCCCAATGTGGGAGCAATACCATACTTGTTCACCCCCTCAAACCGGGTGAACAGACGATCACGTACTTCCGAATAATCACAACCAAACTACATTCATGCCCTCCGTACACATCGATAGCGTCTGTTAAAGCACATTCCAGCCAGAGAAAGGGACGATGTCGCTCGTTGTGCTGGTTCTGCTTGAAGACAGGTGCCCGAGGAAGCCTTTACTCGACCTTCCTATTTCGCGCTAATTTTTGTACCGTGCCCTCCGCGGCGATCAGGAGACCCAGAATCCGAAAGAAATATTGAATTTCATGGAGAATTGAGCGAGCTATCGACGATCCGCGTCGACATCCTCCAGACGAGCGCGCGGCGCGAAATTCGCGCATCAGGCCCCGCGACAAGCGCCGTGAAACCAGCAATAAGATATACGTGGGCTATGCAGCATGCTGGAGCCCCGCTGATTCGACAGCACCGTGCGGGACGCTCTCGGGATAACCATATAAAGCGATATCCTTAGTCAGAGCACATACACGTAGCAGAGAGCAATGCATACATATGTGGTGTGTCAACGAGCAAGAGGTATACGGAATAGAAGCGGTGCGCGAAGCATAGACGGCGGCAGAAGCGCGCAAACGTCATCTTTCCGACCATCCGCCGTGTGCCTTTTCTTGTACAGATCTGCTCCCGCTTCTGTTCGATGGTTGAAAGCAACCAAACATATGATGAGTGACGACCAAAACAGTGAAAGTGATTCTCACTGAGACAAACGACTCCCACTCATGCAGATCGGGATATCCCGAGTGTACAGCCGCCAACCACATCGCACGACGCAGACGAGTTCGTGTGCCAGTACACCCTTTCACCGTACCGGGCATATTCGCATGTTCTCTGATAAATCATTTAATATCACGGTGATGACTGAAAAAATGCCACCACGTTATTTCGCCATGCGCCATGCTTCGAAAATACAAAGAACATTGTGTACTGTGTGGAACATCGTGAATACATGCTTGCGACATTGAAAACACCACATGTGTTCAGCATGTGTTCACGATATTCTGATCACATACACAGTTCTCACGAAGATTTCACTATGTCATCGAAAAGAGCATGGCTATGTGCCCGCGGTGTTTGGTACGGGCCCTGCAGTCGCGGACTCTCACAGGGTGGGGCTCAAGATATTCTGGGCAGGAAAGTGTAAAGGAGTCGTAAGGGAAAGTCGTAAGGGAAATATGAATACCGTTACATTTGCATACTGAGCTTACTGAAAGGACATTGCGGAGTGATTGTAGGATCATCAAGCCTAGAGCTTCGTTGACACAGTATTTGTTCGATGGCCTTTACAATACTCACAGTGAGCTGCTGTGGAGGTATTAATATTATTTTGACATATTCTTAACAGTTTTCGCACCGAATCTCCTGAACGCCGCCCTGTGTCTGTGTGGGCTTGATATAAGCCGTTCAACATGATCACCATCTGGACGCGGTCGTCCGAGGTCCGACAAGCATGCCAGGTTGGCCGGGATCGGCTCCTCGCGATGAGGAAGACCGTCTTGTGGTCAATGCGTGGCGCGCCACACGTGCTGGAGGGCTCGCGCGACGAGCTCGAAGAACGAAAGTTTGCATGCGCGGGGCTGCTGCTCTGCGAGGCAGAGCACCCAGTCTTCATCCTCAGCGACGAGCGCGAAATAATACATCATGATGGTGGGCCGTCCGGCAAATAACGCGTCGCGCGACCTGCTCATATGGCTCCTCGGCATAGTGACTCTCATTGTTGCCACTCACTCTCAGTGGAAGTCGTTGGTCTCAGTGAGAGTCATTCTCACAGATCTGGCATATCATCATCCGCCGCGTGCCTTTTTAGTACACATCTGCCATGCAGCCGCTTCTGTTCGACGATTGAGAGCAACGAAAACATATCATGATGGTGATTGCATTTAGAACTACACGACACATGCTTGCGGTCTATGGCGGGGGACGGGGTATCGTCCAGTCTTGTAAATACATGATACACAAGAAATGCAGCAAACCAATCAAGCGAGGGTGGCGAAACCGACGGTGTCGTCGTCGAAGGAGAACACGGTGTAGACGTTCTTCATGAAGCTGTCGCCGAGCAGCCATACGTTGCTCCCGAGGCCGATGTCCTGGCCTGCGAGCGCGCCGACACACTTGCCCGAGCCCGTGGTGGTCTCACCCAGGCTGAAGCTGCAGCGGAATGGACATCAACGCGAGTCCTTCGTTGAGAGGAGAAAGAGGATACTCACTTGTCGGCCGTGATGGCCCACTTCTTCCCGCCCCAGCTGAAGGAGACGGAGGGCGCCGACTTGCACGGGAACGAGTAGTAGCCGTTCTCGGAGTCGAACACGGCGGAGCCGCTGACCTTGCTGTAGAAGGTCTTGATGGCGGCGGGAGGGCCGTACATGATCGTGGTGCCGCTGTCGATGATGGTCTCGAAGCCGGAGTTGGCGGTCGTCGAGCCGACGAACGCCTTCGCGCCGGTGATCTGCCAGAAGCCGGTCGAGGTGTCGACGGAGTGGGGCTCGATCGAACCCGTGTAGAGCTTGCTGTTCGCGCCGCCGAGGTAAAGCTCAGAGCCGGTGGAGGCGAGCTTGAAACCGAAGGAGCCCTTCGAGACCGAGTCCTGCGACATGGCGGTGTTGAAGAAGGGGTTCTAGGAGGACACGGCATCGTCAGCGGCTATGCGTTAACGTGCGCAAGAATGGCATTTACCTGGTTGAGGTTGGAGATGGCGGGGTACGCGAGACCCAGGAGGCCATCGATAGGGTCGTCGGCGAAGGAGCTCGAGAGGGTGGTCACGGGCGAGAAGTACTGCTTCGTAACCGTCACACCAGCGACAGTGACTATTTGTGGTGTCAGTATGGCGATGCTGGGCATGAACCGCGATGCTTACCAGAGTCGGTGTAAACGGGGCCGGAAACAGTCGAGCCATCGCCGTACTCGATGGAGAAGGAGCCGCTCTTCTTCGTGCCGGTCGACGAAGAAGACGCGGTGTACTTCTTCTTCGAGGAGCAAGTCGAGCTCTTGCAAGAAGACGAGGGGATCCACAGGTCGGAGGAGCCGGTGTCGAAGTCGATCAAGAACTTCTGAGCGGGGGTGCCGATGGAGATCGTGCCGGCCCACTCGGTGTCCTCGTCCTCATCCGTGAGCGCCTCCTTCTGACGCTTGGAGAGGCTCGCCGGGACGACCGCGAGGGGCTTGATCTCGGCGCCCTCCTTGAAGACGTGACGTCCGACGTTCTTCTCCAAGTTGATCAGGTTCGCGCGGTGCTTGCTAGATAGGGGGTAGAGAGTAAGCACCCGCATGAATGGCACGAGACACAATGGACGCTCACTTCTTGGTCTGGATGGTCGACAGGATGGCCTTCTCGTGGTTGAAGGTGCCGTCAGCGTTCGTAAGGGAGGAACGCTTCGCGAAGGGGACGGCGATGCCGGTGTCCTGGAGAGGACTCGCGACAGCCATAAGGGCGAGGGCGACGGTGACGAGGGAGGCTTTGCAGAACATGGCGAACGTGTGAGGAGGGGGTGCGACGAAAGACCAGTGAAGGGCTTCGAGGAGTTCAGGAGGGGAGGACCTGATGAAATTGAAGGTGGGGAAGCCCCGGCTTTATAGTGCTGGGAGGCCGCCCTAGACAGAGGTCCGACAACAGCAAGGCAACAGTCAACTGCAGAAGCCATGCGGCGGACGTAGAAAGATGATAGGACCGAACACCTTCTCCACGAGGATAGCGTCTAAGGATAGATCGCTAATGGAGGTAGTTTGAAGCCGCGATGAACGTTTGCATGGCGAGGCAGCGCCTCGATCATCTACCGCTCACGACGCGTCGACGACCATGCGGTCAACGCGTAGCTGAACGACGCAGTGGTGCTTCGGTCGCCATATGCGCGTGCGGCGCTGTATGGCGACGGCTGATCTGGATGGAGTTCTGTCAGTTGAGGTGCACAGCGTCCTGTTGTGGATGCAGAAGGCGCGCAGATCAGCACCGTCAGATTACCGGCGCAAGTCCTCTTCCGCTACCACCACCTCCGCCGCCACGAGGACCCGCACGGGGACTTGCATTAACCTACTCAAGCTCGAGGGGACGCACTTCCTGCCACCTTCCGCCCGGAGATCTTCGAACCGGCCAATGTACGCCGCATCACTGGCGCACCCTCGACTCGGAGTGGCAACTCAGTTCAGCATGCTACTGCATGTGGCGCACCGAGCATGCATGCCTGAGCGATATCGGTTGTCATTCCGCCCCGAGCGCACCACATGATGGACATGATAGACATGCAGATGTTGCATTGTCACTTGGTGTTCGAGGAGTGATCAACGTTCAACGCCCACGGCACATGTAAGCATCGCGTTCTAGTAAGCACCAGGTAAGCTCGCTATCATCATGTTGTACCGGGAAACAGGAATTTTGATCAAGCGCACCTCAGTGCCATAACTCGTAATTATGAACAAGCAGCACTACTATCTTATGAACAAGTTCGAAAGGGTCATCAAGCCACGCCCAGCATCAAGAACGAGGGACATATCCGCGTAAGCAAACATACAAGCAGCGCCGAAGCCCCTTTACGCCTTCGCTTTCTTATGCTTCTTCTCCTTCTTCGGTGTGGCCTCGTCTTTTGCGGGGGCTACAGCGACCTCCCGTTTCGACTTCTTGGGCGGAGGAATCGCGGACTCATCGACATCCGAGCTGGAGTCGTCCTCGCTGTCGTCCTCGCCTGAGGTATCATCGGAGGACGACGGGGTCGCCGCGACAGGGGGAGGCACGGGGGCCTTGATGGGGGCCACAATCGGCACCGGGGCTATCTGCATCTATTTGACGTGAGTGCACGCACACATCGGATGGTTAATGGTGTAGCTCACTGGAATACCCGACGGCTCACCAGCCTTGCCGGTAGACTCGTAAACGGCCTTCTCCGCGAGCCATCGGTCCTTCTCAGACCTGTTACGCGCTTCGTACGCCTGCGAAGAGTTAGAATCTACGCGAAACATGACGACATTGCACTTACCTCCTTCTGCTCCTGCGGCATCTCGGACCACAGCTTGGCAATGTGGCTCAGGAGCTCATTGTTGCGCATCTCGGGGTTCTTCTTCCTGAGCTCACTACGGACGTCGTTCTGGAAGAGGATGTACGACGACGCAGGCCGCTTCGGCGCGTTGGGATCCTTAATCTTCTTGGCCCGCTTCTTGGCCTCATTGTCATCCCCGCGCGCCTTGCGCTTCTTGCCATCGTCGTGAGCCACCGGCATAGGGACCATGGTCATGGGGAACTGGCCGTTCGCGCCGAGGGGCGGGAAGGGCTGGGGGTTGGAACCATAGTTGAGCGTGTGCACGAACGCGTCTGCGATGGCCGCGCACTCGCGCATGTTGTGGGCGAGCGCGTTGAGGCTGCCCACGAGCTACATCGAAGATAGGGTGAGGGGAGGACGACAGCGTTGAGCGACGACGAACCTGCATCTTGTGATACTCCAGCTGTGCCGCATTGTCGGAAGCCATGGCCGCTTTGTTTTGACGAAGTTGAAGTGTTGTTGGATTTTGAAAGACGTAGACGCGACGCGACGCGACGGTTTACGGGATGTGTAAGAAGGGGCTGAAAGGGGGGTAAGGGAGCGGTTGAAAACTTTGTTGTCGTTGTAGATGAAGAGGTGATAGCTAGCGTTGTACTTGTTTGGTTGAATTGTCAACTTGTCTCGTTACAAGCTCGATTAGTCCGAGGTTTCAAACGTTATCGAACGGTTTCTATTGCGCGTCTATTGTTTTTCCATTCGTATGCCACGGCTGCCGGGGCAATTGTTCGCCCCTTCTGGCTACCAAGAGGGCGATTTGGGACTAGACAAAAATCTATCGCTCATCGGACCTCTTGGACATCAATATGCGATGCTCAGAAGAATAGTCTGGGCGGCGTGGGGGCCAGGGCCATGAATTGCGGTGTCCTTGGGGGCGCGGTAGCGTGAGAAGGCTGTCCGTATTTGGACATAAGGGGAGTAGAAAGCGGAGACTGAAAGGGAGACTCGGCCAACCCTCTGACCACCATCACGAACGGCGAGCTGAACGAACAGCGAGCTGCAGCTAAGGCCTGGCAAGGTGACCTCTGACGGTTGACGAACGTGCAGTAATTGCCTAAGTGCCCGCTTTGCAAAAAGAATCGTCGCGTTACCTGCAGATGGACTATAACAATGCGTGGCTACAGCCTCAACCAATCCCCGACCTGCAGACCGCCTCCGTCCATGACGAGCGGTCTGTGGGCTCAAATGACTGGAAGGACACGGTTGCGAGCGTGCAGGGCGGTGGCTTGAACGACCTATTGCCATTGGGCGACATTCAGGGTGAGCACGAGCAATTTGGGACAGACGCCGGCCACAGCGACGCGTTGCGGGCCAGCGCACGTCCTCTCTAGCAAACAGCGACCAGGGCTCATTCCATCTTTGCCACAGGCCACCACACCCCCACACCCCCACTGAGCTCATCCAACAACTATCCGCTTTTCCTCAGCACCTCCCCATCCTACCAGTATTCCAACCAGTGGATCCCCCCACCGCCCCAACTCCCACTCTCGAGCTATTCCTCTCTCAATGGCGCGACAAGCACGTCCTCCCATTCACAACAACACTCGCAGAGCCAGAACCAGGGCCAGGGATTGTCACAGCCGCAGGGATCTTCTCCGATGGTCATAGAGTGCGTTCCGCCCCCTCCCTCATCTCAATCACCTAACCCTTGCCGCAGTCCCTCCCTCACGACTATGAATGGCTCGTCCTCCAGCCCTCCTCAACAGTACCAGCAGCCCGCATACCTCTCGCACCAGAACCATCCCCGCATGCAATATCAGTATTCGATGACATCCATGAACTCGCCATTTGTCCTCTCCGGCCCCTCCCATTACCAACAACAGACACAGCAGCAGCAGCAACACGCCATGCAGCTCCCCCGACACTCTCACTCCCCCCCACAGCCGCAACAGCAGGGCACTTTGTCGCCTTTTGTGCTCCACTCCCCCAATTCTGGCTACTACGGTGGTATCTCACCTTCTTCGTTCTACGGGCAAGTAGCACAGCCTGTTGCGGGACCCTCTTCTGCTACCTCCTCCGCGTCACCAGCGCCGTCGCACTCGGCTCCTGCCCCTACCCCGCCTCCCGCTCCTCCTGCGAACAAAGTTTCGCCAGAGCAACGACGAGCGACGCTTATCGCCGACGTGAAACCGCTCATACAGTCGAATTCGTTCACAGGTGGTGGCGCGGTTTCGCAGCTTGTGAACATTCTTGACGACTTTGGCATGGACGTTGTCGATCCTCAAGTCCGTCTCGACGTCCTCACTAAGATTAGAGACAATGCTGGCAACCACTATTTCCGCGCTTGGGTCGACAACCCGACCGCTATGGAGATCGTACGGGAGTGGTTGAAGCTGGCGTTCGTAGGCCGAGATGACCAACAAATGGTCGAGACGATCATGCCGCTTCTGCAGGTGAGTCTCGATCGGGAACGTCAATGGCGTAGAGGCAATTCCTGATTCACTTGATGCAGATCATCGACCGCTTACCCTTCACTGTGGAGAAGTTGAAGGATTCAAAGCTGGGCAAACTAATCATGAAGCTGATCAAAGACTCTCCTACTCCGGGTGAGTTAAAAATTTCGTTGTTCAGACATACAGAGCGTCCACCGTGCGACGGGCGTCGCGAGTGCTACTTCAACAACCCCGCGAATGCGGGTGAACCGATCACGCATCGACTCTGTAGAACAGCTGCTTTGCCTGACACTGCTTCGCCTGACACTACTCCCGTCGTCGTTAAATACATGTATCTAACTACTGTCCCTCTCCATCCATATCCGTCGAAAACAAATCAGCTATCAAGGACATGGCAGCGAACCTGGAAAGCAAATGGCGACGAATGCTCATGCAGCAGGTCCCCGGCAAAGCCGAAAGCGAAGATGGAGAGGGTGAGTCATGTCAGTCCGCTGCGCTGCGCCGCCGACGGGAATTGACGCGAGGAACGCTGTGGCAGATACAAAGGGCAAGAAGCGACGAGCGGACTCGCTATCCAAGTCCGCGCCACCCGTGAAGAAGGCCGCCATCCCTGTTGCAGGCTCGTCGACACCCAAGGCCGTCGCGGTGAAGAAGGAGGCGAAGCCCGTCGTGAAGGACGCCAAATCGGACTCGTCGTTCTTCTCCAAGCCGAAGGTGACGAAGAAGGAGCTGCCCAACTTCAAGAAGGGTCCGCCCAGCGCCCCCACCGCGACGGCACCCCCTAAGAAGGCGCCGGAATCGAACATAGCGCAGCCGTCCTCGGTCAATGGCTTCCAGGAGGTCCTGAAGTCATGGGCGTCGAGTGCGGGCCCGTCGACTCCTACACCACCACCCGCTGCGCCAGGGCCATCGACGGCGCCAGCTGCGGGGCCGTCAGGGGCTCCAGGAGGGCCTTCTCTGGGCAAGAGGAAGAAGTCGGTAACGTGGGCACCGGACGCTCAACTAGAGCAGATCAAGCTCATCGACCGTGCGGTGTATGACGATGACGGCGCAACTGTTAGCGTTTTCCATCTGCATCGCGATATGTACTATATATTGATGTCGATCCGCACGTCGTTACACAGGGCTCGCTCCAAACACATAATCTGCGCGACCTCGATCGAGACGAAGGAGCCGCGCTGCACAACCATCTGTTTGAAGAGCAAATGGAGTGGACCGAGCTACAACGTGAGCACGCGATCCGCCGTTTTGGGTTCAGTCGTGGGCTAATGCTGCTTCCCGAATCCCCAGCCCTCGAGATGCCCCCGGAGATTGATTTCCCGCCACGAGGCAGCCAGAGCCAGGAGCGGGACGCTCAGGAGGAGCGCGAGCAGACTGCCCTCGTCGCGTCGTACGCGTCCCCCGCGCAGATACCAGACAGCCCGGCCGAGCCGCCAGCACAGATGCCCGAGGAGCAGGTGGACGAGGGCGTGCGGCTCATGCTGACCGGGACTGATGTCGATGCGATATTCTGGAGCGACGGTGCGCCTGCGCTCGTCGACACGCTGCACCCGTCGACGTCCGTAGCAGATCTCGTCGGGCAACTTGCTGCTGCGGCGCCCGCGTTCGCGCCCGATGTCACAATGGGCGATGCCCCGAGCATGCTGTCTGCGACGGCCTTCAACCCCGAACAACTTCAGCTGCTGGTGCAGCAGGCGCAGGCGCTGTCGCAGAACGGGCTGCTGAGCGGACTGGGTGGGCCGCCCCCGCCGACGGCCCCGCCGGGGGTCGGGGTCGATCAGGGGGGGTGGGGGAGCCAACAATACACAGATTTCGACCGAGGATATCACGAATCGAACGGCCTCGGCCGGGGCGCCGCCGAGCCCAACCGGCGGTGGGGAGAGGACGGCTGGAACGACCGGAACGGGCCCCGGGGGCGGGGCCGGGGAGGCCCGCCGATGCGGGGGAGGGGCCGGGGCGGCGGCGGCAACGGCGACGGATTTAGAAATACAAAGCGAAAACCATGCAGTTTCTTTCAGGCAGGAAGGCGAGCATTGCAATTCCGCCACATTGGATGTCCGAAAAGGGAAAGCTGATCACACCCCTCCTTTGCTTCTCTGCCCACAGATGCCGATACGGAGATCAGTGCGACTTCAGCCACGAGCCGCTCAACTACAACTAGCGACCGCCCGCGCACCCCGCTCCTTGTGTATTTTACCATAATACTTGCTTGTCGATGTCGAAGGTCGTGTTGCACACGTACCTATGTTCTTGCCATATCCATCCCCCTTGGCGCGATCTGCACAGCGAGCAGGCGGCGTAGGCGTGCGGACTGACACCATCTACCTGGCCCAAGACGTAATCAATAGGTACCGACGTCGCCATTGGTCAATGTCCCGGGCCCGCAATCTGAGTTCGCAGCAGCAGACTCAATTGTGTGGACCATCCACACATCTGGACATGATGCATGACAAGGCAAACGCTGGTCATCGGGCGCACGGACGCAGGATCGCAGCAACGAGGGCGATAGATGAGATTAATATACACTACAGGACAATGGATAAATAGGAAGGTGATAAGACAACAGGTACCCGTCAGCCCGGTCCTCGCGAAAGAGAAAGATGGTCCTCCGCACGACCCGGATGTAGTACTAAGATACAAATCTACGTATATGCTATGCTGGTAAAATATCGATTGAGCGATGATTGCAACGAGATCCACAGAACAGATAACAGGTAGGAGGGAAGACAGACGCAAACGCACACGCAGACGTATACGGGGGATTGGGGAGAAGTGGGGGCTAGCAGGACGTAGGACGACGAGATGGCACAGACGGGTGGAACAGCAGCGGATAGCGGAGGAGCCAAGAGAGACGCATAAAGCAAGTGAGACTGCGCGGAAGCGGCCGGGCTCATGAACCTTGTGTCCGCCCGCGTTTTCGCGCCGCCCTTTTCGCCGGCTGCCCCTCCGCATTCGCCGTGGTCGGCGAGTCGTCTCCGGCGCGGCCGCCCGTAGGCTGCTTCCGCTTCAACGACGCGTTGGCCATCGACGGCGTCGTCGGCCCTCCAGGCGTAGGTGCCGAAGCGGGGGTAGATGCTGATGCGGCGGGAGTGGAGCCCGACGCCTGCGACGCTTGAGGCGTGCCTTGGCCCGCCTTGCCATCCGTGCCGTCAGATTGAGAGGCGTTCTGGGATTGCACGCCGCTCGACGGGCCTTGTGAGGGCCCTGCGACAGCATTGGGAGGGTGGTTTGTGAACATGGTTGGTGCGCCGTTGATCCCGTTGATCCCGTGCCCGTCGAACGAAGATGAGCCTTCGATGTGATAGGGAAGCCCAGTCATTGGCACTCCACGGTTGTTAGCGTGCGCTGCTCGCAGCTTGTCCGCGAACCTAGCCAATGCATCTGCACGGCCGTCAGCAACGCGTAAGCGGCGACGGTGTAAATTAGCACATACCGACTGGCCCCAGGCTGGTGTCTTTTGAAAACTGTATAAGCTCTGACATCTGCGCGACACTCTCCGCAAGCTACATCGAACATTCTTCTATCAGCGACCCAACAAATGAAAAGTACAGCAAAGACGCTTACTTCCAAGCACCGCATCGTAGCCTGTGGTATCCCAAAGGCGTTGATAGGCTCCGCGGGGACGACCGCGTGCTCGATGGTATATTTCGCCTCTTCGAACCGGCCCGCATCCTCGTGAGGACCGATCGCGCCACCGGGGGAAGGCGGGATTGGTCTTGGCGACTCCGCTATTCGATCACCGATGATGGATTCCACTGCGACGTACTTGTCATGGAAGAACGCATCGAACTGCAGTCGCTCCAGTTTCAACGTATACGCGGAAACAGCGCCTGACGGAGAAGGCTGCCCTGGGTGGAGTGTGGGTTGGACGACAACGTCCGCGGTGAGTGGCCCACGAAGGGTGATGCTGTATCCGTTCTGGTATCGGAACGTCCAGGACGCGTTGGCGCACTCAACGAGTGAATGCTGCTGGTTAATGAGCCGCTCTCGCGCGCCGTCGATGGTGATCGTCATGGACTTGACTCCTGATTGGCTCGTGACGAGGAAGAAGCGAGGAAGGATAGGGTAACCGATCTCTGTTTTCTCCTGTGAGCATTCGCGTTGAGTCAGACCAGTTGCTTCCGTACCGAAAGGCTTCGCCTCGATTTGCTGATTGTCTTTCCACAAAGTGAGCTTCATCGTAGCCTTCTCCGTGAAGAAGGTCGAGACGATACCGTCCCAGTACGACTGCTTGAGTCTCTATCGGCACGCATGCAAAGATTCAGCGAGATGGATCAAGGCTACGAGGGAACGACTACTCACGTCCTTGTGGACCGTTCCCAAGGTACCACTCAACTGCAGTATTCGGCATACAGATTGTCCAAATCCAACTGGGTATATGCTGAGGATGCACGAACGATTAGGTTTGCGCGCGTTCATTACATAACAGAGAAGCTTACGAAGTAGCTCGCGCGGTTGTGGTAGGCGTTGGCGCGGGCGCGGGTGGGGGTGCAGGTGCAGGTGCCGTGGCTGGGGCCGGGGCCGGGGCTGGGGCCGGGGCGGGAGGAGCGGCTTGAGACGCCGGATTAGTCTCCGGAACCGGTCTCTGCTGACTCGCGGATGGTGGGCGGGCGGACGGCTGGGGGGCTGCACGGGGGGCTGCAGCGGCGTTGGCTGATGGCGGCCGCGGGGCGATCTGCGTGGGATGCGTAGAGGGCGGAGCGCTTGCAGGCTGCTGCACTTGTTGATGCGTAGGCCCTTGAGGACTTTGCCCAGGTCCTGGAGGCATACGCCCTTGTGAATTGAGGACTCCGTTCATCGGCAAGGGGGTATGAGTAGCGCGGGGAGTCCTCGACGAACCGGGGGGTATCGGGGACTGTCGATGGAGCACCTGAGGCTGCGACTGTGGTCGCTGCATCAGCCCTGGAGGTGGTTGCATTGGCCCAGCCAGTCTGTCAGCCTGCCGGGGGGATTGTTGTGGCGGGGGATGGGGCGGTTGTGATTGTGGGATCGGGAAGGGGTTACGAGGACTATGTTGAGATGGAGGACGCTGTGGCACGTTCATCGGTGGTTGACCCATCGCGTACGAACCGACGGGGAAGTTTTCTACCCCAGAGTTCATCTTGTCGAGAGCTTGGGCTGGGGTGATAAGACCCTGCGTAGTAGGGTTTCCGCGCTGCGACATGTCGCCACCGAGGTTGGGAGGTGTCGGCGACGCGTTGAAGTTCACGTTGAACTGGGGGTTGTTGGGTATCTGCGGTATACCGTGGATGGTAGGCGGTCGGATCGGCTGATTCTGGAAGTTCATGAACATCGGGTTCTCCGATGCCATTTGGCGACCCGCGGGAGTTTGCGAGGCAAGCTGGGGCTGCTGTTGACCTCCGATATGGGGTGAGGGTTGATGCTGTGGCTGGTGTTGTAACGACATGGGATTCGAATACCCGCCGTGCGGCAACTGCTGGTGTATCTGTTGTTGCATCCCGTGTTGCGACATCGACGTCGGCATAAGCGCTTGTCCCGACGCGGTCCGCGCGTGTGGCATCGAGCCCGTCGCCTGCAGATGTGCCGGCCTGTTCATCGGAAGCCCCATCTCCGAAGGGATACCACCCCCCTGCGCTTGCAGCTGAGCCTGTTGTTGTTGTCGCAACTGGAGCATCTGGTGTTGCTGCTGCTGCTGCTGAGAGGCCGTCATAGGGGTACGCGCCATCCCTCCACCCATCATCCCAGGTTGCATCCCGTGCTGCATCCCAGGCTGCATCCCAGGCTGCATTCCAGGCTGTATCCCAAGGTGCGCACCGTTTGGATTCATCGGCTGAGACTGAACGCGTCGTATGATGTTCCCTCCGGGGAACGAAGACATGTTCTGCAGCTGACCGGACCCGAGACCACCCATATGAGAAGGTCCACCGCTGCCACCGGGAGCGTTGAGGCTCGACGGCGCGGGACCGCCGGGGTGTGGAGCCATGAACATCCCTGGTCGCCGACCGGGCGGGGCTTGCTGCATGTTGAGCGGGTAACCGGCGTTGGAGGCGCCAGGCTGACCACCCATGAGTCCGAGTGAGGGATTACCACCCTGATTGTTTTGGAAGGGGCCCATGTTGTGGGGGGGCGACTGCTGGCCTGGCTGCGACTGAGGGAAGAATGGCTGGTTGATGATGCTCTGGTGCATGTTGGGGACGCCTTGGCGAAGCATGTCGGGGTGCTGCACGTTCATCGCGGACGACAGAAGACGACGAGATGGGGGATGAGAGCTTCACCGACGCGAGGATGTGTTGTCGCATGCAGGACGGAAAAGGCAAGTTGCGAGTATACGATCGGAGGGCGCAGAGGTGATAACGCGAAGATTGTCAAGGAGGCCGGGGATGGCCTTGAGGTAAGGACGTCGAGGACGTCGAGGGCGACGATGGGGAGAGAGAGAAAAGGAGGGTCGCGTTGTGGCAGCTCACGGTGGACGCTCACACGGTCGAGCGACGGCACTGCTTCCACGCCACGAGTTCGTCGCCCTCCCCCGATTACCCCGCTCCTGATTATGTCTTTTCAGACCATCGTTATCTCTCATGTTTCTGCACACCCTGGAGTAGCAAAGGTATCCCCGAAAATGTGTTCACTGGGAGGCCGGGGGCGAGGAGGGGGCGACCGTGGGAGACGCTGGATATGGGTACGCGCTCGCGGGATCATTGTCCAATACTCCTCCGACTCGGAACATACAGAGACAATAATCACGGGCTTGCCGCTACGCTATCGTTACGCAAGCCCTCATATGCGTCCTTAGATCGTGCTAAGGAATTAAGGCAAACGTCCAGGATCCGTGTCATACGTCCCAGTACGCGCATCGGAGCTAGTGGCGATCATGGTCGATGCAGAGGGGTGCTGCCGAGTCGACTCTAGTCGAGAGGAGCAACTATTCACTGATGTCGCTTTGTCCGGGCTCATCTTGCCATGAGGTCGTGATTTCCATGATACAATCGAATATGTGCAACGTCAATTGTTCAACGAAGGTGGGTTTGCGCTTCGAAAAACTGTCACAGGCACTAAAGCAGCTGATAGCAACGTGTAGGTCATAAATATATGCAGCAGCTGGACTACGTCTTCTGTACCATGCCAGCATACACGACATGCAAGTTCAAGCGCAGCAAGGCTTCGAGATGAGTGGCATAAGGAAAATATGTTCGTGTTGCTAGCATCTCGACATACCTGGAGTGTATGTACCGCATATGCCCATGGACATTGCCTGTAGACGTCCAACCTAAGTATTTCTGCACGCGTAGAGGAGCTTGGAGATCTGGTGTCTGACGATCGGCGCAAATGAGAAGATAACCTAAGAACAACCTGGAGGCCGCTGGTTAGTTGACTGGCAGTGGCTCAAGTTTGAAGGACTTGTGCAAAAGACGCAGGAGAGAGCACCAGTGATTAAACTAGAGGGGGGTAATGGAAATGAGTCCGTAAGAGCTGTGGTGGGCATAAAGTGAGGTAGTCGTTCAGCGCGGTCGGTTAAATCAGGAGGTGGCAACGCATGTTTCGGGCGCTTTTATTGCTTGTCCCCCTGCCCTTCTCCTCCATCTCTGCTCGTTTAGCCTCAACTCTAGACTTCGCTTGCTGCTTGACTTTGCTTTCTGTTGACGTCTCTATATTGCGTAGACGGTGCCCATGGCGGAGCATGGCGATGGAAACATCAAGGTCGTTGTGCGATGCAGGCCCCTCAATTCACGCGGTTCGTATTCAAGTCGCGTCCTCGCGTTCGTCAATCTGACTATCACACTACTCCTTTATGCGTGGCTGTCTTTGCTATGATGGCCTCTCGGAACAGAAATTGCCCGCGGCGCGAAATGTCTGGTGCGGATGGAGGGGAACCAGACAATCCTAGATCCTCCGGAAGTGGGCTCGGCAGGTGCACAGGCTGCGTCGGGGCGTGCAGCTGAGCGCAAGGCCATGAACTTCGCATTCGACAAAAGTTACTGGTCCGCGGGTCCTAGGGATGAACCCCAGTACTGCTCGCAGCAAACTCTTTACGACGATCTTGGCAAGGAGTTGTTGGACCATAGTTTCTCGGGGTTTAACGCGTGTATTGTGGCCTGTGAGTAACTGCATAATGGTTTGTAACACACGTTCCTCACATTGCGCTTAGACGGACAGACAGGTGAGTCTAGAGAGGACTATATGCGGGAGACGAAGCCCATTTAACGAACGCGTAGGTTCTGGGAAATCGTATAGGTACGCCCTAAACTTATACATACGTTACGCCGTTTACTGATGCATATTTTACTTCAGTATGATGGGCTGTATGTATCATTCTTACCGACGTCCGTCGCTTCCCAAATGACGCCCTCTGCAGACGGTGCCGACAAGGGAATCATCCCGCTCACCTGTCTTGAGCTTTTCTCGCGCGTGGAGCAGAAGACGGCCCAGGACCCCAACGTCAGCTTCACTGTTGAGGTCTCATATATCGAAATCTACAACGAGAAGGTCCGCGACCTTCTTAACCCGAAGAACACTGGAAACCTGCGCGTCCGTGAACATCCTAGTCTAGGGCCGTACGTGGAGGACCTTTCGAAACTTGTGGTCAGTAGTTATGATGAGATGATGACTCTGATGGACGAGGGTAATAAGGCGCGAACGGTCGCGGCGACGAACATGAACGAGACGTGCGTCCGTAATTTCGTGCTGTGCATACGGTATGATTGCTCATGTATACCGCCAGGTCGTCGCGTTCGCATGCCGTGTTCACACTAATTCTAACCATGAAGCGTCATGATGTCGACACCAACCTTGACACGGAAAAGGTGTCGCGCATCAACCTGGTCGACCTTGCGGGGTCCGAACGTGCAAACTCAACCGGCGCCACAGGCCAGCGGTTGAAGGAGGGTGCCAACATCAACAAGTCGCTCACGACTCTCGGAAAGGTCATTTCCGCCCTCGCCACAGCGAGTCAGTCGGAAGGCAAAAAGGGGAAGAAGGGCAAGGCCGAAGATTTCATCCCATACCGTGATTCGGTATGACATTGCACTAACGCCACGGAGGCGGTTCGCTTACATTGTTTGTTATAGGTCTTGACATGGTTGCTGAAGGACAGTCTTGGCGGGAACAGCAAGACGGCCATGATCGCAGCCATCTCCCCAGCCGACGTGCAGTACGAGGAGACTCTCAGTACGCTACGATACGCCGATCAGGCCAAGAAGATCAAGAACAAGGCAGTAGTGAACGAGGACCCGAACGCGAAGCTTGTGCGCGAACTCAAGGAGGAGCTCGAAATGCTCCGTGCGCGCGTCTCAGGAGCGAGCAACGAGTCGGTCTTCGACCCGACAATCCCAGCTGCGCAGCAGAAAGTCACGTATCAGGCGAAAGACGGGACTATCAAGACAGTCACGAAAGCCGAACTGCAAGAACAACTCGAGACCAGTGAGAAGTTGATGCAAGGCTTGAACGAGACATGGGAGCAGAAGATGCATCGCACGCAGGAGATCCAGCAAGAGCGTGAAAAGGCACTGGAGGAGCTGGGTATCACCGTTGAGAAGAATAACGTGGGCGTGCATACACCCAAGAGGATGCCCCATCTGGTCAACCTGGTGCGTTCGGTTTGACCGTATGCGACGAGTTACTTGAAGCTGACCTCGATTATAGAACGAAGGTTCGCTGTTAAATTCGCATCGTAAGGGGTGAATCTAAGGGACTAATGCCGACCTTGCAGATCCTCTGATGAGCGAATGTCTCATTTACCAACTCAAGCCTGGGCGGACGGACGTTGGTCGTTTGGACAGTGACAAACCAGCTATCATCAAGCTTAGCGGAGAGAGCATCAACGAGGAGCATTGCTATTTCGATAACAACGACGGCAAGGTTACTCTACATGCCATGCCCAACGCTGTGACGGTATGTTTCCCCCTTTTCTCCCCGCTATATGCGGCTGCTAACTCTTCGTCAGTTCTTGAACGGTCGCCAAATCACTCCTGGTCAGGTAGGTGTCCTTGCGTTTCACTGCAGAGGTCTTCCTTTTTATAAAGTAAATCACTCACTCCACGCATACAGGCTTTCAAGCTGCGATCAGGTTTCCGTATCATCCTAGGTGAGTAGATTTCCTGGTGATTTTACTTCGACGTCTCATTGAAGGGTCTCCAGGCGAGCATCACGTCTTCCGCTTCAACAACCCAGAAGAAGTGCGGAAGCTGCGAGATCGAGCGAGGGCGAAGTCGACCATGAGTATCAGCGTCACCGCGGCGGACCTTGCGGCCGGCGAGCTTGCAGAGGGTACACGACCGAGTTCCCCAACAGAATCGAACGTAGAAGTTGGAGACGTCGACTGGACATTCGCCAAACGCGAAGCTGCGCTAGCGCGGCTTGGTTTGGATCCTTCCTTGGACAACCTTCCGGACGAGGACTTGAACAAGCTCTTCGAGAAGATCACGAAGGTGAAGACAATGCGAGACCATAACGCTAAGCGTCCGGAGAGCAGCCTCAGTCACGCGGACGACATCTGGAGCGAGTCTGGTCGGCCACTCTCGAGCGACGCTTTGACGGACGACACCAGCGTTGACGCGATGACGAGCCATGACAGCCCTGAGCTCAGCGACTCACTCAAGGACGTGCAGAACCAACTCGAGTCCCAGCGCGCAGAGTTCGAGACGCGCCTTCAGGCGATTTCCGAGTCGTCGGAGGCGGAGGATCTGAAGGCAGAGAAGGAACAGATGGAGCACCAGCTCAAGATGGTGCAGGTACATATGAAGCGCCTGTACGATGCAAGAGCGCGCGGAGAAGATGCGGAGGATATTCCGTTCGAGCCTGTCATCTACACGGGCAAGCAGCTTCGTCTGATTCGCAAGGTCCTGGACAAATGGCGCGCGCACCGGTCCTTCTCCATGGCTGAAGTTGTTCTGTCGAACGCGGTGTTGATCAAGGAGGCCAACATCATCAGGTATGCATCTGTACCAATGTGTCGTATCATACTGTTGATCATATGATCTCCAGCAAGGAGCTGGGGAAGGACGTATTGTACAACTTCGCGATCGCCGCTGGTGGTACTCTGGCTGCACCCGCGTCCGCCATTGACTCCATCGCTGGCCTCGACCAGTTCGGCGACGTTGCAGATCCCGTCCTAGCGTCTGCAACGCAACCGTCTGTCGCAGTGAAGGTTCTCGACATGCGGCACAACGCCATTTACGTATGGTCGCTTGACCGCCTACAACAGCAGCTCCAGCGCATGCGTAACCTCACCACGTTCATTGACCGGCCGTCGTACTCCCAACATTTCTCCTCCGAGGAGCCGTTCTACGACAGCCCTCCCCCCGAATACTCGTTTATCGGCAACGCTCTTCTATCACTGGCACCACTTTCTAGGAGGTTGTCCTCGTCATCGACGGTGCCAATCTTCTGCAGATACACTGCGGAGGCGATTGGTTCCTGTCGCGTGGAGATCAAGATCGCACATGTTGTCCTTTCTCCTAAACATGCCAACGCATCGACCACATCCACCCGCTCATCGTCTCCTGTGCCGGGCACAGTCCCTCCTGGCAGCAAGCTCACATTCTACCTCATCGTCGACCAAGTCAAAGGTCTTTCACATCACGACTTCTCCTTTGTTCACCTCCAAGCAAGGCTGTCTTCGTTCCTCGGTCCATCCCTAACTGCTGAAGAAGTGTACCCCTCCACTGCCGTCGACCTAGACTCGGCCTCCCTCTCGGATCTGAAGTTCCGGAGGAGTTTTTCGATGGTCGCGTCCTCGAGGGTCCTCGGGTACCTCCGTCAAGGCTACGTACCAATAGAGTTCTACGCACGTCTCAAGCCTACGTACCTCGAGCGTATGGAACGTTGGGACGAGATGCGCGAAGTTCGTATCCCGACCAGCGTGGGCGCCTCGTCATCTAGCTCCCCGAGGAGTCAGCCATCGGTCTTGCCCCCTATGCGGCGGTCGGAAAACGACTTCGTCGTAGAGCAACTCCACGACGTGACCGCTTGGCTTCAGGTTTGCGAACTTGCCCCAGACGGGTCGTACAAGCCAGTTCCCGTCGTTTCGCAGGGCTATCACGACCCAGGCTCGTTTCAGTTGCATCAAGGCCTTCAACGCAGGATCGTACTCACGCTGTCTTCCCACTCTGGTCGCCAACTCCCCTGGACCGAGGTCACTCGAATACGTCTTGGCAACATCCGTCACCTCGACGCCAAGGGCATGCTGCACGAGTCGCCGTCCAAGGCGCTTATCACGCTTCCCCTTCTCCAGGAGCAGAACGTCGAGTACAAGCCCGACGGCACCGGTACGATCACCGCGGAGGCGCTCTGGGACTCGAGCGTGCACAACTCGATTCTCCTCAACCGCGTAACCACCGCTGGTCAGCGCATCTTCCTCCAGGTGATGTGGACCGTCGCGGTCGAGACGTGCGCCGAGCCGGTGCAGTTCTCGATGGACACCGCCGTGACAATCCAGACGCGCGACGCGCGCCCGCCTTCTCGCTTGACGTCCCTCTTTGGTTCGACGAAGATCCTGCCGAAAACGAGCACTCTGTTCTCGGTGAAGTTGACGCCGCCCCTAACGCGCTCGCCGAAGGACCTGTGGCGACTCGACACCGCGGAGAAGTATGTTCGTGGGGAAGAGGCACTCGGGATATGGCGACCTCGCAGTGTCTCTGTGGTCGAAGACTATTCTAGGCTAGTGACGATGGAACGTCGCGCGGCGGACGTCCAGGCCATCAGGGTGATCCTCGCTGCTTCTCCGAGCAGCAAAGTCAAGCAGCAAGACGCAGAGGTGTGGGCGTCGGAGGGTCTTGTAGAGAAGGCGCTTGCATTGTGGCAGAAGCGGTTCGGCCACCGTGGCGAGGTATTTGTCGATCTCACGCCGCAAAAGGTAGACGCGATGCTAATTGCGTGCGTCATACAGATCGTCATTAGCCAGGAACCCGCTGAGCCTGACGTCTTGAGCGTGACTTCGGGGAGGGCTTCTGAGGCGGGGTCCGTCGACTCATTGAAGCTCAATTCGAGCACGAAGCTTGTTCCGAGAAAGTGCGTCTCTCATATCCAGGTGCCGCAGCGGGCGGCTTGGCTGACATTGCTGTGTGCTTTCAGCGACGGGCCGACGAAGAAGGGCCACCTCATGGTCATGACCGACGCCAATGAGAACATCTGGGAGCGGAGATGGTTCGTCCTGAGAAGGTATGTGCCTATTCCCGCCCTGTTATAGCGCCGTCCGCTCACAGCCGGGCTCATAGACCGTATCTCCACGTGTACTTGCACTCGAATGAGGTAGAGGAGACCGGAGTGATCAGTCTCAACGGGGTAAACATAGAGAGTAATCCGGAGATGGAGGCTCTCCTTGGCGTACGCACATACAGTATTCCTTGCATGACACGAACCGCACTGACTTGCTTTCGACGTCTAGAAAAAGTTCACGTTCACGCTCTTCACATCGTCGAACTCGTATGCGCTGGCTGCACCAAGCCAGAAGGAGCTCCAGGCCTGGATATCGAAGCTGGACCCGACCCGGCTTCCCTCATGACGCGACACGAACCTTCACGACTTCCTTTCCATCTCTTATTCCTATCTTCTCTTCCTATTACCTGCTTTCCGCGCTGAACTCCACCCTAGTCCTTACCTCCTCGCGGTCGCCCTCGCTCGTTGTGTTGATTGCTCACCTGTACTCGTTCGTTTGGAGGGATCTTTCGTAGCCGTCTCGGTCAGGTCTCGCTCGTCGCATATGCATCTAACCGCAACCCTATCTAGGCATACCACACATACCTACACATACGCTCGGCCGGCCCCATATACTTCTAGATCTGATATCCCTAGTCCTTGCATACCACGTCCCGCACTGTACCCATATATTAGTAGTCCGGGGTCGATAGTGAACCAATTGGATACGAGGCCTGGCTCCTCTTGCGGATTAACGCAGGACGCGGGATGTCCGGAAGAGTACCGCTCTGGCTCTGCTACGCAAAGGCGGAGGGCGCGAATGGTCATTGTGCGCGCAGATGTCGGCAAACCTGAGGTGAGTAGTACGAGGATCGGGTGGATTGCTGTGGCGCCGTGACCGACGCCGACAAGGTTTGGCAGCACTGCTGTCCCTACTCCCTCGAAGCGGGATGGGACAACCCACATGCGAGGTACGGCGCGCAGCAGAAGCGGCGACGGGGTGATAGGAGGGCGGTAGGTAACGGCGAACGCGCGATAGGCCGATCGAGGGATGACATGCAAGGAGCCGAAAACAGCGAGACCGAGCGTGAGGCGCACACGCGCGCGCTGCGGCGTGCGAGAAAAACAGCAATCATAGCAAGTCGAAATCGTCGAGCTACGAAGACGATAAGCTCCCGGATAGAATGCACAGGGAAGAACGGCACCGACCTCGTCGTTGTACTGCATGATGGTCCGCTTGAGTTTCGAGGTATCGACCCACGTAACGAAGTCCTCCATGTGCCTGTATAGATGTCAGTACGGCATCCCGAGGGACGTCGATAGAATGCACGCACCGTGTGACGAGGTATGCAGGGTCTGTGATCGTGTCCGGTCCCACACGAACGTGCCCTTGCTCGATGAACTTTACCGCCTGTATGCGCAGCGGCGTGATGCGCCAAGTGTCAGTAGAGTTTAATGTACGCTGTCGAGGGACGATATCGGACTTACGGCACTGACAGTCTCTGCCATCTTCGCCATGCACATAATCACCGCCAGACGCCGCCGGCAGAATGCGGCCACAGTGAGCTTGTTTTCGATGTCGCTGAGTTTCGCAGAGGTGTTGAGTACGCCCATGTCGTACAGCTTGCTCAATAGATGGCCCTCCATCTTGCCGCGGAATGGGTCTTGCGCGGGCAGCAGCGAAAGGCGGTGGGCGTAAGAGCGGAGGGAACCGCACAGTTTGTTGTACCTGAATGACGTTGGGTGCGCGACAAACGGGTGGCATTTCGTGAGCAATATGATAGAAGGTGCAGTGGGGATTGGGCGCACTTGTGGTAGTCTTCTCTGTCCTGTATGTGATAACGGCGCATCACCTTGATTTCTCGGAGGTTCGCATCCTGCTTCCACTATTCGGCAAAGTTAGTGGACCCTGTCTTCCGACCGACTATGCGAAAGTAGACATACGTTAAGGAAGTCGACTTTCTTGAGTAGCTTCTGCTCGTGGTGCTTGAATTGGCGGACCATCTTCACAGAGCTTGGGACGATACAGAGGGGAAGGAGGTCGCGGTCGAGAGCAAGGGAGTGAATGCGGGCGCCTCCCAAAAACTGAGAGATCGGGGCTTGAGCGGGCGCTAAGCCGCGCTTCCTGGGGCGTTCCCGATTTGGGACGGGCTCAAGTTTGCAGCGCGCTGTGGCGGACATCTCTGACTTGTGCCGCATCTCTGCTTTCCCCCGTGTTCCGACTGGCGTCTTGATACCCGCCCGACCTCTCCATGCCATAATAATCCCCTGCATATCCCTGGGCGACCCTTTCGCCCGTCCTCTCCTTACTGCTATGCTGCTCGCTATGCCATCCCAGCGCCATGCGTCTCTGGGCGTTCTCGCAGCTTGTATACTCGTTGTTTTCTGGGTCCTCTCACGTTCTTTATCAACTGGGCGCGAAGCGAGCGCATGGGAAAGCACCACTGGGAAATACATACCCCATCTCGACGTCCAGAACCCGCCGTCTGACTCGGAGGCCGTAGTCGAGCTCCCGCCGCGGCGCAGACGCAACGTCGCGTTCGCGACATCCTTCGTCATGCACGGAGACGTATACATGACATTCGCGAAGACTGTAGGGGAGACTATGGACGCGGAGGGCGGCACCGACCAGTATATCCATCTATTTGCTCCCGAGTTCTCCTTTGGCTTCCAAGACGTTATCGACGAGCGGAACCTGTGGACGCGTCGCGGGGTCCGGGATGAATTCAACAAACTCATTGAACACGTGGATAAGAGCACCGCGGAGGGTGGCATAGACCTGATTGTTTTTGGCACCTGCGAGTTCGAGTAAGCCGTAATGCGCCTCTGTCACGATATCGCGCACTCATGACAGATAACGCACAGCTTGAACGTCTGGCATAGCGAGCTCACCGTTGCTTGGAACAATCGGGCCGCAGACGACAAGTTCAAGATTGTATGCATCGTGCACAACGTCGATGACGTCAATTGGCAGCGCCATATCCCCTACTGGGCCCGAAGGGAAGCCATCCGGCTCCTCCCCATTGCAGACCAGTAAGTCAGCTGCAACATACGTTAGAGTGGCTGAATATATGCTCATTCTGCACAGCGTGGCGCATACATTCAGGGACCGATTTGCAGTACAGGCCGAGGATACCGAGCCGCTACTGTACACCGCGGGGTATGATCATATCCCAATCGACGTTCACGTCCCGGTGCTAGACATCCCCAACCTGCCTACGAAATCACTTCCACGGTACCTTTCCAAAGCGGTCATCCAGGGTACATTCTCCGTGGGGCGCCGAAACTACGCTGTCGTCTTCAGGGACTTGATCGCCTCCCTTCACGGTTCGTGCACAAGCAGCTCCATATTTGCTTCGGCTAACCATCTGCCTTGCTCTCAGCTGACCCCGGGGCCTGGGGATATCACCCACTCGAGGGCCGCAAGTCATTTGTCCCGGATCCCGATTCTCGCGCACCGCCGTTCCAGCTCCTCCTAGTCGGGTCCGGATGGCTCGAGATCCCCGAGGAGTTGGCGTACATCGTCAGCATGCATACGGATCTGCCTTACAACGACTTTTACAAACTCATCGCTGATTGTGACGTCGTCGTGCCTGCGTTTGCGGACAATACCTGTGAGCCCTCCCCAGCACTTTGGTATATATGCGCCTAAAATAGATTCGCGCACAGATTTGACCGTTCAGGCAAGCTCGACTATGGCACTTGCCACAGAACTCAACGTAAGTGTCGGCATTTGAAGTTACTTTGACTGCGGCGAAAACTAATTTTGCACCGAACATAGGTTCCTATACTCGTTACAAATCGCACACGTCGCGCCTATGGATACATCGACGATGCTCGTGCCGTCATCACCCGGCCAGCAGCCATGCCGGAGGTGCAGGCCCTGAAAGCACTCCGCACCGGCAATGCATCCGCCTTCCTCTCCTCGGACCCCGCCGACATTGGGCAGCCAATTGGCGATTTGCAGCCTGTTCGGGAAGCGGTCGGTGCGATGATGAACGAAGGCTGGGTGAAGGATCGGCAAGGCTGGGACGACTGGAAAGCGGCGGTATGGAGGAGGAATAGAGCGGTTGCGGAGAAGATCCTGCGTGATATGCCGTGACTTCGCCAGTATTCTTGGTGTCTTTTCCGTCATCTTTGGTGAGTGCAATTTACCTGCTTCACCGAGAGGGCGTGCTCATTGTGGAGACATTTAGCATGTGATGATAGGTCCCGGACGTCTATACAGTTTCACATGATACCATTGCCAACTAATGGAAATTCCTCAGCATCGTGCGTCCGCGTCATGGTACGCGCCGGCAAGGACAGTTATGTACGTCTTCCCGAAGACCAATGCTAACTTGTGTCATACGCACCCGCTGGCGACGATCCCCCTTTCTGTGATGGAAAGAGCAACACCTTGGGTGGGCATTCTTAGGACATTCGTGACATGGCAGCCCTCTCAGCGGTACGGAGCACGTCCCGCGCGCCGAAGGAACGCCCTGGTCTGGATCAAATTCGCTGTCAAAATCGTGCACAGACGCCGGCGCCCAGACTCTCTTCCAGCAACCACGTTACCAACCTTCCGATCCTTTTCACGTTCTCCCGGCCCCTTGTCTTACGGATCAGCTGCCGTAAGAGCCAAATTCAGCGTCGGAGCCGCACGTATCCATGCCGGATCGCTAACCATCGGCGGGCGCGTTTTGTCGACGAGCTGTCCCGAGCTTGTGTGAGCGACGTCAGCCAGCTGAGCAGACGTCGCTCGCCGCGCGGCGGGCTTCGACGTCCCGACTTCCATCCGAGGGCCCAGCGTAAATGCGCATGCACCTCGTGCGTCCGCGTACGTGGAATGTCCCCGGGCCCTGCGTTGCCTCTCTACCCGTCAATTGATTCCGCCCGTGACCGTTGGGGCACTGCGCCTTCTTGCTCTGATACGCCTGCTCCCACAGGAACGTGCCCCTGGAATCGGCTGAGAACCATCTGCGGACGCAGACTGTCGCGGGCGGTACCGCCCCTCCTATGTGGGTCCCGCGGTAGGGCGTCCTGCGATGAATGGAGGTTCTCCCGCCGGCGCAGGCGTGTGGCGCGCCCGCGCATCTATCGCGGCGATCCCGTTTGCGGCGGGCGGCGGAACTGGACGCGGGCGGGCGTGCTTCGTGCACAGGGTCCGGAGGAAGAGAAGACGGCCCTGCGGAATGTTCTCATATCAAGAAGACGGTGCGCCCTGGTATATCTTCTCAGCAACGTTGCAGTGACGCGAATGACTGCGCCTCGTCTCGACATCTCTGCCACTGTTCTTCGCGCTGATCTGCTCGCTCCTCTTCTCCTCCCATGCATTCGTGGAAAACGATGAAGGACATCCTGAGCCGGGTGCGCTGGTTCAATCTCGCGATATTGACCGTTACGCCTGGCATATGGATTTACGGCACGCGTACGACACCGCTGCGCACGGAAACGTTGCTGTGGTCGATGGCGTACTACGTCTTCACAATGATAGGTGCGTGTCTCTGCGTAGGTAGTAAAGCGTATTGGACTAGAAATATTGACCATTTAATGTTCTCTAGGTATCACAGCCGGTAAATGCACACAAAACCTATGAGAGGGGGAACTACTGATCGCGTTCTGTACAGGGTACCACAGGTTGTGGTCGCATCGATCGTACAACGCCTCTCGGATCCTGCAGTATCTCTTGGTCGTGATGGGGGCCAGTGCAGTACAGGGGTCGGTCTACTGGTGGGCGCGAGGCCATCGCTCGCACCATCGATATACCGACACCCCGCTCGACCCGTACAACGCGAAGCGCGGATTCCTCTACAGCCACATCGGCTGGATGCTCGTCAAGCCCGCCGTGAGGCCAGGGCACGCCGACATCAGCGACCTGCAGAAGAACGACATCGTGCAGTGGCAGCACCGGCATTACTTCGCTCTCATCGCTGTGGTTGGGTACATCCTCCCCACGGTCGTGGCCGGGCTTGGCTGGGGAGATTGGTGGGGTGGCTGGTTTTACGCAGCGATGATGAGGATAACACTCGCGCACCATGTGAGCGAGACACGGTCTCATGAGGCGTAAGATACGCACTGACGAACGTGCGGAACTTGGCCAGTCCACCTTCTGCATTAATTCTGTCGCGCATCACCTGGGCGAAAGCCCCTTTGACGACCGGAAGTCGGCGCGAGACCACTTCTTCTCAGGTAAGCCACCGACTGCGCACCCCCGCCTACCGCCCGGGCTCGAGTTACACGCTGACCGCCTACCTCCCCAGCGCTGCTCACGATGGGCGAGGGGTATCATAACTTCCACCACCAATTCCCGATGGACTACCGAAATGCGCGAAAGTGCTATCAGTACGACCCGACGAAGTGGTTCATTGCGTCATGCGCCGCGGTCGGCCTCGCGTCAAATCTGCGTGTGTTTCCGGAAAATGAGATCAGCAAGAGCGAGCTCACGATGGAGCTGAAGCGTTTGAAGGGCGAGCAGGACCGCATTCGGTGGCCGCCCAAGCTGGAGGAGCTGCCAGTCGTTGACTGGGAGACGTGTACGTACACTTCTGCGTATTTATATTTGGCATAGGCTAACGCTTACGTGCGGGATAGTCCAATGGCAGTCAGAAAAACGTAGGCTGGTGATCGTGTCCGGGTTCATACACGACGTTGGCGATTTTCTCGACAAACACCCAGGCGGGGAGCGACTATTGCTGAAGAAAGTCGGCAAGGACGCCACCGCAGCATTTTGCGGAGGTGTGTACGACCACGGCAACGCAGCACACAACGTATGGGTTCCTTCTATTGGCCATGTTGAAACTTCCACACTTATCTGCTATCTCTCTTCGTATAGCTGCTGTCGATGATGCGAGTAGGTATCCTTCTCGGCGGGGTCGAGCACGTGAACACCGTCGCTCCCGGCGAGCGACTGCGCATCGTCGAGCGTATATTCGAATAACGCGGCTCATAGATGCACTTATTCGCACGCACAAACATTAGTCCGCGCTCTTTCTGGGTATACCCTTCGAGATCTGTGTGGGACTCACAATGTCAATGCCTGAACATATCCTCCATACTGTTACAAGAAGAGAATCCACGGTTATGCTACAGTGACGGCAGTGCCATGCGCCCCCGCTTCAGATTGCCAGCGCCCCGATGCAGACGATGTGGTCGAGTAGTATAGTCGATTCGCCACGTCGTCGACGACCCAATCGAGGCCCGCGACGAGGTTCTCCCCAGTGATGGCGCTGCAAGCGAGTATCCGCCAGTGGTGCGACTTGATGGAGTCGAGATCCAATGCCTATGAGGTGCCGTGCTCGTCAGAAATGCAGCTCGACATCAATCCGGGGGCAACGCACTTCACGGATCTCGTTACTGGACATCGATCCCTGGATGTCTTGCTTGTTGGCGAAGATCAGGAGCGATGCGCCGGCCAGTCGCTAGAGAGCGACGTCAGCTTTAAGCAGAACGCGACTTGAGAGCATCGCCTCATACGTCTTCGAGCAGGAGACTGTGCAGCTCTTGCTTGCAGTCCTGCATGCGCATGCGATCGCCGGAGTCGACGACCCACACGAGTGCGTCGGTCTGCTCGAAGTAGTTACGCCAGTATGGGCGGAGGGTGCGTTGGCCACCGACATCCCCTATGTTCAAAGCACTCGTTCAGCGTCCCGGTTTCGCAGTATCAGTGGAGACAACACATACATATGTTTAGTGTGTATCTAGAGATCGGGCAGTCAGTTTAGGTGGGATAACTCGGGCTGGCGCTTGCTCACTTGCCATGCACGAAGGTCTTGATGTTGAAGCCTAGTGTTGGACTGATGCCCATGATATCCTCGCCATTCAGCTTCTTGAGGATCGTTGTCTTTCCTGCGTTATCGAGGCCGCTAGAAGAGCTTGTTCAGCGCGGGGACAGGGGTGGTAAACTTGGAGCAGTACAGGAAGAGAATGCGCATTTCCTTCTCTTTCTGGCGGTTTTTACGGATGATCGTTAGGAGGCCCATGTCTATGCTATCAGGTCGTCAGAGACCGGTTCTCTAGAGCAAACGAAGTGTGATTGAAGAAACAGGAAGGGTGTTTAAAAGCTCGAGGACTTGTTGAGATGCTGGGCGGACAAGAGTGATGTGCAAGCGAGTGCTACTAGAAGCGAGTGCTACTAGGACGGCGCCTCCTAGGCACTCGACGACGTCATGCTTTCACTTTCCACAACAAGTACTTACTTCAAGTTGACAGCGGCCCAAAAATATTCGAAGACACCATGAGGAGAGGAATGTATTCGTTCAAGAGTCAAGAGAGATAACAACAGGCGGAATAAACACAGAGAGCCAGGATCGTAATGTTTCGTCGCCTAACGTACACATTACTCGAACAAACAGTCCGTAGCATACTCCCCACCCCTCCCCACCTACGATGAAACACAAAACGTCCGAGTCTCGCATCTCACCGAGCATACGGGTGATAGCTGTGTTGACCCCTCTGTCCTCGCTGGGGGCCGACGCCACCACTGGGTCCCGTCGGCGCATTGCGCGGTCCGCGGGGCACATTCGGACCCAACGATGCAGGGCCAGTCGGCACGCCCATCCCAGGGCCGCCCATCCCCGCACCACCGCGCCCGCCGCCCATTCCGCCACCACCACCACCCATTCCCCGCATCCCCATCCCGCCCGCACCACCGCCCATGCCCGGCGCGCCGTACTGCCCGCCCATCATCGCGGGGTTCATCGCGCCCATCATGGGGTTCATGCCGCCGATCTGCGAGATCATCCGTGTGTAGAGCTGGGCGAGGGCCTGGGGGTCGAAGGGCGCGTTCCCGCCAGCCGCGGGGCCTGCGGCGGCGCCCCCAGCGAAGTTTTGTGTACCGTAGGCTGACCCATTGTTTCCGTAACCACCGGTGCGGCCTCCTCCGCCTGCGCCCGCGCCTGCGCCGACGTTTCCACCGCCCTCGGCGAAGCCGCCTTCGCGCTGGGAGCGGGGTTGCGCGAGCTTCACGTCGATCTGGAAGGCAGTCAGCGATAGGCTATAGCAGATATGCAAAACGAAGACGTACAAGCTTGCCGTCGATTTGCAGGTTGCCGAAACCAAGCATGGGCTGTACGTCAACGTTCTCAAAGGACACGAAGCCGAAGCCTTTGCTCCGCCCCGTCTCGCGGTCGAGCATGACGGTCGCATCAACGACCTTGCCAAACTGGGAGAAGTACTCCCGCATAGACTCCGACGTGACGCTGCCGGGCAGGCCGCCGATAAAGAGCTTCGTCGCACGCTGATGCTCTTGCCTCGGGATGGCGCGCTTCGGGTCGATCTATCGAGCGGGTTAGTGCCCCGTCCCTCGGAGATGAACGGACCGAGTGCTCACAATCTTGCCATCGAGGAAGTGCTCGCGGACCATGACCGCATTGACAGACGCGGGGTCCTCGAAGGTCAGGAACGCGAAGCACCGCGAACGGCCCGCGGCGTCCCGCATGATAGTGCAGGCTTCGACCTTGCCAAATTGTGTGAAGTACTTCCTCAACGATTCTGCGATAACGCCGGTTCAGTACTACGGTCCACGGGTGAACAAACATTACGATGTATGTACCATCCGTCGTGTCCCAGTTGAGGCCGCCGATGAACATTTTGCTACATATACAACCGCCCGGATTGAAAGCACGCGCGTGGCACGAGAGGCGAGGCGGACGCGATACAGCAGAACATGGAAAGAAAGAGCGCTGGTATTAGCATCCGTAACCTAGAACAAAGGGGTCATGATAAGGGGAGGAGGAAGTGGACGACTCTACTGTGCATGACGGTGCTAGCCTAGCTTAGACCTAGACCTAGGGACGCCAGATGTGCTAGAGCATGGGCTAGAGCTAGCTAGTTGAAGCTAGGGTGACTACCGCAGGGGGCATCGCCATCGTCCCACATCTAAGACCCAGAGTCGACACCCAACCCAGCCATGCCACAGCGCGAGCGTCACGGGGGTAGGCCTGGCTGCGCAGGTTAGCGACGTGTACGAAACACACACTCACCCTTCCTCTTTCATCTCCGAAGGCCGTACAGGTCGGTCTACTCCGGCTACGCCTGGATATCCAGCATCGAGTCTTGGTGGTGGGGGTTCCCGAAGATCCGAAGGCTGCCTCTCTTCATAGGTAGGTATTTGCTGAACGTCAGGTGAAGACATGTACGAAGGGATGGTGCTAGTGGGTGCAGGAGCGCTGGGTGGTGCGGTGTAGGGCTTGACATCCTCATGGTCTACTTTTGTAGCGGCCACTGGCGGTGGGGGCTCCTGGTAGGACTCCAGTATGCTGCCTTGCTCTTCCTCCTTGAAGTGTTCATGGTTCTCCTTCCCCGATGGTTGTTCAGGAAGCTCCGTAGTGGGTACAGCAAACTCGTTCTCGTCATTGCCGTAGAGATCTAACCAGTAACCGCGTTGACTATACAAGTCGACAATCCAGGCAAGCGAGACGCACCTCCGTACAAGTCAGCGTCCAAGTCAGACATGATGAAGCTAGAAGAGGGGGTCGTTGATGGTGGTGGTCAGGAAGAAAAGCGGTAAGGCCCCAACCCACGCTGACCTCTAGCCACCGTATGCAGCGCTTAATCGGAGATGGAAAAAGGTGACCCACCGGGCTTCGGCGGGCGTGCCGCTAATTCACTGCCTCCATTCTTCAAGGAACGCCCATTTCGGAGCCACAAAACTTTACCGGCGCACAACTTGGGCCGGTGGTGCCACTGGGCCCGCAGAGTCATCTCGGCCTCCCTCTGTTCTCACCAGTTTTCAACGTCTCCTCTGCAGCTCTACGTGTACGATTCCTGCGAGATCTACAGTGAGTGAACGAAAATTGTGCGTCGCGCCGCAATTTTTGTCTTTCGAGTGAGGGGAGGTGCCACCAAGTTGCACGCATTACCAAACAAGGCAAGTAGTACTAGGATCAGCCACAATCTGGACTCGTGCCCTAAACCTCCTAACTTCAAAATTATAGCGTAAGGTCTGAGAAATGCCGCAATCCAATGAGCGCGAACATGTCACCATCGGCATCCTGGGTGCGCCCCCCTATGAGTCTAATTAACCTGTCGATAAGCGTGGCTGATCTCATGCGGTGTTGAACTAGCTCTGCAAGGCGCCTTCGCCGAGCACCAGGTGATGCTCCAGAAGCTCTCCCTCAAGCGCAAGGTCGTCATCGTCCTCATCCGCCAACCAGAAGACCTCGACAAGTGCGACGCCATGATCATCCCCGGTGGCGGTACGCCCAATTTTACAGCATAAATACCCCTCCCACTCGACTCACACGACCTCTTTCATTACCAGAATCGACGACAATCGCGCTGCTCGCCCGCCTGGCAGGCCTGCTCGAGCCGCTGCGCGAGTTCCTGAAGGCGAAGCCTGTATGGGGCACATGCGCGGGGGCAATCCTCCTCGCGCGCGCCGTCGCGGGCGCGAAGCGCGGCGGGCAGGAACTCCTTGGGGGCATCTCCGTCGCCGTCGAGCGCAACGGCTTCGGCTCGCAGGTTGAGTCCTTCGAGGCGCCGCTCGAGGTCGACGGCCTCCGCGAGTCGAATCGCGCCTTCCATGGGATCTTCATCCGCGCACCGGTATGTTTGTGTGTGGACGAGTCGACGCTTGAGGGTAGATGCTGATCGCTGGACTTCATCGCAGGTCGTAATGTCGCTCGACCCGACGCCGACGGACCCGCCCATCCAAATCATCTCGCGCATCTCCACCTCACTCCTCCCCGAGGGCCAGACTGCCGTACCAGACGACGAGGACGACACCGACCCCCGCGACCCGCGCACAATCGTCGCCCTCCGCCAGGGCCTACATCTCCTCACGACCTTCCACCCCGAGCTCACGAAGGACGACCGCTTCCACGAATATTTCATACGGGAGTGCGTGCTCCCTACGCTCTCGCGGGCGTCCTCCCCTGCGGCATGACGCATGGACGTTCCGACGTTATACTAGAATTGCATTTCGACTGGCGTTTGACATTGCTATAGACAGGGTTCTCTTGTATACCGCTACCGTGTTGTTTGTATGTTTCAAATACGATGTTCAAATGTTTATCTTCTCACCCGTTCACGTTCGTGAGATTGTTCCTTCGGGCTTGTGAAACGGAGCCTCGGTCGAATGTCAAGAAGGTAACGCAACGCGGCGGTGATTTGAGACTACATAGGGACATAGAGGTCCTAACGACGGGATGGGCATAGGGGTCATGAAACCAACCGGGGCCATTCGTGAATGTGGCAATATACTAGAGGGTAGAAGCCGAAAAGCTACACTAAGGCGATGGCGCTTGGCACATCGAAAAGGCAGAGACGGTAGAGATTGGATGCGGACAAAGGTGCAAGGCAAGCGAGGGGTACAGTAATCAATGAGACAGAGGACGCAAATGAGACGAACTTTACTACAGTGCAGTATACAACGGCAGGGGTTTAACGCAATAAGTAATGGACAGCGAGAACGATAAGCGACGAGTGCAGCGACTATGGACAGGACGTACGAGTGCTATGAAGACAATGAGGCAATAGAATCACGAGTCGGGCAGACATTCAAAAGCGGAAGTACCCCGTGTCCATTTCCTCGGATTGGATGAGGAAAGGAGACGCCAAAGCGACGCCCGAGGGGGACCCGGCGAACGCGATGGGCGAGACGGGGGAGAGGGAGCGCTCGAAGTGTTGTCCCTGATACTTGGGATCGGACATGGAGAAGCTGCGCCCAATATGAGGGCGGGAGGCGCGGAGCAATGCTTCGCGAGTTAGGCTTGACGTTGAGTTATTGCGAGACGCGGCCGGACGGCGTTGTACGACCGCGGATGCCAACGGACCATCTCCAGGAGCAGAGGGGGACAACCCGAACGGCGAGAGAGATCGCAGCGAGTGAGAGAGATGGTTGTCACGAAGCTCAGCGTCTCCCGCAGCCAGCGTGTCCGTCACCGGAATGCGCAAGGGGTAGAGCGCTGGTTTCCCTGCGCAGATGGGACTAAGGACGTATGGTGTAAACGGAAGCCCGGGGGACACGAGAGGAGAGATTTCGTTGTTGTGCATCTGTGCACGCAGCCGTGCCCAGGTACGAGGTGGCGGGGGAGGAGCGCGAGGAATCCTCGGGGGCGAGAGAGGAGTGTGTGTGATTTGCTCAATAGGCGTGACAGGGTAGCTAGCACTCTCGCCCGAGGAGAGCGAAGATCTCCGAGAAAAGGTGAGGAGAGGGCGGAAGCTTGAGGGACTCGGACTTGAGGGAGAACCGTATGTAGGGGTCAAGAGGGAGTATGACGAATGTGTCGGGATGATCAGGCGGGTTTGGAGAGCCGGGATGTTGCATGCAAGACGCCGGCGAGACATCGAGGAAGGAGGGGTGTCGACAGCAGCCGAGGGAGGAGAAGTAGGTGTGATTGTGATTTGCAGAGGCACGCGAGTTGGAGGGCTGCCGCCAGCGCTGCCGGAGCGAGTAAGGTCTCCTGAAATGGACAGTGATTAATTATGTGCTACATGCAGATACCACTACCGAATTCCAACGTGAAGATCTCAGACAAGCCTTGGTCTTATTATGTTTGAATGAAAATGACAAATGACGAAGAGACGTTCGGACGCGATGACCGGTGCAGGCATTGAAAGGTGCTCGTGGAGATACTCACTATCTCCATCCTTGATAGCATGTATGGATGCAACCACTTGCGAGAGGGGAAAGTAGCGACCGGTGGCGCGTCTCAAGTCGGCTTGTACGCGTCGCGCAATCGTGCCGAGAGCGCGGGCCGCGTCGGAATCCCCTTGCGAGTTCAAGGCGAGGATCCTGGCGCTACTGGCTGAGACGATCCGGTTGAAAGCTGAGAACACAGTCAATCGTTAACAGATGCATCGCAGAACGATTCAATGAAATCACCTTCAAGGAAGGCGCTGCGTAGGTTGGTAACGAGAAGGGAGGTTCTCCGCGAGAACTGGAGACGAGGCATGGTGATGTTCTAAGGAAGGAGTGGCGCTACTTGTATGGATACAGCGGGAATAATACAGTGAAACTTGGCAATGTGAGTCGAACAGAGCGATAACGACGAGGAGTAGAGGAGCGGGCGGGGGGAGATGGTGGTGGTTTGAGAACAGGTTGGGTTTGGGGCCGCAGACGCGCCCGAAGCTCGTCACGAACGCGATGTGACGCAAAGTGACAGTTGTGTGGATCTCGGCGTTGTGGCGCAGACGCACGCGAACAAGCGAGCGCCATTTGCTCCGCGACGGACTTGCTCAAGGCCGCGACACTCCATCCTCTCGACCTCTCCCGCTCCCTAAGCTCCCTCTCTCATTCGATGTGATGCTGCTCCAAAGACTACCGCGAGCTAAAGCGGTTCAACCGTTGTTCGCAAATATTCATAGGCAGTATAGCGCGACAGCCGAGCACACTCCAAGTTGGCCGGGTCTTGCAACGTCGAAACAGCTCACCCATCTCAAATCTATATTCCAAGGATATGCCGCGCCGATTCCCTCCTCCAAGCTCTCAGAGTACGGGCCCGGAAAAACTGAGACTTCCGTCATGAAAGCAGACGTCGCCCCAGATTTGCTCGCACACCTCCGTGTCATCGAACCGCGGACGCGACGCGCTTCGCACGCTATGTATGCGTGGAGACTCCGCAACCATAACGCCGGCATGGTTCTCATGGGATCCTCCAACGGCGGCGAGGCTGGGGCGGGAGAACGCCTAGAGCGCTTGCTAGAGCTCAGCCAGTGCGAAGACGTCATCGTAGTCGTGTTCAGATGGCACGGTGGTGTCATGCTGGGCTCGGACCGCTGGAAGTGCATCTCCAGTGTTGCCAAGGAGGCTCTCGAGGAGGGAGGATTTCTATCCCGCGGTGGTGATGCTAGCAAACACACCGGTTCGGGTCAAGGCTCGACCACGTCTTCCAGGGTGAAGCGACGTCGATGATCCACGCAGGAAACATAACGCCTGCTTATATTTCCTATTTTTGACACCGGTGTCTAGTGAGTAGGGAGCTTGGCTACTAAGGGGACGGCGTTGACAAAGTAAATTTACAGCTGTCATTGGCGACCCCCGCTCCGCAGGACGTCGGGAACAGAGAGCTAGAGAGCTACGCACGCACCGCGCCGGTGCCGGCAGTTTCTGAGAAGACTCCGCCATCTGCAGCTTCAGCGACACGATGCTCCTATAGGTACAGCACTTACAACCGATCTAAGTCATTCATTAATTAACGCTCATCTTCAGGAGGGTCGGTGGATAAAGTCGAAGTCTCGCCATGGGGGTTGCTTCAAACCGCTCATATCTACAACGCAGGACTGGGAGATCGCAGACTGGCTACCAGCCGTCTATGTAGTATCCTCGTCCGCGGCTATTTGTCAAGTTCTGAATTCGGATCACGGTCTGCAATAGTGTTCGGATATCCTACAAAATGTCCCTGTGCACAAAGCCTGCAGAGAAAGGGCGATAGTAGGGCCCGGGGTAGGCATGCACGGTCTACCAATCCGCGAAGCCGATGATCTTCCCATCCCAAGCCCACCAGATTTCCTCATCCTCCTCATCGCGCGTCTCATTCTCCTGCTCTTTTGCTCTATCAGCCGCTCTGCGCGCCTGCTCCGCCGCGAACGCGGACCCGCCCCTACACCCGATCCACGCGCCCTCGGTCTTCACCCCCCTCGTCTTCTTCTTCGCCCCTACATCGCCCGTCCCACACGCCCCCGCATCCAGCAGATGCGCATCGAGCACTCCATCGAGCGTGCGCGAGAGGTTCTGACGCGCAATCCACGCGGGGTGCGCGAAGCGGCGCGGCGCGCGGAGGTAGACGTGCGTCTGCGTCGGGGCGAGCTCGCTTGCCATGTCGCCGCCGCCGTCCGCCCATGCGGTCATGAGGGTGCGCGAGAGAAGGCGTTCGGCCGCGCGGAGGGCGGCTTGTTCTTCGGCGTAGCTGAGTGCGGGTGCAGGTACAGGAGATGTTTGGCGCGACGCCGATCCGGAGGGTGGGATGGTGGTGGGCGGCGGGGTGGAGGTAACCGTGGAAGCGGCTGAAGCTGGTGGTGGTTTGGGTGGCTGCTCCGGGGGTACAGAGAGCGGCTTGAGTAGTATAAGAGGAGACTCGGGCGACGGAGCTAGTGAGCGAGTAGGCAGGTCTGGAGATGGCGAACGGGACGCGGGTGGACCGGACGCTGAGTCGCTCTCCGACTCAGAAAGTTCCCCTTCTTCGGAGCTCTCCTCGGAGCCTGATTCGTCGCTATCCTCGTCGCTATCCTCATCTTCATCATCGGAGTCTTCGCTCCCCTCGTCTGTCCCCTCAGTATCGACTGAATCCTCTTCCCCATACTCATCGACGTCTTCAGGCGAAGGTATATCTGCGCGCTCTCCCCACACCTTTACTTCCAGACCATCTATCGTGAGCAGGATCCTTGCGCGAGCGGCTCCCACACTCGGGCCCAGGATGAACATAAGGTGTGCGCTTCCCCGCTGTGTGCTTCTGGTGGAGCTGCTAGCTCGTGAGACCTTCTGGCTGTTCTCATCGCCGGGCACCTCAGCGGCCTTGTCCTTGGCTAGTTTGCATTTCGCATATGCGGTCGAGAGCGCAACGAACGTAGTCCGGAGATGGGAAGAGAGCGTATCGAAGTTCGCCAGCAGCTCTTCACGCTTCTTCGCGACCTTGGCATTGGAACCGCCGCCAGGCATGCGCATGAGTTGGGCGACGGGACTGACTGAGGGGTTAGATATTGATATATGCGACTATTTAGCCACGTACAATGGAACTTGGCTCTTGAGGAAGAGGGTGTGTCCCAGCAGTGACAAGGAGAGCGTGGCGGCCATGGTATGAGTGACGACCGGTGCATCGAGTATGACGGTCGGGACACTGAGATGGTCCAGAAAAGCGACTCCGTCTTCGTTATCCTGAAGCTCATCGCATACCTGCGTCTTCTGAGAGAATGAGGGAGGTGCAGCCGGTATGTTGTGGCTGGTTGAGTCCTGGAGTGCACCGACAGGCTTAGCTGAGTCGAGGGGAGAGACTCCCGGAGATCGTGCAGGAGGCTCTAGGACAGGTTTGATGAGCATCTTCGGTAGATGATGGTAAGAAGTGAGAAGTGAGGAGAGTGTGGAGACGGTGGTTCAAGCTTTCGGCAAGCGCGCGTGAAACCTCCACTCGATCGACTCATCGAGCGCTGGTACGCGTGTATCACGTGTTGTCTATTTAGGGCAGGTCCACGCGCGACAGTATAAAAGCCTCGTCCTCCCGCAATTTTGATCCATGTTTGCCTCCCTCCTCTACACGTCCGTCAATGCTAGCTTTTTCTCGTCTCAAGTCTGCGCATATACATGCTTCGTCCGATTATCTTTGGCTGCTTGTCGTCCATGCCCCACTTGCTTATGCCTAGGGACACGGCTCTCCATGCCTTCGTCTCCTTCACTAGCGAAGTGGAAGATTGATATTCGACTCCCTCCACGCTCGATCGTTCAACCTCCGTGTTATACCCGTGGACGATTGAGCACTAAGAGGAGCCTACATTTCCTGTTGGTTTAGAATTGGTAAGTGCGCTCCGATCTGTATGACCCGGAGTAAAATAGTCTAGTCCCATACTCTTAGCAGTCCTCAATATAATTGCCTTTTGATTTCAAACATACGTATGCCAGCCATCGAAGAGGCCGTAGAATTTTTGTCAATGACCGTGTCTTCGACGTCCGTTGCCCTGAGTTTGGCACGGCCAAACACGGCGGCGGTCGTCGGTCACCGCACCGCATGCCTACGAAATCGACAGGGACGATCTCAAACATTCGTCCTTGATGCATCATCCCCGGTGCCTGCGGGACCCGATAGCTCTTATAAAACATGGGAGTATGGGAGGTATCGCTCGCATCGTCCAGGCCAGTCCCCAGCTCGAAAGTGCATCCATGCTTGGCGCAGTGACGCGCGTGCTCGTCCCCCTCGCGGGCATCGCAGCGCTCGTAGGGTCGTACGCCTCTGTCGACGCGAAAAGGATCACCAAGGCTCAACTACACGCAAAGCAAGCAGACGCGGCGGCGCGCATCAGGGCGAATGTTCCCCGTGCCGCTACGCCCAACAAGGGCACAGGCGTGAAGAACATCACGTTCACTAACCCTCGCGCGTCCGGTACGTCTCTGAGAGTGTACTTATTGCGTCTGTTGTTTGCTGAACTAGACCGCGTATGAAGAATTCTATGTTGATGGGACCACGATCCCGGACGTAGACTGGGATGTTGGGCCTAGCTGGTCCGGTCTGATGCCCATCAGCAGTGACCCCCACGAAACTCGCAAGGTACGCAACAGAATCAATTTACGATGTAGTTTTCTCACCAAGCCGATGCTGCTTGATATTCAGCTTTTCTTCTGGTTCTTCCCTCCGGGACCGCAAGGCAGCCTGGACGATCTCATCTTCTGGTGGGTATCTACCACTCGAATCCTATCTTCTCTGTCGCGCACGCTAGACGTGCAGCGACTGACTACAAATTGTTTCCTTTGACAGGACGAACGGCGGCCCGGGGTGCTCCTCGCTTGAGGGCTTGTTGCAGGAGAATGGAGTGCGTGTTACTACCTGCGCATATATGCAATCCGTGCTGACGCAGTCGTGGATGTGATAGCCGTTCCAGTGGTCGTATGGCCAGGCGCGCCCGACACAGAACGAGTACAGCTGGACGAACCTGTCCAGCTTGCTCTTCGTGGAGCAGCCTGTGGGCACCGGATTCTCGCAGGGAGAGCCGAACATCACCGTACGTGGTGGAAGTGTTTCAATCAAAACATCTTTACTAATGACAAACTACGCAAATGAAGAATGAGGACGAGCTGGCGGCGCAACTGGTGGGCTTCCTACAGCAGTTCCTGACCGTCTTCAAAGAGGTGGGAGGAAAGAAGCTGTATCTGACTGGCGAGAGTGTGAGTAATCAGCGTCCTTTCCACGCCTTCTATTGACGAGGGTATGCAGTATGCAGGGATGTATGTGCCTTGTGCGTATTTGCTCTCCTTCCCGTGGACGAATGTAATATGACACGTACGCAGACATCGCAAACTACATCTACAAGCACCCGAAGGCTCTCAACCTCACTCTGAAAGGTTTCTCGGTGTCTGATCGTACGCGTCTGCAGTCTGCCTTTTCACCCACGTATTCATGCTGCGAACCTCAGCCGTCCTAGGCTGGGACGTCGTCCAGAGCGAGATCCCTGCCGTCGACTTCGTGCACAAATACGAGCACAACTTCGCCCTCAAGTGAGCACCCAGCTCCCCCACGCTCACCACGCGCTCACTCCACTCCCTCAGCGCGACCTTCATGGCCCACCTTGACTCGGTCGCCAAGAAGTGCGGATACGCGGGCTACATGAAGAAGTACGTCACCTATCCCCCGAAGGGTCTCCTGCCGCTCCCTGGGAAAAGCATCGAAGCTGACCCCGGATGCGATGTGTGGGACGACATCGTGGACGCCGCGCTTGCCATCAACCCTGCGTTCAACATCTATCGTATCTTCGACACCGTAGGTCCCTTTCCGAGACTCGCGGTATCGACTGACCGCCAGGACGCTGACTATATGCTGCCCGTCTAGTGGCCAATCCTGTGGGACGTCCTCGGATTCCCGTTCGTCCAGCCTTCCACCACTCCGAATGGCAAACACTGACAATATCCTGCTCCTAGTGGCACGTTCTCGCAAACACAATCCCCGCTCTACTTCGACCGCGAAGAGGTGAAGCGCGCGATCCACGCGCCCGTGAACGTGACGTGGGGCGAGTGCTCCGACATCGACGTGTTCGTCGGCGGCGCGGGCGACCAGTCGCTCCCGCCCGCGTTCACGGTGCTCCCGAGCGTGATCGAGAAGAGCGAGCGCGCGGTGATCGTGCATGGGCTCGCGGACTTCATCCTCATCGCGGAGGGCACACGAATTGTCATCCAGAAGTGAGTGTTTATTTTACTCCCTGTAGGGAGCATATATGCTGATCCAGTTGACTGTGAAATAGCATGACCTGTAAGCGAGTCCAATCCTTGTGGGCTAAGACATTGAGCTGACTATAGGGGATAGGGAACGGGAAACAGGGCTTCCACACGCCGATCAAGGACGACAGCTTCATCGTCGACGGGATGGGCGCGCTCGGCACGACGCACACAGAGCGCGGCCTGACCTACTTCGAGGTCGCCCTCAGTGGCCACATGTAAGCCCATCTTGCTTTCCTCTGGGCCAGTGGCTGACGCAAACAACGCTGTGCAGGGTGCCGCAATTCTCACCGAGGGTAAGCACTCTCAGATCGGTAGCTCGAGCGACGGCTAATACATATGTTCTTAGGCCGCATTCCAGATCATGGAGTATCTTCTGGGCTTCAGGCAGAAGCCGTAGATACCCACTCCTGTAAAGAATTAATCACAATGATTGCGCGCGGGGATTCTGGTGCGTTTGTACATGCGCGTCCCTGCATAAGCCACTTGCCTGCCCGCGTAAAACTCGACTGTGATACTTTCCACCTAGTACCTGCTCGTGCGCGGCTTCTCGGGGCGCTGCGCAGATGGGGAAACCAAAATGCGTTTTCCGAGTTTTCAAGTCCCTGTTTCACTGCGACGCGTGGTGTACAGTATGCACTGTACTCCGCAAGACGGAAGTATGACGCGAGATAAGCACGCCCTGTCGTGCTCGTCGGACGGGAGCAGCGTCGTGTAACGTCGGTCTTGGAAGGGTGATAGACGTGGGTCCTCTGTAGATGCATCATATACCAGCGTAAAAGTTTGGTTTCACTGATTTTCTTGAGCACCTACTTTATACCGAGCTGTCTCACCTGCCTTCTGCTAGGAGCAAGCGTACCTTGACCAGAAGAGGGATCGGGAATCTCGTCGAGCGGCGAGGAGCTGTATAACGCGATCACGTTACCGCAACCTGCGGAGGTTTGACGCCTGCGACTGAGCATCGTGGCCCACGTTTGCTCGGTATCTGCGAAGGGCTACTTGATTGCATGTACATATGTACGCGAGAGATGTAGAAGGATGAGGGGATAGAAGATATTGTATGGCAGAGGTCGAGCACAAACTATAACTACACATGTACAGATCCTGACCGAAGAAACGAAGCCGTAAAGTCCCGGGTATGAAACTGAACACGTATCCTACATTTCGTACATTTTGGGCAGAAGAATAGTAAGAAGAAAAGAGACATCGAATCACCTCATCATTGATTCCCCAGCAGATACGGCGCATGTGCATCCCCGAAGCACACCCCCTTATTGTCGCGCAGATGCCGTAACAGCGCATCCCGCCTGCTGAACGCCTTCCTGCACCCGCCCACCATCTCTATCTTCTGATATACGAGCGGCTTCTCTTTCATCCTCTCCGTGGGCACCCCCGCGGCCTGCGCGCACGCGAGCGGAACGCCGCAACACTTGAAGCTCTCGTCGTTGTTGCTCCGCATGTGCGTGTTGACGTGCCGCGCGAGGTCCGGGCGGCGCCCTTTGGGCGCCACGTATGAGCAGTATTTGCATTTCATAGGATTTTTGGGCAGGGCCGTGCGCGCGTTCGGCGAGACGGCGGTGTTCCGGCGGGGAGTGAAGATCACCTCTGGCTTCGACCAATTGCGCGACGACGACAAGGACGTAGGGGAAGTGTAGGATGAGGATGCCGATGATGAAGGGGAAGGGGAAGAGTAGGACGAGGAAGCCGAGGACGAAGGAGATGGAGAAGGGTAAGAAGAGGACGCCGGCGACGAAGGAGTAGGGGAGGGGTAGGAAGAGGAATAGGTGGGCTGTTGGTGGAGAGGCCTGCTTTCGCGGTTGCGAGACTCTGGAGTAGATTCAGCCTGGCGTCCGCCAAACACCGCGGTGGCTGTAGCTGGTGGCGAGGTCGGCGCGTACACGTTCGCGGGGCAGCAAGTGAGCGCGTCCGCGATGGTCGAATGGACTGGGATTGTGCCTGGGGCCATCGACGCATCGCGCGACGACACTGGCAACGAGGCAGCAAGGGCAGGGTAGTAGGAAGGGGGGGAGGGCGCCATGTTACTGGCAGTTAGCGAGGCCGGCGCATACACGTCCGCGGGGCCGGGTCCGAGCGCGTCCGCGATGGTTAAATAGGCGCTCTGGACTGGGATTGCATCTCTGGCCGACCACGAGTTGACGCTCGTGAAAGAGTGCTGGCGCAGGTCGAAGTCTGACTGGGGAGCCAACGACATGGAGTTCGAGTACAATTGGTCGTACGCGTATTGCGAAAGAGGTTCCGGCTGGGGTGTGCTCAAAAGAGATGATGGTGATCCATAGGCGTACGCCGCGGCATCGTCAAGCATGAGAGAGGACATAAGCTGCACGTCCGCGCTAGGATACAGCTGAGCAAAACAGGTATTTTAGGAATATAACGCGACGTACCAGTCGTTCAACAGCGCCTGCTCGAGGTGTAGACGAAGGTCGTAAGACGAGCAGTCCCCTTGAAGATCGGGACACGGCCCAGGCCCCGGATGCGCTAAGTCCATTCGGGAAAACGCATCGTCGACACCATACATATGGTCTGCATGTACGCTGTCGGATACAGAGCTATCTAGAAAGTGTGTGAGAGTGTGCGAGGATGCGGGGTGGATGCGAGCGTTGAGTGAGGCCATGGCGCCGGCTCTTGGAGGTGGTGGGGGGAAGTGGGGGGTGTTTTCGCGTCCTCGCGCACCCCCTCAGGTATATATGGCGTCCCCCAGCGCCGTTTGCTGTTGTTTTTGCTGCCCATGGTGGTCGTTCGTGCCATTCTAGCGTAGAGCCAGGCGTAGTGGTGAGCTAGACGCCGAAAAACGTCCCCAGGAGGGGTGATCTTTCCACACAAAGGCCAGATCTTTGGCGCTTACTGTTAACCCTTCACATTTAGGCGCCGACTCTGGTCGCGCAAGGCTCGTCAAAACACGCGTTCTCAGATCCTCCAGATACCCCCAAACTTCGGATATGCATGTGTTGCAGCGGTATCAGCGTTCTCCCCAGATATTAGAGTGCCTACCTGCTATGCTTCAGAAACCTTTCATCACAAATTGGCCATCGTCGCATCCTGTAAACACATCCAGCTCCCGACCAGGATATCAAGCTTGCACTGACAAGACTGAGCAGGGCGTATTTCATTGGGCCGACCCGAGTTCTGTATGGATATACCCCAACAGCAGAGCGACCTAATGAAGCTTTGGAGCCTTCGACCACTGACAAAAGTATGTTTCTACGCGCTACGCTATGTGGTGGACATGCAGGGAGGCCTTCACCACCTCTTCATCGCGCGGAGATTCTAGCAGATGAAGTGTCACCGGCCGCGATCTCAAGTCTATGGACGACGCCTTCGGATCGGAACCTCACCATAGTCTCTTCGCCCCCTTCCATTCCCAGCTGGCGAACAGGCCAAGATGCTCCCAAACCTGATGCCCGTCAACTACGCTTTCAGAGACTTGGAAAGTTGCTTTGGACAAACACTGCGATCGAGCTCAATACACGTACGTTTGTGCATCGCGACATCCGTCTCTCCATGATTTTCTCGTGACTACACTATGCGGCATGTGCTAGCTATCTCATCGCCATATGCTTTATAGATCCTGCGCTTATGAGAGAACGCCTCATATTCATAGTATGCCGTCCGCGATGTTGTAGATCGCTGTGGGAGAACGCGATAGGTATGGAAGCAAAATTCGCTTCGTTCAGTGCATTAAGATAAGCAACGCCGGCACTGACGCATGGTTCATTGCCGTAAGGAGCCCCGAGTAGAGCTCACATGCTCGGCTGATCTGCCAGGTGGGTCTCTTCTTCTTGAGAATCGCGTACATACCACTTCAGGTCAACAGGCTGCTATCTGAGATATGCCCGGCTTGTATATAACTCACAGCACACGGATCCACTTTCGATCTCCTTGCCTAGTCCTCCACTCAGAGCGACGGAAGTCCAGTGGTACTCTAACTGTCTACACGCCATTCGACTCGCAGCAGCCATGCCGGCACTGCTCACGCGACTTCTATTCGCGCTCGTCGCCGCCACAACCTTCGCAGGCTTGCACACCCTCGTGCAAGCAAAGTTCATCAGCAAGGCTGAACTCCATGCAAAGCAACGCGAGTCGGCTGCTCGCATCAAGGCCACCCTCCCCCGACGCGCCGTGGATTCAACCACGGGTACCGGGGTGAAGAACATCACGTTCTCAAACCCTCGCGCGTCTGGTGAGTCCTTTCACCCATTCGCGTACGCCGTCCCAGAGCACACGAGCTAACGCGAGCTGCACCCCACAGAGTTCTACGTCGACGGGACCACGATTCCGGACGTCGACTTCGATGTTGGGCCCAGCTGGTCAGGCTTGCTCCCTGTCAGCAGCGATCCGAATGAGACCCGCAAGGTGAGGTCTCGGACCCTCCTCGTGCCCGTCCTTGCATCGGCGCTCACGAGCCTCTCCCTCGCACGCTCCCTCCACCTGGCGCCGCGCGCACCACGCGGACGCATTCGGACCTTCTCTGGTTATCTCCACTACGAATCCAACGTTGCATCTTGGGGTGCCTTGCGCTATCTGCGACATCTATAGCTCTTCTTCTGGTTCTTCCCACCCGGCCCGCAGGGCAGCCTGGACGACCTCATATTTTGGTATGTCCATCCCTCTCTAATTTCTGCTCTATTCATCAGATGACCTGACTGCAGTAATACAGGACGAATGGAGGACCTGGATGCTCCTCGCTGGAAGGTCTTCTCCAGGAGAACGGGGTACGCTCGTCGTCCTGTCCAGCCAACGCACGCCATTGTACTAACACCAGCACTCATATAGCCGTTCTCGTGGTCTTGGGGACAGGCGCACCCCACGCAAAACGAGTTTAGCTGGACGAACCTGTCCAGCATCCTCTTCGTCGAGCAGCCGGTCGGAACGGGCTTTTCGCAGGGGAAGCCAGACGCTGCCGTGAGTGTTTCTAGTGCGCACATGCACCAGTCGAGGAGTACTGACGCATATCTACATATAGAACGAGAACGACGTTGCGGCGGAGGTCGTGGGATTTATGCAGCAGTTCTTGGAGGTATTCCAGGAATTGCAGGGCAAGAAGCTGTACGTGACCGGCGAAAGCGTGAGTTGGCGCCACTCGTCTCGATTCCGTGTAATCGCTGACAGTGTTGTGTAGTATGCTGGGATGTATGTGCCATGTAAGCTGGACCCAGGTTCGTCTTTTGTGACAGGGTAAGAACTGATCATCCTATGACAGACATCACGAACTTCATCTTTGAGAATCCGACCATGCTCAACCTCAAGATGACCGGTTTCTGGGTCTCTGACCGTGCGTACCAAGCGGATGTATATCTATTGTGATATATACTCATATCTTTAACCTAGCCGTTCTTGGATGGGACGTCGTCCAAACTCAAATTCCGGCTGTCGACTTCGTGCACAAGTATCCGAACGTCTTCGCGTTCAAGTAGGTCTCACTCGCTCATGAACGGCCCCCCAGCTTCTTACATGCGCGCACTTGACTATAGCCAGACTTTCATGGCACACCTGGACGCGGCAGCGGCGAGCTGCGGGTACACCGGCTACTTCGAGGAGCACGTCACCTTCCCTCCGAAGGGATTGCTCCCGCTGCCGAGCAACAGCACCAGGGCAGTCCGCGGGTGCGACTTGTGGGACGAGATCTTCGATGCCGCTGTCACAATCAACCCGGCGTTCAACGTCTACCGCATCTTCGATACGGTGCGCGCATACACTCACCCTGTTTCCCAACGCAAATGCTGACGAGCGCTCTTGACTACAGTGGCCGATCCTGTGGGACGTGCTCGGGTTCCCGTATGTCCATCTTGCCCCCGAGTTCCTCTCTTCCGCCTAGACATTAACCTCCTTCGCTTGCAGCGGCTCTTTCCCGCAAGCACAGAGCCCCATCTACTTCGACCGCGAGGAGGTGAAACGCGCGATCCATGCCCCGCTCAACGTCACCTGGGAGGAGTGCTCCGACATCCGTGTCTTCCCGCACGGCGACGCGTCGGCCCCACCCGCGTTTACGGTGCTCCCAAACGTCATCGAGAAGAGCGAGCGTGCGGTAATCGTGCACGGCCTGGCAGACTTCATCCTCATCGCGGAGGGTACGCGCATTGTTATCCAAAAGTACGTGCCATTGCTGTTCTGCGCGCATACAGGGTGCGTGTGCTGATGCGGCGATGGCAATTTTAGCATGACTTGTAAGTTATCGACGTGCACGTAGGCGAATGCCACACCGCTGATCGTGTGGATTAGGGAACGGCCAACAAGGCTTCCAGACGCCGATCCAGAACGACAGTTTCATCGTCGACGGCATGGGCGCGCTCGGTACCAGCCACAGCGAGCGCGGCCTCACGTTCTACGAGGTCGCCCTCAGTGGACACATGCAAGCCCAATATTCTCTCCATAATGATGTAATTAACTGACCGCATGTGTATGACAGGATCCCGCAATTCTCCCCGAAGGTGAGTGCCGCGCCCCGAGGGTACAAATTCGCAGATTGACTGATGCTGGATGCACAGGCTGCATTCCATATCATGGAGTTCCTCATGGGCTTCCGAGAGAACCCGTGATGGTGTTTGGGGCTGTTCAGAAACGAGTCTGGCTGTCAAAAGACTTGAAGCATTGAAAGTTGCCGCTAGGACCTTGGATTGGAGCCAGGCGTCTTGAATGTCGAGTCTCCCCAGATCCTCTAACTCATACGACAATTCGGCTATACACAACATACTTGAGCCAGCCTGCTCCATTTTTTCTGGCCTACCTGACGAAGACTACTACTGTAGTGTGAGCGGTGTGACCGAACGTTCTTCCTACATGCATGACACCGGGAGCGGGTAAGCCTCAGCAAGACGCAGTCACTATTGCTTTTACCCGCTCCTCCGGTCGAGTCGGGATGCTAGTAAAAATCAATTATGGGACAGGACGCGTCGACGCGTGAACGGACGTGAAGGACGGGCTCGAGTGTATGATTAAACACGCACTCGGACTCGCGATCGCGCCTGGAGGTGCTCGTCGGAAAAACGCGGTCACCACAGCACGTGGTCGTGCCTACTCGCGTTTTGAAGAGCTCCCGGCCTGCTGGCTCCCTTTCAGCGCTTTTCTCCTCTGCATCTTACCATCATGAGCTTCCAAGCAATCCGAGAACGCCAGATGCTGTACTTGTGTGTCTTCCATTTGCGCGGGAGGTGCATGCTCGACGACCTTCTACTTCCCAAGTTTCTGTCATGAGTGCATCATGATGGACGGCAAACATGCTGGTCACCGCCTTGACACGAGGTACGTACATACTGTTCTCACTGGCACCTGCGCCGCAGTGGCCACGAATATTTACCAGCTTTACAGATACTAGAGTACAGTACTACATCTCAAATACGATCACTTCCTAGGCAGCTTTCACATCATCAAACTCCTGGCTCAAAGTATACAAATGAGGGAATAGGTCGCTATGTCGCGGAGCAGTGCTGAACCCTTCCGAAAATAGCGCGATAAGACGGAAGTAACGCATGGTCTTTTCCCGTAAGATGTCTCATCCCATCGCCATCCAACGTGTTTACCCTGATGGCGGACAGACCACATGCTCTACGCGGCCGCCCCGCTCTTCCTCGGGGTTGCAGGGGAGGAACTGAATCACCCCCATCGATACCGAAGGGCGCTGCGCTGGAGCTGACCCGGATCTGCTGGGCGTCCGAGCCTCCGACGGGTATAAAGCGAGCAATGACGACTGAAGGGTACTCGGACTTCCTCGCAGTACTTGCTTGTCTGTTCCGGCTCGCGCTCGCCGACTACATAGCGCTGCAAGGATGTTCAAAAGGGCGCTCCTGTCGCTGCTCGCCGTGACGGCGTTCGCGACCACTCTCGCCAACGCGAAATGGGTCACGAAGGCCGAGCTGCACGCAAAGCAAGCAGAACACGCCGCGCGCATCAAGGCGAACCTCCCCCGCCGCGACGTCAGCGCAAAGACCGGCGTGAAGAACATCACGTTCTCCAACCCGCGCGCGTCTGGTACGGATCTCACCCTCATTTAAACTTCCATAGCTCTGACTCACTCCGCCTGTCATACAGAGTTCTACGTCGACGGGACTACTATACCTGACGTCGACTTCGACGTTGGGCCCAGCTGGTCCGGCCTCCTGCCTATCAGCAGCGACCCGAACGAGACTCGCAAGGTGAGCGCGTCCTCCGTATCTTCCGTAGTAACCTCATGCAACACGGAACCTGACCCCCGTCTTCTCCGCATGATCTTCTCTTCGCGCACCCTCTTCGTCCTGCTTTGCGTGATCTTCGAACTGCGCTCCATATGGCCGCGCTCGGTCGCTCTCTGAACATCGCCGCTCTGACTCTATCACCCTTCGCTCGGCCGCCTCGTACTATCCCCGCCGCATAGCTCTTCTTCTGGTTCTTCCCGCCCGGCCCGCAGGGCAGCCTGGACGACCTCATCTTCTGGTACGTCACCTTTCGGTCCTTTTCCCCGCGCGACGGGCGCATGGAACATCTAGCGCCCACCGCGTGCCGCGAAGGGCTGCGTGGGACATACCGCCCTTGCGCCATCAGATGATCCGTACTGTGAGAACTGACCCATGCGACGCAGGACGAACGGCGGTCCCGGTTGCTCGTCCCTCGAGGGTCTCCTGCAGGAGAACGGGGTACGTCGGCCGAGCGGTGCTTTCCGTACTGTGTGGCGTGTGCTCATGCTGGGGGGTTTGGGTAGCCGTTCCAATGGTCACTGGGCCAGGCGAAGCCGACGCAGAACGAGTTCAGCTGGACGAATCTGTCAAGCATCTTGTTCGTCGAGCAGCCCGTCGGCACTGGCTTCTCGCTGGGCAAGCCGGATATCACTGTGCGTACCCGTTGCTATGAGATAAAGCGACCACTCATGTCTGGCTGTGGGATGTAGGATGAGAATGGCGTCGCGGCAGAGGTCGTCGGCTTCATGCAGCAGTTCTTGGAGGTGTTCAAGGAGCTGCAAGGGAAGAAGCTGTACGTGACCGGTGAAAGTGTGAGTGATTACTCCCTGTGGGTTATGTTTTGGGGTAACTGATGGTGGTGTTGTAGTACGCAGGGATGTATGTGCCATGTAAGTGCTTCTCAGTTTCCTCTCTGGAGGTCGCAGGCTGATTGGAGCGCGTCAGACATCACGAACTACATCTTCGAGCACCCCACCGCGCTCAACCTCACCATGACTGGGTTCTGGGTGTCCGATCGTACGTGACCCCATTAGCTATACCTCTGTTGCGGCTACTGATGCCGAAGCGACGCATAGCCGTTCTTGGCTGGGACGTCGTGCAGACCCAGATCCCCGCCGTCGACTTCGTCCACAAGTACGAAAGCGTCTTCGCGTTCAAGTACGTGCCCCCTCCCCCTTCCCCCGAAACGTGGCCGATCTAACATGCATCGTGTTTCTCCGAACCCGCAGCCAGAGCTTCCTGGCACAGCTCGACGCTTCCGCGGCACGCTGCGGATACACGGGCTACTTCGACAAGCACGTCACCTATCCGCCCAAGGGCCTGCTCCCTCTTCCTGGTAAGAGCACCGAGGCAGACCGCGGATGCGACCTTTGGGACGAGATCTTCGATGCCGCTGTCACTGTGAACCCTGCGTTCAACATCTACCGCATCTTCGACACCGTATGTTCTGCGCGCATCTACATACTACGTTTGCTTACGCACAGTGTTGGGTTACAGTGGCCCATTCTGTGGGACGTCCTCGGTTTCCCGTACGTTTCCTGCATTTCTATGTCGCCGCGACAGAGCTAACCCGCACGTGCCCCAACAGCGGCTCCTTCGAACAGACACAGTCCCCTATCTACTTCGACCGCGAAGAAGTCAAGCGCGCGATCCACGCACCGCTGAACGTGTCGTGGGCGGAGTGCTCGGACATCAACGTGTTCCCGCGCGGGGACCGCTCCGCCCCGCCCGCGTTCACCGTTCTCCCGAGCGTGATCGAGAAGAGCGAGCGCGCGGTGATCGTGCACGGGCTCGCGGATTTCATCCTCATTGCTGAGGGGACGCGCATTGTTATCCAGAAGTGAGTCCTTCGCGCGCGCGCGTTCATGGGTAGTGCTGATTCGGGTTGGGAACTCTAGCATGACTTGTAAGTCCGGATCTGTGCGCGAGCTAGTGGGTGTGTCATACTAAATCTTTGGAACAGGGAACGGCCTCCAAGGCTTCCAGACGCCGATCCAAAACGACAGCCTCATCGTCGACGGCATGGGCGCGCTCGGCACTAGCCACAGCGAGCGCGGCCTGACCTACTACGAGGTCGCCCTCAGTGGACACATGTACGTTCCGCTCGATCTATCTGATATTTTCCTTGGATCTCTGATCACGCTCGTTTTGCAGGGTTCCGCAATTCTCCCCGAGGGTGAGTGCCATCTGCAAGGTTACAACTGGGAGAACATCACTGACACACCTACAGGCCGCGATCCACATCATGGAGTACCTCATGGGATTCAGGGACACCCCGTAGATCTTTCGAACACGTTACTAGGCGTCCCAGGCTACTTCATGTGTATGAAAAGAAATCGTTCACTGCGACTGCACCAAGGCCCCGCGTGGTGGCGCGAACAGGGGTGTGACGGCGTGCACGTGCTTGTGACCTATCGCGTGCACGACGCGTGGTAAACATTTCTCTTCTAATGTCTACCACATGCGCGACATCTAGGAACATGGTCCAATGGTCGGCTAAGCTTTCCGAGAAACGATAGAGCAGGGCCATGGGAATACAGTTCCTTGCAATTGATCTCGAGCTTCCAATTGAACGCGCAGGCTCTCCGTCACGATACAGCCTTCCGACAACGGCCCGGGGTCGGTTCGGATGCAGATCCTCTCCGGATTGGCTGGCCATGGTGAAGTTGCCCAAGTTCTTTGTGTAAACGAACCCGTACTGATTATCCGCCGTGCACACCCTTAGCCGCCACCATCCGCGTGAAGTGACTCGCGATCGGAAGCAGTCACCCCAGAAAGCTCGCCGCGCGACAGCGCACAACAGTCGATTGTCGCAGGCCAAAGGGCACCTCTGGCCATTGTTTTCCCTCACTGCCTCCCTGTCAATGCACCTGCGGACAATGAGAGCCCCCTCCAAACCAATCTGGCAGGTCCAATCTCAGTCAAGCTGACCTCCCGCAGCACTGCCGCAAACCGGAAATTAAGTGCTAGAGGTCTACGCGCCATAGTCCCACCCTCCTTCTCGATTTGGTGATGGCGACTGGCTAGACCATGGTTCAAAGACATTCGGCTGAGACTGAGACTGACACGCGTTTCCTGTGGCTAGTGGGCGAGACAATGCGCCCTGCACCTCTGCGGGTGTGTATATAATGTGGTCGAATCTCTGGTGCCAGTGGTCATCTGCCACCTCTCCTCCCCTCGCCCCTCCCCTCTTGCACCGCAACTCCCTCTGCAAAATGGCATTTTCCCCAGCATTTTCGCGCAAAACCACACCCGCTGCGCCAGGGCTCGCAGACGAGTGAGTAGCGGTCACATTTCTGCATCTTCATAGCCTGACATCAGTCCCAGGCTTTTGATACTGGAAGAAGAGCTATACAGGCAGTCTTGCGAGCTGCCACACACAGTCGAAAAAGCGCTCGACGCCCAACTCCGCGTCGAGTATGTCATTTTCTCTCCTCTCTGTGTCATGTACTCTCTGACGCGCGGCAGCGTCCCCATGGATGTCGACAGCTCGAACTGGTTAGAAGAGTCTTCGTCCGAGTCCTACCCAGCCGCAGACTCCTCGGAGTCTGACTTCGCCCGCGCCCGGCCCCGTCGGCGCACGCCAGTGCGCCCCCGCCCCGCCCGCCGCAATCAGGCAGAAAAGGAGAATTTCTCCTCCCCCGCACGGCGCCCGCGCTCCCGCGCAAGCTCCGTGGTGTCGTACGCCCCGGAGTCCTCCGAGTCGGACTCGGATGATTCTGAATACGTCCCGTCCGGATCCGCCGCCCGAGTGAAGAAGGGGAAGGGCAAAGGGCGCGGCCGCGCGGCCGCTCGCGCTCCGACACGCCCCGCATTTGTTGAGGCAAGTAATGCGCAAGCTCACGAGCCTGCGAGCTCACGGCGGCCGGGGGACTGCTACGGACTGTTCTCGGACGAGGAGGACGAGGAGACTTCAAGCCAGTAGACAGGGCGGGTGGGTCTCTCCGGCTTCGTTGCACTGTGTAGCCCCGTAGTGCTTGTCTCCTACCATACACGCAGACTGCGCTCCTCCTTCATCACCGCTTTTGACTGCCATGTATGCGTTATTGTGTCTCACCTCGAACCGCCGTCTCTCTATACCCCACGTTTCAGCTCTGTACAACAGCTACGTTTATGTTCTCATATTTTATATTTCTCTTGCCATGTACCCTGATCATACGTAGTTTTTGACCGTTGCGAGTATCGGGACAAAGCACTTGTTTGAAGAGTGGCGACTGGGATGGGAAGCGCTTGTCAAAAGGCCGCGCGCCTTGCATTTGGCGCCCGGTGTCGAAGTTGCCTCCTTCCTCCATGATAACACCTGCCCATATCACGCCGGACGAAGTTCGCAGTGCCGACGAACGTGCTTCACTGGCCGGTACCGGTATGATAAACTAGGAAGCTTGAAGTTGTGCACATCTGCTGAAGACGCTTTAGCCACAGAATTCCGCCCCGCGACAGCTAAGCACACCGCGCTTGATCCGAGCGCTGCACAATTGGGCTCGAGGCTCTGAGCCCTGATCTACTAATATCCACACGTATCGCCGGCACGCGCACAAATCAAGGAACACGTTCAACGCTGTCTATTCCGGCATAGTATCAAGTCTCTTTGAGGCGATCTCCCGGACCATCTGCTGCATTCCTGCGGACTCAATGGAGATGAAATGCGGTATGCGACACGTCTAAGCGTTGAGGATCACCCATATCGTCACGGCCTAGCCACAACAAATAGACTTGCTATAGCTAAGCACTCACCGGTCATGGGGTTGGGCAATGCGTCGTACACCGTTGTGTGTGTATATAAGACGGAAGGTCTTCGGCGCTGGCGGGTACCATCCCTCACTGGGCCTCTCCAACTTAGACCCCTCTAGAACCTTTGCCATACCTCGGGAAACATGAGTCTAGAGGACGAGTGAGTAGTGTATACATCGCGCCGTGCTGGCATTATCTGACATTGTTCCTGATAGCTTGACCTCACTCCAAGACTGGTTGATCGACCGTTCTTACACTCTACCGAGAAATGCCGAAAAGGCACTGGAAAGGAATGGTGTCCGCGCCGTTCGTACAAAGTGAGTCTCGTTCTGCGACGGAGTCCGAGCTGTGTCATATTTTCTTACCCTCAGCAGCACGCAGGGTGCCAGTCCAACAGTGAAAGAAAACGTCGCCGCTCCTATCACACAACCGCAAGCTGGGTCTAGTACACAGGCGGAGAGCGAAGGAGACCGCACCGGAACCACAACTCGCAAATCGAAGCGCATTGCACTCAAGGGCCCAAAGAAAGTCAGCTTCGCCACCGACGAGGACGAGGACGAAGAGGCCGAGTAGACAGCGCCTGTGAATCTCGGCCTCTCTTCCCCTTCATACCTGTCAGGTTCATACCACGAGCTTCTGCTCTTTGAGAATGTATCGTATACTTTCTTCCTGAAGCCTGGGGACTGTGTATTAGCGATGTCCTTGTGAGTTCTATTTTGGCCCGTAGCGGTGTCTCCAGTACTTACCTCCTCTGTTTCAGATGTACTACTCACCTTTGCGCTATGCAACCCTCGATCAAATACCTGCATTGGATTTGTTCCGCGAGCTACGGCAGTGATCCCACAAATTTCAGTTGCGTCGAGTAAAGGAATGGTCGGATGCCAAGAAGCTTCATCTGACGGAGGTTAGGGTTTCTGGGGACCTCCATCTTTAGCGCCGGGCGTTCGGTGGCTAACTTTAGCCGCCCATGATGTCGCTCCTCTTCAGCCGCCTCACCGCGACGCTCACTCACTTGAGCTGTTTCGAAACGGTCATTTAATTTTTAATATGAGCTCCTCAATGGCGTGATGCAAATGACGATTGGTATCTGACCGTATCAACAGCCATCCCATTGATATAGCCACACTTCAAGGCTGGCGCACCGCTCGGGCCAGCAGGACAGCGTTGAGTACGATTAACTTTAGCGCAATGTCAGCATTATACTCACAACCATTGATTATGCACAACTAGGGCATCGTCTATGGATCAGTATTTTAGGACAAATGGCTTCGCGCTGGCAAGTGTATTGCCCTCGTGTCCATCACCGACGTGCGAGGGCCCGAAGTCTTCTTTCTGAGCCACGTACGCGCCAGGTGGGAACTCCATTGTACGGACGTGACAGCACATAAAGACCGCACATGCCAGCGCAGCGGTCCTGGCCGTACCAAAATGCGCAAACCACAAAACCGGCTGTATCCCACCCCCTTGCCGCAGCATGGCGCGCAGGTTCTTTCAAGGCAAAGAAGCTGTGCCACTGAATGCCGGATGTGGCTCTTCGCGACAAAGACGTCTTTGTGCGTCCTGGCCACCAACCCACCTCGTGGCCCCGCTTTGCCCTCCCGGCGCTCCAGACAATAGCCTCGGACGCAGGCCGCTGATTCGACCGTGGGCGGGATGCAGGCTTTAAAACTGGGAACTTCCCCAGGGCCGGTCATCACCACATCCTCACCCCCCCTTACTTTGGATTTTCCCTCTCCTCCGGTTTTGTCAGTAATAAACGATGAGCAACTACGAGGACGACAGCGAGGACGTCCGGAATTTCCTTACCATGTGAGCATCAGACGCGTCTTGTTCCCCTTCCACAGCTGACCTCTCGTAGGGGCGGCCAAGTATCGTGGGCAGTACATGCCTACAGGTACCTTGATGCGACGCGCGCTGGAGGCCCAAGTCAAGAGCTACCCCAGGTAGTAGAGGATGCCGCCACGGCGAATGACGATGCTATATTTGATGCCTACATGCACATGGACGCGCTTGTAGAAGAGTGGCATGACACCACGGCAAGTGTCAGCCCCCCGTAAGTCTGTCGGTAGGTCGTGGCTACACTGCCCTTACTGAAGATAATCAGGGTGACGATGGACCAGAGCGCGCAGCCCTCTCCAATTTCGGAGTCCACGCCGCGTGGGCCAAGGGAAGCCTCTATAGTGGTTGATTACCAGCCCGCCTTCGTTCCGTAAGCCTCCCACTTTGTTCCTGTCGTCAGATCCCGCTAACTCAAAGGCGCGCAGTGTCTCGGAGATGCACGCAGCTCAGGTTGCCCAAGCGTCGCAGCACACATCCACGGTCCAGGTGCACTCGGATGCGACTAGCCTCTCGCGGGCGTCGTATGGCACTGCTCCACATACGCGGACATTGTCGGGAACGCAGGTCACTGCGGAACCTTCACACGCAACACCCGCTTCGTATGTCCCGCTATTGATCGCTTGATTTGCTACCAATCTGACCACTACGTATAGGACCAACGACGCCAACGACGCTGCCACCTTGCCCGCCTATAAATGCACGCCTGACGGTGCCTTCTCCTTGTCGGCGGCGACTCGGAGCCACGTCCGCGAGCGCGCCTCACACGCGCCGCAACCCCAGGCCAACGCTGGAGCATCGTCGTCGTCAGTCAAGGTTGAAGATATAGACGATGTTGAGGCGTTTGGCACGCTGGCGAGCCAAGCGGGACCCTCTCGCACCCGGGCCAAAGGAAAATCGGTCGCGCGTCATGCGCCCTACAAGCCCCCCGCCGCTCCCGCCCCCGCCCCCGCCGCACCCCTCACGACCGGCAGCAGATACAACCCGAACAACCCACCACCCGGGTGGGCGCCGCACTACACGGCGAGCTGGATGGCAACGTGGACGTGGGATGGGGACAAGATCCCCGAGGAGTGGGGCCTACACGACCTGTGGGGGCAACTCAAGGCGAAATATAACCTGTGCGGCAGCAAGCCGTGCGGGTGGAAGGGTTGCGCGAAGGGGCCGACGATCGAGTTGCGAAAGCATGTGCTGGGGGTGCACCTGGGGTGCACGTACAAGTGCCGCGGGTGTAAGTACGTTTACACGGACCGCTTCGATAACTGGCGGTGTCGCCCGCCGGCGGAGGGGGTGCACGGGGCAGGGTGTCTCACGGCAAAGTTCTGGCGCGGCCAGATCAAAGAGCAGGATCTGGAGGAGGCGTTGAAGGAGCGGGAGGAGGCAGAAGACGGGTCGCTGGCTGAAGTATGATTCGGCTGGTGGCGACCTCGAGATGCCATCGGACGCTGACGAGGATGAGTGAGTGCATGTCGACGTCCTCTTTTGTGTTCTATTCCTCCAGTCCCGCCGCTCGAGCTTACCACTTACGCCATTACTTACGCATGTACTTGTTCTCTGTATGTTTGTATCTACTAGTAGTCTACTATATGATCGAGTTTCTCATTCAAGAAGCACCCCAACTTGGTGCATGGCTGTAGCTGAAGCTTCCTCCATTCACCGTCACTGCATGGCGCACTCGTTGTGCCGGTGTACCCCAGCACGCGTATGGCAGCACTCCCCATCAACGTTCCCAATTATCATCCAGCGTCCTTACAACAGGTATTCGGAACACAACGCCCATCACTGTCTCACCGGCATTCCCGCATCATGCCTCAGGCAACACCAGCCCCAGACCCTTCAAGAACCCATCCGTCGTCTCCCACAGCTCCTGCTGCAGGTCCTCCCGATCCGCGAGCGGGTTTGCCTTCACGAGGACCCCGGGCGGCTTAAGGTATGCGCCGCGATACGCGTTGGGCGCGGCGCGCGGGACGGGCGAGGCCGCGGCGAATACCGGCCCGTACGCGCCCTTTGTGGGCGTTGTGAAGGTGAGGTCTGCGATGAGCTTGTAGAGTGGCGCGAGGAGCGGGCCGACGGAGGACGCGTAAGCTTGCACACCCTCTGGTCAAAGTCGTCAGCGGAGTGCAGCAAGGACCCGGGGTATAAGTGGGGACGACATACCGGTGTTGACCTCTCCGGGGTCGACGGCGATGAGGAGAATCGGGGCGCCTTCTTCGTCTAGGCGGCGCTGCAGCTCGCGGACGAAGAGGAGCTGCATAATCTTGGTATATGCTATATCGCATTATCAGCCAGTAGATTCGAATGGGCGGGGATATGGGGACGCACAGTATCGGAGGAGCTGCGGGAGCGATGTGTCCTCGAAGTCCCTATTGAGGTCGTCTATGTTGCGGAAGCGGACATCTGTGGAGCAGTGGTAATGCCGGGCAGAGTTCAGCTATAAGGAATCGTCAATGCTATAGTAGCTGTCTCTCGAGCGCGTCTCAAAAGCACGCACGTAGACGACGCGGACGTCACTGTTAGGTTCTTGAGCGGTCGTCTTCAAGAGGGGGAGGAGCGCCCTCGTGAAGGAACATGGTCCAATGTAGCTGGGAGAACGTGCGTCAGGAGATGTAGCCCAAATATACCGCTAAATCCGCTCACTTGACCATCACAATGTCCTGGATGCCTAGCAAACCATTAGTATGTAAACAGAGGGAATATGGTGGCGTCCAGCTTACCATCGTGACTCTTGATATATGGAACCAGAAGCCTGCAGAAGATGGTGTCAACAGGCGTGTGGACAAGTCTTAGGGCTGCGCCTTACATCGCGGCGTTGTTGACTTGAAACATAACACGGCATCAGACTTTGACCCGTCGGGTCAGAGCGTGTAGTACTCACTGAGTACATCGAGACGTTCTTCCCTCTTCATGAACTCTTCGGCGGCTTGCGTGACATTCCGCAGGTCACTCAGATCGAGCTTGTGCCAGAGCACCGCCCCGTTACCCGGGCCCAAACCCTCTGCTTGGAGGCGTTCTATGGCAGCCTTGGCTCTCTGCTCGTTACGAGCAGCCATGTACACCTTGGCCCCATGTCGGGCGAGGTGGCGTATGATAGCATACCCAATACCGGAGCTGCACATGCGCGCCATCAGTCTCCTTCCGTCGAGAACGCGAAACGAGATCGAGTACACACTTTCCGCCCGTCACGAGGACGACCTTTCCTGTCAGATCAGGAATGTCTTTCTCCGGACTAAACCCTCTGGAGAAGAACGCGCCCATGGTTGAGTTCGTTAATAGTGAAGCAAGGATGCCGCCAAGTCCTGCACAGGCAACTCCACCCGGTCTCGGCCTCACAGCCCAGTGTTGGAGTGCTGAGCCAAAATCGAGCGGCCCCCGCGGGCAGCGCACTGCCCTGTCCTGCTACGTGTCAACAGTGGGACGACACTGCGGTTCCAGAGGCAAAATCCGCCGACCCGGCGGAACCTCCATCAGTGGGGGCCCTCGAAGCTGAAACGGCTTTCCGAACCAAGTACCTCCGCCGGTTGGCTGCAACAGGAAGGTCGGCATATGCCGAGGCAGCTTGTATCCCACAATAATGACGCGTGGACGCTTTATCCTCAGGCCCCCGTTGTCTAATGGCTATGACGTCAGACTTCTAGGGCCTAATTCCCTTCATCTGGAGGTTGCGGGTTCGAGTCCCGCCGGGGGTTGTTGGATACACTTTTTGTTCCTACAACCCTCAATTTGACACGTCTCTACACTCGACGTTCGTGATCTGTTCCATATTCCATGTACTGTATATTATCCCAGAGTCCCAGCGGCCATCCGCTACCCCGTTATCTACAATACAAGATAGTCTATTCGAGCGCAGCAAGAAAGTAGTCTAAGATCACCCTCGCGCCGCGAGTCTACCCCACCCCATCCCCTTACTCCTCATCCTCCCAAATGACCACCGCAGGAACGTCTGCCCTAGCCGCATACCGCCGCTGTCTCTTCGTGTCCCGCCACCCCGCATAGATGCCCAGCCCAAGCGCGACAGTGCACGCGACCATCGTCAGCTTAATGCTGTCCCGGTAGCACTCGCGGCCGATGATGCAGTGGTGTGCTGACGGGAGTCCGCCGCGCGCTTGAATCGAACTTTCACTGCTAGGCAACACAGAAGCGGTGACGTTGGCAGCGAGAGAGGTGAGCGCGGACATGGTGCTGTTGCTCGCAGGTGACGCTTCGTCGTCGCTATGCGAATCGAGGTTGCGCCCGAACGCGATGGAGAAGATGTTTCCGCCGAGCATGGGGGAGAGCGAGACGAAGCCCCAGTTCTCCGAGAAGTGCGCTAGGGGTTGACACAGCGTCAGCACGTCCCCCGCTGGGCTGTCGAGAAGGATTACTCACCCAAACCGAACCACTCGATGACGAGTGTCGGGAAGAGACCGAACAGGCCCCCATACGCAAACCCGAGGAGCGCGCTCGCCTTCCAAAGGTTGCTGATGCTCTCGATGGAGAAGGTCATCACTTGCGAGATGATGAACAACGTCGCCACAATGACCATGCAGTACGAGCGCGGAAGTCTCAGCTTGCCCTTCGTGAAGTCCGCGATTACACCTGCACGAATGTTAACCCCGAAATGAGCATACAGTGCATAGGCTACGAAGAGAAGGAGCAGACCTATGGTGATACGTCCGAGGCAGTTCATGATGCTCACGGTCGAGACTTGCGTGGCTTGCCACTGCGCGGCCTTTACCTCATCATAATCCGGATTGTTGTTCGCGAACAAGGCCTGCGAGATGGCACCGACGTTGTTGATGTCTAGCGCAGGTTAGCCGCAGGCCTTCCATATGATACGTTCGCATTGAGCAGACATACACATAATACCAGTGCCGCTCACTGTAATTGCAAAACAAATGGAGTCAGATCAGCCGAACTAGGACGTAAATATTCTTACATAAAGAGCAAATCGTGAACAAGAGCCAGAAGTCGGCGGTCTTAAAGAGACGCTTGCCATGGATGTTGCGTTGACCATCCTGGGCGATATCCACGCGACTCCGCGCGCTTCTCCGGGAAGTCGAACGTGCGCCGTGAGCACGGTGGCGAGCGAAGCCTTCCCGGGAAGGGCTCAGCGCAAGGGAGTCCACCTGACCAGGGACGACGTAGTCTGAAGGGAACTGTTCGTGCGCAGACGACGACACGAGGGGCTCTTCCTCTTCTAGTTCGATAGGCGGTTCCCGTACCTGCTCGTCTTCGTCCTCGTCGACGTCGCGCGCAAGGAGGTGCGTGTGGCTGGTATTGTCGTGAGAGTAGGTAGTGGGCGAATTGGTGCCTAGCACGCCCTCGCCCGCGCCGTAATCCGTAGGACTGTCTGTGCTCCCGTCTTCCAGCCTTCCAGTAGAATCGGCATGCGGCGGCGGGATTGGACGGATGAACAGGAACCCAAGGATCATAGGCAGTGAGGTGCCGATAGCGAGCACAAATAGGAACGACGATGTGTTTCCAGGGAAGAATGTGTGCGCAGCAGTGGAAAACAGAAACGCAGAGAGGCCGAACCCAGAGATCACAATTCCGTTGGCAGTGGCACGCTGCATAACAGACATATCTCAACACATGTACGAGGGTGATTAAAGCGAGCTCGTACCGTCTTGTCAGGGAAGCTCTTCGCGGTTGCATTCATCGCCCCGACCAGTCCGCCGTTACCGCCGACACCTGTGAGGAAGCCACAAAATACTAGGAGGCATAACGACAGAGTGCTGATCTCGCTGACGCCCTCCGGCAGGCCGTCTGTGTAGAACTGGCGAATCCCTAGATACCCTATGAGGAGCGCGAAGAATGCTATGATCATCGGTGCCCGAGGACCTCGTCGATCGACGAGTCCGCCCCATATTGGTGCCGTCCCATATACACCGACTAGTGTTGACGTTCAGCAATAGAAACGCAAGAAGTTATGAATGCAGGCGTACTATTTCCGGACAGGCCGATGATATTAATCTGGGTGTGCGTTAGCTGCAAACGCGCCCCAAGCTGCGGCCCATATGCTGTAGTTGAAGTCAGTCTCGGTTCAAAGACACATGTGTTTAGATGTAAGTCGGTAAGTCAAGCGGCATGGTACGAGACGCCCGCCTGCGGCGCCGGACGGACATCAATTGACAACGTTGCCCAGTACACAGCAACGCCAACACATGACACCAGTCTACGGGGGTTACGCTTCGTGTTGGCGCCTTTCGAGCGTGCTGCATACATGCCCATTCGAATGAAGATAAGCATATACACATACCTGAGAAGACCTGCGCAAGGTGTCAGGATTCATACGTCCTGCAGCACAGCAGTGGCACGCACATAGTTCGTTCCAGACGCCAGCGCTACAAGGATACTAGTCAAGAAGCTTGATATCCTCGGCCAGCTGAACATCGGAGGTGGGTGAACGGCATGCATAGTAGGCGGGCCGGAGGGAGTGTATGGGCTGAGTTTCTGATTTCGGGTTATCGCGAGGCCATGCGCAAGAGTTCGTGTATGAAGGGAGCAGAAGGCAAGCTGCGGACTAGTGGTGGTAAGAGAGAGAGAGATGTGGGCGCTGCATACCGCCCGCCCGCTGCAACGAGCGGGGGGAAACGAGCGGCCCCCGGCCCCCCGCATCGCCAACACCACGGTCACGTGTGCCTCCCCCAAAGATAGCGCGTCCAAGCCGAGCGGCAGCCCGCGGCCTCTCAGTTCACGCGTGCTCGGCCGGATAACCTCAGACGGCCAGTGCGGGATGATACGAATGCGATGCATACGATGAGAGCAGAACGAGATATAGCCAGAACAGGGGCGATAACGAGGACAGCAGGTTTGTTCTACAGACCATAGGGGAGGCGCAGGGGTAGTATGTATGGCAGCGTGACTACTATCTAGACACGGGTAACTAAGCTATGCTACACGGAGGCGAGGGCGAGGGCGAGGGCGAGGGCGAGGGCGAGGGCTATCGAGACAACGAGGCAAAGGGGGACGGTCACACTGCCAGCTACCAGAGGGATGGGGAGTATTGTACCATACGAATGTTTATAACGAGGCGCGCGTCCATAGGCCCACCTCACATTCCGAAGAATGTTCCGGAAGGCATATAGCGGCGGAGGGACGGGAAGCAGGACGAAGACAGAATAGCGGAGGAGGGATAGTGTGTGGGTACGACTAGCGTACGGGTGGATTAGAGCGCGAATAGGATGGTGGCGAGCACGGAGCCGACCAAGACGCTTGAGCCTCCAAGGCCCACAACGTGGTTAGCAGCGTTGGCCTGCGCGAGTATGTTGTCGGAGACAGCGACAGAGGGTATGACCTGGGGAGCTCATGTTAGCTAACGTCGAATCAAAATTTATCGTGAGGCTTACGGGGGAGACCGAGGAAGCAAGATCGGCAGACGCGGAGGATTCGGGGGTGGAGATGGCGCTGGTCGCAGTGGCAGCATCGGCGAGTTCGGCGGGCGTGTCGGAAGGGGAAGCCGGAGCCTCCGAAGAACTAGCGGGGGTTTCTTCAGCTTGACCTTGGTCGTCCGCCGGAACGACAGTGGGGGTGTCAACGGCGACTGGAACGTCGGGATTGGCAATGTCGCCGGCCGCGGAAGCGCTGCCATCAGACGCGGCAGCAACATCTCCGTCAGAGGCTTCAGCGCCGTCGGGGATCGCATCCAGCATGTAACGGGTCATGGGCAGGAGGAAGGCGGAAGCTGTATGTGGCAAATAGATCAGTCCTTGTATCTGACATTCGAGAAATGATGTACGCACCTTGAGGAGCCTCCATCGCCACAAATGCGAGGGCGGCGACACCGAAGACGAAGACAGAGCGGAAGAGATGCATGGTATGCGAGTGTGTGGAAAAGAGCGGTGGGGGGTGGGTGGAATAGATACGAATAGCTTAGAGACAGAAAGAGCGACGCGCGGGTCTTAACACTGTGAAGCGTAGACTGCGGGGAAGCCTCGAAGGAGAGGTAGTCGCTGGGGAGCTGTCAGGGTCCTAAGGGGACGCGCCGGTGAGCGGGCGGTACAGTACGAAAGAGCACTGGTTGCAGTTGGCAACGGGTGGAGACAGCCTTATAACACATCCCATGCATAGAGCCGGCCTACCTCTAAAGGTTCCGTCCTTGTAGTGGGTCAATGTCGCGCCCAGGTCAATTTTGGAGCGCAGGCGGGAGAGCCCCCCATGCCGAGCGTAGGATACTAACACTCTACCGCATCGGGCCATCGGTCAGCATCTCGACGAAGTCCGCAGTTCTATGGAGAGGGAAAGCAGCATCTGCGCCGAGAACGGCGGGCCGGCACATGTCCTTGTACTTTCGGGGGCGCGGGGAACATCAGAGAGCGCGGAGGTGGTCGTGGTTGCGGACCAAGAACAGTTTCGCCTTTTTGGGCAGATGATGTGGCTTTCCCACGGTGCGGACGCTCGCACGTTGTTCCCGTTTTGCAAAATAGTTTGTTCCTCCCCCTCCCCCCTTCTCGACATGTGTGGTTGCGATCTGGAAAATGGCGATTACCTCGCTCTGAGTGTGCTCGAGACGATGACTTCTAGTGTCTGTGATCTGTGTACCTGAGGGCAATCGCCCGCCGGCTTCTGGTCTCCTGGTCTCCTACTATGCCCGCGGGCAATGTAGTAAGGCGTCATGTTCTTCGCACATGCGCATCTTCCTGTTATTCGGTGCGGAAAAGGTGAGTATCAGTATCAGGAAGTATACCGGCGCATAGCAGAAGCGTCTACGCGAATACGCGTAAAGATAACTACAAGGTAGTGTGGGCCGGGTTCGCAAGAGGCCCGGATGCGTCAGCGAGCACAGCGTATCCAGGCCCCTTGTGAGGTTTTTTTTATAACGAGACGCCGCGCAGGCTGAGCCCACTCGGCATGCACAGAAATCTTACCATGGCTGGACTTTGCTGCAGACAGGAACAGAAACAGCGACTACGCTGTTTGCTCACACCGATGAAGTCCATCCTGAGCTTATGACGTCTCCTACTGCAGTAAGGGCAAACACCCATTCCGCCGTAACCTTGTTGATCCTCGACCGGGCGGGTCGGACATATGTCACCTCGCCGCTATGTATCCCGATAGCAAACCACTGGTGGCCATGCATACTGCTCGGGGTTTGGGTCTAGTCTACCACGGGCGATGATCATTGAGTCCCACCTATAGACATTTGCGTCGCTGATAAAGCCCGAGACGTTTATGCTCAGTTGCTCAGTAATCCTCACAAGGTCACAGTGAAGATTATACTCAAGACAGTGGACTTCAGCGCATGCTACTTACCGAGACCGACCTTAACGCCGAGTGCATGAGTAACGTCTAGATGAGTGGAGTCATACCAACCTCCAACCCGGCGCTGTATATAAAACACCTACCTCCAATGAAGAACAGGCAACATCAAACCCGCCTACACGTAAATCGCACGCAGCTCTCCCCCTGAAAATATGCCGACGTACGACATCTTTGCTATATCCACGCACCCCACTTCCGCCGACATCCGCAATTATCGACAGACGCGACTCACCGCTCTGGAGACGAACCCGAGCAGCTTCCTTTCGACCTACGAACAGGAGGTAGCTCTCCCTGCGGAGACGTGGAAGGAACGGCTGAGCGGCAGCGAGAAGGCCACCTTCGTTGCCCGCCCATCCACCTCATCGCAAAACACGACGGAGAGCGAACCTCTCGTCGGGATGGTGACCGTACTCCCCGCACGCACTTTTCCACTTCCGCTCCCGGTTGCCTGTACGGACCCCAGTGTCGCCTACCTCATCGTAGCAATGTGGATAGCTCCCGAGCACAGGCGGCGTGGACTCGGGCAGGACCTGTTACAGGCATCGCTGGCGTGGGCCGCGAAAGACGTTTTCCGGGACACATCTGGTGCGGGAGATCCGGAGAAGCAGGCTGAAGTCTTTCTGTTCCTCGCGTTGGACAATGCTAAAGGGCGGGGCTTATACGAGAAGTCAGGGTTTGATGCGGTTGCCGTTACGACCGCACCGGGTGGACGAGGGGAGATTCAATGGATGAGACGATGGGTGGATGCTTCGAACACCGGGAGGACCCCTACGGCGGCTGCCTAGCAGTATACACTTGTCCCGCTATAGCGACACCCCTCTCGTAACACGACGATTTAAACGAGTTATGCGGCTTGTTGAGTTGGTTATGTCAGAGATATTCATCGCAAGTTCAACTCAATTCGTCACATTCTACGAAACGCCTAGTCTCCCCTAGGCAGACGTACCGATGAGCAAGCTCAACGGACCGAAACGCCCGGTGCCCGTGGCTCGCATGACACAGGTAAGCGCTCGTTGAGGAGGCGCGCGCTGCCTGAGCGGCTACCAAAGGCCTCTTCCTCCCGACCATCAACTTTGTAAACCATCTGGTGCCACGCTGCAATGGATACTTTTAAAGCTCATCGTCTTTTGCGAGTCTTGCACAAGGATACTGATCATGGCCCTTTAGGAGGGAGGGTTCGGCACCGGTTCTCGTGCCACCGGCAACAGAACTTGAAAGCATCTTTCTCGTCAACGATGGCCATGCACAAGCTATGCCGGTAGAATTACTTGGTATAGTACACTCAGCGTCTCGAGGAGAATGTAAAAATGCAGTTTGTGGATCAACTGACCATGCATCTTTCAACAATATCTCCAGTGGCACCGAGACGAACAGGTGTATATAACCACGAGAGCATGAGTCGCTGAGCTGTCCATCCTCCAGGAAAACACGATCTACGCCATACCTTACTCCTTAAAAACTTACTGAGAAGAGCGACGGACCACAACATGCCGAATTCAACACCCTTCGGAGGACTTCTCCGAGTCGGAACCACTAAACTCGTCGGTCACAGTTTCGAAGCCACTGGTATGTGCTTTTGCCACTCCGTTTGGCTGGAAATTTTGACTCACGAACCTTGCGAACACTAGGCTCGTGATGCGGATTAGTCGAGCGCGTCGATGTTCACCGTCGCGTACGTCGATGGTCACGATCGAGTGCGTCGATGTTCACCATCGCGTGCGTCGATGGTCACCGTTGAGTGCGTCGATGGTCACCGTCGAGTGCGTCGATGGTCATCGACTGCAGCGTCCGGGGACCGCGAGGTACGTGCACCTTCTTCGTGTTTCTCGTAGACATGCTGATGTTGTTCCTGATCTTCAGCTGGGACTATCTAGCCCCTAGTCGCATCCGCAAATTGTGGAAAACTCCGCGATGCGTCGCGGCCTCGCTGTGCTTGGACGCGCCCCTCCATAACCTCACCAGCACTAACGCCCGCACTCGTATTGTCCAAAGGATCTGTCAAACAGAAGACATGTGAGTATGGTAGTCACCGCTGCTTTGGGACAAGTAAAACTGACTATCGCGTTGAAGGAGCCATTCACCGCAGGCTGCTTGTGCGATGCGAAACCCATGTATACTCTACCTGGAGTTATCGTCCCGGGGGTGCACCTGGGGTGCACGTACAAGTGCCGCGGGTGCGGGTACGTCTACAACCAGCGATTCGATAACTGGGGGTGTCGCCCGCCGGCGGAGGGGGTGCACGGGGCGGGGTGTCTCACGGCGAAGTTCTGGCGCGGCCAGATGAGCTCGCAGGATCTGGAGGAGGCGTTGACTGAGCAGGAGGAGAAAGGCGGTTCGTTGGCTGAGAGAGTGGAAGAGCCACACTTGGTACCAAAGAACAAAGACGAGTACGACTCGGCTCATGACGACCTCGAGATGCCATCGGACGCTGACGAGGATGGGTACTATGCTATGCAACGTCCAAGCTACCCTCCTTTCGCAAAACGGAATCTTTCCTAGCATTTTCAGGCAAGACCAGACCAGCATCGGCGTGGCAGCCCGCCGTCCCAAACAGTCCCAATCCGGGGCTCGCCGAGGAGTGAGTAGCGGACACATTGCCGGATTTTCACGACCTGACGCTAGTCCCAGGCTTTTGATCTTGGAAGAACAGCTATACAGGCAGTCTTGGGAGCTGCCACACACAGTCGACAAAGCGCTCGACGCTCAACTCCGAGTCGAGTATGTCTCTATCCCTCCCCTCGGTGTGATGTACTGTCTGACGTGCGGCAGTGTCCCTATGGACGTCGAAAGCCCGAGCTCATCAGAAGAGTCCTCGTCGGACTCGTCGGCAGCCCCAGACTCCTCGGAGTCTGACTTCGCCCGCGCCCGGCCCCGTCGGCGCATGCCAGCGCGCCCCCGTCCCGCCCGCCGCAATCACGCGGACAAAGAGAATGCGTCCTCCCCCGCACGGCGACCGCGCGCCCGCGCGAGCTCCGTGGTGTCCTACGCTAAGGAGTCCTCCGAGTCGGAGTCGGACGACTCTGACTATGTCCCGTCTGGATCCGCTGCCCGGGTAAAGAAGGGGAAGGGGAAAGGACGTGCCCGTGCTCCCGCCCGCGCTCCGACGCGCCCCGCGCTTGTGGAAGCAACCAACGTGCACGCTCACGAACCTGCGAGTTCAGAGAGGCCGGTGCACTACTACGGGCTATACTCGGACGAGGAGGCCTCGGAGACTTCAAGCCAGTAGACGGGGCAGGTGGGTCTCGCCGGCTTCGCTGCATAATGCAGGGCCGCAGTGCGCGAACAAAGATAATTACCCCTCACCAGTACGGCAACCGTCGCGCGCCAACTTGCAAATCCCCATAGCTACGGCGTGGAGAAGGAGGACTTCGTGCAGGTATGTCTCTTTGTATTGATATGATAGTCAGAAGCTCACGTTGTCCCGCAGCACTATTCTACCGTGGTGGTGGCGTCGTCAGACGCCCGGTGCATGAGCTGAGCATCCCCTGATCGCCGCGCAGTAGGTAGTGCAGTCTCCACGAGCTGGGCCGCCGCTCACCTTCGGTAAGTCTACATTCAGTGAGTGTTCTCGATTAGTACTCCGGCTGACGTACTGTACCAACTGGTCAGTGTAACAGGGCATCAATGCGGCGTCCCTGAGGATGTCTCTCGATCACGATGCCATTGCATGTAGCTCGGGCGGCCCGCCGCTATTTCCAGTACAACACCATAAACTTAGCAACTGTTGTACATTAGCCTTTTACATGTCGAAATACACCGAAACATCACCACATAACACTGTAACAGCGCCTATAAATGCCTAAGTTACTGCAGTGATCATAGACTCGGAGTGACGTTCGTTAACATCTCTTATGGGGAAAGCTCAGAACACCTGAGTCTGAATGTTGAATGCTCTCGGAGCTGTGACTGGTGTTGACAATTGAAAGAAATATCCGATTTATGTGGAATGCAGAGGAGTGTCTGGTCATTGCTCTAGAGTCGGCGTGATGATGGAGTTGTTTGCGCCAGTCCGCGGGGGGAGTGTGTAGGGTTTCACAGGCGTCACTTGGCTCACCGCATCGATCTCTCCTAGTACAGAACGGCATCCAATATCGATGTTTATGGTGATTTTATTGTGCATCGTTTAAGTACGTTGTGGTCAAGTTGTGGCAGAGTGTATGCCCTTGCAAGAAAGTTCGGACACCAACCTGATTGCCTTTCTGGTCTGGACACTTACCAAAAGAGGAAGGAGACTGGGACAGAGTCCGGTAAATACCGGTGAACCTTCAGGGCGTCGACGGCGCCGTTCAGCAGGACGTTCGACCGCTTTTCTTGCTCCTGTACACCATCTGGCTAGACGACACTCAGCACGCCCGAATATTCGCTGTTCTCTCAGCTTCACCTCCGCAGCGAATGACACCCTATTTGCATCGGGACTACATGTCGCAAATCCAATACGAACTTGTTGCATCTGGCCGGTATGTCGACCTTCCTGGAAATCGATGGACGAAGAGAACGGAATGAGGATGAGGGGACGACATGCAGCACCGGTTTGGGCAGATAAGCGAGAAAAGACTTGGTGGGAACACGAGGGCATACGTGAGTACCTCTCAGACAGGCTTGGTGCCCGCCGGGGTATTGTCGCAAGCAAGCACCAATGTTCGTGAGGCCGTGCTAAATACAATGGCTCATGCAGCCGGAACGCAGCGTACTGGAGGAGGAGGAGCGGTCGTCCCGGCGCGACGAGAGCTGCAGGCTGATGGGCATCGCCACTGATGCCAAACACGCACAAACATACCTGGCTGGGCGTTTACCGCTCTTCGAGACAAACGACGACGTTGTTCTGTCCACTCTCGCTCACTGCTCGTCCTCGGTTCTTCTCTCTGCTGTTTGGAAAGGTTATCAGAATCCCTAGGGCACTCGGAACTTGCGTACGCGGACACAGAAGGACGACACGAATGCTGTGGAAGTTGTGACTGCACAACTTCGAGCTCTCTAATCTTCCATGAACCCGCCGTACATACCTCCGGGCAATCAATTCGTCTTCCCGCCGCAATACGATTACGCCCAGCCCGTCCAGCCGCCCCCTCAACCTCCCCAGGATCCCTTCCTTCCCCAAGACTACCCTCCTCAGTTTCCCGCATACTCCCAAGAGCCCCAGTTCAACGGATACATCGGCATAGCTCCTGGTCCGCCACCGTACCCCCAGCCCGAAGGTCTCCCCTCCCCGACTACTCTGCGCATCAAATTACCTGCCATGGCCCCTTCCACTCGCCGCACATCTCGTCATCAACCCAGTAGTCCTACTGCGTCCGGCTCCGAATATCACGAGAGCGATAAATCAATGGAGGTGGAGGACAACCAGCCTCCAGAAGAAGAGCCTGAAGAGCCTAAGGAATTTGTGGTGTCCTCCCGTGGTCGACGTATCACGAAGAAGTCATACATGGAATCCGCCAGCGAGGAGGATCCTATAGACGTCATCTCTCCAAAAGGCAAGGCCAAGCAGGTCGCCGTCCCGGACGCAGAGGACGAGGAAGATGAAGAACCCACCGGTCGCTACGCTCTTCGTCGGCACAACACTCGCGGCGTCTCAAGCAAACTCAATGGGTTCATTGTCAGTGACGAAGAGGACGGTGCAGCGAAAGTGGGCCGGTATCCGACGCGCAACCGAAGCAAGAATGCCCCTCCCAGTAATGGCAATTCGAATGGCGGTGGCCGTATCACGCGGCGGTCAAATGGCCGGTCTCAGCCTCAAGCGTCCGGTTCTCAGAAGAAGCGGATGTCGACGCGACGCACGCGCTCTAGTGCTCACGACGACGAAGACGAGGAGGGCTATGTTGACGAACCATCCTCCGGCTCCGCAGATGGCGACGGTTCTGTCGATGACGCTCCCGCCACGTCTCCAGAGCCCGAGGTCGACGCAGATGCTGATGGTGAGGGAGATGCCGACGGTGACGGGGAAGCCGAAACCGACGGTAAGCCCTACTCGCTGCGACAGAGGACGAAGATCAACTACGCCATCCCACCACCGCTCGAGGAGATGCGGGCTCCACCACCAAAGCCTCGTCCTGGTGCTTCTCGTGGCCACCGCGGTCACGGCAGACCAAAGCCTCCCGGATGGAGCGCGACGGGTGCGGAACTGAGCAGATGGATGGGTGCGGCGGCCGATGACTCTGTACGTCCTACTTCCATTCTCCATTTGACACCTCTGACATTTGCCATAGGATTCCGACCACGCCACTCGAACTCCCCGAAAGCCGTTCGGCGGCCTCGCTGGCGCCGGCGGCGCGGGTGCCTTCGCTGGTGCCGGAAACGCGGGTGGTTTCTTGCCTAGTGATCTTGCTGCAGCGGCAGGGACCCCATCCAACCTAGGCAAGGTTGGAGACGCTGGTAAGTCTCTCCTCAACCCTTCCGTGGATGTGTCTTGATTATTGTGCCAGTCCTTGCGGATGCGGATCCCCTGGGTGTAAACCAAAACGTTACTTTTGATGAGGTTGGCGGCCTGGATGATCGTATGTGCACTTCCTACCCTACTACAAGACGCCTTCGTGTTAACATATCCTGTATGAAGACATCAACTTGCTGAAGGAAATGACTCTCCTACCCCTCTTATATCCGGAAGTCTTCCAGCGGTTCGACGTTACACCACCCCGTGGTGTTCTCTTCCATGGCCCTCCTGGGACTGGTAAAACCCTCCTGGCTCGTGCGCTTGCTGCCAGCTGCCGATCAAATGGCAAGGGAATCTGTAAGTCACCACATTTTCGCGGTCTAACCACATCGGCTAATTGGCTACGAAGCCTTCTTCATGCGCAAGGGCGCTGACTGTCTTTCGAAATGGGTTGGCGAAGCTGAACGTCAGCTCCGTCTTCTCTTCGAGGAGGCACGGAACCAGCAACCCAGCATAATCTTCTTCGACGAGATTGACGGTCTTGCACCCGTCCGGTCATCAAAGCAGGATCAGATTCATGCCTCGATCGTGTCGACCCTGCTCGCCCTCATGGACGGTATGGACGGCCGCGGCCAAGTCATCGTGATCGGTGCCACCAATCGCCCCGACGCGATCGACCCCGCCCTCCGACGACCTGGACGGTTCGATCGGGAGTTCTACTTCCCGCTTCCTGGTCTTGAGGCGAGGCAACGCATCCTCCGCATCATGACGCAGAAGTGGGCCGGCTGGGAGGGTGAGAAGGGCGAAGAGCACGTTAAGGGCCTGGCGAAGTTGACGAAGGGTTACGGCGGTGCCGATCTTAGGGTAAGCATCCTCTACGATCACGCCTCATACAATACACATCTGAACATGTCCAATCTAGGCACTTTGTACGGAGGCAGCCCTGAACGCTGTCCAGCGGCGGTACCCACAGATCTACAAGTCGAATGAGCGGCTCACGCTGAAGCCCGAGACGATCGAGGCGGAGCTTCGAGATTTCATGATCTCCATCAAGAGTGCGTCCCTGTCGATCGTCAATTATGCTTCCGTTCATGGGCGCTTACAAGTATGATTTGCAGAGCTTGTGCCCTCATCGGCCCGCTCAGTGTCATCGACTGCGTCTCCGCTGCCGACGCAGCTGGTCCCCCTGCTGCAGGAACCGCTGGAGAAGATCAAAGAGGTCATCAACAAAGTCCTGCCGGTCAGCAAGAAGCGCACCGCACTTGAAGAAGCGGAATGGGAGGATGAGGGGTCGGAGAATGCTCTCGAGCGCGAGATCATGCTGCAATGTATGTCCTTCCTTCTCAATACACGTCGGCTGCTGCTGAGTAGCTTGCGCAGCGATGGAGACTCTGCGCATATATCGACCCAGAGTCGTGCTGCACGGTCCCGTGGGCATGGGTCAAGGCTACGTTGCCGCGGCTGCCCTACATCATCTCGAGGGATACCACATCCAGAGCTTGGATCTGGGCTCACTAATGAGTGACTCAGCGAGGGTATGTTCGCAATAATCCTTTCTGCTCTGCGTCCCTGACGCAAATGTCTGCAGACACCAGAGGCTGCGATCGTCCAGCTGTTCGTGGAAGCCAAGCGTCATCAACCTGCTGTGCTCTACATACCCTCATTAGTAGGCTGGTGTGCTGCCGTCACGGAGTCCGCTCGAACGACCGTGCGCGCAATGCTCGATTCGTTGGCGCCAACCGACCCCGTGCTGCTTCTCGCCGTCGCTGACGGTCCGTTCTCCCAACTTCCCAAGGACGTGCGGCAATGGTTTGGGCCTACACGGGAGAATCGCGTCGGATTGGCGGCCCCACCCGCGTCGCAAAGAGAGGCGTTTTTCGAGGGCCTTTTGAGCGACGTACGGCGCCCTCCAAATCACTTCCCGGATGGTATCAAGCGCAAGAAGCGCGTGCTCGAGGAGCTGCCTGTCGCTCCTCCTCTCGAGCCGCGTCAGCCCTCGGCCGCCGAGCTTGCAGTACAAGAGGAGAGCGATCAGCGTGTCGTCACGCTGCTTAAGTATCGCCTTGGGCCTATCCTCTCCGAGCTCAAGAGGAAGTTCAAGCGGTTTACGAAGCGTGCGATGGTAAGTTTGCGGCACAATGCGTGACGACCTCGAGCTAAGCCGATGTCGTGTAGGAGGAATACAACTACGACTTCGATGCACCGCCTCCACAAGTCGAGATCGTCTCATCCACGATCGAGGTCCACACGGCGCCTAACGGTGTCACCGAGGTCGTGAACGAGACCCGGACGCAACAGGTCATCGAGCAGCCCATCGACAACCAGGCCCAACAGCAGCTCGCGTTCCCTCCATCACCGCCTCTCTTCGATATGGACCTCGAGCGTATGAACGTGGAGCTGTACAAGAGTCGGTACCTCACCCCCGACGACTTCCTGGATGACATCCGCAAGATCGTCCACAATGCTAACGTCCGGATCAACGAGGATCCCGAGCGATTGTTCAGGGCCCAAGCGATGCTTACCGCGGCCGAGGTCAGCATTCAGGACTTCGACCCGCAGTTCCGGATGGAGTGCCAGCGCATGGCCGTCCGGGAGCGGCGGCGGCGCGACGACTACCGGCGCGAGAAGGAGAAAGAGAAGGGGAAGGCGGCCGAGCTACCGAACGGCCAGACCTACGCCCCGGGCACGCGTCGTAGTGCGCGTCACAATGGTCAAGAACCAGATGTCCAGTACCACGACGACCCAACGCAGATCGAGCGCAGGGGAAAGCGACAGCGTTCGAATGAGGCTCCGGCAACGCCGTCGGGAGATGAAGCCGGCGAGCGTGCGGCGAAGAAGTCGCGCACAGACGGCGAGGAGGGCGAGGAGCCTCGCAGCGCTACGGCCGGTCCCCATTCTCCCACCAGCAATGGCCGCTCGATGAGCGTGCGATTCGCGGACGAGGTCGAGCAACCCAGCATGTTACCTCAGATTGAGGGCCTGGCTGCAATAGAGGAGGAACCTTCTGCGGATCAGTCAAACGAGCCGCGCAGAGCCGGATTCGATCCTGCCCTCTTGAACCCGTTGCCGTCACCCACAGACCTGCGGGCTAATGGCCCCATCGACCCTCCCGACAACCCCTTCACCCCGTCCCGGGCGAGAGCCTCCGAGCAACCCGGCTCGCGTCACGGATCTGCGCCTCCTATCAATGGTCTGCCTACGAATGCGGGCGTCATCTTCGACCACGACCAGGCCATGGAGACCTCGCAGGCGGCAGAGGCGCTCATGGCTATGAGCGAAGCGCCAGAGCTACCTCGAGTTGAACCGTCTGAGCTGCAGCCCATGGAGGTGGAGGTGGCGGAGGGGGTGGAAATGGTGGTGGAGCGCAGCCCTACGCCGCTTCCTGATTTCCATCTGGACGAGGACCTCCTGGACGACCTCAAGTCGTACCTCCGCGATGCCACGAGCGCGCTCAACGTCGAGCAGCTCGAGCAGCTCCGCGCGACGTGTCTCGGCCTCGTCTGGCGACACCGTTCGGACTGGGATCGGACTAGCCTGCTGCACGAGCTGAAGAGCACCGCGCGCGAGTTTGTCGAGGAGGTTTCGTTGGACGAGATGGACGCGAGTTCCCCGTGAGTTTGTTCGGAGTGCGATTTTCGACATGTGGGGTTCCGGCGGGACGTTTGTAGATTATCAGCTTGTTATAGTAGCGGTGTTCGTGTATTGCCAGTGTCTTTATATATCTCTATTGCTTTTACGGTACCTGATGAATCCCTACTTCGCATCCTCGCGTCCTTTAGCTAGCAGAAGTTGGGGTCATTCCGCGTATGTTTTCGACAGTCACATAGAGCTCAAAATGGAATGCTTTAGGCGCCGAAAACTCGACCTCTGTGCGCCGACATTTAAACTTACCGCGGCGGTTATTGAAATAACGTATGTATGGTATACTTTATTCTTGCGCCTGCATGTGTGGCTGTGAACAAAGCTGCTGGACGAACGAGTAGCTCGCTCTACTACGTCCACGGCCCAACGTTTATGCAGAAGCAAGTCGTTTTCCATAGTACTGACCATATTTCTGGGCTTGTAGCGGCCCGGGACAATATTACTGTAGACGCCTGTGAAGCGCGAAATTCGCCGGCAGTCATGTCCACCGTTGAGAGGAGCCCTTTATATGTTCGTTGAGGCCAACGACATGCCAAAAATCACGCTTGCAGATCCCCAGGTATCGAAAATTTAGCGTTACTAAAGGGGGTCCACCTATCGACATAAGCCCTCTGGGGACCCCCTCCCCTTACCCGGGGTCTCGGCATCTCCCGGTGAGTGCCTCTTGACGAGACAGTACGAGTTGCAGTCTTTACTCCTCCCTCGACCACACACACCGCTCTGGTTCTCCACCACCGGCATTTCAACGTGTCGCGATGAACGTGGGTATGGGCGCTGCTTCACGGGTCGTACGGTACGTCGCACTGCGTCACAAGAGGCTTGGGTCATGCCATGACACATAATGTGCAGCTGTGTAGCTAGTACCAGCAAGCAAGCCGGGACAACACACCAGGTTCACCCATGGGTACCCTCTACGCGCATTCGCTCGCTGTCTACCCCAGCTCGCGACGCTCCACCCCATACACGCGACCCTCCGCCTCACGCCTCGCGTGCGTCCGCGCCTCGGGCGCAACCCAGCAAGTCTCGCGCCCTGCAGGAACAGAGAATTAGCACGCCTCCACCTCCGGACGAGAAAAAGGGTTCGCGGGAGCACCGCAAGCCGCGTAATGAGGAGATCAAGAACCCGGTGGTGCGCCTCGTGAACCCAGAGACGGGCGCGCTCAACCCGCCCGCGTCCCTGCGCGTCATCCTCGCGGGCATGAACCCGAAGACGCACTTCCTCGAGCTCATGACGACCGAGCCAGAGCCGATCGTGAAGATGCACGACCGCAAGCTGCTGTACGACCGCGAGAAGACGAAGAAGCGGGTGCACGCGAGCAAGAAGCCGCCCGAGGAGAAGGAGGTGCAGCTCACCTGGGGCGTCGGCGCGGCGGACATGGAGTTCAAGCTGAAGAAGGTGCGCGCGGACCTCGCGGACGGGCACCGCGTCAACCTCGTCTTCGCGCCGAAGAAGGGGCAGGTGCTCCCGAGCCCCGCGCAGCAGGAGAAGATGATCGCGGAGGCGTTGGCGTTCCTGGAGGAGGTCGGGAAGGAGTACAAGGAGCGCACGGTGCACAAGCAGGCGGTAGCGGTGTTCTTGGAGTCGCTGCGCCGGAAGAGGACCGTGGACCTGAAGTGGGTGGATAGTGACGGCGCGTCTTGGGAGGGCCTCAAGTCCATCGAGTCCGCATTGCGGGGCGGCGAGCGCGTGGAGGCGGTCTTCATCCTTCCACCGCCACCGAAGAAAGAGAAGAACAGGTCGTCCGACAAGCTAGACAGAGGGGTGGACCCCGCGCTAGTTCAGGAGAAGGTCGAGCGGACACTGCAAAGCCTTGCTGGAGTGGGGAGGGAGTGGAAGCCGAGAGATGCTAGAAAAGGTATCATCGTCGCACATTTAGAGCCGCCGCCGCCGCCAGCCCCGGAAGACATATCTACGTAGCGTTGACATAGTTAGACCTATAATCTAAAGCTTGCTTATTATCAACTGAACGACAATGACTGTGAATCAACTGTTCTGCATTAACCGTACTGTTATATACGTTGGAGGAATTACATGCGCCTATGTTACAGTGTCTACCGTGTTGAGTCCTTTCGCCGATTTCCGCGTACGCCTCACAGTCCTCCGTCCTATAGGCAAGCCTCGTGTCTTGAAGGTAGGAATGCTGAAGGGCTGGGAGCAGTGTCTTCGGAGCCTCGGGAACGCATAGGGATAGCAGACCAGTGTCTTCCGCGACCATCTCGCATCCCAGTTATCCGTCTTCGCTGTCCCTTTCAACAGAGGGCGGTAGCCTAGGGGCACATCGAAGCCAGAGGTCACCATCCACTTCGCGAGCTTTTGCAGCGTCGCCGACGCCTTCGGAGCAGTACCCGAGTGCTGCCGCGTCCTGTCGAGCCGCAACTGACGTTCCCAGTGAGCGCGAGAACGGCGGCGGTTGTCCGTACGTTTGGGGCGAGGTGCGAAGAGCGCGAGCGCGGCGTTGAAGAATCGCGCGTCTGGCTTGATCTTGTACGCCTCCCGCGACATCTTCCTCGTGCGTCCCGGATTAACGGCCTTGTTGCGGACTAGCCCCTCGAGCACCGCCCGCCCGCCCGACGTCATCGAGCGATACAGCAGCTTCGCGTTCCGCCGCGACTGCTGCGGCCTCGTGAGCGTGCGCGGTCGGCGGTCCTGCTCGCTCATCATCTGCACGAAGAGCGCGTAGCCGTGCCGCTGGTTCTGGTGCGTGAGCGCGTGCACGCGCCCCTCGCTCTCCTGCAGCAGCTCTGCGCCCACATGATGCGGGGCGCGCTTGCGGCCTCGCGCGGCCTTCGCGTAGGCTTGCATCATCGCGGTGTACGCGTGCACGGAGAGCCGCCACGGATCGACGTCCGGGACGAGCCCGGTGTGGCTGGCACGCTCCGCGCGCTGGGCGAGGATGAGCACGCGCTCCGCAAGCCCGACGTCGCCGGCCTTCGCGAGTGCGTTGATGAGGCTCGCGTACACGTACGGCCCATGGGCGACCGCACGCTGGAGGGCCTTCGTGCGGTCGAACCGCTGTGGAATGCGCTCGGGGAATTCGGAGGCCCGCGCGGGGTGACGGATGAGGTGAAGCTCGGGGAGGACCTTGAATAGCATCTTGGTTATTGCCTCAGGCTGCCCGGTCGACGTCAAGTGGGTCACGAAGCTTGAAAGCGTGTACTGGTCGGATGCTATCTTCCGGGTGGGGTTGCGAACGCTCTCCGGTAAGGTCAAAGTCTTCATCTGGAGTCGCTGCAAAGTGCGGTCGAGGCTGGGCGCGTTACGCGTTATCACTCTTTCCCCTTCGGACGACGCCGTCCGCTCGCTGCCGTCCGCAGACTTCGAAGGTGCCGCCGCGTCCAGTGCCTTGACTCTGTCAGCCTCGAGTTGGCCGAACATAGTTTGAAGCGTCCCGTCTTTCGTTGTATTGCGCAACACCGTGAGTACAGCTTCGCTGATTGACATGTTCCGCAGGAGCGTTCCCGAACGCAGCAAGATGTTGTACGTGACAAGGTCCGGAGCAAAGGGCGGTTCGCGAACAACACACATGTGCTGGAGCACGGTCGACGCCATCTCCGGGGAGAGACGGTGTCGTAGTGCATACGAGAGCAGCGAGTTGTACGCTTTCCTAGACAGCTCCGGGGTAGGACGCGTAGGGTGACCCGTCCCCAAGGCGCAGATGAGTCGCTTGAGCACCCCGTGGATATACGTGTACGCTCCTACGCGCACAGGTTTGCCGTCTCGCAATATCCAGACACGCGCTGAGGTCTTGGGACACTGGTACAAAGCGGCGATGAGGGAGGCCACACGGGGGTGTCCAATCTGGCCGGTGTCCAGGAGCATCGCGAAGATGGCGAGGCTTTGCAAGTACTGGGAAGTAGGCGAATCCGACTCCAACTCGTTTTTCGCAGCGATAGCATCTACGATCATGCGCATGATTTGAGGGTTGGGAAACGGCATATCGACCAGAGCAGCGCGCGAAGGAAGGGATTGACGGAGGGTGTCGTGGGTGATGTAATTGGGTCCGCCGCGGTCGTCGTTGTCAATGACCTCCCGCTTCCGCAGCTCGAAGTCCTTCAACAGCAGCACGAAGAGCAATGAAGCAACCAGGATTTCCCCTTGCATGAGAAGTGTCCCGATCAGGACTTTGTACATCCGTTCCGTCCGTCGTTGGCCAAAGATGCGAGCCTCCTGCAGTAGAGTGAGGGCAGCGCGGGCGCACTTGTCTGTTACCCGGTCACTCCGCAACTGCATCGCTGAAGGATGGTCGATAGCGGGCTTCCGGGGAATGATGCGCGCAAATGGTCCAAACTTGGGCAAGCTAGAGGGAGAAGCAACCAGAGAGGAGACGACGGACTCAAGCGTGCTGGAGCGGATTGGGATGCCAGCACGTAGCATAAGTCGAGCATAGGTCTCAGCCTTCTTGGCGTATCCCGCGCGTATAAGGCCGTGTAGGAAGGAGTGTGCCGAAAGACGAGGAGAGACGGCACAGCCGAATTGGATAGGTTGGAGACGGGATGCGCGCTGGGCGCTGGCGTCGAGGGGGCCTTGCAGAACGGAGTGGCAGGCAGAGTTGACCACGTACAACGCATCTCCATAGTTCCCCTCTTGAACCGAGAGGCGAACCGCCTGCGCGGCGGCACGCGAGATCTGGGCAGCGGAAAGTCCTGCAGAGGTCTCGCGGATGGAAGTGGTAACACCGTCAGGTTCGGAAGGTTTAGTGTCGCCTTGTAGTGTAGAGGGGGTAGCAGAAGTAGCAAGACCTCGAAACCCCCGTAGGTGAGGAAGAAGTCCTGTGGGCGGGATTGTGTAGCGACCCACACGCGGGGTCAACTGCGTGATCCTCGCGCAAGAGCGAAAGGAGGTTTTGGCTGGGTAGTTCCGCAGAAGGAAGCTGGCCGTCTTCGACCAGTTACATTGCATGTGTCTCGCATACTGCGACGACTATTAACGAATTAGTAGCAGCAGCAGGACAAATCGTGCTCACCAGGGCAGCCTGTGAGCTCCGGGACAAGGACCCTTTCTCCACGAGAAGGCCTCTTGGGAGCTGACAGGCGTTACCGACAAGAAGTGGGTCGTGCCGATGGTGAGACGGTCGTGCACGATGGCGAGACGGTCGTGCCCGACGAGACCCGACCTCGAGCAGGTCTCGCTAGTGTTCAGGGCAAAATGCTATTTCGGCGCGGGCAACTCCCCAGCGGCATTTGCCATTCCGTCATATTCCACCTGTTTAGTTATATTACCAAACTTATGGTAAATAAACTTTGATTGGGTCTCAATATGTCCTGATATGGTGCCCGGCGACAAAATCGACATCGAAAACGGTCTCACAGGCGATGACGACCTGCTCTCACTGGTTCACATCCAGCCAACAGCAGAATCCAGTCTTTTGTCACCGTCGTCCCTGCAGAGGTCCTCTGTCGTTGGCTCTGGAGTAACTCGTGCTGCTACTACCGTCCAAGACATCGTTTTCTTCAAACTCGGCGTGATATTCAACCATGAGCCATCACAGGCGCAGGCCGCACCCTCGAGGTAAGACCAGAGCTTCGTGGTAGCCCGTACGCGAGCACTAAGCACTACCCGATTAGAGGACTATGGACGCGACACGTATGAAACGCCAGACCAAAAGTTGAGGAAGAACATCATACACTTCGGCGAAGTGGTACGTCTTCTACCTGTATCTCTCTGCCCACATAACCAGAACCTCTCCTTCCAGGATCCTGAGCAGGAAATACCTCGTCTGGCTACCCAAATCTTTGACCACACACCTGCTAACGTTCCCGCCGTTACCGAGGGCTTCCGGATAGGGTGAGTAGGCCTCTTTCCTAAACTCAGCATGCCACTGACCTACCCCAGTGTCACGGAGCAGCCATTCAAAATCCCCTATTATGCTGCATTAATGCGTCTTCTACACGATCGTCCAGTTGCCGACGCTGCTCCTGGGAGCCCGTCCCTTGGCAAGCAAGTGCTCGATGACTTCTGGAAAGGCTTCCAGGCTTTCCTGGACAAGCAGGCATGGAGGGAAACGCGGCTATGTGTACGTAGTTGTGTGCTCTTCTACCTTGCTTCAGCTCATTCCCCTCATCAGGTTCAATTCTTCGCGCACTTAACTGTGGCGCGAGTGATATCCGTGCAGTCTATGTATGAGCTCCTGAAGTCATTCACGGCGGTGTTGGATGAGTTCGGTGTGTCTCATGGGCGTGCTGCGAAGGCAGGACTCTGCGCTGCAGAAGGGCTGATGATTGTAAGTGTGTCTTCTAGTCGAGTCTGAGTCTGGTGCTAACTGTCTCGTAGTCAGGACCTGTGGTTAAGCAAGATGCTTCATTAGACACCACAGAAATCATCACCGCGCTGCAGACTTACATCGAGTCAACCAATGATGCGAAGACATTGGTGCAGCCCGCAATACAGCTCTTCACTGACACTCCTGTTTTGGAGCATGCGGAAGAGGTATTTCAACGCCACTCTAATATGTTTGCGCTTCTCACGGTCGCCTTTACAGTGGCTTGATTGTGCGCTTGCAGCCTTGAAAACGCTCAATGGCTCTGATTTTGCGCAGACCGCGGATAGCTACCCACAACCGTATATGGTGTCACCACCTTGGACTGAGGAACCCTTCAACTTGCCTGGAGTTCTGGTGCCGCCAGAGGTCATCGAGCTTGACGGGCTTACGACAGAGTCGGGCGAAGATGCGCAGCCCAAAAAAGAGGAATGGCCACAAGGCTACGTCCGTCTCTTTGAGAACGACGTTAGTCTACACAACACTTTGTTTGTTGAAACCACTTACGTGTTTTCCAGGTCACTCCGGACCCCACGACGCCTGTCGGCTTTGCCATCCGTTCAACCCTGCTCGACATAGTCGATATATTCGAGGTCAACCGCAAGGATTGTGCGCGCCTCCTTCTGGAGTTCCCAAAGTGGACTCCACCAGGTACCTTCAAGCCCCGGCCCGGTGCGCCACCACAGTCCCCGAAAGAGGGCAAAGACTGGCAGCTTGAGAGCACTATCCTCGAAGTGAGTTGAACGATCTGTGTTGAGCTACATCAGCGATATTAAGTTACCTCCCACAGACTATTCTCGGCGCTACATTCATGCTCCCTGAATCGACATACAAATCTATCTACTACATAGCTCTGATCACCGAACTGTGCAAGTCCTCTCCTACTACTGTTGGCCCAGCCGTTGGCAAGTCCATCCGCCGGCTATATGCGCTACTTGCCGACGGTTTGGATGTGGAAGTATCCCATCGGTTTGCCGAATGGTTTGCTGTCCACATGAGTAACTTCGGATTCCAATGGGTATGGAAAGAATGGTATGTAATAACTTATCCCCACCCGCCGCATCATCGGCTGACCCAGGCCGACGTGCAGGATCCCCGACTTGACACTCGTCTCCCAACATCCGAAGAGGACGTTCATGCGCCGTGCCGTTGAGTTCGAAATCCGACTCTCCTACCATGACCGTATCATGCGCATACTCCCCGAGCCGATGAGGGAGGCGGACGCCCATGTTATATCTGTTGAGGCCCCAGGTCCTGACTACATTTACGACGACCCTAGTAAGCCGTTCCCCCTCGCGATCCGCAAAAAGTGCTATCTAACGTCTTATAGCCAACCCACACCACGAGTCTGCCCAGGCGCTCCTCACTCTCATCCGCGGCCGCGCGAAGCCCGACGATGTCATGGCGCACCTCGAGACGCTCCGCAACAGCCTGATGGAGACGACAGCACAAGATGCGAACACCATCGTGCGCTCGCTCACCGTGCAGTCGCTGCTGCACATCGGCTCGCGCTCGTTCTCGCACTTCCTCAACGCGATCGAGCGCTACCTCCCGCTTCTCCGCAACCTCGCCGCGGGCCAGATCTCGTCCGGGGGCAACGCGAGCGCGGAGGCGCGCACGGACATCATGAACACCGTCGCCGCGTTCTGGAAGAACAGCCGGCACATGATCCTCATCGTGTTCGACAAGCTCATGCAGTACCAGATCGTCGACCCGACGGACGTCGTCGCGTGGACGTTCACGCATTGGGCGGCTGTCCTCGAGGGCACGCCCAAGGCGACGTTCAATGCGTTCCAGTGGGACTTGTTGAAGGCGGCGCTGGACAAGGCGAACGGTCGTGTGATGGTGCAGAGGCGCAAGGTGGCGGTGCTGAGGAAGGAGGCTGACGACAATGCTGCGAAGGCCATTGCTGGCGAGAGCGCAGCGATGGAGGTTGATGCGGAAGCGAGGCCAGGTAAGCGGATATGAAGTCGCCTTGCGAACGATTACATGCTCATCACTTCTGTAGACGTTATTCCTGTGGGAGAGTCTCCTCAGCTCACGTCTGCGATCAAGGCGTTCACGGTCCTCACTCGTGAGCAGAAGTCTGCTCTCGCTCGGACGCTCGACGGCTTCGTCGACTGTCTCGCCGTCGAGACCGCCAGCGAGAAGGTGCGCGAGGTCATCACTGAGCACGCCTGGCACAACCGCGCGAACTGGGAGGACGACGACTGGGAGATCTGGGAAACCTGGGGCTGGTACCGCCACTGGGGCCGGACGGTGGGCGCTCTCCCCTTTCATTCGCCTTCTGTGTCTTCGAATACTGACTGGTTTGGATCTCAGTACTCCCCGTACCTGCGCAACTACATGAACACCATCGGCACGGTCGCGTTCGCAAAGGTTCCGAGCAAGGCGGACCCGGCGGTGGAACTGTTCCGGAAGACATGGAACATCGCCACGGGCCAGGAGGTGTGAGTGCCGTTCTACGCAGTCGTAGCCTACCCACCCCGTTCTACCTACCTTCCCGTCTACCGTACCCTTGCTACCTTCGCGCCCCTTCCTGTTCCCGCTTTTTCGTGTGCACGCGCTCGATTCTATAGTAATCGTCGTTCTTCCCCCGCTATGCATGCCTGGAACCCGCTGCCCGTGCCGAATGCATCCCTGTGCCGATACGTCGCCCGTATGCGATCAGGTGGACGCTGTTCCCGCTCGCGATCGAGCTCGCAATGCCCACATCCTTCCACACTCACTTCCCGCTTGACAACGCCCTCGGCCTGTTCGTCTCCATGTTGCCGTTCCAGTGGTAACTGGCGTCCGTGTGCGCCGGCAGCGGACAACAATCCACAACGCCACCCATCATCCAGCGCGCCTCCCTCCGATTGCTCATAAGGGCAAGAAGGATCCGGCACGGGGACCGCGCAATTATGCTCAAACCGCCACCAACATCATCGCCCATTTACGACCCTCACGACCCGCTTTACGCCCGCAACGCTCGCTTTACGACTTGGCTCTAGCTTCCCAAGGAAACTCACGATAACCCCATGGATTGCCGCTCCCCGTGGCCGGCACCCACACATACCCCACTACGCAGGATCTCCTGTGTACGCTCTACCTTGCACTTTTGCAATTTACTGACTGCCTGCAGGTTGCATATACCTGCATAGATTGGCGCACTTTGTCATGTTCTCCCTGTTTTCTTTTTGCCAAGCTCTCTCAGGTTGTTTCTCCGTTCATACTCTCGCTGCTATCCTTCGCCTCACCCCCAGTGCTATGTACCACTATTGCTATCGCCGATACCCGTCCAGATATCTCCTGCTCTCTATCCTGGCCTCGCTTGATCATACCTTGAAATTCGAAAACCCTGTTGTTGTTCTCCGAGTTCTGTTATGTATGCTGTGTAGTCTCGATGTTTCGGCCCAGCCCTCTATCTATGTGTGTACAGCAGCGCCGTTCCCTGTAAATATTACAAGAGCTATGGTTCTACGGATGTACTATGGTGGATGTTATTATGGTATACAAAGTGTTCGCATATAAGCACCCAGAACGCCCCCGTCCCCAGTCCAGTCCGATCCACTCTCATTCCCTCTTCTCCTTATCCACTTTCGCCGGTTTACTCGCCTTCCGCGAGCCCGCCGCGTACCCCATCGTGCCCGCAAACACCATCCCCGCGCCCGCCCACACGCCCGCGTTCACCGCCGCGCCCTGCGCGCGGAACAGCAGCACGCTGAGCACGAGCGACGCCGCCTTGCGCACGACGAGCAGCAGCGTGACCGCGAGAGCGCTCACGCCGCGCGCCGTCAGCCGGTGGACGCCCGCGACGCACACGAGCGCGGTCGCCGCCGTCAGCGCGAGCGTCGCGTGTGCCCCAGGCACGCTTATGGCGACCGCCTTCTCTGAGAGGAAAGATGGGGGTTGCGAGAGCCCGAATGGCGGGTAGAGCGTGAGCGCGTGCTGGGCCTTGGCGAGGAAAGACGGGGGCAGAGGGAGGGAGATGCGGAGCGGCGGGCTTGCGTGCAGGGCGCGCGCCTGCGCAGCGAGGTCGTGTCGGACGAAGTAGAACATCGGGAGGGAGAGAAAGTGCAGGTAGAACATGCTCTCCTGCCAGGGCTCCACGTCGCGTCCTGCTGCGGGCGCCGTTGCGGCCACGTCGGGCGTTTTCGTATGCCCGTTCGCGTGTCCGTTTGTGTGTCCATTCGCGTGCCCATTCGTGGGCTCGGTGCCAACTTTCTCTGCGGTTCCGTTGGACGTTGTGGGCGCGGGTGCTGGAGTGCGCACGTACCGCGCGTACGTCCAGTCCTGCACGATGCCGAGCAGGCCGGAGAGCACGAGTGCGAGCGTGAGGAGCCCGATGCCAGACGCGTACCGCCACTGCTCTCTCGACAAGCCTGCGAGCGATTCGGACGCGGAGTCGGCTTCGGCATCTGAGGGCGACGGAGGTGCTTTGCTCTTGGATGATGCGGCGGACAGAGTGGTCAGGAACACCCCCGCGGTTACAAGTAGCACAGACAAAACCTGCGCAATATTATACCTGCATCATTCTAAAGTCAGCATCCAACTTGCGGCGGAGAAAAACACAAGGACGTACCGCTTGCCCGCAAGCAACCACCCCATGAGCATGCTCACCACCAGCCCGCCCGAGCGGAAGATGATATGCACCGCCATCGGGATCCCGTACGCGAACGCGGCGTTGTTCAGCAGCGACACCGCGTAGAACAGCGCGACCTGCGCGAGGTACGGCGCGAGCGGCGTCCGCCGCGCGCGCAGCCGTAGCCACGGCACGCCCCACCGACCGCGGCCGAGGACGAGGAACTTGGGCAGGCCGTGCAGGGAGATGAGCACGAACTGCGCGAAGGTGATGAGCGAGCCCGCGTGCGGGTGCGAGCGCGTGAGGTGCTCGAGCGTGAGCGCGTTGCTGCAATGGGGAGTCCGGTTAGCGTCGGACTCGGGGGCGCACGCTCGTGGGCGCACGGCGGAGGACGCACCTGCAGCATCCGCCGAAGATGAGGCCGAGCGTCGTCGCCCAGTCGGCCGCGACGGCGAGGGTGAGCCCGCGCAGAATCTCGCTCGCGCTCATTGGACTTGTGGTGTTCGGAGGCGAGTTCGGCGCGAGTAGCGTTCGTAGATCAAGGTGTAAGAGCAGCGGCCGTACTAGATCGCGGTGTAAGAGTACACTTGTAGATTGAGAGGCAGAAGGAGAGTCTAGGGAGAAGCGCGAGGAAAGCAGGTATATCTAGGCGTGTGGTGGTATCGAGCAGAGCATGGTGGCGGGCTGCGTGGCGAGGAGCCCGAGTCGAGGTCGGACTGGCGAGCTGCACGGCGGCGCCTGCGTTTCTCCGCCCGGCAATTCCCCGCAGCAGCGAGCAGCGTTACGTCACGCGTCCGCCTCCATCCTCCTCTCCCCCGGCCCGTGGTCTGCACGCGTCCTGCACGCGCCTTCGAATCCCCGTACATGCACCGAAGCACGAGAGAAGAGCGATACAGCCATGCATTGTACACGTGCTACAGATACATGCGTCCGGTGGGGTATCGTCTAGGCTACATCGATGCGGGTATGGCCGCCTCCCTCTCGGGGCAGGGGAGGGGCGGGGTTATAGTATGGCTACAAGCAACACGCACGCGCTCGCGGGGAAGGGTCTGTGCGGATGGGGAGGAGGAAGGGAGGGTAAGGGCGTAGTGTGTGCGGAATAGTCCGTCGGCGCGGGCGCAAACGAAGACGAAATGAAAAAAGCGCGCCGCGATGCTACGTGGGGGTAGCTAGGTGAAGTGTCCGTGTAAGTAAAAGGTGTGTCGTCGAACGACGTAGGGTAGGGTGTGGCGAAGAAAATAAAGTAAGAAGGATGTAAGGTATGGTAGGTAGGTTGTCCAGCAAGAAGGCGAAGGCGAAGAGAAAATAAGGTAAGTGAACGGGTCGCGACAAATCAAAGCAAGGCGAGCACAATTCGAAAAAGGTCCGTGTCCCACTGAAACCCCCTGATGGTAAGAAAAAGGGCGGCATGTGTGTTTGCATGCTTCTCATGTCATGTCTTCATGTCGCGTCGTCGTCGTCTCCGTCCTAGATCGCGGGTGTATATCATACGTCCACCACTTGTGCCTGCTGGCTGCGGAACAGCGCCGACTTCGAGTGTGCCAGTCGGCGGAACGCGCTGTTCTGTCCCTGGCTCTGGCCATCCATCTCGCGGTCTACACCGCCGTCCCGGTCCTGACCCTTGGTCGCAGCCCACATCCGGCTCAGGAAGCTACCACCTGCAGCCCTCGAGATCGAGGGCATCGTCGACGACGGTGCCACGGACGGACCCTCGGGGAATGAGCTCGCGCGAGGGTTACCCCTCCCCAGACCACCAGGCCTGGCGGGAAGAAGGGCTTCATGGACGGCCTGTGACGGGGAGCAGCTGGGGGACGACATAGGAGAGGGACCGGGGCTCGGGCCGACGAGCATTGAGAGCCGCTTGAGCTCGCTCGCGGTGCCCGCCGCCATCGTGACGTCGCTCCGGATGGTGCACGTAGATGCCGTCGACACCTTGCGGCCCTGCCTGTGGCGGTATGCGGAGTACGCGGTAGGTTGCAGCGCGAACTTCTTGCGCTCACCGATGGCCTCGCCAGCAGCCCCCTCGCAGATCTCGACCTCGAACTCCCGGTCGGACCCGCATCCCTCGGACGAGATGGACGACGGGGACGAGGACCCGCTGTCGCACGTGAGGCCACCCATCTCCGAGTCCTCGCTGTGGCTCCGCGCGCTGTCGAGCGTGCTGCTGGACGACGTACGGGACAGGCTCCTCGGGCGCGACTCAGTGTCGATGGTAGGCACGTTGAGGTACTGCGAAGACAGGCGCTTGACGAAGCTCTGGACGCTCGCAAGGCTTGCCGCCGGGGACGGCAACGTCGACGAGCCGCTGTCGACAGGGCTGGGCGGGGGTGCGGCTATATGCGCCTGCACGCGGGCCTTCGCACGAGTGACGGCGGTAGCGCGGGTCTCCTTCGCCGTGGGCTCTGACGAAGCCAGCGTCTTCGGGAGAAAAGGCGCGAAGTGGCGGAGAGCCTCCTCCTCGTCGAACCGGAGGTCGTAGTTGAGGAGGTACAGCAGCTGCTTCTCCATAAGGTTCACCTCGGCGAGCTCGAACAGCCGCCCGTAGTTGACCCAGTTCTTGTTCTTCGGCGACGAGTCGTTGAGGTACTTGGCAGCCACGATGAGCGTCGCAAGGAACACCCGGTGCCGTGTACACGGCATGCCTATATGCGGGGTATATGCGGTCAGTAGCTAACGAGACGGATGCACGTGAGCGGGCGCACCCTTGGCCATCTTCGGAAGCTTCGTCCGCAGGCGCTCGAGGTAGATGAGCGTCGCAAGGAGCGTCGGGACCTGCACGTGCGAGCTCTGGCAGATGAAGATGATGAAGTCCTGGAGGCTCGGGAGCTTGGAAGCCGCCTGTGCCTGCTGCTGCTCCGCGGGCGTCGGCTTGCTCGGGGTGTGTGGCGGGGTGGGAAGGGCGGCGATGGTGGCGGGCTCCTCGGCGAGGGTGATGGCGCGGGTGGTCTGGAGAGCGATGTACTGGATCATGTCGTACGACACGGGCTGGCACATGAGCTGGACGAGTTCGCGGTTGTGGAAGGAGCGGGGGAGGAGGGACGCCGGGTGGCGGAGCTCTGACGAGGAGGACATGATGAGGATGAGTGCGGAGTGCAGGCGCACGCGGAGAGGGGGGTTATGGCAGGAGAGGAGACTGAGGGAGCGTGGGGTGTGTAGAAGGAGGTTCTGTGCCCGTCGAGGGCGAAAGCAAAAAACAAAAAGAAGAAGAGAGGCGGGCGGGACGTCGTGCGCTCGGTGGGGCTTTATACGACTCGAACTGCGAACAAACAAGCGCACACGGCGGGCTGCTCGATCGTCGTGGAGGTGGTTCGTTTGACACAAGCTCCTCGGGCGCGCTACGCGGTGAAGGTCGGTGTGAAGAGGGAAAGACGGAAGAAGACAAGCACAGGAGGGGCGGCAGAGGGAGGCTCGGAGAGGGAATGGAGAGTCCTCGCAGAGTATTTTGGTGACGTTGGGGTGGACGTGTCACGGCGTAAGGCGACAAATGCTGCGACCGCAGAGTTTTGTCGTAGAGGAGAGGCTGACAGGACGACCCGGCGGAACTCTAGTACGTCGCCGCTCCCGAGTTAGAGAGGTTTCCCTGACATCGGGACGACCGTCATTGCGCGTCCAGATCGTCTCTGCAACCGAATAAGCTCTCAGATCTGTCGCGGGAATCGGAACAATCCGAGAGACCTACGTCGATCGCCTAGTCTGTATTCTAGCACGGGTCGTCTGTTTATGTTGGAACTTCTTACTGCAATTCGCAACATAGCGCATATGGGCGTTGAGTACAAATTCCAGGAGCGCCACAAAGTCCCCGGCAACTTCTTAGCCTATTTCGGCAATCTCACCCAACCCTCCTGATCTAGGCGCCCGTGAATACCTTGCACGCCAACTCACGAGGGGGCCATGAATCGAGTCGTTTACCAGGGTCGGTTTACCGACATAAGGTGATTTCCAAGAACCCCCTTCCCCCCTCCCCTCCCATATCCGGTTATTTTCCGCATATGTTTCCGACATGACGCTCAAAATGGAAGCTTCAAGCGCCCGTCTAGTATTTCAGCATACTTCAGCATCATGTACCGTGCTCAGGCTTTGCTATACGAAAGAGTTACATAGCTGTGAAGTGTCTGCATGGCGTAGTGTTTGGAACTCATGTGTTCAGCTCGGCGCGTTCAAGGGACAACCATAGCCCTAGCGGAGCAATGATCGAGAGCCGCTCGGATGATGTCACGTTCGCGATCCGAGAGGAGCGGTGGCGTGACACGAGAGGGAAGAGATTCACGCTGAGAGGGACAGGTTACGAGTCTGTCGATTCAACAGAGAATACTGCCGTACAAGAGAGAGAGAAGCAGAGTATTTATACAAGCTCGGGAGACCTCGGGGAGAATCGGAGAGTGAGACCAAAGAGTAAGCTAAGAACGGAGAGGAGGTCAGATGAACGAAGGGAGTAAGACCAGGCGTTGAGTGAAGGAACGTATACGAAAAGAGGAGGATGACGGGAAAGGAAACAGTCCGTATTAGGAAGAGCGCTCATCGCTACATACGCCCTCCAGGTATCGTACCACGATACCTCAGCAGGACCGAGCTACAAACGAGGCCTAATCGAAGAGGGCCGCGTCGCCCAGGATATCGATGTCCTCCAAGTCGAGCCCGGCGGTCAAGTCCTCAACGCCCACAGCGACAGCAGCGAGCATGAGTTGAGGGTCGTCGATGAGCTCGTCCATCTCCACCGCTGCGTCCACCGCGTCCACCTCGTCCGGCACCGCGGCCAACATATTCGCCTGCGGAGCGGGAGTGTCGTCTGGAACGAAGATGGGGTGTCCGACCTCGCCCGGATCCGGAGTGTGGTCCGGCACGAAGATGGGATGTCCGGCCGCCTCGCCTGGGGCCGGAGACGCTTGCCGCTGACGCTTGCGCCCACGACGACGGTTGTCCTCCTCCAGGACGCCCGTGTTCGATGGTCCTGCTCCCATGGCCTGAGCCCAGGCGGCGCTGCGCTTCTTGTGCTGGCGGTTGGCCTCGCGGGACTCGAACCCAAGGCGAGCGCTCTCTTGCGCGTTCAAGGTCTGCTTGGCGGCGTTCAAGAGGAGACGGCGCATAAGGTCCTCCTCCTCGGCCGGGCGTGGAGCGGACGCCTGGGACGGATCGCCGTGGGGGAGGATGGTAGACGTCGGGATGGAGGGCTTCCGAGTGGTATGAATCGTCTCGGGCGGGTCGTCCAGAGCGGAGAGCTGGTACTGATTGGCTGTGTCCAGGGACCAGAGGTACTGAAAGTCCTCGTAGCCGGCCGGGACGGGCTGCCGTTCTTTGCTGAACGGGCGGCGGCGCAAGTCCTTGTCGAGGCTGAGGAAGAGGACGACGATGGCCGGCGGGAAGAGGTGGGAGCGGCCGGTGGTCGGATCCCGCAGGATGACCTCGCCGGTGGAGAGGATCGACGCGTTCGGGTGGACCAGCGGAGGCATCACGACGAGGAGGGAGACGATGGGTGGGTAGACGGTGCGACGAGGAGTGGATGGGCGACGAGTGCAAGGTGAGAGGGGGTGAAGGATGAGGAGAGACTGAGTGCTGACTTCTTATAGGATCCTGTAGCGCGGCAAAGAATTCGCGCAGGAAGAAGTCAACACCTCCGACGAAGATCTGCGGGTCATCGGGAGGCTGGCCGTGGCCTTCCGGGAGGTCTGAGACATTCGTCACACCAGCCGCCTCTAGGTATGCTTGCAGGGTACTCAGATGCGATACTGCACTGAATGGCACCCAGGTTTGGTCGCCTGACTTCCAGACCGCCTCGAAGACGGCCTGCTCACCGGTACCTCGGTGAGAGTTGATTCTCTCGATTGCCCACTCATTGTCCTTATCCTCGAGTTCCAGGATTTGCGAGTCAAGACGGCCTGGGAACAGGCGGTCGTCGTTTGGCTCATGAACACGCAACAGCGATGCATGGAACACGTTGTGCACGCCGCGACGTTTCAGACTCGGAGGCAGCTCAATCCTGAATGAGTTGTTGCCGAAATCTTGGACGATCCGGTAAGGTCCAATAAATTTCGGCGCCAGCTTGCGGGCTAACCCTTTTGGCAGGGAAATGTTCTTCGTCGACAAGTAAACCAGGTCATCCTTCGCGAACGGAGCAGGACGACGCTTGCGATTGGCATCGCGGGTCTGTTTTACCCGTGCTGCGATCAAGCTGTCGTGCGCAGCCATGACGGCATGCTTCACCTTCTGGGCGTAAGTGCGCACTCCTGGGTATTCGTCCGAAGCCGGCTGATCCCAGATCAAGGGACGGGGCATACGTCCTGTGTTCAGGAAGAACGGTGCAAACCCCGTAGACTCAGAGCGGGCCAGATTAATGGCGAACTCGATTGCGGGCAGTCTAGCGACCCAGTCACGCTGGGAAGCGTCCACGCACTGACGGAGCATCTGCGACACCGTGCGGTTCGCTCGCTCCGTCGAACCATCCGACTCTGGATGATACGCGCTTGACATCCTGAGTTCGACTCCAATGAGAGAGTGCAGGTGCGTCCAGAAGGCACTCGTGAATAGCACGTCACGGTCGCTAATGATCGCTTTAGGTAGTCCATGGTGTTTATACACTTCCGCGAACACAAGCTCCGCGACATCTCGGGCGCGGTAGTTGGTACGGCTGGGTACCAAGTGCACCATACCGGTGAGTAGATCAATCACCGTTGTGATTGCATCATAGGACGCGTCCCGATCCTTCGACTCAGGTAGAGGCCCAACAAAATCGATTCCAATGGCCTCCCAGGGAGCGCTTGGCACGGGAAGAGGGTTCAAGAGCCCGAAAGGCTTCTGGTTCGCCGGTTTGCTCCGGCGACAGGTCATGCAGGTATCGCAGTACTTCTGCACATCCGACGGTAGGTTCTTCCACCACACGTGGTCCCGCAGAAGGCTGACTGTCTTGCTCATGCCAAGATGAGCCAAGAGGGAGTGAGCGTGCGCAATCACGATCTCACGGACGTTCCGGCCGTTCACGATGATGTGCGGAACACAAAGGAGTGTACGCCCTCCGTCTTTGAGGTAGACCAGGCCGTTATCAATGGTGAAGTTCTTATGCTGACGTGGATTGTCTAGGATTGTTTGAAAGAAGGTGTCCTCCTTGTACCGACCCCGAACTGTCGCCTCGAGGTGTAAGCCATCACCTGCGGTAGCGACATAGTCAAGTAGATTTCCGGGCTCGGCTGCCATTTCTGCGACTGGTTCCTCAGTGTCCTTTTCCCCGACACGGGGAGCTTCAGGACTGCTGCTTCGTGCGTCTACAGTTTTGTCTGAGTGCTCGGTACTCCCGCCCTCCGCTCGTTGTTCACGAGGACCGTGGAGAACGACGCGCTTGATGCATTTTGCAAATTCGTGTGACGCTTCTGCGCGCCCGCTCTCTGCAGGAAGCTCCGCGACGTGGGGCTCGCGACGTGGCCTCCGAGGATGGGCGACGAGAGGCGCACGCGGCGCAACTGGTGCAACTGGTTCGAAATCATCAGCACGCACCCGGGCGGGTTTTGACTGACGCTGTGACCGTCGCAAGTCCATCGCAGCGGCCGCCAGTTCTGTAAGGGCGCGTCCCTCAAGATCGACCAACACAGGTGTCGAAAGCGAGCTCGACCGCAGGCGAGCTGCGGTTGTATCCGTGTCATCGTAAGTGACATACTCGGATGGGGCGCGGACGGTGCCAGGCTGATCGTTCGAGTACATCCGTGACAGAGCATCTGCCAGGACATTCTCGACACCAGGAACATGCTCAATGGTGAAATTGTATTCGGATATCTTCTCGATCCATCGTGCCTGACGTCCCGACAGGTTACGCTGTTCCATCAAGTGTATCAGGCCCTTATGGTCGGTGACCCAAGTGAATGCACACCCAAGCAGTATGTCACGGTGACGAAGCATGGATTCGACGCCCGCTAACATCTCAATTTCATGAACAGGATAATTCATCTGTGCAGACGAAAGCTTCGCCGAAAAGAATGCCGCAACGCGACCACGGCGGAAGTCATCGCCTTGGGTGACGACGCCTGCGATCCCGCCATGGGAGCCGTCAGTGACCAACCAGATCCGCGGCGCAGTAGGCGAGTAATCCAGAGGTACTCGCCGGTGCTTGCGGTGAGTATGAACCAGGCGTTTGATTTCATCAAATGCACGCTGATGGGTGAAGTCCCACTTGAAGGATACATCAGATCCTGTCAACGACGTCAAGATGCCCATTGGGATTCGGACCGTGGCAATGTCGTCCGCGAGGTAGCCGACCGAGCCCAGGAAGCCACGCAGGAGTTCCTTGTTCGTCGGCACCTTCCAATGAAGGACGGAGTCGACCTTATCTGGGTCCATACGGATACCATCATGGTCGACGACGCGACCGAGGATCTTCAACTCGTCACACAGGAAATGCAGCTTTGATGCGCTCAAGAACAGCTGCTCTCGCTTTAGTATGTCGATCACAATTTTGACGTGCTTAATGTGCTCATCAAGTGTGTTCGAGTAGATTGCGATGTCGTCCAAATAGACGTCCATGAACACACCAATGTACGGGCCAAAGATATAGTTCATGAGGCTCTGGTAAGTTGCTACCGCATTACAATCACCCTGCTGCAACACGAGACTGATCATGTTCCCATCGGGGGTAGCCATTGCGGTACGCTCGACATGTGCCGGCTCTATCCTAATCTGCTCGTAGGCGTCTTTGCCATCGATCAACGTCCGGAAGCGATGACGCGCGACACGCCGTAGGATTCCCTCCATGTCTGGGAGAGGAGAGGTCACTTTGTGACAATTGGCGTTCCGTTCACGGAGATCACATACCACACGGAGTTTAGGGGGAACACCCTTCACGCCCGTCCCCGGCTTTGTCAGCAGGAGCATCGGTGAAGTGTTGCGGGCGTTCGTCATGCGCCAGCGACCGGACTTGAGATATGCATCTCGCTTCTCCATCCAGCTCGCCCGATGAGCATCCGGACACTTCGAGGGGCGCCACGAGTAGATCTTGTGCTCGTCCTTGAGAGGTATCTGATGGTTGATAGCGCGCAAAGGCGGTAGTGGTGAGTCGCTCGCCTCCTGACAGATTGGAGCGGCGTACTCACGCAGTTGTTGCCGCGCGGCATCTAGCACGCCCTCGCGAACGTCGGCTGCGCGGGATTCAAGAACGCGCACTTGTTTGCCTTCGATCGCGAGGGGTTTGTCGCTTCCAACCAACACGGCTGTGGGGTTGAAGGAGAGTGAGATGCGGTGTTGGTAGAGGAAGGGGGTGCCAAGGATCAGGTCATAGTTTAGTAAGTTCACTATGTCGAAGTACCGATCGGAACGTGTGCGCTGATACTCCATGACCGCCCTACAGCCATAGTTGATCTTCGCGCGCGAACCTTGAACAGCCAGATGCACGGGCAAGGGCTTTGCGAGCTCAAAGACCTTCGCATCAATCTGATGCGCAAATTTCGCTGACATGAAGTCCGACAGGGAGCCAGAGTCCAGTAACGCCCGCGCGGACTGTCCATTGATCTTCACAACGACGACCGCAGGCTCGGGGATGAGGCGCTTGAAATCACGCGGCGCGGCGGCATTGCGCTGGATGGCGGCGAGTGCACCACCGTCACCAGCGGCGACTGCGGCCGCACACAACTCAAGCAATACCAACTCGTCGCACGGCGCAAACAAAACGTCCAGCTCGCCCTCCAGGTCCTCCTGCGAGAAGGATGAAGGTACGAGGCGACGACGAGCATGGCGAGCATAGAAGTTAGGTAAGTCGAACCAGACATTCTCCAACAGTACGTCCGGGATGTCGATGCTGATGTCCAGATAGTGATCAATGACGCGCACGCTCCCGCTGATCTGCCATGCTTCGTAACGGGGCGATCCACCAGGTGCAAAGGGTGGCCAGGGAACCTCGTCTTCAAGGATGCGTGCTGCTCCGTCTGCGAGCGCATACCCCATGCACTCACCAGTGGATGACAGGAAGCACTGCTGGTGTTCGGGTGCGAACTGGTGCACGACCTGTTGCCTGTACCATCTCGGTAAGTCAAACATTGGGTCCTTGAGGCGGCTCGACTCGAGTAATGTATCAAACTTCCAGTGCATCACGACATGAAGCTCGGGGGCCGTACGGTACACATTCCCGTTATAGCCGTCCTCATCGTCAAGGCCGGCTTCTGCACAGCAATAGGGTGCGTACTTTTCCAGCAGCTCCTCAGCTCGCTGGGAGTACAGATCATCGATCCGTGTTGCAGGTCGACCCTCACGGTTCGAGCACGGCAGCTCAAGCGGTTCCCGCCAACAAGGACAGGACAATTCCAACCATCGGGCCTCTTTCCCGGCATAGTCATCGCCCGAAACCGAGCCCTCTGTGGAGTCTGAAGGCCAGTTGGAGCATATGTCATCATAATCTGGGTCCGCAAAGGCTACGGCTGATGAACTCTGAACCTGGAAGGCTGTAAGCCGCACAAAGAGAGGTCTTCAGTCTGTGAGAGAACGACTATGATTGCATAGTACTGTACCTGTAAGCCGCACAAAGAGAGGCTACAAGTACTAGTAAGTAAACATGTAAGAAAGCATAGGTAGTATGGGACTTACTCTTCAGTCTGTGAGAGAACGACTGAAGAGCAGAGGCCTGCAGAGTCCTCCTTATATACTACTGGGGAGGACGATGAGTAAGCGTATAGGAAGAGGGCATGTGACGTCCAGAGGACGCTGACTGAG